TCGATTCGGCTACTAATAAAATTGGGGATTTCTAATATTAGAATTATTTAATTATATTTTTAAAATAATATAATAAATTCGTCGGAAGGGATTTTTAAAGATTACGCCTTAATTAGTGCTTCTTTAGAATAGAATGTATCTTCGTTAAATAATATATTACGGGTATTAATAATCGAATTATTAATAGGGTTGTAAATATAGTAAATTAAAAAAATAATATAACTAATTAAATAATTGATTTATATTTTAAAATTCATTTTCTAACGCCTCTCTTCTTTCTTCTAAGCGCCTATAATTATAATGTATATTTTATAATTATAAATATAAAAGTATATAATATCTAATTTACGTAGAATTAATATATTAAATCTGTTTCGTTTAGTAATAAAAGTATAGAAACGTTCGTATAGGGATTTCTAGTTGTAGAAGAATTTAGGGGACCGATTAATAAAGTAAATTACTATAAAAACGATTTCTAACTATAAATTTTTAGTAAAACAAGAATTCTATATTATTGCTCTAAATCTTTCCTTAATAATATTTTCTGAACGTTCTACGCTACTATTTTATATTTAAATATATAAAATAAAGGGCTTAATAATTATATTTTTAAAAGCGAAGAATTTTTTTATTATATAGGACCCGCTAATTTCATTATTGTGTTTAATAATTTTTAATTAAATATTATACCGAATATTTAATATTATAAAAAAGTTGTTAAGGAAGGAAGTAATAATAATAATTTTATGATCTATTGTATAGTAATCCTAAATATACCTAATATATTTATAAATAATAAATATAACGTTATAATATTCCTAACGGCTCTTTGTATAATTAAGGAAATTTATAATTAATTTTTTTCCTAACTTGTTGCTATAATTGTAAAGTTTATAATTAACCTATCGTTTAATTTTCGATAAAGTATACGTATCGTAATATATAGTAAAAGGTCCCTTAAAGCGGGTACTGTTAACGTTAATAAAATAATTAAATATAAAGACCGTAATAACTGAAGTAATAGTACTAAATAATAACCTCTTCTTTATAATATTCATAGCCGTTAAAAAAATTAAATTAATTACGTCGTATAAAAAAAATAATTTTAAAGAAAGAAGGAGAGAAGTCCTCAAAAACTATTTAATAATATTGTATTATAAGACGGTAAAAGAAAGAATAATTTAAATTTTAAAAATAATTATTAAATAATTATTAATTTTAATAAAAACTTTTTATATAAAAGAAGTAGAAAGAAATAAAATTAATTACAAAATTGGAATAAAAAGTTATATTATAGAATCGAAGCTTCTTAAACCCCCTACGTCCTTAAATTATAATATTTATATCCTTATATCCTTTAATAAAAATATAGGTATTTCTAGCTTAGAGATTATTATTATAAAGAGTGTAACGAAAATTAATAAAATGGGTAATTTTGTTAAAAATATAAAGGGAATTACTAAAATCGAAAAGAATATTATTTTTAAGAAAGTATAATTTTAAATCTCCTTCTCCTACTTAGAAAGCCGCCTGATAAACGGCCGTCTTATAATTAATTACTACTTTTTAAATATTTTCGCTAAAGAATTAGTTACTTTTATTACTATTATTATTTTATTTAATCTCCTATTCGAAGCAATTTCTTTCTTCAATTTTAAATTATTACGGAAATTCTTCTTAACCCTATTTCAAACTTTTTTAAAAAATTTCTATTTAGGGTTAATTACTTTAGTAGGAAATAAATATTAATAATATTTAATTAAATAGAGGCCTTATTAATACGCTTTATAATAAATAATTAAGAATATTAATAAAGTATTTATAGCCGCAATTTTATGCTTCCTCTTACAATAATTCTAAGTCCTATTAAGTTAAACGTCTTCGTTATTAATACTGCTATCCTATAAACTGTTAAAGGTTAGGCTTATACTGAACATTCCTTTATAGTTGTTAATTTTACTAATACTAATAAGAAGTCGCTCGTTCAATCCTTTATAGTGGAAATCCCCGGATATTAAATGAAAATTAAAGGTATTAACTATAATTTTCTTATTAAAATATTTAAAAATATTAAATACTTAAATAGGTCTAATTAGCTGTAAATAATTTAAAAGGTCTTTTAATTAAATATTAGCTATAATAATTTTTAGAACTTTATAGCGGATTATATCAATTATTATAGCGTTCTAACTATTTATCTACTTATTTATCCCTCTATTCCTCTTATTAAGCTCGCTTAATAGTAATTTAAAGTAATTGTAATATTTTTAACAAATTTCGGTCTAAATATTTTCCTCTCAGTAGTTATAGCCATCTTTAATATTAATATACTATTCGGCTATAGATAGGAGGGATAGAAAATTATTAATTTTATAGGAGGGAATATAAATTCCTATATTTATTTTTAAATATTAGCGTTATTAATTTTAAAGCATTCGTAGACCTTTATATTATAGAACTAATTAATATAGTTGTATTCGTACTCCTATAAAACTAAAGGCGGTAAAATCTATTAATTTAATTATAGCGTCGTCGGTCTATTAATTTAAGGTTTAGTTAATAGTTTCTACGCCTTCAGGGATTTAAGGCGCTTCTAGGGCTTTAATTTCTTTATTTATATTTATAATTACCGGGGCCGGAGCCGGAGCTAGGGGTATATAAACGATAATACTAGCTTTAAACCTATTAAAAACTTCCTAAACTCTTTTAATATAGTAAAAAGCCGTAATTTTAATAACGTAATTATTAATACGTATAAATAGAAAATTTTAAATAGCGGACTCTAACCCTAGTATAAAATTAATAAAATTAAAACCTTTAACGTAGCTAAATAATTTATCGCTCTAATTACGGAGCTTTGAGGGCCTATCAAAATAAAGACGGTTAGTCTTAGGAGAGGATTCCATTAATAGGAATATAATTACTTTATTAATTTAATTGTTATTAGGGTAATTTGAGAGGTATTAGTACATAAATACTCATACTTTTGTAAATATTAGCATAAAGGTAAGTATTGTGAGTTAGACTATTAATTGTCAAAATATACAGTTGAATTAAAAGTGGGTAAATCTCTATATTAATCTATATGTGTATAGAAGAGTACTATAGAGCCAGAATTAGGGGCTCCCAAAGTATTAGGAAGGTCTGCAGCCAGATTCTAGTGGCTGGGAGGCTAGTCCTCATTTAGAGCCCTCTTCTTACTGGCTGGATTTAACCCTCCAAACTGACAAAATCTGACTTAAGTGAAATCTTATGGTAGTGTCACCGCTACGAATGGGATTCGTTTTAGATGCCGATATTCTTAGCCGGCCGGCCTCGCTGCGATGTCCTATATTCGCCAGATCTATGATTGCTCTCTAAGCTTGTGTCATTGTAGAGGAACTTATTGCCGTAGTTATTCCCGTGGGAATCCGGATAGGAGAAGCCGTTGTGTTCCCTTGACCGCCTGGCCTGTTTGATGCATTAGGAAGTCGAGTATGTTGTATTCTACTTCGGACTGCGAAATATCGAGATGACACCTATCGAGATATGATATTCATGGTGTTTCATCGCAGATTTTCCAGTTCCTTCCTCTACTTGGCCACCACACACCAACTTGGGTGATCCGTAGGGCACTGAATCAGACAGCCGCGATAAACCAGTGTGGACACAACGCCTTGACCCTTTCACCGACACAAAGGGTCAGTATGAGCAAGTATTTGCGCCAAATATTGCACAGACCGTGAAGGTGAAACTGAACTCGCGAGCGCGAGTAGAACCGCGAGTGGACTTCCTCAACGGTGTGGTGTTTGGAACACGACGAACGAAGGGGACACTCCACACTCTCGACACCGACATCGCAACAACAGGAGGTGAACGAAACGGCACCAGATAGCCGAAGCCTCAGCTCAGGGGTCATGGAAGCTTCTACGGAGCTCCACCCGTGGACCCATATACAAGGCTGTTGTGGATCCCGATAAGCTGCTCACTCCCCGATCCATCCCAGTAGGACTGACGTCGTGCTGCAGGTGTCGGGTCCATATAGATCCGGGCTCCCGACTGGCTTTCTTTTGCCGACCGACTCGTGCCTACATTCCCATTTTGGGTAGGCTGCGCCTCAGAGAAACAGCCCAGCTGCATCAAGAAATCAGGAAATAATCGGAAATATTTGCATCTATGAATAGCTGCCAGCGAAAGCAGCAAGACTCCACAAAGCATCGTGGACGAGGACTTTCCAAGGGGTTTGTGGATACCTAGAGGTAAGCACCCAGGGGCAAGCGGCTTGCGCCCATCTAGCTGTCCGGGTGATTCGACGATCGATAGGGTGAAAGGGAAGTACCAGGGCTGCAGCCGCGCGAGCGACATTGCCGAGCCTTCTCGAAGGTTGCCGTTGGAGGTTAGCACACAGCAATGCCAGCGGCGGCGAGAACAATCCGATCATTTCTAGATCTTTTCCGCTTCACCTAGACCGGAAAAGTGGCTAACAGAAAACAAGTAAGTAATCCCCGTGGTCACAGTAGTAGGGCTGGTTAGTCTCGATACCTACTCTTGTTTCAGACGATCTCGTTCTGTGCGTTGGTCCCCAAAGGCGGCCTAGGTGTTTCAGGAATTTGGCACTGGACACTCACCGAACTCCAAGGAATGGCCCGGATGGCTATCACGGAACTCGTCGGGCCCGTTCGCCGATGTGAAGGCACAAACATTCCCGTGCAATTCCCATATCTCGAGATACGATGTGATGATGCGGATCAACGGCTTTGCAGACCACGTCGGGCATGAATGTGCCAACACGACTGGCAGCACAAGGTACGGCAGCAAAGGCCGCTTTATCCGAACTGGTTTAGTTGTCCCCGTGGAGTCTCCGGATCGTAAGCTGTTTGCGTGCTTCTTGCTTGAATCCCGCCGTTATGATAGGACTGGATGTTGGTGATGCTCGATAAGATGGCGATGTCCTTTTCCCATTTTCCATCCCATTACAGCTTTTCCCGCCAGTTCGTGGTCCAGCTTTCCCGAATCTCATCACTACACTCAAACACTCGTCCATACCTCATCGGCACGTCCCAGCCCCTTCCCACCAACACCAACACTACCACCATCTCCAACCTCACCCCCATTAGTTTCCGCTCCCAGCCAACAACTTCCTCCCCTCCTCACTCTCCTCCAGCGCCTTCCTGACCACCGCCTCCAAATCCTCCTCCTCCTCCAAGCCCAACAACCCCATCGAATACTCCTCCTTCTTCGTCCAATCCCCTTCCACCACCCCCAGCGCAAACACCAAATCCTCAATCGCGTCTCCCGCCCCCTCTCCCCCTTCATCCGCCACCTTCTTCCTCTCCTTGATATAGTCCTCCGTATTCACATACTCCCTCTCAAACTTCTTCCCCGTCACCTTCTCCAGCATATCCACGGCGTCATTCTGGGAGACGAGGAAGGACTGGAGCATGAGGACTTTGTTTTTCGTTTGCTCAAGATGTCCAGCGTCACCGGTCAAGATTGACACCACAGCTTTGGAAACCTGCGCCAGCGTCGCCTGGGAACTCTTCTCGTCTCCAGAGCCAAGGATATGTGCCCTAGGCGGGTTTTCGAAGGGATAGAAATGGAGAAATCCGTTGGTGAGGCCCCAATCGAAAAAGTGGCCGTTGACCAGACTGGTCCAGCTCAAACGGCCTGCGCTGTTCTCGCTCAACTTCTCCAGTAACTCGCGAACCTGAACCTTCTTGCCAAACAACGGGACCAGATCCCGCGCTCTTTGGCTTCGGGCGTCGACGCTGCCGTAGTCGGCGGGGATGAAGCGGGCCACTGTGCCGGAGGCGTAGGCCGCTTCGGCGAGGGTGAGGTGGGCTTGGAGGTCGCGGAGGGGGAAGGCGGCGATTACGGCGTGTTGGCCGCGGAGGGCTTCGGTGACGTCGGGGAGGGACCAAGAGGGGACGGTGGTGACGGTGAGGTTGGGGTGGGGTAGGTAGGTGGATTTGGAGGAAGCGCGTTGGAGGATTGTGATGTGCAGGTTGGTTTTGAGAAGGTGGGAAAGAAGGACACTACCTAGGTTGCCGGAGGCGCCGACGAGGGTGACGTTTTGGATCGGGGTTTCCGAAGGCATGTTGTTGATTTGTTGGTGACAAGTGCTGGTGGTGTCGTCGTGATGGGGGGTGTGTTGATGTTGTGGTGTTGATGTTCTGATGTTGGTGTTTGGAGGCAGATCGCAAAGTGAGGGGAAAAGTTGGGGAAATGAGGGGAGGGGGTCGGATATCGCTGATGAGCTGTCGTGCAGATCAATCCAATGCTCAAAAGGTGAGGCGATTCACAATTGGCAAGGCTAGTGTTTGGGATGGCATCAGGGTCACGCAGGCAGATTCACGTAACACAAAGACATGGTGCGATAACTAACGTTCCCGTAGTGATGGCCGACAAACGGGTGGTTGACAGCAAAAAGGGGGTCAAAACATTGTGCTCAATTGGCCGGCCCGCAAGATGACATAATCGCTCGGCATGCGAACCCTAACCCAAACATTGTTGTTCACAGCCGGCGACGTAAAGTCAAACAGCCATGTTCCGCCTCCTCGATGAGCTTGTTCTCCGGGCAAGGATGAGACCGCAGGGAAGCAGAATGCCCAGCTGAATGGTGAAGACGCGTACATATATCGATAACCTCCCCATAGAAGACGCAGCTTCCGGTAGACCGACCTCCACTGGTGCGCCGGGTACCATCTGGCTTTCCACCAAACTGTTGCCGATGCATCCGAACCTGAATGGTATCATCTCTTTCACCTTGAAAATCGAGTTGGGTATTGTTCTCATAGAAATACATGCAATTTTACACGGACCTTTGTGGATCCTCATGCTTCGTTCTTGTGCTTCTTCAGCTGAGCCTCATCCATCTTCCTGCCGTCTAGAAACGCGGAAACCTAGCCACCGCACTCCCCTTGGACGCAAAAGCCAGCGCCAACCAGCCCGCAATCAGAAACAGTCCTCCGACCGGCGTCACAGGGCCCAAGAACCTGAAGCGCTCGGTATCAAGGGTCAAAGCATAGATACTGCCGCTGAACATGGTCATGCCTGCGGTGAAGAGGGCGGAAGCGACGGGGTGATGACTCGCGAGGAGGACGACGGCCGAGTGGACCAGCTATGAGGTCTCATCAGTATAACAGATATCTTTCTCCAAAGAGGCGACGACGTACCTGGTAGTGAGCAGCCGTCGACCAACTGGCAATCTTGTTGGGATCAGAAATGCGCTTCTTGAGCCCGTGAGCACCAAAGGCGCCAAGACCGACGGCGGCGGCGCCGTAGATGGCCCCGACTCTCCAGAAGAGGGTGCTGCTCATTTTGGGTGTGTTTTGTTGAGGAGAATCGGTGGGGAGAAGAGTGGTGGTTTCACTGGCAGGTTCGGATTCGGGATCGTGATGGGCTTGATTTGCAGACATGGAGATGGTATCACGAAAACAATGACGGGATGGAGTGAGATGAGTGGAGTTGCTCGGGGTTCCGTGGACTGCGATGGCCGATCGAGGTCGCCAAGGTGAAGTGACAAGGACGATGAGCTTCTCGCACGTGATCTCGCCAGGCGTAGCCCCACACTTCCCCACTCAATTCACTGCCCGCACCGGGCATCATCACTGAAGCCATCACTGGAACTTGGCGCTGACTTCCGGGCAAACACCAACACAAGTCAATTACATTGAGACCCCCAAACATGCCCCGAGTACCAACAACGCGCGAAGTTATTCCCGGCGCCGGGGTCAACATTGTCCTCAAAGTCGATCAACCCACCGGCCGTACCGTATCCGGCACAATCCAGGATGTGCTCACCAAAGGAAACCATCCCCGCGGCATCAAAGTCCGCCTCACGGATGGAAGAGTAGGCCGAGTGCAGTCCATGAACAGCAGCCCCGACAGTGGAAGCGCCGACATGGAATCCTTCAATGCCACCTTTGACTCTCCATCACGTCAACCCCATCACCGTGGCAGTTCACGTCCAGACCGCGGCGGACATCTCCAAAATCCTCCGACGCAGCAGTTTGGCCTGGATGCGTATATCAAGCCGGCCAAGACGAAGAAGGGAAGAGGATCTACCGTATCCGATCCTCTACCGTCTACTGTTGAACCGGAAGAGGAATCGGTATGCCCGGTGTGTGCCGATTTCCGGGGTGATGCCACGGCTGTTGCTCATCATGTTGCTGCCCACTTTGGTGAATGAGGGGCATTATCAAGTTCGATTTCCATCTAGAGGTACAGACGGCTACCTACACCAGGCCCAGCACCGGGCCCTTACAGCTTCCTAAACATCACATCCTTCGTCGGATCCGGAATTGTCCCCGCCGCAATATCCCAATCCTTATACCTCTCCGTCTCCCCCTCCACCAGTCCCATCTGATACGTCATCACCAGATTCGCCAAAATCATCTTGATCTCATTCGCCGCAAAGAACCTTCCGGGGCAGGCATGTCGTCCATACCCGAAGGTCAAGAACTCCTTGTTGATGCTCACAAATTGGTTCGTCGCCGCTTGCTCCACCTCCCCCTTGCCCCTGGCCTCATTCCTGAGGTTATAGAACCTCAACGGATCAAACACGTCCGGATTGGGATACACTTCGGGGTCCCGCGAGACGGCGTAGTTGGGGACTTCGATTGTCGATCCCTTGGGAATGACCTGCCCGTTGGAGAGAACAAGGGTCTTGAGCACCTTGCGGGTGAAGGAGATCTGTGCCAGAGGGTGGAAGCGCATCGTCTCCTTGAGGAAGGAATCCGTCTTCTTCATGGCTTGCAGGGCCGAGGTGGTGAAGACGCCGTTGTGCTCCTCGAGGACTGACTGGACCTCCTCCCGCAGCGTGGCCTGCAACTCGGGGTCCGCGGCAAGGCTGTAAACCGCGTGCGTCGTCACCAACGTGGTAGTATGGATGGCAGCGAAGCTGATAGAGAGCTGCAATCTGGCCAACTTTCTCGTGGTGGTCGTGTCCTCCCCCCACTTGCCGTGCTGCTTTCCTTGGCCCTGATCCGCGGAATCCATCAACCACTGCAACATGTCGTTGTCCTTCTCTTCCCCCTTTCTTTGCTTTTCCCTGCGGGCCTCGACGACAGGTCTCAGAAAAGCCGTGGCATCCCTTTCCATCTGCGCCAACTTCCGAACCTCCTTCAACCGCCATGCTGCAAAAGGCCGAAGCCAGGGACTCATCTTCTCTACGGCTCTTTGCGCCTCCATCACGCTGACGGTATACCCCACGGCGGCCTCTAGGTAGCGCTCATCATGGCATAACTCCGGGCCGATAAAAACGCGTCCGGAGACTTTGGCGACGATGCGTAGGAGTTTGGAGTTGATGTTGATGGGGGCCCAGTCGGAGGGAGAGCTAGAGATAAGGGGGGAAATTTCCTGCGAGCAAGCGATTTGCACCTCTTCGGATAGCTGTGGGTTGAGGCGAGGGAGGGAGGGGGTGAGCGAGGACTTGACGGTGTGAGGGATGATGGTTTCGTGCGTTGGGATGAGGGTGTATTTGGTGTGCATGAGCTGTAGGTGTGGTTAGCAGTGGTCGGGCTGGAGGAGGAGGAGGGACAAGAAGAAGAAAGGGGCGTGGGGTAGAAAGGGAATAAGGCAGGAAGGGAGGAAGAAGGAAGGAAGGGAGGAAGAAGGAAGGAAGGAAGGAATGGGTGGGAAAATGAAAAGGAGAAGGAGAACTCACATCATCAATAGCAGCATCAAAGCTCACCACATCATCCGGCAACTTCTTCAGCTCGCCCAAAAAGCTCGGGGAAACGACAATAACGTTGCCCGCGTTGGGAGTGACGATGCGGAAGAGGCCATGTTTGAACTGTATGTTTTCGCCAATGTTAGCATCCTTTTCTCTCCTTTCCCCCCAGCACTCTTTCCTTTTCCCAGCTTCCTTTTTGTTGCCCGATTCATCCCATCTATTGCCAATACATCCGATTTGATGGTGAGACATACCTTGGTATACCCCTCAACATAAAGATCCTTCGCCTTGGTCAGATACGCCTGTCGCTTCTTCTCATACCCATGGTACTCTTCTCCAACGATCGGGAGGTTAGACAGCGGATTCGGCGCAAAGAAGCGCTGGAAGAGGGCAAAGGCGATGATGGCTGCGATGGAGGGCAGCACAAGTGGGAGGAGTGCTGACGCCGAGTGCGCCAGTTGGGTGAGGGCCATGATGGCTGTTGTTGAGCCTGATCGCTCTCTCGGTCTCACTTCAAGTACCAAGGTAGGGTGAGGTAACAGTGGTGAGAGGACTGGAGGGAGCGAAGGTGAAGAGAATAACTGCCAGTCGTCACTACAGACCAAGTGAGAGACCCCGTGATATATATACCATACCGAGTCCTAGATTGGATCGGATACATGCCCTGTGCAATATATCAATCGGAAGCGACTCCAGCCGAACGAACCAACTCCTGTGTTCCCCCTAGGTGCCTCATTTGAGGTTCCATCTCCAAGCTCCCTGGGGCCTGGGCCGGCTCGGTTCAGCCTGACTAGAGGTGGGGGACCCGGGATTGGCAATGACGATCACCCCGTCGGCTAGTGGGAATGCTCGGTTCTCTTTACCACTGGTCCGAATTGATGGTTACAAAATACCCTGGGATTAACGGATGGATACATTTCATCCGCGTATCTTGATTCTTGAGTCATTGAACGACTGGTGGAAGTTTGAGTGGGCATCGAACATTGTGAAACATCACCGCGTCTTGGCCTCGCCGCCTGGGAACATGGTGTATCCATCCGAAGACTCGGATTCCATAGAGGAAGACAGCAGTCGGTGATAGGCTTCCTCCTTCCATCATGGCCTTGAATATTGACGTTATATTTTTTTTCTTTCTTGATCTGATTATTCGGACTCCAAAGCGGTAGGCAGTTTGCAGTATGGCTTTCTCTTTCCATTGTTCCGTTGTAGGTGGGTGCTGCATATGCCCATCGACGATGATATTAACTCTACCTAGAAGGTAGTATGCACCGCTTTTCTCTCAACTCTGGGTTCTGATCTTGGCAGCTTTGCTGCCTGTGGTTTGTTTTGTTCTAGCCAGCTCACTTCGAACCGCTCGACGTTGTGCTACGGATCTAGATTGCAACTGTAACTGTGAAATTGATGCTAACCGTTTGTAGGATGGCAAGTCGTGAAACGCTCGCATTCGGTCTTGAAATTGATTCGCTCTTCGGTGTCTTGGCTGCTTCTTGTGACTACGGTAGGAATGTTTTTGGCTCAGTATGATTCATTTTGACTTGCCATGACACTTTCTTTCTTCCCAGCTCAAGTCGTCCAAGGTGAACAGGTGGACAGGCGAACAACGCGCAGGTACGACCTTCCACCACAGCGGCGGAACACCACATACAGCAAATGTCATCATCCATCACTAAAATTTGATGCCGGTGAGAAAACGCCGATGAACACCAGCGAATGTCACATGCCGTTTGGGAGTAAGATCTCTTTTGGATTGAGTGGGCGATGTGGTCCGTGATCCGTCTAGGAGCGTGGGTTCAAATCCACGTGTAGAGACGGGCATGATGTAGGCAGAATGTAGGCAAGAGGTAGGTACATGTAGGTAGGGAGGGCCGGGAATCTGGTTCGTTCGGGTACTGTCCGGGCCCGTCCAGTGCTCCGCCGCCCGGAACCTCCAGGCATTGACAACGGACGAACTCGGACGGAAACTGTGCTAACGGCAGGTGCCTTGGCAAACGGGCATCGATATGTCCGGATCCGAGGAAGGAACGTATGAGAGGGAGGAAAGAAACAGATTGGAAGAATGTGGAAGGTGAATTGGGGAAAATTGACGGGTGGTTGCGTTCCACGAGGCGGGGAGGTGGGGGCACAGTGCATGATGTTTAAATGCATGACCGTTGGTACCACTGCACCAGTAAAACTTGTTAGTACCTGCAGCATCGAAATCATGAACCCTTTGTGTGGAAGTGGGTGGCCCATCCTCGACACACCTGGCTAAACAGTTTTCCTTGTATTCACACATTTGGTCTCCCTTTTCGGATCTCAAGATATAATGTTCTCCCCGGGCAGTTTTGGGGCAGTCAATGGTTTCCAGGTTGTTACAGAGCAATAGGGTCATTGTTACCACGTATGTTACCGTACTTTACAAGGCCTCCATTGACGACAAAAAGAAAGAGTGCCCCTCGCCAACTGGAAGGAGGCTTGTAGGCTCCATGTGGATATCAGCACACAGATAACTGACATGCACTTGGCTCGGGCTGAATAGACGGGGAGGCATCACGGACGAGAAAGGGAGACTGATGAGAATGCACTCCATGTCGCGACAGGAACATCAGGCTCAGAGGCTGAGCAAGCAGGAACATGAGGACAGAAGGTGCCTCTGCCTACCTACGATCGGACTCATTACATCTCAAGCTATTATATATTTACCTATCTGACCCTTGCGATCATCTTCCAATTTTCCAGGTCGGACTCGTTCTTCATGTTCTTGGCCAGCTTGAGGCCACATTGAAGCAATCTTGTCGATTCCCGTCCGTCACTACAATCACTACAATCATTGACTTTGGTCTTTTGGTTTGAGCATCTTTCGAGCATCTTTTGAACTGGGCACACCCCAAGTTCTCATATCCTTCGCTACAGGTAACTATAACAACAACTTCCCGGGCAGGTTCTGACGGAGAGATTAGTTACTCAAGAGGGTACTGAAACATACCTCTACTTATATACAGACACAGTGTGAGATAGCAGCCCCAACCCCTCGCATTCGGATCCTCTTTTCAGTGGTTCAAACACCGCGACACGAACGACGCACGTCCCACGTTCCCACCTCCACGCAGTTCAGTTCGTCGCTCACCTCCTTTCTCCATCTCGCTTTCGCTTTCGCTTTCTTTCAGGTTTTTCGACACATGCTCACCTACGGCCACCACTCTTAGCAGGACATCCCGGACACCCAGACACCACCCTGACACCACTCGGACATCAAGCCAGACCGCAATAGGTTACGACAGAACGGCGTAACGACAATACGTTCCTTACCGACGAGAGGAATCGATCCGAGAGGTTCGCACGGGCAGAACGATACCGATCTGCTGGACGACAGATACGAGACGATTACAGACCGTCGTCATACCCTGTCCGAATACGAATTACACCGTGTTTCACCTACCGCTTTGGGACAGTTCGATAGGTAGAGGTACCAATGCCAGGGCGTCTGGGAGCTCGTCACCGTGGGCCGCGTCTGGGATACACCAAGTCTCGTACCGGCTGCTTGAGATGTAAACAACGCCGAGTCAAAGTATACATTATTACCCCAGTTGTCCTTTTCTTTCACGTGTGCATGATACTGACATTCCCCTCACCTAGTGTGACGAGAATAAACCTTGTAAGGCGTGCCAACGTCACGGCGTCCTATGTAGTTTGGTAATGGCGGGAGAAACGGGAGCTAGCGGCTCTACAGCCGGGCCAAACTCAACCGGCTCTACGTCCTGGCGGGCCGGCTCCGGCTCCGGCTCCGGCTCCGGGCCCGGCACTATTCCAACAACCGGCAGCGGCGGCACCTCTAGTCTTATTGCCCCATTCAACACCGGCCCCACTTCTGGCCCCGGATTCCGCCCTATATCCGGCCCTATATCCGGCCCCCTTAATCCTTTCCGCCCAATAACCGGCAGCGCTAGCAATCCTATCGGCCCATCCGGCACCGGTCCCGCCTCTGGCTCCGGGCCTGGCTCCGGTCAAAATTTCCTCCCAATATCCGGCACCGCTCCCGCCTATGGATCTGGGTCTGGCCCCGGGTCCGGCTGCGGTCGAACTATCCTCCCCATACCCGGCACCGCTCCCGCCTCTGGCCCCGGCTCCTTTCTTCCACAAACCGGCAGCGCTGGCAACCCTTTCACCCCAGCCTCCAGCGCTTACTCAAAGTCCCCAGCAGGATTCCATCAGGCTTTCGGATCCGGGATACATATGAGCAATCAAGACAGCCGCCACTCTTCCGCTTCAGCATCTCATGACGAGACAAACTTCAACGCCCTCCCTACAGCCAACCGTCACACCCCCATGGCTATCCAATCGCTCACCAACCCTCCATACCCAACTCCTCCATCGGTCGAGGTCACTGGCCCCTCCCCAGCCGGTTTATACTCACCCACAAGCCCTGCATGGCAATTGCCCCTTCCAAATAACTTCCCAGGAACCAGTTCCCACCTCTCAGCCGGCGCTTCTCAATCCCCAACCCCTCAATCTCGCTCCCGCCATCCCTACCCCTTGCGGCCGAGTCCCATGTCAACTGAACCATCCAAGAGAAATACTCCCGACGATCCCTTCCCCTACCTTACCCAAGCTCTCACAAATCCCAAATTCAGGTTTCTCGACTCCCCCTCCGACTCGGATCTCGCCTCCCAGGTCTTTGCGGCTCCGGACTTCGAACTCTTTGACCACTACGTCGACATCACTTACGGAACTTTAACACGAGGAGTACACGAACACATCTGGAAGATCGAAGTGCCCAAGCTAGCCTTTTCACACCCATTTTTGATGCACAACCTCCTGTCCACTGCTGCTTTCTACCTAGCGTATACGGAACAGGATGAAGAAAAAAGGAAGAAGTGGGCTACCGACGGCAGTAAACATTTCAACTTGGCGGTAACAGGAATGAGGGAAGTCCTGCGCAAGGAGGGCGTCACGCCGGAAAACTGCCATGCCGTTTTCGCTTCCAGTTCGCTGTTGTTCATTGGAGATTTAGCGGACAAGGGGCCGTTTTTCAATCCGGCCGACGACATCGCACAAGGAGTAACAAAATGCCCTCTGATCGACGAGTTGCTAGGTGTTTTTCGCGTGGTCAAAGGTATCGGTGGTATCGTTGGTGCCCAGGAAGCCCTCCTCCGCGAGGGCCCTGTGGGCGGGCTGTTCAATGCTGAACCCAGTGGGGAAGATCACCCTAACATGGAAAGACTGCTGATGCAGCTCAAGGGACTGTACCAGCGTGTTGCGAGTATTACATCCAGGCGTCCTGGAGTCTTTCTTCCCCCTACAAAACTTGAGGATACCCCACGGCCGAGCAACCTCCCAAAGGAAAACCAAACTATCCTAAGCGAGATCACAGCCATGGAGGATTCTATTCAATTTGCATTGACCAAGTCCAAAACACCTGAGCAATCAATCATTGCGGTTTGGCCGATCAACATGACTGATGACTTTATGAGGTTGTTGCAAAAGTCGAATGTGCCTCCACAACAACATGCACCACAGCCATCCACTTCCGCCTCCAGCTCTTCCACATTGCCACCGCCAGGGGGACGGAACCCGATCGCGTTGGCTTTGCTAGGATATTATTGCTGCGTCATGAAGGAGACGGAGCGTGAGTGCTGGTTCACCAAGGGTTGGGCGGAGGCAGTGATCAAGGAGGTAATAGCCGAGTTGGAGGAGATGGCAGGGGTGACTACCAATACCTCTGGGAACGGGAGCGGGAGCACAGCGTCGGAGGTTCAGGGAGGGCATCACGACCAGGGCCAGACGATGGTTAACAGACCAGTATGGAGGGAGTGGGCGAGGAGAGAGTGGTTGGAGGATGCGAAGTGGGCCAGGAAGTGGATTATGACAAAGCAAGAGGAAATGCCCAAGCCAACAACATTCTCGGAGGACCCTATGGCGGACATGGATGCCACTTTGATGTCAACTCAAGGTCAGCGACCGGGCGCGGATGCCCCCAAGGTCACAAAGGGGAGCGTGGGGAGTAGCCAAGCAGGCAGGAATCAATGGAGTCGCCAATGGGCCACTATGATGGATACTCAGGGTCAGCAACCGGGCGCGGATGCCACTATGATGGATACTCAGGGTCAGCAACTGGGCGCGGATGCCCCTATGATGGAAAGTCAAGGTCAGCAACAGGATGCCCCTGTGATAGAAACTCAAGGTCAACAACCGGGCGTGCCCGAACCCGCGCCAACAACATCCTCGGATCATTCGGATGTCCCTATGACGGGAACCCAAGGTCAGCAACCGGGCGCCGACGCCCCTGTGACGGATACTCAGGGTCAGCAACCGGGCGCCGACGCCCCTGTGACGGATACTCAGGGTCAGCAACCGGGCGCGGATGCCACTATGATGGATACTCAGGGTCAGCAACCGGGCGCGGATGCCCCTATGATGGAAAGTCAAGGTCAGCAACAGGATGCCCCTGTGATAGAAACTCAAGGTCAACAACCGGGCGTGCCCAAACCCGCGCCAACAACAACCTCGGATGTCCCTATGACGGGAACTCAAGGTCAACAACCGGGCGTGCCCGAACCCGCGCCAACAACATCCTCGCATTCCTCGGATGTCCCTATGACAGGAACCCAAGGTCAGCAACCGGGCGTACCCGAAGCGCAGGCAGCCACGGGGGCGTCGTAGGAGAACGTCGGTACTGCTACCCCTGCGGAAGAGGCAAGAAACTATTTGGACAGATGGTTTGATATGGATGCCTATATTATGGCAACTCAAGGTCAACCACCGGGCGTGTCCGAAGCGCAGGCATTCACGGGGGTGTCGAAGGAGAACGTCAGTAATACCGCTGCTTCTTCCCCTGTGGAAGAAGAGGCAAGAACCGCTTTGGACAGAATGTCTTTGTCGCCCCCTGATCATCCTCCAGCCCAGCATCCCCCTACTGTCAATGAGCCTGAGCGTGCGGCCCGTAAAATGGACGTTGGCGAGGATTATGACGATACCTACTAGCGGAGAGGAGGATAAGAAGGGCGGTATCATTCCCGGTCCTTCGTCCGGATCCGGCCCTGCAGTAAACGAGTTTAAGAACGGAGCCTCGACGAGCGGCAGCTTCAACGGCATTATAGGACAAAAGTCAGAAAGTAACTGATTACGTTATCGATACTGTCAATGTCATGATGGTATTCTTTATGGGTGGGAATTTACGTCGACTTGTTTGTTTCATCTGGTCCGAGACAGTAGCCTACCATATCACCCACATGATGATGGAGACTGGGACACGAAAAGCTAAACACCTCATGGGGCGAATTGCCCGATCCCCTTTGGACTGAATGTTTTTGGATACCTCTTCCGATGAGGATATGATAGATGAAGGCACGGTGATGGAGGAGGATGAGGATGACATCGATAACCTCTATAATGTGTGGCTACACGATTGATGGGGGATAAAGGTGTACATCTCTGAAAGGGAGAACGTACCAGAGCGTGTAGGAAGGGGAAACGGCAACATGAAAGCAAAAAGAAGCGTTTGTTTCGATTACATTGGCATTGTTAGAGCACAGCGTTAAGAGCATCAGGACAAGGGAAGACAAAATACACGGGTTTACCTACTTAATCAATAGTCCATAATTATCTTATAGCAGCAATACAAGAAAGTAGATCATCAAAGGTAATCATTTCCCTTTGATTTTGCCTCCATTTCACATCTAGACTTCTAACGGCATCTCATCGCCGAAGATCTGATGATAAAACCGCCACCGTTTCGTCCGGCGGTCCCTTCTGGAGAGGGGGCCTAGCTTCTCTCGAAGGAATACCTAGACTACCTCTTATCCCAGAAGATCTGATACCGTTCTACATGTCACTCACCATGATTGGCGATAAGGATGGCGCAGAGTGCGGGGAGATCATGGGCGTTCCCAAAAAGGAAACAAAGTCCCGACGTCGGCGTGATAAGCTGATAAGGCCTCGATCGTCTTACAAGAACAACACCCCAACCAAGGAAGGACGGGACTCGACTTCGAATGCAAGTGATGCAATTCTGTTTCCGTGTTGGTCGTACAAGTTCGCTGATAAGATAGGGATTGGTCGTGCAAAGAGGGAACTTGCATCATGTGCATGCTGTGATATAAGACTTGTGCCCCCCATCTCCCGTTATAAGCACTTACTTGGTGTAAGCTGTGATATCAGAGGTTTTGATCACATCAACAAACACCGAACATGGACTCGATAATCACCAACCACACAACCGCCCCTTCAGGGTCCGGAACCGACACATCCAAACTCAACCAACTCCTCGACACTCTGCACTCGTACCGTCCAACCCCGCAACAAAACCTCTACCTCATCGCCTTCCTTTTCCCCTCCATCTTGCTCTACCTCATCAACAACCGCTACCAGAAACAAAAACAACGACAAAAACACCTTTCCCTTTCTTCCAAGCCCACCACCACCTCCACAGAAAAACAACAAGTCCTCAAAGACCGCCGCGAACCGGGTAAATGGCCTCCCTCCTCTTACGTCTTCCCCACCCCGCCTCCCTACCCCGACTGGTCCCTCACAGAAACCAAAGCGCTCCCCTACCGCCCCTTCCGCTACGGCCCCGTCTACCACACCACCATGGGCCTGCGCACCGTGCAGCCGGAAAACTGGATCGAGCTGGATAACCAGTACCCCAAGTACCACTCGGATAAAGCAGCCAGGATTGCGGAGAGGGGGGATAAAGTTATCATGGTTGCGCCTGAGGCTGCGGAGGCGGCTGTGGAACTTCTGCAAGAGTTGGTCGAGTATTTACCGGAGCGGTATCCGAGTTTGTTTCGCCGGACGGAAAAGGGGGGGATCGATAACCTCTGGTCTGGGGAATCGTTTGATGATATTTCTGGGTTAACTGGCACAGGCGAGAAGGCGGTAGAAGAGGGTCGCAAAGTGATGGAGATCGCCGCCCGTTTAATCCAAGATGATCTTGCCTTGATGGTGGAACGGCCAGACGACCAGTACTACCTCCTCGCCGGCGCGGTGTTATTGCCAGGTTTCTGGCGCCTGACGGACAAATTCGGCATGTCGCTGGCGGAACTGCACACTTCGGGGGACGTGCCGCAGTACAAGGAGAAGCTGCACAAGGGCATGTATAACCTCTTTCGGAGGCTGCGGCCGGAGCAGATGGTGGGGAGGAACAATTACTTTATTCAGGTGGACGACTCGCTGGCTTGGTCGTGGAGTATTGGGTCGGAGGATGATACGGAGACGAGCTGGTCGACGGCGGAGAAGAATAGGGCTATTGACCACCATTATTTTAGGAGTGAGAGGCAGACGTTGAGGAGACTGCCGAAGACGGGGGCGGTGTGCTTTACGATTAGGACGTACTTTGAGCCGATCAAGGCGATTGCTGAGGAGGATTATGTACCGGGAAGGCTGGCGAGTGCGGTGAGGAGTTGGGGGGATGATGTGGCCAAGTATAAGGGGAAGGAGAGGTACGGAGAGGTGTTGTTGGAGTTTTTGGATAAGAAGCATCAGGAGCAGGTGGAACGGGGGCTAGATCTGAGTAGAGAGGATGAGTGCAGGGCGTATCCGTTCTAGAAAGTGGTTGATGTTCGGGTTGGTATCTTGATAGTGTGTGAATTTACTTCTTTATGTCCGTAATCGGTGCGAACATTGGCTGTGATCGTCTCGAGCGAAGCGAGGTCCCTCCCCGGATGGGGCCGCCGGGGGCAAAACTGCGACTTCTAGATGCCGAATACAGTGAGTAAACCTTTCATTCATACCTTATTTATTGCTCCCAGGCACCCAATCCATTGTTTGTATGTTTCTTCAATTCATCACATCATTATCATTATTCATACAAGTGCAGTGCACAGATCCTGCTTGTTATTCTCCCATTCTTCCACCTCATCAGCGGTTTAAGCCTTCATATCCTCCTTGGGGAACTTCTTGAACATATCCATCAACTTGTCCAACGGGGTGGCCAGCATACCAGCCGCGGTTTCATAGGGAGGCTTGTTAGGAGCGCTGGGGTGGCTCTGTGTAGGCACAAAGTGCTTGGTGGTGCTGAAGCTGGAGGCCAGCTTGCCCGAGTAGGCCTCGTCAATATGCTGCTCGAGAGCGGGCAAATCCTCGCGTTCTTCCTCCTTGATGTGCTGGGAGAGATTATCCCAGAGCTTGTCGAGGGTGGGGCGGAAGTCGGGAGATGAGGGAGTCATCTTCTGGAACTCGTAAAGGAGGTTCTTGACCTGTTTTTGGGAAGAAATTAGCCGGTGCCGGTAACATATGAGGAAGAACGGGGTGGAGGCGTACCCTCTGATGCTCGGCACGGTCCTTTTCGGCCATCTGCAAGCCGTTGGGAACAAACTTCTCGAAGGCAGGGTAGACGACAATCTCCTCGGCGATGGAGTGGCGGGCAAGCTCCCAGATGAACTGGTTCTGCCATCGAACTTTGGTGTCGTCATCCTTGGCAGCGATGATGTTCTTGTACTGCTGCTCGAGCTCAGCGTGGTCGTGCTTGATGCGGTCTGAGACCCTGACGCCGGAGGAGCCGGAGGAGCTGGAGATGGCGCGGACGTCGATGGGCTGGACGAAGCGTGGGGTTGCCAGGGCAGGGCGGACAGCGCTGTTGGCGATGCTTCTGGGGACCTGTCTAAAGCCGGTGTGGGTAGCGAGGCGATACATGTTGGTGGGTTTCGTGATGGTGACGAGCTTCTTGGTGGTGGTGTTGTCGTTGGGATGGTTCAACTGTGGGACTCGAGGGAAGGTGGTTGTTTATATTCCCTCGGTATCAAGTGTCAACTGCTGTCACTGCATGGCCAGACCGACTGCAAAGGACTGCATAATGAGTTCATGACAGCTCCATGATGCACTTTCGGCGCAAGTTGTCTCGATAGTACACGAACTGAGAAGCTACAATCGTCATTCATATGTAAATGGCTTACAATGATTGGGCCGGAGCTTTTCGTACGACCAACACTCCTCACGTGTTTGGGAAGGAGCACCATGTCTTTGTCAAATGTCCAGGGACGGTGACGGGCCATTGGGAAGGAACTCAGGAAGGTAAGTATTCAACGCGGCGAGTTATGGACTGTGTTTTTCGTTGGTGTTGCTACCTCTAAGTGGTGATGCTTTCTCCAATTATCAGTTACGTCATTGTCTTTCCCATGTCTTGGCATTTGGGCTGCTCCCCTGATTGACCTCATTGGCGTTTCTGGGGAAAGCGAAGATCCGGGGAAATGGCGACCATTCAGCAAACAATGCCAATGATTCTTACTCTGTACACTTCGTTTCAGAGGGTTAACGTTAATGCCACGGCAGTTGGGTATTTGTGGTGTGCTGACCCGGTGTCATGGCCCTTCCAGCATCCAGACAGGAGGACCTTGATGGTCAAGGATGGTCTGTGCGTTCTCCAACACCAACTTTCTTGAACGAACTCATGGGCGCGGACAATGCTCGCCAGCTTCATGAACGATGAAAACCCCGTCTTTCTCTGGAGGGCAATGAGTTTCTTGGTACCTGAAGACTGAATTCAAAACTGGTTGAAAAGCAGCATCTCAGAAGGGGCCGAATCCAACATCACCACATTATACTCGAGCCTATGCAGTTAGCATCGTCGAGCACAGACCGTCCCAGCCTTTTCAGATCCTTGCCTGCTCCGCTGTATTTTCTCCAAATTCCGTCACCACAGCAATCTTTCCAATCGTCAATACAACGTCAGATCTTCTCCCACCTTTTCCCCCTCCATGGATACTAAATGACGACGGGGACTGCATCAGCATAGGTAGCACCGCAATGGACCAAATCTACCAACTTCATTCCTTCATTTGCTTCGTCTACCCTCGACCGCATCACCGGTGACACCATGCTGTTCCTCCATTGCCTAGGAGCTAGTTGAGCTTTGAAGCTAGCAGACGCCAGCAGCAGCCACTTTTCAGCTCTCAACAATTGCATCTCCAAGCTCCACGATTCTCTTCAGCTTTGCCCTTTCTGGATAGCTTTGGGCCTGCACCATCTTCGACCGCCTCCAGAGCCCCAATCATTCCGATCGCCAGATGCACACTAACAAGTTTCCCATTGGTCGCCATGTCGTCGATCACCCGCCCTTTGGATGTTTTTCTGACCCTAACCAGCAATCGACTGGAGCTACGAGCTACGAGATGCATGTTTCAACACATCACTGCGCTACACGACGTCGAACCCTCCGAGTTATCATCATTCCGAGGAACACGATTGGCTTAGAGACAAGGACAAGGGGATACAATGTCTCAGAGTTTGCGCAATGGCGGGTCGAAAAGAGGGAAAAGAGGCAGGAAAAACCTGTGTCACTGGAATGATGGACGGGGTGGATTGACGTGGTCGGCAAGAGAAGACGTATAATGGCGGAGGCTGCACCTCTTCAGCTTCTGTCCCCGTTCTCTTCTCTTCAGCTTTTGCATTGCTGTAGTGCCGGAGACCCTCAGATACCCCGATCACCACAATGTCGACTCCAATTCCACGACCACCAGGAATCCCAGTGCTGGGAAACGTCTTTGACATCACACCTAGCAACACATGGTGGTCCCTCAAGGCATTGGCAGAGAAATATGGTAAGTCCCACCGTCCAGACGTCGATAGTTATACCAGCTAACACCTTCAGGCGAAATCTTCCAGGTCAAGATCCTCGGCAAGACCATCGTCTTCGTCGCCAGCGCCGCCCTCGCCGAAGAAATCTGCGATGAACAACGCTTCCAGAAATACGTAGGCGGTCCCATCGTCGAGATCCGCGCTTTGGTCCACGATGCCCTCTTCACAGCCTACGACCACGAACAAAGCTGGGGAATCCATCACCGAATCATCGCTCCCCTCCTCACCCCTCAAGCCGTCTCAGGCTACACCGACGACATCAACCTCTGCGCAACCGAGGTCATCCAAAAATGGGCATCCCTCGGTGACAACAACGTCCTCGAGCCTCTCGTCGACCTCAACCTCGTCAACCTCGAAGCCACATCCCTCACCCTCTTCAGCCAAAAACTCAATTGCATCCAAGCCGGCGGCCATCCCGTCATCCAAGGCATGGAAGATGCCGTCTCCGAAGCCATCATGCGCCCAACTCGCCCCGGTCTCGTCAACTGGCTCCTCTACTCCTCCAAGTTCAAGAAAGCCATCAAGACTCTACGAACCTGGGGCGCGGACACTCTCAAATACCGTCAAGAAAACCCCACAGACAAGCACGACATGCTTTGGGCCTTCATGAACGCCAAAGACCCCGAAACCGGAAAGGGTCTCTCCGAGTCCGAAGTCATCGACGAAATCGTCACCATGCCCATCGGCTCCGCCACCGCGCCCTGCGCCGTAACCGCCACCATCTACTACCTGCTCCAAAACCCAGAAGTCGTCACCAAAGCCCGCGAAGAACTCGACCGCGTCATTGGCACCGGCCCTCTCAAGGACGAGCACCTCTCCCAACTCCCCTACATCGAAGGCATCACCCGCGAAACCCTCCGTCTCTCGTGCGCCGCACCAGGCTTCAACATCGAGCCCATCCCCCGCCAAAACAAAGCCGACAAGTCCCCCATCCTCCTCCAAGGAGGCAAGTACCAAGTCGCCCACGACCAAAAGCTCATCATCGTCCTAGCGGGCGTCAACCGCGACCCAGCCGTGTTTGAGGATCCCCTGGCGTTCAAGCCCGAGAGGATGATGGGCGACGAGTTTGACCGGTTGCCCAAGGGTGTGAAGAAGTGGTTCGGTAATGGCAAGAGGGAGTGTATCGGCAAGGAGTGGGCCAAGAATTTCTTGAAGATTGTAACGGCGAGACTGATACATGAGGTCGACTTTGAGGTGGCGGATGAGGGGTATGAGTATAGGCAGGATGGCTGGTTCCAGATCAGGCCGGTTGGGTTTAAGGTGAGGGTTAAGCCGAGGGTGATGGCCTAGGGTGATGATGGCCTGAAAGCCTGGGAGGTATATGAGAAGGGGTCATGGAAGTGGAAGTGGAAGTGGAAGTGGAACGTGTAACGGGTTTGCTTGTTAGTTGAATTTGGAATACCATTTGGCGTTTGTTTTGGAGATGTTTACGTGCTTGCTCCTTTCAGTTCCTTCTGGTGCTGTGGTTCGATATCATCCGAACCAACAAGATCATGACGCTCGTTCCCATTATGAAATTTAACACTTTTGCTGGGCGGACATTAGGTGCCTACCTACCTCTAAACTCCTACCTATCCAATGACGTGCCTTCAGATTGATGACCAAGGCAGGCAATTCCTGCAAACAAACTGTTCTTATCTCTCGTCGCAAGTCTCCAACAAGTAAGGTATCCTACATCAGAATTTGGGTGGCCTTTGTTACCTTGGCTGCCAGTATTTCGGGTACACTTCGTTGGCTTCGACATCACCTCCTTCTCACTCTGACTGAGGTGAACTTCCCAAGTTAAGGTACTTCTATAACTCCATGCTATACCTCCCACCAGGCAAGTGACCCATCCATCTGCCTTCAACGGTTAGATACTTGCAATTAATTATACACGTCTCGTTGCACAACACGGTGTCGGGTACTTGGCCAACTCCTTCCTATACTACTTTTGCAGGCCGTGTAAGGTGATTTTCTCAAAGAGGGGTTAGGCTGGCTGGCTGGTGGGATGTAAGTAAGGCAGGTGGTGTAAGGTAGACCACATGTAGTGCACGGTGAGTTGTTATCTTCTGTGCTTTCTACCTAATGATTCGACTCCTTTTCACTCTCACTTCACCAGTCAGTCGGTTATTATACTACTCGGGGCATATATCAGAGAGTCAGTGGGATATATATCAATTAAGCCTCTGTTAGCCGCACACGCGGCCGGCTGCTTGAAGCAAGGAAAAGGGAAATACCAATTTGAAAATGAAAAGGAAGGAAAAGATAAAAGAAAAAAATGAGTCAATAGCGACTCACCCCCGCCCGGTTCGAACGCCTTACAGCCGTGAAGCTCAAGGAAGGAAAAGGAAGGAAGGATTGGGAAAGGGGCAACACTACTACCGCTGTGCCATCCGTCCCAGGGGATAGGATTAGGTGCCGGCGAAGTATTATACCTTATCTACCCTCTACCCCTTGTATTGTACTGCTGTATGGGGAGTGATTAGCTGTGCTTTAGTCATAGGTTTCGAACACGGCACGGGACCGAGGTGGAAGGAACGAAAGTTGGGATGGAAGGTTGAGGGGTTGGTGCTCGGTGAAGGCACAACTTGAATCGAACCGGTCAAAGAGAGTGGAATGCTTGCCGTGAGGTCAAGGAGTACATGATTTTTAAAAGACCTCATTGCTGTCGTTCACTTGCTCACAGCTGTATATTTGGGTACATATAGAGGTAGGTAGAGATGCAACTACCTGAGCTTTAGGCGGACCGTTTGGTGAGATGGAAGAAGTTTTGCATCCATACGAGTGGAATTAGTGCCAAGGTAGGTAAGGTACCAAAGGGTCATGCCTACAAGGAACTTGAGGGACGGGACGTATCTCATACATTGTCTTGACCAAAGTCGGGAACGACAAATACCACTTCCACCTCTCACTCCAAGCAAATCCGGACAAGAGCAGCCAGTACACCTGCTAACTCCCGCCGGAAGACAAAACCCCCACGCTATACCCGTGTTCTGCCTGACCTGTGACCTGGTCTTCATCCGAAGAGAGCTTTCGCGAGGCTCCGAGAAGTATGTCTAGTAGTGTCTGGTGTTATATGCCACGCAGGTAGGCTGAGGCCACCAGCACCTAATGGCTTCCAATCGGTGCGGAGCAAAATGCCTAGAGGTACCGGGTGACAGATGCCATGTTCTTCCATGGTTGCCACAATCTGTTCACTTGCGCGTCCATCATGCGATGGGTTAGATAGCGCCGTCGACACTAGTAGCCTGACTGATTGACACCATCTTCACATGTCTTATGCCTTGGTCGGCATCAATGTTGGACGCCTAATGTCTCAGTTACGAGGAGTCTTCTTCCACTGTTTCTCTCCAATCTTGGACTTGCGGATGGCGATAACGAGTGAACATCGGGTCTAGAGCTGGATAGCCGATTCTTCCATTCCTGAGTGACTCTTTGGTGTCCTGCCTGCCATCAACCCTCAATTGTGAGTACTTCCATGAGTGATGTAGGTGAGGCAGCGGTACTCAAAATCCATAAAAACCACAACCAGGTAGCTCTTTCCGGCCACAACAAGCTCACCTCAGCTATTACACCCACCGAAACATTCCATGGAGAAGCAATTTTCGCAAATCAACGAATTCAGCCCACTGGGGCCCGAATATTCCGTTCGGCACTGTGACACATCTCTCTGTATTGGTGTGTAGGTATGAGTGGGGCATCATATGAGACATACCTCCCCTAGAGGTAGAGAAACGTAGTGAACACCAACGCCATGATGATCCGAGACTCAGACTCACAGCACCATGTCGAGCCCTGGCAGTCTGTCTTGTCTTGTCTTGTCTTGTCTTGTCTCAGTACACGTGCTTGACATGTTTATTGGCTGAATGAGATAGAAGCAGAGGCGGAAACAAGTTCCCGTGTCAAGTGAGACTATCCTCGGCGCTTGAGCTTATGACAGTTGTTTGGGACCCTCTACTCTACACCGGGGCGAGGCTGAGTGAGTGTCAGTATGAGGAGGGTGGTATGTGGCGATGGAAGTTGTGGGACTGGACGACGTGAGTCTTTCGGACAGGTAAGCAATGCGAAGTCTTGCGAATGTGATAATCGAATTCGATGCCGTTGAGGGCGGCAGACGGAGATAAGCGAGAATGGCAATCGTATCATGATGACGATCAGTTGATCATGGGGCTCATATTGTGGCTCAAGGGTGGCTCATGGCCATGGGGTAGTTGAGTGCCGGCCTGCCTTGATGTTGATCGTTGTGGTTGGTCTCGAGACGAGGAATCTGGGAGTTGGGATAGGTAGGACCGGGGAAATGGTGTGCTTGAGAACGGTTAGGGAAACTTGATTTCGGACAAGCAGTTCTTCCGAGTGATAGGTCAAGGATGAATGCCATGGCTGAGGTTGGTAGAGTGGTGGTCTCGGGCCCAGCCGCAGCGAATGAGTGGTGTTAAAGATGGTGTTGGAATGTGAACATGAGTTGCAGCGAGTTCGGACCAAGGCGATAACCGCGACCACGAGGATGTTGATCTGTTTTGATAATACGAGAAGGAGTGAATAGGTAGTGTCTCATGAGGAGGGGTTCATGCTGTCCAATACGAAAGAAGTATGGCCAGTAACTCTAGTCCCATCTCGTCTTTCAATGTCTTCAAACTGAGCAACGAAGTGAACTTGAAAGGCTTGTTTCAGCTCATATGGACTTCCAAATGGCATTCTCGTTCCCTAGTATTGTGAAGCTATTCCTGCACTCGCAGCCAGAGCAGTCCATAACAAGCCACTAGCTCATCGGGAGGGTGTCGTGAATCGGGCAGTGATTGGAGAAGTGGTCAATGGCAGGTGTCACATCTTGGGAGTACACTACAGAACGCAGACCGGTCATGATAGCTTGAAGGGAGCAACACGGGCGATGACCAATGAAGAAGAAACCGTTGTGACGATGAACCTTCCTTGTGGTCTTCTGCTGCGAGATCATCTCTCTTCATGCATGATACATGAAGTGATCCCGCTCTCGCATTTGCGAACCCTCGCGAACCCTCGTGGTGGTCCTGTGAGTTCCATCCAGCCAGCCAATGTTGACCTTTTGATCCTCACAGGCAATGATGGACAATGTCGGTTGACAAACGGGGATTCGTTGAATCAATGATAACCCTGTTGACCCTGGATGCAGCCCGGATTATCAACCGCTAGTGTGGCGTTGCGGTGATAGGATCAGACGGATCAGCCCAGGTAGTGGAGGGTTGATGGAGGTTAGCGTGAACCATTGCTCCTTGGCTTGTGAACCCGCTGATTATCTCCGGCTGGTTGTCGATAATCGTCAGGAAGATTTACTCCGTCTTTCCTGAATCTCGAGCGTGTCGCGGTGTTTGTGATGGCTTGATGCTGTGAGCCATGAGCCTTGGGGTGAGACATGCGTCGCCAGGCAGTCAAGGCGTCAAGCTGTCAGCATGTCGAGTCTGGATCGGAAGGGATTGATTTCGATAAGAATTTCCGTCAAAGTTGGAATTTTGAAATTCCGAAAAAGGAAAGGCAGCTGATAAAGTGCGTGCATAACGCCCAGGCTCGCCCATGGAAGGAGCCAGGGAGTGTGAATGTTCTCGTGACGAGGCACGCCGCTCATGTGGCGCCCATCCGATTGCAACTTCCCGGTTTGTTATCCTTCTCAGTCTCCAAGTGCTTCCCCACTGGCCTCACCGAGACACACACCTTCCGTGTTTATCTTGACCTTGGCCTTGGCCTGGATTCGGGACCAGGCAACCGGGGAGGAGTGCCTCTGCCACTCGGCTTGAGGAACGGGATAAAGTGAGCATGATGTTCATAGAAGACGGCTTGGAGAATGTGAGACAGAAGCAGAAATGGACCCCCACGGTCAGACGGCTTGGAGCTTCAAGCTGTGCAATCAACCTGTCCGGCTGCCTTGTGTGCCGACGTTCGATAAAGAGCAGAGCCAGGTGAGCCCAGGGCCAGTGTTACCACACCGAGACAAGAGGCCGGGTTGACAGCTTGAGCACAGGGCATTGACCTTGGCCGGTTATCCGTCATGCCAGTGGCGGCGGTGAGGGTGGGCATAATGCATTAGTTCCCCTCACCCCGCACGGAGAGGGAGCGAACTCCAGTTCAGCTCTGCGGTCTGGACTTGTACACGGTTCATCATTCCCTGGTATTCTTGTGAGCTCATATACTCTTGTTATCGAACTCGAAAGGCAATAACCTGTTGAGCTGATCTTTACGGTCAGAGCATTCAGATGGTTGTGGGAGTGGCATTCAATACTGCGGAGTTGAACATTGGCGTGGTCGAGATGGAGGCGTAAGATACCGTAAAGGTAGCCGAGATACCATACCCAATAAGTACGACACCCTTCTCCAACTGACCGAGCGGGAATGCCTCGCGATGGTTGCCACTGCAAACAGAGACATCAGCCTTGTTATAGAAATAGGGGGGATGGGAATGGAAAGTGGACGAGGCGCGAACCAGTCAACAACTAGGCAACAACCTCTTGTCTTTCTGTTGGTTCCATTTATTCAGCTCCATCCCCGTCTTCATTGTTCCCTTTGACTTACATAGTTTCTCGCCGGTCTGCTTGCATCGTCTTGAATCCCGGTTCTCCCGTCATGCGTTCTGGTTACACTACCAAGAGACGCTGAAAAGTGAGAGATCAACCCGAAATCACTCGGCTGACCCGACCAAGCCGACTCTAACCTGGAGTCGTTAATGATACCCTAATACATATCCATCGACGTTAGGGGATCGCTGTCCACGCGTTTTACCGACTGTCTGTCTGTCATCTCACCTCATCCATTCCGTCCAATCTACCGTAGATGTCGGATCGGATTGATTACAACAACATCAGTTGCTTATGACAAAGTCTGAATAACCTTGTTCTGTCCCTGCAGTGGGAGCCAAAGTCTTGGCAGGCACCGTGTACCTCATATCAGCAAATCGAGTTGGCATTTGACGACAGCTGTGAACCCCGCCGGTTGCCCCTCTTCCCTCACTGCAATTGGCCGATTCTAGACTCCGTCCACTGGCAAGTCTTGGCAGTGTAAGAGTTGGCCGAGTGCGCTAACGAATGGCCGTTGTCGGCCACCAAATCACTAACAACCGAAGCCAACGCCTGAACCGAGCAAGCGCACTGCACTAACAGCATCATTCCCTACTGGCTGGCGACCAGAATCGGGCCGCCGCCCCTCCACCGCCCAAATTCCATCCTTTTCCCCTCAGGCGATTCCGGTTCCCTTCGATGCGATCGGAGCCGAGCCGAGTTAACTTGTTAAAGGTACCTTACCTTGCCTCGACATCCGCATACATCTCGGTACATCTACAGCTCGAGTCCCCGACTGCCACCCGACTCCGACCTCAACCTGCCTCGTCTCCGCCTATTAGTGGCCGGCCTCAGCTGCCATCTCGATCCTTTTTCAACACCTCACCTGCCTGCCACCACTTCATCCTGACTCTTACTTCTTCTCTACCTTAAGAACCTTGGCTTGAACATTGGCCCAACCCAGGAACAGACAGTTCAGTTGCTTCCAACTCGTCACCGCCGCCACCGTCCAAGGCAACATCAACGGACCGCCGGCAGCGGGCATCAAGTGTACCTCTACGACCCGCCACCTAGCCCGGGCCCCTTCCTGGCTCCTGCCACCCGATCATCCTCCGACCATCCTCCGACCTCGTCCTCTTTGCAGCCGGACTCGAACCGACGGACCTGACAACGGCCTGACAACAGCTTGACAACATGTCCGCTACCAACGGTGCGGCCGCCGACTATCGTAGTCACAGTCACATGCGATCTGGCAGTCTCAACATCAACCCAAACCTGGCAGGGCCTGGTGCTGCCCCGACCATGATTGCGTCTCCCATGCCTGGCGGCCAACTGCCAGGAGCACACCGATTTGATCATTCGCGTAGTCCGCCCAGTGAGTTGTCCTGATGCACTTCTCCCCGCTGTTTCTTCGGCCTTGTCGTCGTAAAGGTTTCGAGAGAACAGCCTCGACAGCATTATGGATCCCAAAACGAGTAATCCAAAGTGTCGCCTGTGGGCTAACGGGGAGTTCTCTTTCGCAGACACATCGCATGTTCCGTGCAAGTTCTTCCGCCAGGGCGCTTGCCAGGCCGGCTCCGCGTGTCCCTTCAGCCACGACCTCAGTGCCGCGGCCGAAACGGTGTGCAAATACTTTGCCAAGGTATGACCGATAAGACCCAAATCCCTGGATCTTGACGACTGACATGTTCTGTGCCACCATGATTATAGGGTAACTGCAAATTCGGTCCCAAGTGTGCCAACATCCACGTGTTGCCCGACGGCCGCCGTGTCAACTATGGCAAAGGCGGTGTCACGATCGGTGCCCCGCCCGTCACCTTGGGTGCCCGCGTGAACCCCAACACTTACCACCAACCATCCAACAGCGCCCTTACCAACTCGTTCCTCCGTGCCGACGCCGTTCCCCCGTACTCCGCCTCCGCCTACGGTCATCCCGATGAACAATACCAAAACAGCGGAGGCAATGGAATCCCGACCATCGATACCACATATACCTCCAACCCCACTACCGCATATGGCTCCCCCCGGGATGAGGATCTTGCCGGCCGCTTCGGTCTCGGCGTTTCTCCCGTCCCCAAGGGCCTGTCAGTCCTAGACGCACCCCTCCCCGCCTCCTTCGACAGCAATGGCATCTCCCACGCCGCCCGCTACGGCCCCTGGCCCTCCTCGGTTCCCGAGAAGTTCGGTCTGGACTCTAGCTCCCTCGGCATGAGCGTGACCCAGGACGTCAACACCTCGCACACCCTCCGTGCGCTACGTAACTCGGCTTTTGGTGGAAATGACAACATCTCCCAGTCCCTCTTCAGCGGCGATGGATTCGCCAATAGCCCGCCCACTCACTCCTCGGCGGCCTTCTACGGTTCCAGCCTCGGCGGTGAGGAGTTCGGCGGTTTTGGCAGAAGGCCGATGCACAGCAGCTCGACCCGGTTTGCTAAGCCCAGGCTGATGAGCCAGAGCGTCCCCCATGACCGGGATTGGGACTCTGATTTGATCTTTGACAATGAGGAGGATTACGTACCCGGAGAGTTGGCTAATGAGCTGCTTACCCCTGCCGAACGCGCGAGGAGGGGATCCAGCACCGCTACCGTTCGTGGCTTCGATGCCCCATTGGACTCTACCGGACTCGACGCGACCAAGTTCGGTAGCCCGATTTCTCAGAGCCCGAGCAGATGGGGATCGCTTTTCCAGCGCCAAAAGGAGGAGGAGGAGAGAGAAAAGTTGGAGTCCAACGGCGGAAGCGGCAGTCTCAACTTTATGCCCATCGCTGGCCGCAGCATCAAGCACCCGCCCTCGGCTTTTGGACACGTTGGCAGCCCGCTGCGTAACTCAAGCCTAGCCAGCGCTTTTGTATCTGAGGATTCCAACCGCCAAGGAAGCCTCACCGGCGAGTCGTTGTCTGCGCTCACTCAGCAATTCCAACGTAGCAAAATCGGCGAGGACGCATCCGTCATCTCCTCGAGCCCCCGCGGCCTTCACCCCAACTTGGGCCGCAATGGAGCCTCTGGGGCTGGTGTCATTGGTAAGGAAAGGGGGGATAGCTTGCAGAGGCACATCAGCTCCAACTCGATCAGCTCGACAAGCGGGAGATTTGCTACGCCGATTATCAATGAGGATAATGAGGAAGGCGAGGAGGAGGAACAGAGCGAGTTTGTCTTCAGTATGGAGGAGGAGGAAGACACCACCCAGGCGGGACAGAACCAGAAGCGTAACGGTAGCCCGCTGGGAAATGGGGGCTCGTTGGGTAACGGCGGGTCTTCGTCGCCTTGGGGAAGTTATGCGGGCGCTGCTGGGAGCGGATTGGCGGCCGGTGGTGCGAACGGCGATGAGTCCAAGGGCCAGAATGGCCAGAATGGCGTGAGCAAGGTGGGAGCTATTGGGGCTGTTGGTGGGAAATAATCGACCCTGTCTCGATGGGCATCCGTTGCTCTACACGGATACTCGGAAATTCAACACACAACAACCATCTCAGCGATCTTACACGATTCAACATCGAACTTTCAACATCTTTATATGCATACACACGGTCGTTTGGATATAACACACAACTGGCAGTTTCTTTTTCTTTCATGGAACCGAGCAAAACAAAAGCACTTGGGAGGGGAAAAGAAAACTGGATGAGAAGCGACAGCATACTTTTGGCCATAGGAAAACAACTCAGCGGAGGGGGGTGGCGTGCAAAACAAAACATTGAAGGATATGATCACGAAAGGGGAAGATAAAATGCGCTTGAACATTTGGAATTGGCTTGGTTTCAACCGTTATGACAGTTCTTCAATTCCTGCTTTTGAAGCCATTCGCATGATGTATATGGATGGCAGGCGTGATAGTGTAGGATTAATGGTGTATAGAGTAGCTGATGGATTCCACTTTTCTCGCTTTGAAGCTTGGCTACTACCTGTATACACGAAGTAGCGATAATATTGTCTTGAATGATATCGTTTATAGATCGTCAAACTTATTCCTAACCATCGAGCGAAACTCAGGCCAGCGAGTGAGCAAGTTCCTCTCCTTTTTCATCCCCACGTTAAACCCAACTCTGTACTTCACCCATTCGCTACATACGGCCTTCTGTCGCCCATGTCCATCATTCCATCGGACCAGAAAATGATTTTCCCCGGTCGTTCCTTGCTCCTCGCCGAGTACTACCAGAGTACACAGCACTCATATACCGCATCCGTATTTTTACCATCAACCTCCATCCAACCTATGCTGCACTAAAAGGTTGATACAAGTCGATATCTGAATTCGTGTAAATCATCAATGTTTGGAGGGTCGACTCAAAAGTGTTGCTATTCTCCTGCTCGCCTGTTCATGCGTTTGTCCGTTCGTGCGTTTATCCCGAGAGAACGGTTCCCGATCAGGGTGTATGTACATGGCTCGGGGAAGAATGTATTTGGTGATGATGAGATGAAATTGGAATATGTGATAATTTAGGTAGGTATGAAACACTTGCATTCGAGACTTCCTCAGATATGGGCATAAACCGAAGAGCTGGTGAGTGAGTGATGAGAGTAGACAGAGGCATTGCCACTGGTCTGGTATGCTGAGTTCGAGGGGGGACACGAGGTCGTTTGGATATCCATCTGATGCTCATGGGGCTCGGAGGAAGAGTATGGTGATGATGGGATACATCGATGCTGGCTTTGAGTACCTTGCGAGCGTTACATTTCCCAACAGTAGGTAGTAGGTAGTTCCGACAAGAACCCGTTCTCTTCAGTCTGGAACTCTCACCAGCTTCTCAACTCGACGGCAGGCAGCCACACCAGAGGCATCCATTACTCCTCGCTTTTTTCGCTTCACGTAAGAAAGGGGGTAATGTACGGATGTTTACCACCATGACACAACAGACGACACGCTATATTCATCGTACCACATTGACCTCTTCACCACATCCCAATATGACCACAACCCACCCTGACATCAACATCACCCCCGCCCACATTCACAGCTAGCCCGAACCATCATAACATTCCGTTCCATCCGTCATCTCTTCTTCATTCAAGTTCTAAGTTTCGTATGGTACACAGATCGAATCGAATCTCAAACAATGACAAATGTTTCGAATCGATCTGGTTAAGAATAAGGTAGAAGGTAAGGTAGGTAGATAGGGAGAAGTATGCTTTATATTTGCGGAAGTGGGGTTTCTAAAACGCTCGAACAAGGAACGGAACAGAGGATTTAGTTGGCATCGGGCTGGCTGAGGATGTACTCGACGGCCTTGTCGACGGAGTGGATCTGGTCGGCGTCCTTGTCGGGGATCTCGATGGAGAACTCCTGTTTTTGCGTGTTTTGTTAGCATCGTGTCTCATCTATGAATGATATTGCTCCACTCCTGCAAAACACTCGCCAACCCCAACAGCAGTGAAGAGGGAAGAGGGCAGGTTTGGGATTCGGAATAGGACAAGTTTAGGAAAGAATAAGCAAGGGAAAGTAGGGAGAGTATCATACCTCCTCAATAGCCATAACAACCTCAACGGTGTCCAAGCTGTCAAGACCGAGGTCGTTGGCGAAGTGGGCGGTCTCGGTGATCTGTGGGGCGCAAGCTTGTGTCAGAATCTCTCATCCATGTATTTCTTATCTCTCGTTCCATCGCATCTGTTATTGCGGTTTGCTCCTCTCGTCTTTCCGTCCAGACATCCATCCAGGCCGGGAGGGCAAGGCGGGATATTGGTGGTTGCGCCTGTACTTACGTTCTTGGGGTCGTTGACCTGGAAAGTAGATGTTAGCTTGGTCCTGATAATAGCTGTGAAGACGAGACTGTTGGAGCTTCTGAAGAAGAGGGAGGGACACAAAGTTGACCAGGAAGATAGCAAGAGGAAGCGAGGCGAGACCATCATCCGAGCAGAACCAGCCGGCAAGGCAACAACACATCCGAAGAGCTCCCAAGCTGCTCCCGATAACACCGGCCATGGCGCAGCGTGTGGAGCGCGCAGTGCTCTTCAACGTATTCCTTCTCTTTTCTGCGCAGCCTTATGCTCTTTGCATCTCCTTATTCCTCCTCCGTTTGTGTTTTGTTTCCGGGCTCTTTCGCCTGTGCCTGTGATGATGCTCTTCCACACGCTGCTCCCTCCTCTTGTCTTCGCGTTATGTATGCCCCCTAGACAACCTCCTGTGCTCGCTATGCTTCTTCTTCTCCCCTCTCTTGTATCCCATCCCCTCCCCTCCCCTCCTTCCCCCCCTCCTCATCCCTCTCTCTGCTTGTCTTCTGTGCATATCCTGTCGAGAAGAGTGTAAACGCACCTTGTCAAATCCACTCAACACCTGCGCAATCCTGCTAAAGACCTCCTCCTTCTTGAGGTGACCACCGGCGCTGTAAAACCTGACGGCCTGGAAGGCAGCGACCTTGGGGACGGCGGCAACGAAGGCACCGGCGGGACGGGCAACACCAGCGACGCGGACGGCGGAGGCGACGGCGGGACGGGCCACGCGGGCGGCAGTGAGGGCGGCGGTGCGGAACATTTTGGCTGATGTTTTATTAATGACAGTCAATTGCGCGTGGTCGGGTCGGGTGTTGTGTGGTTGGCGGGTGACAAAGGCTGTGGCCGAAAATGAGTGACGCTACTGTACTGGCTCGGTGGTTCTCGGACGAGGTTGTTGCGGGTTTCTCTAGCTGGAGGTGGATTTCTGGGCCGTGGTTGGCTGGAATCAGCGATGATGATGATAAATTTCTCGCCTACTACGCCGGGCGCGGGAAGCCGGTGGGTGCGGGCACTGCGGGCGGCCAAGCTAACCTCTGGAGCTCCAGCGTGTACAAGGTACCTCCGTACCTCGATGTTCCCGTCCCCGCAAGCCATGGAAGCTTCTTGCTTGAGTCACGTGCTGGTCGCCCTGGTACCTTTTTGCACACTGCGGACGACTGCGGACATGGAATTCCACTGCGGAGAAATGTGTCAAGCAGATACTCCACTAACACCCCACGGGCAGAATCACTCCACTCGGCTGTTAGGCGGGTAATCCTGGTTGATGGATACGATGGAATGGAGTTCATGACGATGTCAGCTTGTACTGTATCTTACAGATGGTAATTGTACAATCAGCCTTGCAGCAAACAGTCTACCAGCCTGACACATGCCCCTTTTTCATACACCAAGATGGAATGATGAAAGGCGATTTTGAGGTTAACCGCAAACGTGTCTACAGCCTTGTTTGCCTGCCTGCCTGCCTTCTATAACACATGGTGCGTCCTGTTGATACCGCAACCCGTCCGAAACTGCTGGTCCCGAAGCTCTAGCATAGCAACAACGAAAAAGAATATCCGTCCTCATCGTCCGTCCTGTTAGCCGGTCCTCAAAATGAAACCCCTTTATCTGTAAGGAGCATCAGCCCTAATAGCAGCCGCCAACTCGGGCTCCCACTTGTCTCCGTTGGCCAAAAGCTTCTCTGTTCGCCCATAGTGTTAGCACATGTCATACTCGCCAGTGTCTCCCCATAGCATCATCGCATAAAGACACCAAGACCTCACTCAAGCTACCACAACAACGCCGGGACGCAAAACTCACCCTTATTATACAATAACTCCTCCCTCGTCTCCGTCGCGTACTCGGCATTGGGACTCTCCACAATCGCATCCACGGGACAGCTCTCCTGGCAGAACCCGCAGTAGATGCACTTGGTCATGTCGATGTCGTAGCGGGTCGTCCTTCTGCTTCCATCGGCGCGCTCCTCGGCCTCGATCGTAATGGCCTGAGCAGGGCAGACGGCCTCGCAGAGCTTGCAGGCGATGCAGCGCTCTTCGCCAGAGGGGTAGCGGCGCAGAGCGTGCTCGCCGCGGAAGCGGGGGGAGATGGGACCCTTTTCGAAGGGGTAGTAGATTGTGTACCTAGATGGATGGGGTGTTAGTATATTTTTTGGAAGTGGCAGTCGTAGTAGGTAGCTCTGTTGATCGTGGTGATGAGGAGAGCGGAGGAGCAGAGCAGCACAGTATGTACGAGCGCGCTTAGCAACCAGCCGAGCAGCCGCAGAGCCGCAACCCGTACTCCAGTGCGCGAGTCATGATACTTGTCACGTCGTGGATCCTGCCCACAAAACCTCACCACAGATCCTCCCTCCCACATCTTGCACCACCACTCTTTGACTCCCACTCGTCTCGTCACCATCTTCCTCCATCTTTCCCAATCCTCCCCCCACCTCTAAAAAAAAGCCACCCGGAAAAACAAAGAGGAAGAGACAGGCAAAACTTACGGCGGCCTAAAAAACTGCTCCATAGCCACATACATGCCCCTAAACATCTCGGTCAAAAGGAAGTACCGTCCATTCTTGTCCAGCGCGTGTTCCTCCTCTTGGTCCCAAGTCTTGGGCGTCGGGATGCGGAAGCCCTTGGGCGGCGGACCGGCGGGGGTTGCGTAGGTGCGGATGGCTTGGGCGACGAAGAAGGAGGATGGGGCGATGACTCGGCGGGTGGTAAGTTGGCGCGCGACGGCCGCGGCCGAAGAAGCAGTGGTGGTGAGCATGGTGGCGGTTGGTTGTGATGAAGACGGTGGGTGGTGGTGGTGGTGGTGGTGATTAGGTTGGTAATTGGAAGGGTGACGGCAGCTAGGTACTTTCGTTTGCGCCGGGTGATATTAGAGGAGTGGTTGTCGTCGCGAGCCTGGTTTGATGTCGCAAGTTAATACTGTACACTGCTCTGCGCTTGCGACTGCGACAACTTGCACCCCGATGTCGTTTCTGTTTCGGCTTCGAACTTCAGTTCCGTTGGTAACGACCAGAACCAAATCGGGACGGTATCATAGAGTGGATCGAAGTAGTTCAAGGGAAGCGGAGACAGCGCACGAACCTGACGGATGGAGGCGACGTTCAGCACAATCCCCGGGCTGCGATAACTTGACGTCGGTCGTCGATGGATCCCTGTGCTTGGAGTATCGCCGACAGTCCACTTCCAGAGCCTTGGGAGCCACAGCACAGTGGATTGGAAAGGCTGAGCTGCAATTGGCTGCGGCCGGTGAGCTGTGTCGCGAAGGCATGAGGAGGCACGTGATCCAGGCGTATCTTATCGCGATTAGTTCCCCACCAAAGCTTACCAGTTGACCCCACTTTGAAGCTCCAAACCCAACCCGCTGGTACTACTGGTAGCTTCCCCCATATTAACTCCCCTTTCTGACCTGTTTAACAACACTCATCCACTTGTCAACTTGGCCGAGTGGTTAAGGCGACAGACTTGAATAACCATCATTATTCAGCTATCTGTTGGGTTCGCCCGCAGAGGTTCGAACCCTCTAGTTGACGATGAGCTTCTTCCTTTTTGCTAGTCTTCGGCATGTCTTACTTGTTGCGTCGGTATGTTTATTCGAGTCGCGATACCTGCTCTGCCTTTTTAGTTTTTTCCCTTCTTCGACTGAGCTGGTGATGTCTTGGAGGTGCTCAACTGCTTTGGAGGTTGAGTAATGTTTTTCCTGGAAATTGCATCACGTTTCTTGAGCTGCGAATGACAACCAAGTCTCATTCGGGTCGGAAGCTGCTCCTTTTTTGCTGTTACTTGAAAAGCAGCTACGTTGAAACCAATTATGCCATGGTAGGTCCATGTTTGGTCATCTTTCCAGGAAGTAATTAAAACCCTGGCCATGGTTAACCTTTGGTGTTTTGTTGCCGGCTGAATGTGCCTATGCTATACCCCTACTCTAGTTCGGAGACGATATGTTCTGTCTCCTCTGCCACCAAATAAGAAACAAGCATCAGGGTCGCCATAGAAATCACCGGCAATGAAAAGACATTTCCAGCTCAAATCATCAGTCATAATTCATCCATCATGCCATGCTACCTCTGACCATGCTACGTTATGGGTATCTTATCTATGCCATGCTGTCTATGTACTGTTTCCTTTCCTCACCCACCAAACTCGGTCTTCTCCTCCATCATCCCATTCCTCCTAACCTTTCCACCCCCCTACCAAAACTACCATCTTCGACAGAGCCCTCTTTCCCTCTCTAATCCTCCTCTCCATCTCCCGATGTCCCCATGCCACTGACGCCACCCAAACCTCCTCTCGACAGATCCCCCTCGGTCTCTCAAAACCTCTTCTCCCACGTATTCCACCAAACCCCCATATTAGCCGCCACGACCAAATCCAGCATCTTCAGTCCCTCATCATGAATAATCAGCTTCCCGAGCTTCGCTCTCTTCCCCCTGCTTCCTCCACCCGCATCTTCTCTGCCCAGTGCCAGATCCATGATATCTTCGTCGTCAAAGTAATCCTCCTCTGAACTGGGCGGTTCTAGACCTAGGAACTTGGTGAATCGATGGCGCTTCGATCCGGTCTGAGTACTGTTCTCGCCGCCGGCGCCAGGGGAGCGTGGTTCGGAGGGTAAGTTGAAGCGGAGTTCGGAAACGGGCTTGGCGCCGGTTATGGCGGAGCTGAGGGAGTCGCCTCGGGATTGGCCGATGGTGGGCGCGTCGCGGACGGATTGGGCGAGTTTGGCTGGGTCGATTTGTGTGATACCGCCCGTGTGCTCGTCGAGGATGTGGCGACATTTGAGAGAGCGGCCGGTGGAGCCGGTGCGGAATTCGCAGCGGCCTAGCCAGGGGGAGAGGAAGACGTAGCCTTTGGGGCGGAGGTTGGGACCTGGTTGGGTTATAAGTTGGCCACCACCCATAGACTCCTGGCGGTTGTGGTTGGGTGGGGGAGATTGGGGGGTTTGGTGTTCGTTAGGCGATATGTCGGCTGAGCCGATTGTTGAGGAGCTGCCATGGCGAGCATGTCCCGAAATATCGCCGACGGTGGCAGAGGCGGAACCTGACCGGGAGTGTCGCTTGAAAGCGCCTTTGAAACCGGAGGTCCAGGACTTGGTGTAGGCCATTACCACCTGGCGATGAAACCCTTCCTCAACTTCCCTGTGTGCTACACCCATGATCTGCTTTTGCGGACTTCCACTTGAGCCCAGACTTCCCAGACTTCCATTCCCACTTGTACTACCCGAACCCGTCCCTAAGCCTTGTAGCGTCCGGGCAAAGGACTGAGGGGACGTCGGCCGCAAAGCCTCAATGTTCGCGCGGCTGGGCATCCCCCTATACTTTGCATACCCCGAGGTCTCCAAGTGGACATCGATCAACTGCGTCGCAATTGGTGGCGGCTGTTCAGTGGTTGACGCATCGTGCGGCTCACCAAGATCCGGATGCGCAGACTCCGGAGTAGGTATGTTCGTCTCAAACGAAGAGATCTTGCCCACGTTCCACTGGAGGTTGGTCGAAGGATCCCGCCGGATGAGTGTGAGGGTGAAAGGGATTGTTGCTGCTAGTTTCGAGTTGCTGGGGGCGCGAGCACGGGTGACCGTAGAGGGGGAGAGGATCCCATCGCCGGGTCGGGGGACGTTGGAAGTGGGAGTGTAAAGTGTCTGATCAGTAGGTGTGATGGGTCGGTTATTTGTCGGGGTGGTGGTCCCAGGGCTAACGACCGGCTCCTCGGGGATTGTCAAAGCGGTCTGTGGTCGTGGGCCAAAGGAGCGGCGCATGGCTGCTAGGTTCTCGGCCGGGGGAGGGAGCTGAAGTGCCGGTCTCGAAGGCGGTTCAGAAACTAGGCTGGGCTGGAACATCGGGTTCGGTGTGTATCCATCTTTCCCAGCAACAGGCGCCTGAGCAGCTACAGCCCGCTCAACCCTCTCCAAACCCGGGGCTTGTGGGCGTCTAACAGAGCCTGTACGTCTAACAGAGCTTGTACGTCTAACAGAGGGCGATCTGGTCGGTACCGGCCCCGTATTCTTCGGCGCATTGTTCTCGTTCTGAGTCGCAGAGGCGGTCGCGGGCGGTTGTCTCGGAGTCGGAATCTCAACACGGGCACTAGGCGGTAACGGTTTCCGGGGAATCACACTCCTCGCGCTCTCACCACTAGTTCGAGGCGATGCGGCAGTGGATGTCTCGTTCGGGCGGGTATTTTCGACTAGGAGCTCGTCCGTGGGCAGGTCAAGGTGTATCAGGTAGAGGGCATTGTTAATGTCTTCTACCGTCACGTTCTTGCGCTGCGGACGGAAGGGGGAAAGGATGACATCTGTTCCCCGGCTTGTTAACGAGAGATAACTAAGGTAAGGGGGGGATATGGGAATGGGGGCATACCTCGACTCCCGGGGACTCGTGATATGTACAAGGTCAACGACTCCTTGACATCGGCGCTGTGAGGGTATTGCGGGGGGTTGGCGGCGAGGGAGTTGAGTGTCGAGAGAGACCTCGCTTCCACGTGGGGTCGGGCGGCCATGTGCGGTTTATGATGATGCGATATGCGGTTCGAGAGATGTTGTAAAGTGATGTCGTGGATATTCCCAACTCTTGTAATCCAAACTAATATCTTGCTTGCCTGTCAGCAGGACAAGTGTTGTGATGCTGTCGTGGAACTGTCGTGTGGTTCAACCAAAAGGGGTAGCCGCGGGGGCTGTGTCTTGGTCGGGTGCCGAAAAGACGGGAACGGTGACGACGGTGGCTGGTCAGAAGGGCAGTCGGGTCGGGTTGGGATCGTGGTTGTCCTAAATTATCGCGAGTCGGAAACAGACCGGAGGTGCAACTGGACTCTGGAGTTGCTGGAGTTGAACTGGAGCAGCCCAGCCCACTGTTTGAAACAGCGGACAACAGTGGATATTGTTAAGTGCCGGTGGCTCTGAAACCTTGACGGCGGCCTCTTGACGGGAGTCTTTTGACCCGGGGCTGCCTTGGTCCTCACGACCTCAACATGGAAGGGGATGTTGCCGACACCTAAAAACGGAAATCATTGGGCACAGATTCATGTTTCAGATGGTCTGTTTGTTCGGGCGCTTGGTCCGTCGTCTATTGCTCGTGATATGGCTGTTCTGTGTTTTGCTTGGTCGGAGAGACAAAGAGGTACGTGCTAAATGATTGGCGGGGTCATCGGAGCCAGCCGAGAAACCTGGAATGTGGTAGTGTTAGCAGAGTGACTGCCGTAGCGGTAAATTATGGTACGAACAGGGCAGTGCACTAACAGCTGCCAGGGGTACTTTTAATTGTGGGGTCTGTGCACCCTCAATTGCTGTTTGCTCCAACTTCAACTTGTTCAACTTTCTCTGGTCAACCTCGTCAGGTCACTCGACATCAACCAACCAAGATGCCATGATACAACCCAAACAAATGTGCCGCCTTTCTGACTGGAACTTTTATCACTTCAGTTTCAGGTCTACTTGACCATCCCACGACAATATCAGACTGAATCACCTCTCCTCCCATCGCCAGCTGTGGCAGTCAGGTCGTGGCCAACCCAACTCCAAAGTGCTCTTCTTGTCTTTATTTCCCCTCCAGGCGGGGCATTCCCTTCCCTCTTCTCGACCTTTTGTTAGAAAGACCATCCTTTCCATTCTTCTCCTTGTTGTTTTACCAGTGCTCATTACGATTCTCGGACCAAACAAACACCAATGGCCGAGATATCTTTGTCCATAACAACTCCCGAGCGCAAATCATGACTTCTTCTTCCTGGACCAACACACGGAGAACGAAATCGGCAGTCTATTCCTGGTATCATGACATGTTCCCCTTTGCCATACTATAATACAACACCAATTCCAGAAACTAAATGTATCCAAAGACCTCGTCCCAAAATCAAACCAAAACATGCGCCAATCGTACAATCTATGTCCCGGCCCTCGTCTTTTGTACAATAATCGCCGCCAGATCATTCACCGTTCCACTACTCAACAACTCCAAAATCTGCAAATTGGCCCTCAACTCCTTGGCAATCCAGTTCCTCAGCTCAATGGCCGTCAGGGAATCCAACCCGTAACCCGTAATGTTCCTCGTCGCATCCAGGTTCGCCACGTCAATCGTCAACACATCCGACAGCTTCTGGAGGATGCCCTGGCCCGCAATGGCAATCGCCTCCTCGTCCGTCTTGGCTGCCCGGAAGGCATTGCCCGGGGACGCTGCGGCTTTGGGAACGAGACCTTCACGCTCAGCGGCCGCGAGAGAGTCGGCTTTGAGTTGAGTGAAGCGCGCGTCCGAGGCATAGTACGGCCATGACCCATCAGACTGGAGGTGTAACTTGAGGCCGGTGAGGACTTGAGGCGGGCTGACCCCGCGGACCGCGGCAGACAACAAGGCGAGGACTTCCTGCTCCGAGACGGTCTCGTTGCCAAAGTTGCGGATAATGTCTTCCTGCCGCTCAGCGTTCTCGGCGAGGTATCCGGCGTCGGTGACGGCTGTGAGGTCGAGAGAGGTGCCTGGGAGGCCGTTGCGCACGCGGTATTGCACAAAGGAGTCGAGGAAGGTGTTGGCTGCTGCGTAAGCGCCCTGGCCACGGGAGCCCAGGATGCCAGCGGCCGAGGAGAGGACAACAAAGTAGTCGAGGTTGGCACCGGTATCCGAGAGGACGTTGTGCACATTCCAGGCGCCAGCAAATTTGGGCTGGATGACTTGGGAAAAGTCAGGGAAGGACATGCTTTCGAGGAGGACGTCCTGGGTTCTGTTAGCTGGGATCCTCATCGAGGGGACGGGGCACATACCCTCAAAACCATGGCGGCGTGGATGACACCACAAATACTCGGCAACTCTCGGGCGCAGTCTTTCACCAACTCGCGCACTTGCCTTTCATCGCTCGCGTCGCACTTCTTCACCCGGATGTTCAGATCAGGGCAAGCAATCTCCTCCTCCAGCTGCTCAACCATCTCCCTTCCTCCGCCGCTTCTCGACAGCAGGACGATGTTTCGGGCACCATGCTCAGCCATGTACTTGGCCATCGACCGACCGAGGCCGCCGGTGCCACCGATGATGATATGAGTCCCGTCCCTCCGGAAGATACCCCTCGACTTGCGGTATGTTGCCTGTTATTCGTTAGCCACTTGCCTAAACTGACAGCCTCCTCCAGATGACATACCTTAACCTGATCTTTCCCTCCAGCAGCCACCACAACCGGGTACACCGTCACGCCCCCCCTCACCCACTCCAGCGCCGCTGATAGTTCAGGCACCTTATAAACATGCGTCTTGGTCGGCGGCTGGAACTCCCCCTTCTCCAGCTTTTGCATGACGGCCGCCAACGTCTCTTGCATCTCCTGCGGCCTGCCCACGGCCAAGCTGACCATATCGATGCTCGCAAACGTCGCGTTAGCGCTCAATTGCGGCCTCGAACTCTGCGTCCCCGATGCTCTGATCTCTACCAACCGGCCAAAGTCAGCTAGGCATTGCCAGGCTTTGCTTTCGCCTTCATTCCTGCCCCCCGACACTGTCAAGATCACCTCGAACCCTGTCCCGCCGGTGGCTTTATCGAACTTTCTTCGGAGATAAATGCTTCGCTCATCCAACATCCTTTCTTCCGCAAAGCCCATCTTCCGCGCCGTGTCGGCTTCGACGTCGTTGGTGACGTACACCCACGTATCTGCGCCCAAGGATTTGGCAATCTCCACCGCCGCCACGCTCGTCGGTCCGGACAGCTGAATCATTAACTTGGTGCCTTTGTGTACGTGGCCGAGGGTGACGAGGGCGCGCCACGCGCGAGCGACATAAACGGGAATCGTGGCGCCTACTTCGGGCGTTATCCTGCTGCTGCTCAGCGGCACCACGCTGGTTACCTTTGCTCGGGCGTGCGTGCCGAACCGGCCCTCCGCTAGGGCACAGACGTTGGCGCCGACAGCGACCTCATGAACCCCCTTACCAACGCGGGAGACGGTGCCGGAACAGCCCCTCGCGATGCGGTGGTGGTGGGAGGCGCCCTGCTGGATGTGGTCGACATCATCGAGAGTGATCGCGCTTGCCGCTACTAGGATCTCTACCTCGTCGTCTCTCAAGACATGCTCGGGGCGGTCTTCGAAGTGGAGGTTATCCAGCTCACCCTTAGGTCCTTGGCTGGGCGCCAGTTCTAATTGCCTCAGCCCGTTGAGCTCCTCGGGAGAGTCTTGATGGAAAGACTGTGTGTAGGGGATGGAGGGACCGAGTTCGCGGGCGATTTCAAGGTTGAGCCGCTGATCAGGTTCCAATCTTGGGACGTATAGCTTGCCCTGCTCCTCCGCGAATTCTAGCTCTGCACTTTCGGCATCTTTCTCGTCGTTTGCGGCAGAAGAGGAGGAGAGGACAGACAATTTGAACGCCTGAAGAATCAAGTTGGCCTGCTGCTCAGCAGAAAGTCTCGATTCAGGATCCAAATCCAATGCGGCAGCAACCGCCGAAGCTTCACTCCTCGCCGTCCTCAACAGACCCAGAGCCATGTTGGAATTCGGGGAGGTTGGGAAGCGGGTTGCGCCGCGGGTTACCCAGAGCAGTCCCGGCGACGTGGTCAAAAGCTTTTTGATCTGGTCTAATTGCTTTTCTGCAGCAGAGTTCTTATTGGCGAGGGAGCTGACGAGGGGTTGGTCGAGTTCGGAGAGAACCAGGAAGGAGGAGTTGGAAAAGTCAGCGATCTTCTGTATGGAAGAGATCCGTGCCTGCTTTCCTGTCTGCTCCTCAATCTGGTTATAGACAGCTTTGATCAGTGGAGATGTGTTGGGGTTGGGTGTTTCGGTTATGATTGCTATGTTGCGAGTGGGCTCGTCCTTTGGTTCTTTTATATCGGCCTTGTTATCATCCCTGTTATCGGCGTCGGGCCTGTTTCCAGCCTTCAACTCCCCCCATCTGACCTGGAAACACAACTCCCTCGGCCCACCACTTTCCTCCTTCTGAGCTTCCAGACTCTCAAACTGCAACCCAGCGATCGAGATCGCCGCGGTCTCGGAGCCTGGGGAAGCAAAGGCTTCGATCATGAAGCTTGCTTCACCCCCCTTGCTGCTGTCCTCTACGTTAGAGTGAGTGCAGAAGGTTTGACCGGGCTTCTTCTTCAATCGCGAACTGATACTCAAATGTCTGATCGCTGCTGGCAAGTACGACGTTCCAGCGGACTTATCATGCCCACCGGCACCCAAACTCAACAAAGGGAGCTGCAACAACCCGTCCAACACGGCCGGATGGATTTTATACCCAGTCTCATGCTCCAACGGCATCTCCGTCTTGGTCTCTCTCACCACACAGTTAGCCGCGGCGGTGTTTTCATTCGCATGCACCTCCATCAAAGTCTTGAAATCGCTGGGGTATTGAGAACCGACGGAAGCCAGGTGACCGTAGATGGTCTCGCTTGAGTGAAGCTCCAGATTATGCGGGTGTGTGGGCTTCGCGTGCTCAAGCTTCTGTTCGAGCTTCCTCTTGTCGAGGGAAGCGGAGGCAGAGGCGCTGTGCCCGGAGCAGGGGGGTGTGTCGGGGGTTGTTGAACCTTGGGCTTGGGCTGCTGACCCGTCTGCTTCGGTGGTAATGTCAACGTCTGAGGCCGAGGACGAAGCTGGTTTGGGGGATGAAGCTGCGGAGTCGGACTGTCCGTCTAGGGAAGAGGCGGAGGTGACAGCGTCATCGCCGAAGGTTACAGTCTTGGAATGAGACTGCGCCCGCGGCCTTGACAAGCCGAGAGGCTGGCGGCGGACAGGCGAGGCAGAGTCAACCTTGACAAAACCTGTGCAATGCTCATGCCATCCGCAACTCTGCTCAAACGAGCTGATTCGAAATGAGTCTGGCTGGCCAGTATCGTTGCCAGGCCGGATGGTAAGCAGCACCTCGTACTCCTTCTCCTCATCCTCCAACCACAACTGCTCCTCAACTCTCAGGTCTTTAACCTCAAACTTGCTCGCCTCCTTCGGCCCAACATCTCCCTCTCGCCTCATCAAATGCAGCTGCCCCGCCGCCTCCACAACCATGGCCACAAACCCTGACGCTGGGAAGACCATCCTCCGTCTTTGACCCTGGCCTTGGACAGCATAATCCTTCAACCAAGGTAAGTCCCTTCCACTCAACACATTCCTCCAAGTAGGCTCAATATCTGAACTCCAATCTGCCAGGACACCCAGCAAATCATGTCTCGGGAATGGCTTCAACCGATGCTGCCTCGCAATTCTGCTCTCAGTCCAATATGACTGCCTAGACCAGGGATAGCTGTACAACCCCGCGACCAAGTCCGGACGCTCGTACTCCTCCCGGTTGTGGTTGATGTTGAACCAGTTTAGCCCCTGATAGCCCCGGGTGAAGAGAGCACCGGTCGCTTCGAGGGCAGATTGCGCGGCGGACTTGGAGCGGTCGAGGACAGAGAGGTAGGTGAGCTTGGTGGCTGTTGCAGCGATGTTGGCAGCGCTCGGGGAGGGAGTCCCGGAGGACGGCTTGGAGGTAGAAGGGGAAGTGCCGCGGGAAGGAGAAGAGAGGTACTTGATGGTTTGCATTATCGGCCCTTTCAACGCCGCATGGGGACCGACTTCGAGCAGGATATCCGGCCGGAAGCCGGAGATGAGGTGTTGCAACGCTGTGGAAAAGCGGACGGGCTGCGTGAGGTTGTTGACCCAGTAAGACGGCCCCAGCTCCGAGAGGGAGGATAGGCGGCGGGCGTGCAGGGAGGAGTAAAACTCTACGGTTGAAGAGGAACGCGAATCAGGCGGCTGAATGTGCGAGACGGCTCGGAGGTAATTGTCGGCGATCAAGGCCATGTGCGGGGAGTGGTAGGCGACGTCGACGAAGAGCTTGCGGTTGAAGGTGCCCTTCTTCTGGAACAGCTCGGCGACCCGGTCGACGGCGGCTTCGTCGCCCGATATGGTGGTGGAGGAGGGCGAGTTTTCGCAAGCCACTACCGCTTTGGATCCCGAGGTGTTGATCTGCTGGAGAAGAGGTTCGCAGTCTTGGGCACCTGAGCCCACGGCAAGCATGGAGCCTTTGAGTTCGGGGTGCGCTTTCTTCAGCTCGACAATCATTTGGCCGCGGTAGTAAGCGGCTTCCATCGCTCCTTCAAAGGTCAGCGCGCCAGCTGCGTACGCGGCACCGATCTCGCCGGAGGAGTGGCCCGTGACCGCACCGGGCTTGATGCCGAATGAGTCCAGCAGGTCTACCAACGCCAACTGCACAGCGGAGCAGATGGGCTGGGAGATGTGCGCCTGCCCTACCTTGGTCGTCTCCTTGTCCCGTGTGAGTTCTTCGTAAATGGAGAAATCAGCGCCCACCTTTCGCAAAGCTTCATCGGCTCGCTTGATAGCCTTTAGGAAAACGGGATGGGTCTGCAAGAGCTCGCGGCCCATGGCATACCATTGCGCTCCTTGGCCGGTGAAGATGAATGCCAGCCGTGGTTGTTCTGACGAAGCGCGCATGGGAGTGAGGTCGTGTCCGTTTAGCGATCCCGCAAGACCAGAACAAATCGTCTCAACGATCGTCACCCTCCACGGGAAATGCGACCTTCGCTGGCAGAGCGTATACGCCAGATTCCGCGGCATGGTAGTCTGATACAACTCGGCATGCTGCTCCAGCCAGATACCCAGCTCCTGGATACTCGCCCTTAGCGCCTGCTCATCGTTGGCCGACAGCACAAAGAGCCTCGGAGTGATGTACGCGCCATGCTCGCCCAGCTCGATCTCGCGATGGATCGGTGGCCCAGCCAAGATACACGTCGAATTGCTCCCGGAAAACCCAAAGTTGTTGACGCATGCATACTTCTTGGTTGCCGGCCAAGGCTTCTGATTTTTGGCGACCGTCATGTTCCATTTCTGGAATGGAATCTCCGGGTTTTCCTTGTCGAAATCCGCATTGGGGAGGATGAACCCGTAATAAAGCGAGAGCACCCCTTTGATAACCGACACCAGTCCGCTCGCGCACTCAAGATGTCCAACATTCGGTTTGCTGCTGCCGATATACAGTGGGTCGTCTTTAGTAAAATGCTGACCGACGGCGTTGTATATGGCTGTAGCCTCAATTGGATCGCCCTTCTTCGTGCCGGTACCGTGGGCTTCGAAAAAGCCGACCTCGCGCGGGTCGATTTTGGCGGCTGTGAAGACGTTCCGCAAAAGCTGTTCTTGTTCGTCCGGGGAGGGGGCGACGATGCCGACGGTGCGGCCGTTGTGGGAGATACCGCTGTGGGAGATGACGGAGAAAATGTGGTCGTTGTCTTTGAGCGCTTGTTCGACGCCTTTGAGAATTATCACTGCACAGCCCTCGCCGCGGGAGTAGCCGGACTTGGCTCTGTGATCGAAGGCGTACGTCCGTCCTGCGTCAGAAAAGAGACGAAGCATGGACATGGACACCCATATATCCGGTTGAGTTATAAGGTGGCTCGCTCCCACCACTGCTGCGTCGGACTCGCCGTTTCTGATGGACTGGACGGCAAGGTGCAGAGCGTGCAGAGATGAAGAGCAAGCCGTATCAACGGTGAAGGTCGGGCCGTGCAGGTTGAAGTAGTATGCTAATCGGCCGGACAAGAAAGCCGGTTGGTTGCCAGTTGCATCGAACGAGGGGATGGTGTCGAGGTCCCGCATATGCGAGCCTCGGTGCTCGCCGTAGTTCCCGCCGATGAAAACGCCGGTGCGGGTACCTGCAATGTGCTCGCGCGGGATGCCGCCGTTTTCCAGGGCTTCGTAGGTGCATTCCATCAGGAGGCGCTGGGCTGGGTCTGTTTTTGGTTTCTGTTAGCCATCGTCTCCTTTTATTTTGCTCTGATTCCCCCCCATTTCTTTTTTTCTCTTCCCCTTTTCTCTCCACCCCATTTCCACTTTCTTTTCCTCCCTCTTTCCTCTCTGTTTCCGGGGATCAACAAACGCAAAACAGAGAAAGCACTAACCCATAGCCTCCGCCTCCCGTCTCGTAACATCAAAAAACGCCGCGTCAAACCCGCTCAAGTCCTGCTTGATGAAGTACCCGCCCTGACTGTTGAACGTTCCCTTGTGGTCCGGATTCGGGTGGTTGTACGCCTCCTGGTTGAATCGGTCTTTGGGAATTTTGGACCACCCTGATCGTCCGCGACACATCATCCGGTAAAATTCCCCTGGTGTCGAGACACCTCCGGGCAGGCGGCAGGACATGCCTATGATTGCTACCGGGGCCGGGGCGCCGGAGGGTTGCTGGTTAGGCGGGGGAGCCGGGCCGGCGGCGGCGGGTTTGTTTTTAGGGTCGCGGGATGCCATCTTGATCGGTTGACGGGTGTGTTATGACGAGTCGTTGGAAATGTTGGAAAAGAGGAATGAAATGAGAGAGGAAGTGAGAATGAAAATGAAACGGACTGAAAAGAGATGATAAGAGATTAAGTGAGGTGAAAAGAGAGGGAAGCCTTTAACGAGGGCCGAAGAGAACGACGACCATCAACGACGAAGATTGGCTGCTGGAAATTTGATGGTGGCTTGATCGAAGCGTCGGTCGATTTGGTGGTTCCCTCGTCAATGAGGCGTTTGCTAACCGTCTGAGAGATGAGATGAGTAGTGAGTCTCGAGGGTCAGTTCTTTTAAAGAGTTGACAGCCACGTGTACAGCCACAACGAACTTGGGGGTTGACAGGTGACAGACTGTCGGGTCATCGCGCTCTCGCCCGATGTCATCCCATAGCTGCTTGCAGACATCTGCAAGCAGCTTACGTTGTTGCAGCGGTTACTGCCGAACTACACAGCATGGGGTGGCAGGGATCTTGGACGGAACTGCCCATGGCTTCCCGGACTTGCCTCGTTCATGGCTTTTCTTTGTGACACTTCAACTTCACGGGAAATCCACGAGGCACCAACCAGCGACGGCAAGACAAGCGGCAGAGACATCACTAATCCCGAGAATCCTATCACTACAATTGCTTCCTTTCACTTCCTCACATCGCTTTCCTTCGACTTTGAACACCAGACCTTTCTCTGAACCGCCGAAGAGATCACAAGGGCAGGAGGGAAGAGAATGTTTGGACACGGTGACCAGATTCGGAGATCTAGCGCAGCGTCGGGTCATCTCGCAGGTAAGTGCCTATCCAGGTTCTCGGATCACAGCCTTCATGTCCACAGCCTTCATGTCAACAGCCTTCATGTCGCGCACATCTAACAAATTGCAGTTGAGTTGCCTTACTTGAAACATCAGGTTCACGGTATGACAGCAGACCACTCGAGCCGCAACATTCCCAACACGGTGAGTTCAGCTCCATGTGATATGCCGTTCGGAAGCCGCCCGTGCGTCATCACTCTATCCCCGCAAGAAGAATGCCGTGTGCTTGATGCCTTTACCATGGAAACTCGGGCAAATGGGCTTCGGGACTTGGCTAATTGTGCCATACTCAAGAACATGCAGCATTACAGACTGCTCGAAGCTCTCCAAAACCCCAAACCGAAATTTAGTATCCAAGCTGCCTGCATGTCATTCTCATTCGTTGATCACATACCTTGCTTACATGTTCTTCCAGTAGCACCAACAAACCCTTCACCCCTTTGGGCCATACCCATCAGACAACCAGACACTCAACCACGTGGTTTCGATATGTGTATCTGGACCACACTTCACGGCTAGAGAGGTCGGTTTTGCTGGCTTCACCCTGAAGCGGATATGGCCATCAAGGCTTCCTAACAACCTCTGGCGTACGGCCTTCAGATTCTTCCACTTCCGAGGAGCTCACTTCTCGCGCCGAGAATGATAGAGCACATTTGGGCAACATATGAGGGGGGCAGATCAGGGCAGCAGATTTGGTTAGCACATGAGGCAAGTGCCAGCCACACGACGTTGCAAACCCTTGATCAGATAACATGTGCCAGCTATAAAAAGACTATTACTAGATGCAGCATGCAGCCCGTGCAGAAACATGGCCACGCCACTTTATTTGCATCGGAGTCTCAGACATCCGAAGAAATCGAACGCGAGTTGCTCGGACTCAAGTTGATCCCTTCCCGACACAAAGAAGCTTCCGAAGCCTTTCGTTCTTCTCCGACAACTGCGTCCGAGTCCTTTCCTCACCCCGGGACCCCCAATCAGCTCGCTCCCTCCAACAACAACAACTGACCCACGAAGGCGACGGCATGTCTGTCTCGAACCATCTCTTTTCGCCTCGACGCATCTCGACAGCGCCTTCGCTTTAACAATATTTCCTGCCCCGCGTCGACTTCACCCGATACCTGCCCACTTCAGCTGACCTCGCTCACGTACCTGCATTCGCCTTCCAACTTCCCGACCAGGAGTCGTGGGCAAGGCATCGCCCCTCGGAGCTCATTGCAGCATGAAGTCATATTCAGCTCAGGCTGGCCTGCACACCATATAACCTCTGCCAGATGCTTAGCAGCCGTCGAAGAGCAGATGGGTGGTTGTCGGACACCTTCAACCCTGCGTGCCGGACTGATAAATGTGGATCACGATCACAAGAAGCTATTCGGACATTGATGTGAACGCCAACTATTTCTCTGATCCTACTCAACCATAGATCTCCCCCCTGCCCAGCGCTCAAAGAGGGATGGAGCTATGGCGAATTTCGCGAGTTTCTTCGGTACGAGTGTTCCTACTCGACTGCGTGGATATGATGTGGTTGTTAATGTCGGAGTACGTTGGATGATTATAGTTTGCGACTAGACGACTGTCGGTGCCGCCTGAGACAGCGTGACAGCTTAAGCTTCTATTGCACACTCGACGATTTTGGGCTGCCCTCAGTGCCCTTCTCCTCCCCTCCCTACTACCACTGGACCATTCTCTTTGGTTGAGCCCGTGCCCGTATGTGCTCTGTTGGGAAACACCTGAGAGGTAGGGCTGGAGCTTTGTATTCGGATTCTGGCTTCGAGTTCGGGTGTTCTTCGAGTCGTAGACGCGTCGTGTACGAGTCGTGTACGAGTGTTCCTATTCCTGTTTGCCATTATATACTGGTCAGCACGATGATGCTCAGGAGCATTGCTCCGTGGCGGAGGTCCGGGGAAGCAGAGAACAGGACATTCGAGCATAGAAGTAAAGGAAACAGGTCCGGGGAAGTAGAGAACAGGACACTCAAGCATAGAAGTAAAGGAAACAGCACACCTGGGCTAGATGGACTAGTGTCCGTGCGGGCCTCTTCAGCTTGGTTCATACATGGCAAGCCCGTGCCTGTACATTAAAACGCGCGCAAATTAGAGTAGTAGGCGGTTGTCGTCGAGTTTTCACTAACTGGACAGATACTTCTGCTGGCGTATGCGTGCTTACGGAGCGCCGCGTTCTGCCCTGCCCGGCGCTCAAAGAGGGATGGAGCTATGGCGAATTTCGCGAGTTTCTTCGGTACACAATCTCGAATAGCAACACTCGTACACAATCTCGAATAGCAACGAACACTCGAAGCCTCAATCCGAAAACAAAGCTCCAGCCATACCTCTCAGGTGTTGCCCAACAGAGCACACATGGGCTCAGCCAAAGAGAGTGGTCCAGTGGTAGTAGGGAGGGAATGAAAAGGACACTGAGGGGAGGAGGAGGACACTGAGGGGAGGGGGAGAGCAATTAAATCGAGTGTCATATCATGATGTCCGCCAGCCAGCCTCCTCTCGATGAAAAAAAAAAAAAAAAGGAGAAGAACTGGAAGAAAACCCGGAAGCAAACAAGTTTTCACGAGCGCCGCCACGCTACATCTCTCCCGTCAGCATGTCTCCAGCCGACAAAAAGCATGTTATCACGACTCCACGGGCATATTACATTACCTCTACATATGTTCGGCGGCAAAAAAAATTTGTCGTCTCCTCTCGAGATCGGTCAAACCTTCGATGTCTCCTGCCCCAACGATCTGTTGAAGCCGTACAACAGATACTGATCGAAGATGGTGATATGATTCAATGAGGCTATTAGTCGAAAGCAATGGCCAGACTATAACATCTATCTACTGATGGGAGGGGCGGAAAATGCATGGCACTAATGACTCGTCGAACGGCGGCTAGGCATGCTGCGCCACCTCAACACAATTCGATGCTACGAACACGCCAGGCATGCTCTCCATGTTTTTCGATGGTTTGAACCCCGCAGTTCTTAGTCCCAATTTCTCGAGACTAAGGTAGGTTTGTGGGATTAGACTTCGTCGCCGCCTGATATGGGCTCGACTTCCTCGCGGCCTGGTATGGGCTGAACGACGCAGTATCATCTGAGAAAACGCCCACAATACAGATTAATCACGCGAAATCCGCGAACAAGGGATCTCATCGTCTGATATTTGCTGAAGCCCCAGTATCATACGAACTAACGCCCGCTGTATGGCCTAACAACACCATACAGCGGGCCCCAACAACACCAGGAAGGAAAGGGCATAATAACGGCACGGTCAGCCGCAACAATTGATCGGAAAGGGTGTCAAGTTAAGTTCATTCTCTCAACAGTCCTCTTCGCTTTGTTCTTGTGGCCAACTGACCCTTTGTTCGAGGATAACAGTTAAATTGACGACTTTGGGTATCGAAAGACGGGAAGGAAAGACCTCCACGAGACAAGCAAACCAAGATGAAGTTTCTCTGCCTCCCCGGAGCCTACGGCAGCGCAAAGGCCCGTAAATCCATGCTCTCCTTTTTTTTCCCTCCTTTTTTTCCCCCTGTATCCTTTGTTTTTCTCCCTTTTCTCCAAAATATGCAGTAGAGTTCCCTGAAACTGCATAACCCCTATTCTGCACATACACCAAAAGATGTCGTCTAACTGCATCCCCCAGCGTGGTCAAAAACCCATGTCTGCCATCAAAGCCAGCTCCCCATTCTGCATATCTGCCAGTTGGTGCATTGTACTTTTATCCAAGACAACAATTACTGACAGCTCTCGCCCCCTTCGCAGAACTTCGAAGTCCAATTCGGTCCTCTCGCCGAAGAATTCAAACGCCGTGGTCTCGGCTCCTTCACCTACTCCCAAGGCACACATGAAGTTGCCCCGCCCCCCGGTTGGGAAGACTACTTCGGCAAGCCCCCTCTCTACCGCTTCCTCGACGTCTCCAACGGCGATGCCTTCGAAACTCTACGCCGGCTGCGCCACGTGCCGCGTGGCCTGAACCCCGAAGACACAATGCGCCAGCTGCAGGGCGCGACCGTAGAGGAGGACTGGCACCAGGAGGCTTGGCGCGAGGCTCTGGACGGGGTGTTCCAGACGATCGATGACGACCCGGAGATCGATGCCATCCTTGGCTACAGCGAGGGCGCGATGGTGGCGGCGAGCGCGATCGTGGAAGAGCAGGAGCGGTGCATGAGGGAGAAGGGGAGGGAGAGAAGGATCAAGGTATGTGACCGTGTACCTGCGAGTGGAATTTATTCCCACGTTGTACGGGATATCTGCGTCGTTTACTAACTCTGCATGCCCCGGTATGGCGGCGGTATGCAGGTCCCTTTCCAGATCTCATTAGCGGTATAATGCGGGGGTATGCCTACCCCATTTACATTGCAAAACGCTGACGAACCGGGAACAACAACTGTAGTTTGCTATCTTCATCGCGGGCGCACCGCCCCTGAAGTTCGAAGGTAACAAGCGCATCACCGCGCAACTGTTCGACGAAGTCGGCGCAGTCATCGGCATCCCGACCCTCCACATCTTCGGCTGCGACGACGCCTTCCTCTCCTCCGCAGTCGCCTTATTCAACGTCTGCGACCCGAGCAGCGCAGTCATGTACGATCACGGACTCGGCCACATCGTGCCTCGCGACGCCGAGAACGTCTCCCTCCTCGGAACCGTCCTCGGCAATCTCGTCCCGAAAGTCGAAGACCAAATCAGAAGGGACGGACACTTCATCAGGAAGGACAGAAGGGAGATCAAGCGCGAAGCCAAGAAGAATAAGCAGAGGGGGCCCCCTCCTGCGGCCGAGAACAGCCACGGCCAGGGAGTGGGAGGGAGGCCGGGAATGCACCAGCGCGGAAACTCGCACCTTTCTGTGGGGTCGGCGCAGGGAGGAAATATCAGTTCGGACCCGGGGACCAGCGGAAGCATCACGCCGGCGGAGGTGGATTTCACTGTTGGTAAGTTGTTTTCTCGGCGTCTATGTCACGCCCCTTTGGGTGACCTTCCATGTTCCCTTGCGATCGATGGAAGAGTGGGTGTGGGATGCTACTAACTGGAACAAGCTATGCTGAGGAGGACGGACGTTTAGGGGCCGAGTTGGCCCAAGGTCCGGGCTGCTCCGCGCATTGGATTCCGGAAAGCGACGGGTGAGGTTTGTGGACTAAGCCCGCGTGCTAACATTCTGGGGGTGTAAATCCCCGTATATATATATATATCGGGAGGTTGACAGACTTTCGACAAGGTACGAGTGGTTGCGATGGATTCACATGCCGACATGGAGACGACAACGCTGGTGGAAAGAGGGAATTGGGTGATGGGATCACAACAGATTGTGCAGGAGGACGAAATCCCATCGAGCACACACACAACGACATTGGTTTGGAGTATTGGTTGATGGCTTCTGGATTACGGGCACAACTGGCGTTGGGCTTTCGTGGGCATAACTGGAGCCGAGATTGCATGGAAACGGCTTTGGGAACGGACAAGACTGTATTCGAACGGGGGAAACGGCGGAAAACCAAAGACTGTACCAACAAAACGACTGGGTTGGGATGGTACTCAAAAGGGAGGTCGGGGGGAAAGGAGTTGGGGTTGGAACTTATAAGGAAACGGGCAACGGCATGTTTGATACCGGCGATGACAACAACAGATTGGAAGACATCAAGGACACGGCCGATATTCAACATCATCAGGCACTCACATCACCTTGGATTGATTTTCGGGGTTTTCTCGACCTTTCAAGTGATCGGGCACGGGATAGATGCATTATCCTTCTGCATTGAGGCTCCCATGCAACCAAGCAGAACATAACGTGCAGGCGGGTAGAACTCACCATATGCAGGATCGTACAGGTATGCAATGCAACAAGACGACGGGAGGACGGGAAGGAACTGCAGGAGGAAAACGGTGAGCAATACACCGAATGTCCTCCCGTCGAACAACAACAAATCCGTAGAACACCAACACCAAGACCACCGGCATCGGAACCGAACGTCTTGTTGACTTCCATCAGAGCGATGATCAGGCGCGCGCACCTTCATCCATCGCCATCAACATCTTCACACACCACTTCCCTCTCGCGCCAGCTGCACAATGACCATGTGGAATTGCGGATGGAGTCAAAGAAAACTTTCAAAGGTCAACAAAACTTGGATCCAGCAATCATCCTTGAAGTTTTCTCTCCGAACAATCTTTGGGTTTATAATGTTTGTCTTGGGTATCATGTCGTCGGTCATGTCCGCTGGTCCTAGTGCCATTGGGCATTGTACGGCACGCGTGGATGTGGATGCTAGGTGAGCTGGGGTACGTCGGCTGTCAATTTGTGATGACGGGTGATGGTTAACAAGGGACACGCCTGTCGGTGATCTTGGTGTTGTGGGGGAGAGAAACAAAACCGAAGAAGAAGTTTTGATTACGGAACTGGCCGAGTGTTCAGTGCAGTAGTGCGGTGGACGAGATGGTAAGTCAGTCCGGCAATATCGACATCGTATCCATCACCTCCTTCGATTACTAGAGGTAGGCATGCAGCTGAAAGGTAAGGCAGCTCGGGTAGGTAAGCAGGCACAGTAATCAATCTCAGCTGTGCTTGCTGTGCACAGTCACCTTATTACCCCGGATTCTGCATGTAACTCAGACAACAAGGGGTGCTGCCACTCAGATCCTATGCAATAACTACCACATATGCAGAATGCGGAGCCGGCTTTTGGCGGATTTCTGACCACGCCATCGTATGCCGTTAGAGGGCAGCTTTTGGTGTATTTGCAAAGTAGGGGTCATGCAGTTTCGGGGGACTTTTTACCGAGCTTGGTGTGTGCATTGCTTCTCAGTTGTGCACTTCGGCACTGTTCGCTTGCACGTTGCCTGTGCAGTCATCTCCCAAGGCAGTGTCGGTGGCTGTCAGAGCGAGCAGATGTCAGATTTCAGATTCCGGACTGCGAGATGCAAGGGATTTGCATCCAGACCCCAGTCGCTTGTGAAAAGAAAGAGAAGAAAAGAAAAGAAAAATGACAGGTCACTCCTTCCCCAGTTCCCCTCATGTCTATCTCCCGTTGTGTCGTCTTCGAGAGTCCTCGAGTCCCTGGTTGTTTCCTTTGAACTTTTTGATATGAAGGACATCGCCGGAGTTCCTCTCCGTGCCGTCCCGTGGTCCGTTCCGTGATGCTGACATAAACCACCAGAACCTCTCAAACTCGCCTCTCCGCACGCCTCGTTTTTCACGAGATTCTCAAGATCCAAAAACACTGGACGCCACCACTCTCATATTCAATGCAAATGCCTTTACCAAGATATCCAAAGCAAGGTCGAGGCCCATGTCTATCGAATCGCCAATCACAGATGTGACAGATGTCATGCCGGTCGCAGAGGGGATGCAGGTACCATTGCTTTTTCCTGGGACCGGCCACGGAGCCTTCCTTACCTGCGTGCCGAGGTGTACCTACATGGCTTACAGCACTACAGCGAGTACAATGCGCTATGTTCGAGGCCTGCCATTGTGCAAGTTCCATCTCGGTTAACGCGATGATGGATCTGGATTGTGTTTAGTGGGAAGAAGCCATGCCGATTCAGTACTTGTCGACCGAAGCATCGACAATTGAGAATGATACTGGAGTCGAGTCTGGAGTCCGTCATCGTTTCAGACATTCGGATCGACACTCGGAAGGGACTAAAAAGGACTCTTAAAGTCCAGTCTTGGGAGGTGCCGCAGATTCCCACACGCTTTTCGATGGATGTTGTTCTGCCGAGATGATTTTCAACAGATCAACGGATTTTCTCAGGGGTTTTCGAGTCTGCGAGTCAAAGCGCTGTCAAAGCTCCGGAAGTGCCCCCCCAGAAAGGGCAAAGCTCACTCGCAATTCGCCGGGCCTTTCGCCGTGCCGGTGCCGGGGATCCGATGCGGATGGAGCCCAGAACAACCGGACCCAGTCGGGGGGACCAATGCTCTGCGTCCTGCGATCGGTTAAGGCGATCCACCGGCGCTAGAATCGATAGAAGCGATGGAAAAATCTCCATTCACCCCCGTATCCCATCTCGCATTCGGATACAGATATCCCAGCGGATATCGCAGCTGGCTTGGCGATGGGTATATCGTGGAGACGACCGGAGACGACGACGACGACGACATGGCCGAACGAATAGAATCACGAGCCCTCGTTCGGAGCAAGTGAGAACGAGGTCAAGTTGCCAAGAGAAAAAGTGTCTTAGCTCTACTTTTTCTTCTCCCCAGAAACATGCGGAAACCATGGACAAATAGACCCATTTCCGTGCGCACATAGTCCCCCCCACATTTTATCGCTAAGTAAGCCCAGCCGCCCAGCCCAGCCGCCCAGCCGCGCCAATACACCGTATATATCGCTGCCTAACCGCCGCCGCTGTCGCGCTATCTATTAGCAATCGTTAGTATTGAGCGCAATTAAATAAAGCTATCGCGAGACTTTACCTTAGTATTGAGCAACTATTTACAGCGATTATCTATTATCTTTATTATTATTTCGTATAATATGCTCGACTACATAATATTTGCGTAGTATTTATTAATATACCTCGCCCGCCCGCCTAAGTAAGTTAGGAGCCTAGCCGATTAAGATAATTAGCGTTAATAGGATTTAAATAGAATCGTTAGTAAAATGCCTTTAATTCCGCTTTGAGCAATTATTTCTAATTGGGGTACGCTTCCTCTTATTAGATTTCTATCGTTATTAATCCACCGCCGCCCTTACGAATAAGTAAGAACACGGTTACCGCAATCCCCTAGCGAACGTGCTACTAGATAGTAGTTTCTAGTACTAGCGAGGTTTTTAATACTAATAAAGTTTTTAGAGTTAATAAAGTCTTTAGAGTTAGCAAAGTCTTTAAAATTAACATTAGCCCGGCCTTTATTTACTTCTTTAAATTATAATAATAAAATTATTATTTTCGATTCCTTATAAGATTACGCGGTATTTATAGGTTTTTTAGATAGGGCGTTCGAAATATATCTTCGAAGCGCTTCGATTACTTATACTAAGTAAAAGTTGTATTGAGGAAAAAGTAGGGTAATTAATAATTCGTTAAAGAAATTAATAACGTTTATAATTATAAATTAAATATTATTAACTTCGTTAATAATATTATTTACTAGTAATAAATCCGATATAATTATAAGGAAGCTATTAATATAGCCGTTAAAAGGTTATTTAATATTATTAGAATGAGCGCCCATTAAATTACTTACTATTTGAATAGTACCTTCGAGGATAAAAACGTCGCCCCTCCTCCTAATATCCCTAATAACTAGTTAATTATAGAATTACGTAGTCTTCGAATTCCTATTATAGCTTAGGAAGTTTAGAATATTTAATAGGGCATCCGATATATAAAGTATAATCTTTATACTTCGACGACGATACTTATCGATTTACTAGAATAATATAAAGCGACGTACAATATTAAATATTATATATACTAAAATCTAACTTTTCCTAACTAATAAAAGGTAGCACGAATCTTTTAAACCTTCGAATAATATATCGAAATATAGAAAAAGAACCCGCACGTATTATTAATAAATAATATATATAAAATATTATTACCCTTATTAATTATTTAGGGTCTTTAATTAACCCCTTTTTTTTCTTTATAGGTTAACCACTTTAACCTTCCCCTATTCAATATTATAGGTATTAATATCCTAAACTATGATTTTAACGTCGCTTTTAGCCTCGCTAATGGTAAGGGAAAGGATAATTTTATTTAATAGTTCGCTTACTTAAAGAAGCTTTAAACCGATTATAAAATCTTAGACCCCGCCGTTTTTCTTAGCAATTTCAATAAAGGGTCCAAAAAGGCTGCTATCGCTACCTACCTAGACGTACTATATCAATTATATATATAGCACGTTATAAAAAATATAAACTATTATCTTAAAAAAAATTACGTTTAATTAGGGGGTATTAAGCTAATCCCCGATACTAATTTATTAAATCCCCCGCTAACTATTCGGGACTTAGATAATAACGGCCCTAATCCGCTATTATATAAAGGCCCCGTAGCCGCGCCCGAGGATGAAGCTAACGCGGACGAATATATCGATAATAATTTAGAAGAGGAAGACCCAAATAAGGTTAAAAACGACGCCGCCGCCAACTATTTTACCTAGTAAAATAAGTGTTAAATAATAGATAGAGAATTTATAGCGTAATTAATTAGCCGGATTATAATATATTTATTTTTAATTTTAGCCGTCAATTCTACCTTAATTCGTATAAGAGGTTTCAAATTATTTAGAAAAAGTTATATATATTAACGACGAAGGTTACTTTAAAAGGGTATAGTAATTACTAGTTTATAAATTTAGACGCTAAATTTATATATATTTAATATCTCCTTTCCTTTCTATAATAAATTTCAACTACAGTATTAACTGCCTCAGTAGTAGATAATTGATTGGATTGATGACTCTAAATAACTTTATGTAAAAAAAATGACGCTAACGACGTAGATTTGGCGATGCGTGGGCATCGATTATGTGGCCTCAGTTGTACGCGGTGTGTTGGCGCGGCTGGGCTGGGCTGGGCGGCTGACTCAGCGATAAATGTGGGGGGGACTATGTGCGCACGGAAATGGGTCTATTTGTCCATGGATTTCGAGAAACATTCCCTGTCCCCGTCATTCGGGCCCCGTCATTCAGCTGCCAAGACGTTGAGAGCAGGCGGAGTCCTGGATGACGGACTTTGGGGAGTCCCCGGCTTCTAACATTTGGCGAATCGATGGTGTCAGCTCGACAGCTCGGACCAACGACCCCGATTTCCAAGGAGCTCCTCGCTTGTGATTGCGAAGAGGATTTCCAATAATTTGTACCGATACGCGAGCCGAAATAGCCGATCGCGGCCGCCTGGAGTTTACTGGACAGCACAACATTGGTCATTGGGGGAGAGAACAAATCAAAACTCTTTCTCACGAGCTTTTCGGTCTCCAAGTGAAACATGGGCTTGGTCAGTGGCTACCTAAGGGCGTGTTTGGATGCTCTGAAATGGCCCTCTGAAGTGGGTTCTCTGAAATGGGTTTTCAAAGTGTTGCACGGGCCTTTCTGAAATTCTGATTTCAATTCATCCGGGCCTGAATGTTGGCTCTGAAATTCGAGGATTTAATGAAAGATGATTGGACGCAGCGCTAAGAGTGGGGCATGGAATTTCAGTCTGAAATGTTCAGAGCGGTTCCAAACAGCACTCTGAAAAAACAGGGTCTGAACATTTCAGAACCCAAGTTCAGAGCATCCAAACACGCCCTAACCCTCGGTAACGCTTCCATGTTTTCCACAATCCTCTCAGAGACAATCTGTCTTTTCACACGAAATCCCGTGGTCATGGCCAAAAATTCCCAGTGGCCGAATCACACGTCGCCGACTAGAGGTGCTCGGTAACCACTCTCAAGCCACTGTAACCACAGCCCACACACCCTACCTTTCCCCCGATTGGAAAAGAAAAAAGAGAAACTGATGGAGGCTGGAAGGCGACAACGAAAAGGGCTTGATTGTAGTTGTCTAACGGAAGAGGAGAAACGGAAACCAGGGCAGCCTAAATACCTGGAAGGGAGTGCCGGTAATGGAACGGCCCAGTGAATGGGCAAAGCCGGTGAATGGGCGGCCCAGGGCACGGACTTCCAACAGAAACCCCTTTCCCACTGGGTTGGCTACACGTGGATCGAGTGAGGAACACCCCTGTGCCCTACAAGGTCGCCGTCAGCTCTAGTGATGAAAACGGGGTTGGGCCCGGGCTTTAGAGTAGGCCCAGCTTTGGAGTAGGCGCACATGCAAGGGGTGGCTTTTACAGAAATGATATATCGAACACACTTGCCTGCTTTCTTTTGTTGCTTGTGTTTATCATGAAAGTTTTCCTTGTGGTGTTTCTAGAAATCTACCTCTGCGACTACCTGCCAGGTTTAACAAACTGAACGACACACATTCCTGTCACTGACGTCGACCATACCTTACCTGAACAATATCACACCACAGACAACCTATCCATCACACACCATTCATTGCTTTTCTTTTATCTCACTGTCTCACATCTCCAGGACCAATCCAACCAATGACGGCGTAAACGCCTCTGACATTGCCTTTCGGCATGTTGGATTCACGACGACAATAACAACTACGACTTCCACTTACCGCAAACTACTACCTAAGCCAACATTAAGCTTCATTAAGCTTCATTAAGCTTCATTAAGCTTACTTCCAACTATACTACTCTACTATACCACGCTGCCACGCAACATTGGCGCAGATCACCTCATCAACAATATCCACATGTAATGGTCCATCGTTCATCATCATCATCATCGTCAACAATCCTTGTACATAACGAACCAACTGAAACATTGCCATCGAAACGAAACACGCGTATAACGAATGCAAACACGAAAACAAAATGAACGAGACACGGCATGAGGAAGATCTGCGGGAACTGGCCAAGTACCTAGGCCAGGTCGTTCCCTTCCACTTATCGCCGGGCACCATCGTCCTCAGCTACATCATCAGCCTGTGCGGAGCGATATCGACGCTGGAGTTGATGAACAGGAGGACATCACATAAAGGTCTTTACAACATTTTGCTTCTGATAGGAGCGGCGATTTCGTTGGGTGGTGTTAGTATTTGGTGTATGGTAAGCTTCATTTTCTCCTTCTCTTCCCCCATCCCCATTCTTACAACCTCACTAATTTTTGTCTACGGGTTAACAGCACTACATAGGCAACCGAGCCATCATCCTCCACCACGGCGAAGTCTCTCTCCAAATCGCCTACCACGCGGGCATCACCGCCGCCTCCTTCTTCGTGCCCATCATCGTTTTGTTGTCCGCCTTCTTCATCACCGCCAACACCACCCTCATCACCTGGTGGCGCATCCTTCTTTCTGGCGCCCTATCGGGCGGCGCAACATGCGGGATGCACTACCTCGGTTCAGCCGCTATTCGCAACTACAAATGCAGCTATGACACGGGGTACGTGGTGGGCGCGACGGTGATTGCCGTGTTTGCGAGCACGGCGGCGTTGGCGCTGTTTTTTGTGTTCAAGGCGCTGTGGACAAATAGTTGGTGGAAGAGATTGGGGTGCGCGGTGGTGCTGAGTGGGAGTGTGAGTGGCATGCATTGGTGTGCGGCGGTGGGGACGAGGTATAGGTTGCAGAGTTTGGAGAATGTGAGGAGTATGGTGGCGCATAATGCTACGATTATTGTGGTGCCTTTTTTGGTGAGTTCTGAGTACGAGAATGATGGAAAATGAGAGAACAGAAGGGGCTGACCACCAGAAACAGGCGATATCAAGTTGTTTGGTCATGGCAGGCGTAGCCATCCATTCCAGTCGAATCCGCAAAGTCTACGCCAGCAAAGCGCAAAAGATCACTCTCGCTGCAGCGATCTTCGACGACCATGGCCGAATCCTCGTCACGCCGGACGGTAACCTCCCCAGCGAGGAGATCACCACCACTTTCCTTCAAAAGGTAAACAACCCCTTTTTTCCCTTCCCCTGTCCCCCTTTATCCCCTCCGTTAACAAAATGCCAGACCCAACACGATCTCTTCTCAACCGGCCACCCCCTCTTCCACTGGATCTACCAAGCCTCGCGCGACTGGTACCTCATCTCCAAAATGGTGGACAAGATGGACCTACACCTGGCCTCCCTTCCGCACAGTTCCACCTCGCACTCGCGCAAAGCGCGCATGGGCATCGAGTTCATCGACGAAGAAGGGAAAATCATCGAGGACTACGACGTCATCTTCCGGGAAATGTTCTGCTTGGCGACTGTCGACCTCTCGGCGAAAATGAACATGACGCTGGACGAAGCGGGCGTTTTGTGGGATGAGATTCTGACGACGGGTGGGATATCGAGTGGGGTGCATAGTCCGTATGGTGCGCATGGGGCGCATGGGGCGGATAGTAAGAGGAATTCGGATGCCAGTGCTGGTGCTGGACATGATAAGAAGGGATCGGCTTCGACAGCGGCGGAGATGCAAAAGAAGTTGGAGGATTTGGCGGAGAAGGGAATGATCCAGACGGGTGATCAGGGACATGGTTCGCTGATGTTCCTTGTCAAGAGGGTGCAGGGGAGTCATGCGATTGACAAGCTGGAGGCGTCGGGACATATCTTTGCCGATCTGCACCAGGTCTGCAGGATTATGAACAACAGCATGCAGATCCGGACAGGCAAGTTGGAGGAGAAACTGAGGTCGATGGAACGATACACTCACAACGCCATGCTCGATCCGGGTGTACACGTCGGTTTGTTCGCCATCCGAGCGAGGGTGGATGTCCAGCACTTCGATGTCATGGTCCGGAAAGAAGCCCGCGGTTTGCTCCCGAGTGTCAAGCTACCCATCGAAAGACTCGACTCCTCCGACCTCGCCTTCCTTCGACGCCACGACGGATTGTCCATTTCGTACTTCCTTAAACGGTTCCGACACAGCGAAGAGATCCCCCAGCAAGACGCCAAGATCGCCAGTATCCTGTACGACGCCATCAAGGACCTCCGATCACTTGTCGACGACACTCTCTTCGATGAGGCAACGTTGGTGGCCAAGGTCTCCCAGGTGCCGTGCAAATCGCCCGACAATGACTCTCGCGCCATCGATTGCTCCATGCTCGCCTTCTGCATGATGATTCCCATCCACAAGAGCGTCAAGTGCCCGGAATTCGAGTTCACTCCCCTGCCATTCTTCAAGGTGCGGCAGTTGGCGCACAAGAACTCGCCTTACCACGCCGCTTTCGCTCGGTCCGTCCATCGCGAGATCTACCCGATTCTGAACGACCTGCCGACGACATCAACCGCCGTCGACAAGCGACGAGTTCCCGCATGGTTATCCTCCTGGCTTCCTTCATCGATTCCAGGGCCAATCCTACCCCTCTGGCGACGACCCAACCACCAATCCCACGACCTCCACCCCTGGCGTCACCAGCGCGAAGACATGGATTCTTCCTCCCTCGTCCCTTCCAGCAAGGAACACGTCCGTCAACCATCTTCGAACCGGAGCGTCTCGACCCATTCCCTGGACGTCTACAGCACCATCAACTCGGACGACAAGGGAGGGACCCAAATCCAGCTGCAGCCACAATCGCCTCTTCAACTTTCTTCTCGCCCTCCACCATCTCTTGGCTCAGTACAGCAACAGCAGCAACAGGGGCAACAAACTCCCGGCAGCGTGACTACACCGACTGGGGAGCTGGTGACCTGCCCCATGCCTCTCCACCTTTACTCCCCGCGCGAGAAACCCCAGCAGCTTTCCTACGGCGGCATCATGATTTCCCAAGAGGTTTCCGTGTCGGTTGATGACTCCGCCCCGGCTGTTACTATTTCTAGCGGTAGCCACGGGAGATCACCGCCGCAAACGGCGCCGCATCATCGCCATGGTCTTCACAACCATACCTCTAGTCATGGCAACCACCAACATAGCCGGAGCGCAGGAGGAGCGTTTGATTTGCAGATGCTGCACGGTGGGAAGAAGAGGCGGCTCCTGAGTAGTTCGGGGGATAAGCATAACGACCAGAAGAACCAGCGAGCAAGGTCGAGGTCGCGGTCGGGATCAATGGGGGCGGGGTTGACGTTATCGACGACGAGCCCAACCAGTCCTCGCTCTCACGGCCATCCCAATAGGCGCGGCTCCTGCCCAATCGATGACATCGACACTCTCAACCCGCTCAACCCTCTCAGCCCACAATCTCCCAACGACCACCAACCATCGGAGCAGTGTGTAATCAACCACTGCGACAAACACCACTACCCCCATAACCACAACCACACCGTCCGTCACGGGCTCGGTCAAGGACTCGGCCAACTCGGCCACTTATCATCACCCCAAACCAGTCCAACACGGCGCTCCCCGTTTACGGGTTTCCCACTTTCTGCCCCATCAGGCCACTCCGCCTCGGCCCCCGACCGATCCAACAACAGCTCCACATCACAACAACAACAACAACAACAACAACAACAACAACAACAACAACAACAACAACAACAACAACAACAACAACAACAACAACAACAACAACAACAACAACAACAACAACAACAACAACAACAACAACAACAACAACAACAACAACAACAACAACAACAACAACAACAACAACAACAACAACAACAACAACAACAACAACAACAACAACAACAACAACAACAACAACAACAACAACAACAACAACCGACGTCCCCAACCCAGCCCGGCCCAGCTTCTCCGAAACCCCAACCCGACTTCGGCCTAGCCCTCAGCCCTCTCACCTCTCCCCAATCCCAGGGGAAATCACTCGGCAGCGTCCCGTCCTTCTCTCAAGCGCTAGAGCAGGGATCTGGACCGTTCTTCGGCAGCGGCGGCGGTGCGGGGCACAACAATTACAACGGGTACAACGGATACAACGGGTACAACGGGGTAAGCGCCAGCGCCGTGCTTGGTCTCGGAGCGAGCAAAGTGGAGGTGAAGAAGGAGGGAGATGTAGTGAGGACGTTTGTGGATGATTTGTTTAGTGTTTGTGTTAAGAACTCGGGGGCGGGGCCGGGTGGTGGTGGTGGTGGTGGTGCTGGGGGTTTTAGCATGGTGGGGTTGGGGACGGGGGGAGGGGAGAGGGAGAGGGGGTGGAGGAGGTGAGCTTATTAAGGTAGTGATTATGGGGATGTGAGTTTGGCATTCACTGGATGTGCAGGTGGATGACCGGCAATGGTTTTTCTTTTCGTTGGAGTTGCATTTGCGTTTGGGATTTTGCTTGGATGGAATGCGATGGAATGGGAGTATGGGACATGGAACATTGAAAGCGATGAAAAGGACGGCATTTTTATGTTGTTTTATGTGCAAAGGATACCCCACACATTTTAATGTAAATATTTCTCTTTGATGGATGTACATAGTGCGATGTTTATGCAGTGAAGTGGACTTCCACTTGGGAGGGTGACGTGCGCGGAGCTGAGCAGTCTGGACCGATACGGTCTGGATGTCCGGTGTGCGCGCACAATGGAATGAAAATTTGTTGAATGTTCAAAGGTTCAAAGTTCGGATGCTCAAGGTGCAAATGTAATCCTGGTCCGATAAGCGGCCATTATATCGGGTGAAAACCTGGGTTGGCGACGGGACCTGCGGCAGACAAAGGCTGATTTGATGCAGGTGGTTGGGGACGGCAGTGACGTACAGACTGTTGACATGGTGACGGGGTTGGGGACGACAGGACCTTCAACTCCAGTCTCTCTTTTCCATCTGGCACAGCAAGAACTGGATGCAAACAACCCAATCGCATCACCATTGAGACCAAGCCGTTGTTTCTAGATGACAATGTCAAAGCGGAATGACGAACTGGCTTGCCATTTTCATGGATGGCTTGAGATCGTTGCCGTGGAAGCATCGCAGGTCGAATTCTGATGTTGATGTGAGCCAGGGGAAGTCTTGGCGGGCGTGGAAGCCCAAATGCCATGTTGACACTCTACGATATTGCAACCCCCAGTCAAATTCGTTGCTATGGAAAGCCTACAGCCATGATATGAATGATAGTATATCAATTATCTTCTCGATCGTGGTGTCGCCTCCATCGGATTGCGCACAAAATGCTGGACTGTTAGGACCCATTTCTGGTTCAGGTTGTAACCATGCCGCGACCGTTTGACACCCGGCAGCAATGGTGAAATGCAGTGCCCTAGACTCGCTATGACGTGCCGTGCAAATGTCCGGTGAATGTTTCTGCTCGTTGTCATGGTGCAACCGAGGTGGGCTCGCTGTGATCGACCCAAGGCTGGAAGTGAGTTTGGTCTCAAGCTGACCACGCCGCCCAAGACCACAATCGTCAGCCAAAACAACGAGATATTGCTAGTTTGAACTTGTTAAACCCACGCGCGTAATGCCTAGAAGTTATTCCTACTTTTTCCCCGTCGAAAAAAACCCGTGCGCGTGCTGTAGCTGTGATAAGCCGGATCCGCATCACCACCAACCGCCTCAGATATCTCTCACCACCCGCTCCGATTCTCACTTCCCACCTCACCCTGCCATCACCACCCTTCTTGCAGACCAATTTCCTGCGAACCTGAAGCTCCCAATTCCCGTCCCAACAATTCCTGCCGCCCTTCCCCACCCAAAATCCCTTCACACATCGAATTCCCAGCCACACTCATGGTGTCTGCCAGCCCATGACACCTGGCCCCGACACATTGACATTGGTCCAACATCGGTCTGACACTTGCCAGAAATTTCACGGCATCCCGCACCAATTTGCCAGAGTATAAGAACCCTCCCATCTTCCACCAACTCTTCCTTTTGCATCTTCCTCCCACCACCACATTTCCAATTCTCGAACTCGCACCCGCACAACTTTCTTCAAAACTTCGCACCTCTTCCGTGCTCAACTCTTCCATCATCCATCGACACTCGTCATCCATCAACAATCTCAACTTCCTTGCCACCTCTCCCGTGCCAAGGTCACCACTCGTCCACACTCGACTTTCCTTTCTCACTTCATCAACCAACAATCAAGATGCCTCCCAAGGCTGAATCCTCCGAGAAGAGTCCTTTCACCGCGCGTGAGATTGACACTCTCGTCATGTCCTTTTTGTGTATGCCAGAAATGCCTGTGGTAGGTCGCACTTTTTCTTTCTTTGTCCTCCATCATCACCATCGTGGTCATCATTATCATCATCATCTTCTTTTTATTCCTCTTTGTCACCGCCATTCACCATTCCCAATCAATGCATCACCGCCCTCCATCACCACTCATCTCCCCCTCACCACCCTCAACCTAACCTCACCTCCCCCTCACCTCATCCTCAACCCACCAACCCTTCACCCAACGATGCTAACCCCTCCTAGGTCGACTACGTCAAACTCGCCAACCACCTCGGCATGGCCAACCACCGCAGCGCCTCCAACGCCTGGTCGGCACTCAAGAAGAAGATCTCTGAGCTGAAGCCAGACATCCCCCTGCCGCCCAAGCCCAAGGCCAAGGGGAAAGCCGCCAACGGCGCTACTTCCAACGGCAAGAAGGCCAACGGCAAGGCTGCCAAGTCCGCTGTGGAGGTCAAGGACGAATCTGAGTCTGAGGCTGAGAGTGACAAGTCTGAGAAGTCTGAGAAGTCGGAGAAGTCGAGCGTCAAGAGCGAGGTTTTCGACGAGAAGAAGAAGCCTGTGAAGAAGGAGACCAAGCAGACCAAGACCAAGATCAAGAAGGAAGATACCCCCAGCGAAGAGGAGACACCCGTCAAGTCCGAGCAAAGCAGCGACGCTGAGGCCGAGAAGGAGTCTGAGCAAGAGCAGGAGGAACAAGAGGCCGAGCCAGTGATCATCCCCGCCACCAAGAAACGCGGCCGCTCCGCCAAGACCACCGAGAAAGAGGGTTCCCCGGCCAAGAAGGCTCGCACTACCGCTGCTTCTGCCGCTGCACCCAAGAAGACTGCTGTTCCCCGCGGCAGAGCGGCCCAGGCCAAGGCTGCTGCTGCTGCTAAGGCTGCTGAAGAGGCTGCCAAGGTTAAGCAGGAGGACCAGGACAGCGAGATGGAGGATGCTAGTGCTGGTGAGGAAAGTGATGGCGGTGTTAAGGTCAAGACTGAGGATAAGGAGGACGAGGAAATGGGATCGAGCGACAAGGATGCGGGAAATAGCAGCGAGGTGGAGGCTGCTGAGCAGTTGAAGCGGGAGCAGGAGGAGGATGTTGAGGAGGAGATTTGAGGGACTTCTCTTGCATCATCTTCTTTGGTTTGTCCTGGTCTTTCAACGTCTCACTTCGGCATCGGACATCGGCATCGGCATCGGCTTTATTTGCATTAGCGTGGGCATTGGGCATCAGGAAGGGGAGTATTGGTCAGCGGCAATCTATCACATCATAGCGAAGGGGTTATCAGTTCATGTTTCTTTGGCGGCAACGGGAACGGAGGACCTAGGATAGGTGGGAGGATTGACGGCACTCCTGTATCGTGTGTCTCTGGTACTTTGTTTGCCGCGGAGTTGGAACGGAACAAAAAGGGCGTGGAGTTCGCGGGTCATGTTTCGTCTCGGTCCATTGCTTGATACCCTTCTTTCAGTCAGTCAGTCTTTTCTTTATCAGTCAGTCTTTTCGGTTTTTTATGGCTCGGATTTCTAGCATCGGTTATCATGGCGGTACAGGTATTGAGGTTCTTCACAGTTCGACGGTTGGACGGCACCTCTAGGTGTTGTTACTGTTTGCCCTGAGCGAGGACAGTTAGCATAACATGGCGCTTAATGAGAGTTATCGGTTCTATATAACGTCCTGTCTGTCCATTCTGCATCTGTGCTGTGATGAGCTTAAGCAAGGACATGCCCCTGCTTCCACTCACCGTGTCTTAGAGGTACCTTTCTTTCCTTCCACCAAAAGCTTTCGGTGAGACTACCCTAATAACGTCAGCATTTGCCCGTCTTTGTCAACACTCACCACCACCCGCAACCGACTTGTCACATCCTTTTCTTGTCCACTATAACAACACCCTTCCAGATTGAGCCAGAACCCTCGAAAGCTCCCCAAGAAGCCGTGCATCTATACTCAGTACCGCACCTTATCTTCAATTGACAAGCAAACACATATAATCCGGCAATTCAGGAACCCATTTACTCCCGACTATCAGCCCAGTTACAAAACAAAACATCCCCTCCGCTTATGTTCATCATCATCAGCACCACCAAAATTGAAGCCACAAAACTCGCATCTCCAAACAGATCCACCATCAGTACCAACAAGACAAAAAACAAAAATGTGCCACCTCCTCATCCGCGCCACTTGCCCCTCCTGCCACCTCCCCACCGCCTACCCCCAGCGCAATCGAGTCAAACCCTGCTTCCCCCCAAAGTGTACACGGGATGGGCTCCGGCCACCGCCATGTACGAAAAGCACAGGACTGAAGAGAAGACGATCCCGGATTTGTGCGATCATTGTCGCTATCGGGGGTTGTGGACGTGGTACGGGAAGGGTGAAGGTGAAGGCGGAGGTGGAGGCGGAGAAGATACCTCGAAGAAGGATTCGAAGGATGTAGAGGGTGGCGAGGTGGAGGTGGAGGGGGGGATGAAGAGGGGAACTGGGGAAGGAAGGGGGTAGATGGAGAAAAAGGAAAAGGAAAACGGGCGAAAAAAGAGAGAGTGGGAGGGGAAGAGAAGATGATAGGGGATATGGGAGGGGAAGAGAAGATGATAGGGGATATGGGAGGGGAAGAGAAGGGGGTTCAGAAAGGAGTCAATCAAGAGAAGGGGAAGAAAGTGCCCAAAAAGGGAAAGAAGAGGGCAGGAGAGGATGTAGACCAGCAAGAAGTGGAATACAAGAGGCGGCGCTTTCCCTAGGAGACCTTGACGGGAGGAGAAAGGCCCAATGGGGAAAACTCGACAAGAGATGGAAACCTCCATGTTCTGATGTTGCCGTTGTGCTTCCAGTTTCCAAGTTTCTCTGTTGGGTCGTGATCACCCATTTCTTCCGACGCACGCCCTGTCCTACATAGGGACCATCGTCCGACCTTGTTCGACGATCCTCTTCTCTCCCTTTTTAATTAGCTAGATCCATTATCATCCATAAGAGAGCCATTCCATCATCACAGCGTTTCGATCCATCATCCAGTCTCACAACCAAATCAAGGACCGCCTTCTGTACTTACAGCGATTACAGCACTGCCGTTACAGTGTCATTACTCGACCCCTGCACTAACACGGCGCCCCACAGGATCTGAGGAACCCTTGTCCCTTGCCGGCACCCGAACAGATCGACCAATCGGGAGCGCCAGAGATAAGATCCCGGATCCACATCTTGACGACACTCGTTATTCTTCTCTTTCTTTTCCCAGAAGAACTTCATCATGAAACGAAGGTGGTCACAGGTTATAAAAAACGAGCCGTCACCCTCTCCACCACCTGAAATCCACCCCTTTCAGAAAGTCAAAGTCGAAGAATCAGCATCACCACCGCCAACAATGACCAAACCCACAACCCTCCTTGACGTGGTTAAGGACTGCGACAAGTGAGTCATCAACTGCCATTTTCATTTCCATTTCCATTTCTTTTCACCCCCAGTCTCTATCCTCAACCAGGTCCTTGGGCAACACCAGCACTCATTGAGGACCCAACTCCGGCCTCAAATCTTTTCTCATCGCTAACCACCCCAAATCACACATAGCTTCCTCTACCCCTGCTACCAAAACCCCCATCTCCAATCCTTCTCCTCCACCACCGTCTCCCGCGCCTCCCTCTCGCCCTCTCCAGCCCCCTCCTCAGACACCGCCATGACAGCCCCAGACCCCTACTCACGCACCCTCTCCACCCTCTGGACCTTCCACCTCCCTTACGACCCCGCGCCCCATGGTCTCCTCACCCACCACGTCGTCAGTAACATGCGGTGGACCAAGCACTTCTACCACGACGTCTCCAACCAGGCCGTCGACCTTCTCGCGCCTTCTGGGGAGGACCTGCTCCCCGAGGACAACGGCTCCTGGGAAGTCGCCTGTTCGCGGATCCTGGACGAGCAGATAGAGCTGGCCAGACAGGATAATGTCCTGGGCAAGATTCTGGGACCCAAGAAGAAGGGGGAGCAGTTCCCTATCGTTGGCGCCAAGTTCGATGTGGGCGTGGATCGGTCGGCGATAGGATTGCTGGGGATGGTGGGGAGGGGGGCGCATATGACCGTTTACTCTCGCGTTCGCTCCAAATCGTTGGATGGACAAAGGGAGGACTTTCGGTTTTGGATTCCGAGGCGCGATCGTGGGAAGTCGACCTATCCGGGGCGGTTGGACCAGGCGGTAGCGGGTGGAGTGGCGAGGGGGGAAACGCCGTGGGAGTGTATAGTCCGGGAAGCAGTCGAGGAAGCGGGGTCCGCGTTGAGCGAGGAGTTCGTGAGGGCGAATGCGAAGGCGGCGGGCACGGTGACTTGGCTCAACATCTCCGACTACCGCGCCGGGCCAGGACAAGAAGGATTGGTGAACCCGGGCGTACTGTACGTCTATGACTTGGAACTGCCTGATGGGGGGAGAGATTTCAACTTCCAGCCGGTGCCCGGAGATATTGAGAGTTGGGCGGTCATGGACACGAATGATGTGATGGCGGCCATGAAGAAGTTCGAATTTAAGCCGAGTTGTGCGGTGGTTATGATCGACTTCTTGGTGAGACATGGTGTGATTACGCCAGAGAATGAGCCGGATTACGTCGAGATTGTGAGTCGGTTGCATCGGCTGTTGCCCTTGCCGACGAGTGCGAGGAGGGAGCGCCAGAGGGAGGGCAATGGCGTTTGAGGGGCGAGTGATAGGGTATGCAGTTTTAGCCAACAGAGTGAAAGAGTGTTGGGAAGAGGAATGGGAGAGAACATCGCATGAGGACATGAAGGACAACCAGTCAACAAGGGCAAAACAACGAAAGGGACACGCATGCTGGGCCTGGAAAAGTGGCATTGGAATACAATCTAATGCTGGTTCGTTTATTACCTTGGTACACCTGGTATTTTGGACGAGATCTATGCCGAGTTGTCCCAAACCTTATAAGGACGCATTAAAATGATTAGAGGTAGGTAGGTACGGATGAGATATGTTTAAAGGATTGATCGAACATGCATTAACAAGATTTAACATCACATATTCAGTATCGCATTTGGCATATTCAAGATAGGTCAGGCTTTGGTCATGGAACGAAACGCATCAATGGATATGAAAACGCTTAGGGAGGTAGACCCGAGGTCTCGAGCTAACAAACAAACCAGTACTGGACTGTGTTGAACAACCAGAAACAGAACTCAAACAAAAACACTAAGGAAGACAACCAAAAAGAAATGCTTAGAGCCAGTCTAAGCCACGGTATCCTCCTTGTTCCGCACTCCCAGACACCCTCCACAATTACAGACATCCACCCGTCAGAACTTGACAGACACTCCCCCTCGAACCCAGAAGAACTCCGAACCCCTTTCAGACTTGCGGAGCAAGGTGGTCCGGGATGAAAGGGGGCGCATCGGGGTTTTTCTCTATACCATTAACGAACCCATCAGCGCTCGCACCGTTAACTTTGACCGCAGCTTCACTGACCCCATTGAAGCGGGGAGGAGCGGGAGGGCCAACAGGAACGCTGGGAGTATCATCAAAGATAGACTCCGCACGAGCATGGCTCTTAACAGTGTCAATCAAAATGGGCAAAGCCACGTCCAAAACCTTGGGAGCAACCTTAACCACCGCTGATCCCATCATCTGCACTGTCTTCAACAGCCCGTCAAAGAACGATTCAGGCTCGGCAGAGGTGGCGTCGCCCAGGATAACGCTGTCCTGAAGATCGGTCTTTTTGGCCTCCAAGACAGCCTGAAGGGCGCACTCGGCAACGATGGCGCGATGGGCCAGATACCCAGCGGCGTGCGCGTCGCTGATTGGGCGACTTTTATCGGTAGGGCTTGGGCGGACGGGGAGGTCGGTGGCTTCGTTGCCACTCTTCTTGGACAGATAGGCCTCGAGCTGTTTCTGGCCAGGGGTGAGGTCTGCTGGATTGCCGGAAATCAGTGCGGGCTTAGGAGCCTGAGAGCCCGTGGCCAGGAACTGAGTAAGATCATTGAAGAATTCAGCCTCGGACTTATCCTCCTTGCCGATCGTTCGCCACGTTTTGACTTCCGCTTGGGCGGCGGCATCGAGGAAATCTTCGACCTGGGTATCTGCTGACGGAACGATGAGTTCAGGTCCATGCGGCTTGATCTTCTGCACGCCAGTTGCTTGTTTCTTGTTGGTGACGAGATTCTCGTTGATGGCAAGGTGGAGACCAGCTTGAGACATGAGGGGAACGAGTTTGGCGCCAAGTTTGTTGGCCTTGTCGGCATCGAATCCACTTCCTTGATACTTTGCCGTCATGCTGTCCATGATCCGTTTGTTAGCCGGACTGCGCTCCATCCGGAGGACAGTCTGCAGGGCGGCCTCTGCCAGAACAGCGCGTTGGGCCACACCGTCCTGAAGCTTGTATGATGGCGTCTTGTCTTCGTCCAAGGCAGACTCTTCGCAGACTTTGCTCAGCGCACCGAGGGCAATGCCACCGATGGCGGACACAGGGCCACCAAGAGGGCCGAGGAAGGGCGAAGCGAAGGAAAGACCTTGCTGAGCGATGGGCGTAACGACGCGACCAATGTCCTTCAAAATGTCAAGGAACCCCTCGGCCACGGGCTCGGGACTGGGATCAGGGCCAGGCTCAACACCAGGTAGTCCCTTGCTAATATCAGTGATGTAGAGGCTGCCGTTTTTCTGGAGACCGTCCATGAGCGTCTTGTAATCGTTACCATACTGGCCACCAATGACGCTGGCTGAGTTTTTGCCAGAACCGCCGTAGCAATGAGTACCAATGACCACGTCCGGCACTATCTGGCCGCTGCGCAACTTGAATTTGAGAACAGGGGCACCGGATTGACCTAAAACATCCGGTAATTAGCATGTCTTCAATGCTAATGAGGGCTTCCCGAGTTGTTCCTTACCTCCAGCCGTCGAGATGCGGTATTCAAGCATGTTCTTTTGGCTGGTAGCCAGGTCGTAGGTGACTTCATCGACAAGCCCATACATCTGGGCGCCTCGTTCTCCATTCATCTGCTTGTCTCCGGGATAGCCGACAATTCCCAAAAAGGCGGTGGCCTTCAGTGGGGTGTCTTGGTACTTGAACAAGTTCAGGTTACCCTCGAAGGCCCTATCGACCTTCACGATGGCAACGTCACTGCTGCGCGCACCGTCAATGACAAACTTGGCAGTCGTGACAACCATAATCGCAGTGCGGAACTGGACGGATGATTTGCCAACCGAGTTCTTCCCATCATATCCAATGAAGCATCTCATATGGGTGAGACGACCGAGGCCTTGGCCGCCATCGCCGTGGTGGAAGACGCAGTGGCCAGCAGTTATAAGGACGTCGGGCGCAACAAGGTATCCGGTGCCGATCCTGGCGGAGATGCACGTTAGTGAGTGGGCAACTTATGTGACGGGGCTGTCTTCAACTTACGCCCAGCGATCATCATCTTCACCCATACCCTCATATCGCATGGAAATCTTCACAATAGCTTTTGACAAGAAGAATTAGCACCGGAATGTCAAAGGCCGGGAGGTCTGCAACAACTTACAGCGATATTTTCCACCGTCTGCGAAGTCCCCGGGGGGAATAATCTCACGATTGTCGGGCTCAAAGACAGACTCCTCCTCGTTGTGATGCTTGTCCTCGAGCACCCGGAACTCGGATTCCGGCTTTTGGCCCAAGGTCTTGAATTCAGGCAACCTCCAAGAAGCGCCGAGCCCCTTGGCTCCCTTGAGAGCTTGGACAAAGTCGAACTTCAAGTTGGACATGATGGGCGATGGAGACTGGAAGTTGTCTGAGTGTCGGGGAGTGCTGTGGACTGGTGGTGTGATTGTGATGGTGATGGAATGTGTTGTGTCGGTGCGAGGACGGAAAGAGGGTTTTATACATGGCATTTCCGACCTCAAGAAGCCTCTATTTTGTCTTGGTTCCCCTCAACCAACACATCCTGGAGACCAACACACCATGCTCGTGTTGCCATGAGCCAATGGCTCTGCTCAATTTGGCATCACGGCACCTCCGTGAGTCGATGTGGTGAAGACCAGATGCTGTGACGTCCGCCTCGTCGTTGAGTGGCCAGTCCATCTCGCAAGCGAGCCCGACTATTGAAGGCCATCACAGCGAGTACGCTGGCCGATCCTTGACAGAGACCCATGATGGTGTTCTGCTTGACGAGGCATACTCACAGGCTGCGCAACAAAGTCGATATCCGAATCCAAAGGGGCATGATAGACCATGCCAATGCTGCCCTGATCGGAGCTGAAGGGAGAAAGATGTGTCGCACCGGCGGTTATCCTGGGACGATTTGGTCGTTAGTTAGTGATGATATCAGCTTGGAACCAGCAGCCACACTTGAGCGTACTGCTTCCCCAGTGCCAGGAGATCAGTTAATGTGTATGATGTCGCTTACCTTGACGGGCCAAGACAGACTAGCTGTCACCCTCACGTGGGGAAGGCCATGCTGCCGAATTCAACTTCTGCCCAGGGATTGGCATCTGCTTGGAGAAAGCCACGAGATAATTGGGAGCTGAAGTGCCGAAGGAGGAATTGGACGGTGACAAGCTTGGAAAAGGTGGAGAAGAGAAAAGAGGTCTAGAATGCCCGGTCGTCCTTGCATCGTGGATCCGGAGGCCTGTGATCAGGATCCGGCACTATTGACAGAGGCCTCGTGGTTTTGATGTATGATGGTATCCGAGCGCAGTTCTGGGATTGAGTCTTCCAATATTGGCCAGCTTCAGAGTCGTAAGGAGGTGTCGTCGACTCATGGTCCTGGGCGCAAAGCAAGTTTGGTCAAAGTTCGCCATGGAGAACACTGGATTGAAGTCGAAAGGAAGTTGACGTCGGACGAACGATTGACAAAATGCGGCCCGGGTACCTGCAGTGGCCCGCATGGAGTTGGGGCCCGCTCCTGCCTTTACTGCACGCATTTGTCCATCGTGTGTGGTTCCTCCTTCCCATATGCAGACAGCCTGCTCCCGCCCACGGAAGGAATGCAAGACAGTGCACCGTTGTTTCCTTCCATGTGGTGGCTGCAACGGGAGGCCGCAAGGACGGACGGAAAAGGCGTTTTCCCCGGCCCCTACCCCGGCCTGGCGCATTGACCTCGTCCGAATTCGATACCTCGCTCTCCATCGAGTACTCACATGACCCGACCCTATTACTAAAGTTTCCTAACCTAAGTGGATACGCCAAGACCGACCCCACACTGTGAAAAATCTCATCCGACCCTCGTCCCCTTAATATTTTCTTTCCCCGTAGAGAAACAATTAATCGCTCGCTCGAAGTTCCCTATAGAAAAATAATATTACTCGCGTTTTTAAGTACTCTTCTTAAATATTAACGATCGTACATCTAAATACGGCCATAAACCGATTGCGACCGATATCTCCTCGTTATATACACGAATAGCCCGTAAATTATTTCTAATATATCCTTAAATTATCTTTATAAAATAGTTAATAATAGTATTTCTAACGTTAATATTTTGGCTATTATTACTAAGATCGATTTAATTAAATAGAATAATGTAGTTTTTATTAAACTATTACCGATATTTAATTTAGAATAAATAAATAGTATAGCGGCCGAATTTAATAAGTTAAAAGAATTAAAAGATATAACCCCTCTTAATATATCGATGCTAACCAACCTCTTAATAAATATAGTTAATATATTATTAGCATATTTTAAATATATCTCTTATTAATCGATGATATAATAATATTAATTATATAAAGATTAAAATTATAGGCCTAATATTTATTTTATCCGATAATATTGATTAATATTCTAATTTCGTTTAAATAATATATTATACTATAACTATTCTAAAATACCCTGAATCTTCTATTCCTAACGTAGCCTACGACGTAAATATTAAAGGTTTAACCGAAGTTTAAATTAAAACCCCGTAGGACGAAGTATATAAAATAGAGTAATCCGAAATAAATTAATAATATATATAGGATCAATCCTTAATTAATTTATAATATTACCAATCTAATATTATATAGAAAGGAAAATACTAATTAAAGATACTTCGTTCAATTATTTAAATAATGCTATATACTATTATATTATTTATAAATGCTTTAGTATTAAATATTATAAATATTTAGACCCGCGAATTTGGTACGCGTACTAATAAGGGTTTACTACTATAATCGACGAAGAGGTTATAAACCTTTTATTTAAAATCCGCTTCCGATAAAATAAAGTCCTTTTAATTAAGCCAACTATTAAATATAAATTTATCTTTAATTTATCTTTAAACAATTTTTGTATTACTTTAACCTAATCGAAGATAATTATCTTCTATTAATACTATTTCAATAATTAGTTAGGTATAGGCGACTAGGATGCGTTAGGAAATATCAAATTATAAAAAATTTAAATCGTTATATAAATTCATTTAGTATATAAGTAAGGTAAATTTTTATTTAAAATATATTTTTAATAATTAGTATTATATTTAAAATTTATTTTTATTTAAATAATTACCGGCTATAGTCGTTATTAACTAAAATATTAAAATTCGAAGCCGGGAGAGAGAATATACTTTTTTATTAACCTTCTTAATAATTTTAATTAATATTAATTATACGTTGAATTAATTATTAAAGGGTATTTAAAATATTCTATACCCAATTTATTATATATTAAAACGTATATTAAAACAAATATTATATTAATAAGAAGGACGTACTATAGTAAATGGATCTTTCCTTAATATATTTAGGACTTATTAAAAAATTATTATTAATAAATCAAAGATCCATTATATTTAAAGCTATAATATTATTAAAATTCGAAATTGTAATATTACTATTAATTTTTATATTCTAATCGATATTGAAACTATCTTATATATTATTACAATTTCCTATAATCAATATACCTATTTACCCCCCCTCCTAATAAAACCCTTAGATGGATTATTAATAACTTGATACGGGTATTGGAGAAGGTAGAAAATTTTAGTATAATTTAAAATAAGTGAATACAAAATATATCGTCGATAAATTAAGGATAGATTAAAAATTAATATTAACTCCGTACGAATACGTATTGTAATAATTGTATCAATCTTTTTCTTTTATAGGTCGGACCAATTTTGTATGTAAATATACGGACCATAGGGTTAGGAAGCTTTGGGTATAGGGTCGTGTCATCTGACCACTTCTCTCCATCGACTATCGAATTTCAGCCCCAAATGGAACCTCCGAAAGTGGCATCATCAACATCTCCCAAAGGGCCACCTACGTACTTATCACCACCGGAAAAGTATCGACCGAGTCTGATCAGGCTTAGATCGCCAAACGGTATGCTGCTGAAAGCCTCAGCGTCGGATCGCTCAAAGCCACGGCGGTTGTGCCGACTGGCGACTAGCGAGGCATCATCTATGAGCGGATGCAATGCGATCCCATGCATATGCAAAGCGCGAGCCACGCGGGAACCAAGTCGCCACGATATCACAGCTGGCAGGTGTTGAGACTGCGACAACAGTCGTTCTCTTGGCTACCTCTAGTGTTCGGTGTCGTCGTTGGCGTCATTCTGCCAAGACATCGCAACGAAATGTCGAAATTCAACAAAGAAAAATGATGCCGCTCACTGCCCTCCCTCCCAAAACAGCAACAGCCGAGACGGAACGAAGCGTCCCGTTCCCACTTGCGATTTGAACTGATAAGTACCAGTTCCACCGCTTTCTTTCAACAAGGCCTCATGGCGCAACGGTAGCGCGTTCGACTCCAGATCGAAAGGTTATCCGTTCAAATCGGGTTGGGGTCAAAGCTTCTAAGCATCATTTTTTTGCCGTTTTTCGACCTGGCATCGTTTTATTTCCCATCTTTTTTTGCTCTTTTCCCTTTCTCTGTTTTGGAAAAGTGAATCCCTCCACCAAGCTCAAACACTCAACCCGATTCCTGCACCTCACCCATTTCCAAAACCCCCGTTCTGCTCATCCACAAAGAGCATTATCACCACCCATCTTCTCCATCAACAAAGTATACCCCGTCCCATTCTCACGATTCCTCACATCCAACTTCCACCCTTCCACAAACATCCCATCCCCCCTCCAACTCTCAGGAAACCACGCATCATCCCGAACAACAATCTCAACCTCCCTCAACTTTTCCCACTCCCCCCTTTGCAGTTCCCCCCTCAAAGCCCTGAATTCATGTCTCCCCACCGTGCTCGTCCTATTGCGCTCCATCTTCAACCGCCTGATTTGCCTCTTGTACCGCTCCACAAACTGAATACCCAACCCCCCGATATCAATCATGTCCAAGTCAAAGTTCACCCAGAGATACCTTGGCGCACGCGGCGGTACCTCTAGATGTGGAACGTCGCCGCCGCGGTCCGTGTCCCATTCCGAGAATGCTCGCTGGTACGACGCCTTCAGCCCGACTTCGCGGGATTCGCGGCAGGTGTGCAGGAGCGCTAGGAGGGCTGGTGGTGGTGCACATGTTGGCGTGGATGAGAGGAGGCTGTAGTAGTAGGCGGGTGTGGCGGTGAATGGGCGCCAGTGGGTGCCGACGCGGAGGGAGACCGTGCGTGGGGTGATGGTTGATTCCCATATCTGGAGACGGAGCTCGAGGGGGAGGAGAGGGAAGGGGTGGAAGGTGGTGGTGGGAGCCATGGTGATGTCCTTGAACGATTTCGTCAAGGTGAGGTGTTGTGGTTTGTTGCGATGACTTCTGTATCGACCCGACATATGTTCAATGGCTGCCTACCTAGGTAAGTCGTGCACGCTTATGTCAGCGACGCATGATTCGTCAGTCGGCAGAGTACCGTATCCTGGGAAAGTCGGTTTCCAGGTCAGGCATAATCGTGCGGATCCGGTAGGGTTAAAGGACTGCCAGTTGCGTTTGGCTGTATGTACGTGGCTGTAGAAGCAAATAGCAGAGCTATAACCCTGCGTTGCCGGCCCGTCCTGGAAACCGACTTTCCCAGGATTATACGGCACATGCCTCTAGTGACTCTGCACCTGTCGTTTCAGGAGTGGGAAAAGCGGTGCAACAAAGCGGGAGTGATCACCATGACGAACAAACTCGTCAATGAGTCGTATGACATTCGTTCGCTGACCGACTCACCACAGGTCTTTAAGCTTAAAGTTTTCCCCATCAACAGCATTCTCTCCATGTCGTTCAATGGTCCCGTCACGATGGTACCACCTTCCACCTCTTCCCCCGGCTCCCCATCGAGCTCCGCCTCATGATATGGGAAGCAACCATTTCTCCGCGCATTATTGACGTCCGCGCCAGCACCTACAATGACGACGACGACGGGGTGACGCCAGCACCACCAATCCTCCACACCTGCCGCGAATCCCGCAACGTAGGTCTTCATATCCAAGGCGGCTACCAATTCTCCAACCTGTCCCTGCCCTACTTCGATGGCAGCCTCTATGGACGCCCTCGGTATATCTGGGTCAATTTTGAGCTGGATATGATTGACATCGGCGGCCCGTCAACATGGCTCTTCAATGAGTATCGGCCGAATATTAAGCGGCTGAGAATTGAGCTTCATCATCATAGGGCGGAAAGGGCGGGGTATGTATGGAGGAAGCGTGATGTTCGCCTGTTGGAAACGAAAATAAGGGAAAAATTTGGGCAGTTGAGGGAGATTTGTGTGTGTATCCCGTGTGAGTATGCGCACCTGGGGTTGCCGCCAGATTGGCTACCTGGAGGGAGTGATGGAGCGTTCATGGAGGGGTGGAGGAGTATGGATTGGGGAAGAAGTTGTAGAGATGGAGATGAGGATACGGATGGAGAGAGGGGCGAGGATGGGAAGACCGATGGGGACATGTGGGTTTTGGTGTTGAAGAAGATTAATGCGATCGGGAACTTGCGTGAACCAGAATGAAAGATGCTGTCTGGACGGCAAGGATGATGGTGGAAAATGCGACACTTCTTTGTCTTTGCACTTCACACTTTCAGTCTTTCACCTGACAATACTCTGGAAGTGATTCAGAACCTGCTCGTCTCGACGAGCAGAACTACTGAAAACACTATATTATCCCGGGTTTTCCTGCTACTACAACACATCATCAGCATCAGCATAAACAGAGCTGACCACACTCCCGCCGCGTTAAGCACTACCAGCGTGGTTGTCAACAACATGAACAAGCTCATCCCAAGTACCCAACCTTATAGCAAAACCCCCCAAGACATCAAAATGTCCCAGACTACCTCTCCGACCACAACCCCTCCCACCTTCCACCCCTTGCCCCGCCTCCCCTATGAGCTCCGCCTCCTGATCTGGGAAGCGACCATCTCGCCACGCCGTGTCGAAGTTGACTTCCTCGTTCTCAATCAACTCTTCCATCAACCCCAGTGGACCCACCGCCTAGTCTCATTGACGCCACCGCCCGCCATACTCTCAACCTGCCGAGAATCCCGCGAAGTAGGGCTGAAGGTGTATAAAAAGGTATTCCTTGGGTTGAGGAGACCTATTCCTTATGTCTGGTTAAATCCCCGGTTGGACGAGCTGAAGTTGGAGCAAGGGGCAGTGGCGTATGCACCGTCCGTCAATGCTTTCATCAATGCTGCGCTGAGCCGCTGAATGCATGATGGTATACCCATTGGCCGGTGATAACCGGAGCCTAGGTAGACTTCAACGCGTGGGAACTTGAGCATGGAGTTAACGTGCTATCGAACGGCTGTGTGGGTTTGAGGGAAAACTGGAGAAAACACCAGAAGATGTAGGATAGATTAGGTACCTGGTGGCTTCCGTACATGCGAGCAGAACAATGCACGTTGAAGATGTATTGCTCTCACGAAATGGAAGTTTGAAAACTCAAGCCGCCTGCGTTGCACGCCGAGGAATAACGGTCTCCTACATTACCACCATAGGTTGGGAGAAGATCGAGGCGCCTTTGGTGCTTGCCTGGGATGACTGAGTCTGTTCGTTGAGATGACTGGAGAGCTTGTTCTTCTGCTCCTCCTCGTTGTGATTTGCCGATAACATGGGAGCAAGGTTAGATAAGGGCGCTTCAGGAGATGTCACAATGCCTTGGCTTCAAGATTGTGGTGTGTGGAAAAGAAGGCCCAAGGGGAAAAAGCAGGGGTAGCATTGTGATAGGCTGCCTGTGTAGCTGTCACGAAATAAGATGGTTGATCGAAGAAATGAACTTGAAGAAAAGCCATAGACTCAGAAGTGGAGGAGAAGAAAGACACAATAATGCAAGAAGGAAGTTGCAGGGGCAATTTTTCGGTGGTCATGCAGGATTCTCTTACCTCCCACTCAGACGAAGTTCAAATGCCCCTTTCACAAATATTGATGTAGAGAGGGCTCATTGTGACACCATGTCGACAATCTCTTGGTGTCTGTGGGTTTCCCACTGCTGAAAGTCCTCTTCAAGCTGGAGCTCGATGAGGTACTGCGCTAATGCTGGCATGAGAGTACGACAACGGCCAGGCTCCATGAGGTGGTGTGGTGGATGTGGTCAGGGAGGTGGAAGTACAGGTATTCCACTGGCGTCCGGGACATTGAGGTCATCAAGGGCTCAGCCGCCCAGCGAGTCGCCCAGTTGCCCAGCCGCCCTCTACTGGGCTTGGGTGCTAGCGATATGTGTGCCAGCTGGTGTACTGCGTGACGTGCTCGGTGTGCCTCCTCTTCCCCTTCTGCCTCCTCTCGCTGTGGCTTGTGATTGTTGTGTACTGCCTCGCGGGCGGCCGGATTCCCTCTTGTAACGGAGCTGGAGGTTGACGGTCTGCCTTGTCCTCTGCATCTAGGCCAACGACGAGGCCTCCCAGCGTCAAATCATCACCACAGCTGAGAGATTCCAAAGGCGGATCGCAACCCCCGGCGAAATCACGTTAGCATTCTTTACATCCGCGTTCTGTATGCTTGAGCCGGAGACCGTCGGGACCTACTCGGTAGTCTTTACCGAGATGTCAGTCAACCGCCTCCCATTAGGACGCAATTTGCTGTATAGAAGGCGCTACTAGTGTCGAAGCTGTAGTGTTGCGACTTGTCTTGGGCAGGCTTCAGGGCGGGCCGTCTCGATGGACGTCCTGGACCTTCTGATGCCGGGGGCGATGGGCGCAGTGGATTGAGGTTGGGCAGCTTTTGTAGTGGTTTTTTGGTGCTGGATGATTGAGGCAAGGAATTGAAAAGGGTTGTTGTTACCTTTGATCTTTGGTTGGGCAGCTTTTGTAGTGGTTTTGGTGCTGGATGAGCGATTTCAGCTGCAAAAGGTGCGTTGTTACGAGGGCGCTCTCACTTTACGCACATTCTGCGTCATGCATTGCAGTAGTAATGCAGGGCAATGTCACTATAATCACGTCAACTGAAAGGCCATGGAAGAATCAGCAAGAAAAGCAAGAGCAAAGAAGTTCATTCATTCATTTTATACTCAAACATAAGAACCCCAACACCAGCAAAACCCTGAGCCACACGACAAAACGAGACCAGACCGAAACCACAAAGAACCCATTCCCGGAGCCCAAACGCCCAAACACGACTTCCCAGACACATATCCGGTGTCCAACGACACATTCCATTTGTCCACCGATGCCTCCTCCCAGAAGTTATCTACCCTTTCCGAAAGTCTTTGGGGCGTGCTAGGCCCAGACCCCGAGCCCAAGAAACCAGATAGGCTTGGCTTGTTGGCTGGGCAGGAAGGGCCGCTGGCAGAGGCCCACTTGACCGGGAAAAGAGCCGAGGCGGGCGAAAACAAGAAAACAACGACCGAGTGGGGAGTCACCGGGAGTGTTGCGAGGCCAGGGCGGAGGACAGCCGAAGCCGAGCAAAGGAAAGAACAGCCCCAGCTAGAGTCGACAACCGCCGAGCTGAGAGCGCCGCACCACGAAAGAAGAAAAAAGGGGGCCAGGCAAGGCAAAGCAACCGCAGGGGGCAGGACCGCGGGACGGAGGACCAGAGGCGGGAAAACCGAAGAAAACCGGGCGAGAGAAGGAACGGCCGAAGAAAAGCACCGGCGAAGAAGTAAAAGCCGCGGGCAGAAAGCGAAGAGGAGCGGATGCCGGAGCGGAAGGAAGGAACGAGCGGGGGCGGGCGTCGACGAAGGGCGGGACCGCAGGAACAACCGAGCAAGAAAGCCGAAGAAAACCGACAGGAAAAGAAACCAGAGCCGGAGCCAAGGTGACGAAAACCGTGCCAGGACCGAAGAAAAGCAAAGGAGGAAGGAGTAACCCGGGGAGAAAGGTCCGGATCCAAGGGTGAGGGCGTGGCCGAAGGAAAGAACAACCGGTGCCAAAGATGACAACCGGGCTTGGCAAGGGGGCGAAGAGGAAAGAGTGCCTGACCGAGGTCTCAGTTGTGACAACCGTCGGCCAGGCGTGAAGAAGCTGTGGGACGAGAGGGTCAAAAGGCACCCCTCGAGCCGCAGCTCTTCTCTCTCACTCTTCTACTTCCCCCTTCTCCTCCTTCTTCTGCTCCTCCTCCTCCTACTCCTACTCCTACTCCTACTCCTACTCCTACTCCTACTCCTACTCCTACTCCTACTCCTACTCCTGTTGCTGCTTCTGTTCGTGGCCGAGGTCGACAGTGTTGGGGCCAGGGACCGCGAGGTCTACCTGGAGAGCGGCTGCTGCGGCAACTCGCCAATGTGCTCAAAGAGCAAAGACACGGCGGGTTCGTCGCACTCGGGCAAGTCGCCATTCAGGTCAGAAACGTAGGCCTCAAGTTCCTCGCTGGCAACCGGGGACCCGCACCGCCTGGACCAGTCGTCGAAACTCCTGGAAGTCCATCCGCGGACGTACCTTGCCTCCTTGTCCGCCTTCTTATGTAGGCTCCTTGCCTCTCCATCTCGTCTACTGTGGCCAGGCACCCAGTGCAGCTCGAGTCCGACGTCCATGAGAGCCGAGGATGCGGCGCGGTTGATGAAACGCCGCTCCAACTCCATGGACTGCTCGATGGCAGCCATGGCGGACATGCGCAGGCCGGCAGTGGTGATGGGGAGCTGGCCGTCCAGCATGAGAAGGGCGCCCGTGGAGTCGGTGAAGATCTTGACGGTGACCTTTGTCCGCCTTTGCTTAAACTTGGCGGCCCTCTTCAGTTTCTTCTGCTCTCTTCTAGCCATCCTCCTCTCCTTTCTCTCTCTCTTTTTCTCTCGGAGACGCTCCTTGCTTCTTTTTGCGTCCCGTTCCTTTCTCCTCTCCTTCTTTGCCAACTTGCGATGTAGCTTGGCCATCTTCCTTGCTCGTCTCTCCTCCCACTCCCTCGCCTTTCTCTCCTCCTTTTCCTGCCTCTCCTCCACCTCCAACCTGGCCTCCAAGCGGTACAGCTCGACCATGGCCACATGGATTGCAAAGGAAAGAGCCAGGGTCTCTGCGCTCGTTATATTGAGCGCCTCGGCTTCTTCCGTCTACACTGGCCAGCCCGCCCAGATTTCCACCATGCCGTTGGGTGCGCCCGCCAAGCTTGGGTCATGGCGACGGAACGCTACCCCCACCCCGGCAAAGGTGTTGATGTGTTGGTGCGGGTCCATGGATGCGTCGGAGAAGATCACCACTTGGGTGGCTTCGGGCGTGTTGACGTGGGTACCGGCAGATTGGGCAGCTTGGAAGGCACGGGCATAGGCGCCGCCTTCGTCCTGTTCGTCTTGGACGATGATACGGCCACGGAATAAACGGGGGTAGCCTGGAAGGAGAAGAGGGTTAGTTCAGCTGTCCTAGTGCTCAAGTGACCTTAATTCAAAGCGAAATGAAGGAAGCACTTGGAACTTTGCCAGAGTGTTTATGAGGTGAAGCCAGTTGCTGAAGTTTAACAAAAGGGGAATACTTACGGCCTCTCATTGCCATCCATTCCTTGTACCACAAATTTTCCAGCCTATTCCTCTCCTGTGTTTGCCTTTTGGCCTCTTGCTTATCACGCCCGTTTCCTTATCCCTTGGTATGGGAAGCTTGGCCGACGTTGTGTTCGTTGCCTTGATGTTCTCCGGCGCTGACCTCTGGGGTTGCGACCGCGGCAACGGAGGACTGAGGTTGGGAGGTGGTCTCCGAGAAGACCGCAAAGAGAGCAGCGATATCCATTTTCTGATTGCTGGACATTTTAAGCTGGCATGCAATGGAATGGACGCGAGAAGGAAGAAAGGAGGATGAGGGTCGCTTTGGGACACGAAGGATTGAAGCAAGTGTGATTGCTTAAGCTGCTAATGTTTCAGGAAGTCTGTCAATGTGACTAAACCCTACTTAGAAGATTTCTTGGGTCTTGATCCGCCTTTTGTGCCTGGAAAAAGGTGTTTACGATGATTTCAAAGGAAGTCCGCAGTAGACGCGAGGCATTCGAAGAAAACTCGAAGGAGTTTGAAGAGGTCTTGAACGAGTTTAGTCGAGGATATGATGTCTTGCTCTACAGATCTGCTGCGTTGCTTCGTGGTCTTCGTTGTGGTCAATGGAACGAAGTGGAAAGCTTCAAAGAAAGAGAACGAAGCTCACGAGACATAGAGGGGTATCGTGTACGCAAAGGGGGCTGGCTGTCTTGCCGGTCCCTGCCAGTGTCAGGGGGCCACAAATACCTTTGCCGGGCTTCGGGCTGGCAAATCGTGACGAAGACGTGGTCCAGAGGCTGGGGTTATGGAGCCGTCATTGGGCTCGGGTGCTTGACGGCGGGAAGGCAAACTGGGACTCCCGAGCTCGTAGGGGTCGGGGACCCGAGTGAGCTTTTGTTCTTGATCCTGTACATCCTTTCTTCTAGCCGGGATCTGCATTAGCATTGGGAAGTACTTCTTGAACGGCTCTCCCCGTGATATCATAGTTGATCAAGCAACCAAGATGTCAGGCACTTTGCTTGTATGTCGGTCTGTGAGCAGGCCAGGTCTGCGACTGCTTGGTATCAGTTTCATTCAACTAACCATCTCCGATTTTGCTATACGCACCAGGCCTCCTGGCATCACTAAACGTTGGTTAATGAAACGAAGCCTCCACAATCGTCACCGTCCTCTCCATACCATCAACAATACGCTATCATCCTTTTACTCGAAGCGCAGCCCTCTTTAAAATTTCCAGAGCTCGCTCCTTCAACCCATCCTCGAGTGCCAGCCTTCCCCGTTGACTCCCCGCTTCTACCCAGTGTCTCTCTTCGACGAGACATGCGATGGATGAGGAGGATCTAACCCAAGCTATTCGTAAGGCTTTGCACAATCGAAGCTGGTCGCTTACTTCTTCGGGCTCACAGATATATCCATCCATTACAGTCACTAGTACAATGGCTGAGCGGCGCCCTATCCCGATCTCGACAGAGCGCGATAGCTTCAATCCTAAACAGAATCATCAATCCGGCGCGATGAACCACCCCCAGCATTTCTACGAGTCATTGCTCAAACGGGGCAGTTAATCGCTCGACAAGTTCACGCTGGCAAGAGGTACACGACTGTCAGGCGCTGGAGCAGGGTTTCCTTCCTCGGTGCTGTCGCGATGGACCTCCAGTCCGGCTCTGATCCTCGCGCGACAGACTGAAGAGGACAGCCAGTGACAGAAACATTCCTTGACTCCCTCTTAACCTCGCCACACGACTCAGAATTGGTGCTCATGATGGAGATGTAGCTTCTGTACCTGTCGTAACAGTATCATGCGACATACCAGCTGTTCACTAATCTTAAGAGCAAAACACTCATCTCTCGCGACCGTTGGAGGAGCAAGGCAAGGTCTTGTATCTGTGCGAAGAATCTTCAAAGAGCTTTGGTGCTTGCTTTAGACGTTTGTCGCTGGGCAGAAGGAGTACAGAGTCAACAAAGCAAGGAGAGAGACACCTTTCACATACCTCAGCAGTAAATCAATGTGCTGAAAGAGCTTGTTTGAACGCTCTGCGGCTGGTAAAGGGCCAGGAAGCGAGAACTAAATCCATTTGACTACAGACCAACAGATGTGAAGAGCAGGAACCGAACAACGAGAGCGACAGAGGGAAAGAGTAGAACAGAACAGGAGGATTTGGGTTAATAGAGGTAGTCTCAGATGGTAGCAGCCAAAGGCATCCAGAGGAGGCTGGAGGTACACTTTTGACTGGAGAGCATCAAGAGTGTTCGACATCTTTTCCTTTTCCAAATCCACGGATGATTTGCTAACGAAACTAGGTATCTTACAGGTCTTCCTGTGAAGTACCTTAGCGAAGTCCGCGGACAGAAAGCAAGAAAAAGCTCAGCGTTTTCGAATCACAAGACTCAACTCAAGCCGACACTCTCTCCCGACTCGAGCACGTCCCTGAGCCCGAATCCTACCTTCGCTTCAGCGGCCGAACCAAACATGAACGTTCACGCGGATCGAAGCGAAGCATCCGGCGAGAAACGGGAACAGTAGAAGGTACTCGAGAAGGAGCAAGAGGAGGAAATGGATGGAACCTATGAGAAAAGCGCTTCAAATTGACAAAGATGGAAGATTCCATCACAAAGAGCCGCTGCAGCCCGCAGGAGGTTTGCAAAGAGCCATCAGACGCAAAGGCAGGACAATAAGAGAGAAAGTTGAGGAAGAGGAGGGAAGAACCCGGCATTAAGATCTGATGCAGCAGGTTCTACATAGGTACGGCCTGCGTCCTGCAAAGAGATGCAGTTGACAACCTAGAAGGCATGCATCGCAGGACTTCCACTTCGACATGACATCTGGAAGCAGGGGCTGATGCGAGAGCAGAAACGTCTTCTAAACCCTCAACCTCATAAGCAAGCCATATGAGGCCGGTTACGCATGACGAAGGCTAGTTGTTGTGGTTGGAAACGCCATTGGTGCTGGTGCGATTCCCTTACCAAAGCCACGAAGGCACCAAAGGACTACCGAACACTCGATAAACACTCATCGATTGCGACCTGATAGCTCTTAGATCAGAGCCCACAAAACCATAAAGAACCTACAATTTGAACAGAAATGTTGGACTGTTCTAGCTTTGCTTGCTCTAGAAGGGTTGTGGGTTCAGAAATCTCGACAGCCCCGGGGTTCATTGCCCGGGCTTGAATCCCCAAACATGGTGTCCTCAGGGCCAAGTGTACTTTAGGGCCCTTTATTGCTTGGGTGATGCCGACAGCCACACATATAGATAGTTGCAATGCCCAGCTTGGATGCCACGAATGAAATTCATGAGGAAGTACTTCAAGAACCACTTGACCTCTTGGTTGTTCCGAAGAACATGGCTGGTTCTTTCCTCTTAGGAGGGGAAATTGGGATACTTGTGGAAGGAAGGTAGAAAGGAGAGAATTTGTGACTTTGACAAATTTCGGGCAAGGTTTCGGGACCGAGCCAGGTTCCTGTTCAATGCCCTACACTATAACAACATTGGAAGTTACGGTACACTACGCATTTCCCTGCTACTCGCCAGGACTAGAAGCGTCTCCGGCGCATGGGGTCAGAGACGCTTCTAGTCCTGACGAGTATGGGCAAGAAGTACCTCGGAGACTTCAGGCACTGGCGATACTTATATAAGGGGACCCCAACGCAAGGAGAATGAACGGAACGCAATAACTTCAACATCACATACGCACGTTTAGTATCGAATCACCCATTCTCGAGTATTGCCTTCTTCCTTATTTCTGAACCCAATGGATCCATCCGATAAGTTCGATTATCAAGACTTGTTTGGTTCCGACATGGATCTGGATGCCAATGACACGGGATCCTCCTCCGGCATCACCGGTGACCTGGTCTCTCGGGCTGGTACCGACGAGAACCAACATGTTGGACAACCTGGACAGACAGTTCCGGTCCCCGGAGAAGCTGTATGTGCTTTGTCAATTCCACACCTACCCACCTTCATACCTCGTTCCCTGAGCTCTCTCACCGATATCACTGCTCACCAAGCCCCTCGGCTAACCTTCGCTTTTTACATTTCAGGACCGCTACCATAGCCAGGCCGCGAACACTGACCCCATAATGCCTTCTCCGATGCTTCCCAACACAAATTACAATACCGGATACATGCTATCTAACCAACCGTCAACCGCCAACCACTTCCCCCTCGACCCTACATCCACGTCTGCTGCCAACAGCGGCATAAATCACCTCCACGAAGCTCCAACCTCTGCCTCCCCCCCTCCCCCTCTGCCTCCGCCTCCGCGGCCACAGCTAGCCAACCCAATACCAATCAACAGCCCCAATACACATACCGCTCCGGCTCTTTCTTCATTTGTAGCCCCTGTGGTTATAAAACCTTGGATGAATCGGTATTCACGCGCCACTGCAACACACGAAAACACCAGAAAAATACGTCTACCGAGGACAGCGGTGCGAAGCGCTTCCATTGCCCCTACCCGAGCTGCAAGTATGCAGAGAATAGCGGGAGGAACTTCACTCGGAAGGATCATCTTAGAGACCACATTAAAAGATTTCATGAGAGCGAGATGGATGGGTGAGCTTGTACGCACAAATGGAGAGTTCTCATTGGCCGACAAAGAAAAGGCACGACATTATGGAGGGAGGTTCACCAACTGAATCAGAAAAGGACACTCAAGTGTCTCGAAGCCTATATGTAGGGTGGAACGGAGGATGATTGGCGGTGGTAGGAAATGAGGCCGGGAGGATACACACAAGACTTTGAAGAGCCATGGAAGACCCGCGGCGTTGATTCATTACTCCATCGAAATGAGGTGGAAGATGCCTTGTTCTATATCTATATCTTGCGGATATGTTGCTTGGCTCCATAGTGTACCTATGGAACAGAAGGTGTTTGTCGACTCTAACAACTCTATATCCGGCAACCGACCACCAATCCCCATTGACCGACATGCAAATTGGGTGTGATGCGAATGAATAAAGACCAGCAAAGATTAAACTAATGATTAAGAATTCCTCGCTCTGACTGCACAATGCTGAAGAAAGGAGATCCAAGGCGCCCAAAGGCCATTTTCCGTTGGTACGTTATTGACAAATTAACGCTGTAATTTCGCGAGTTTCTACAGGCTACGGTAGAGGTATTCATGGGTCGTTCCGTGGCACGGTGGCGCTAACAATTTCTGTCTCGTCAGTGACTTTAACCCCTACTACCTACTGCCCACACTCACCAGGCGAGCTACATGGAGATAACTTGTGAGGTTGAAGCGTTGCATTAAACTTGAGGAAGAAAGCTAGAGGTAAATCCTAGGTGGATACAGAGAAAAGGAAAGATCCGAGCAGGAAAAGCAATAGGCGACGGCGTTGTTGTGTGAAAGAAGGTTACAGTGTGATTTGTGCTTAGGGCATTATATCCGAGCGTTCGTAATGTATTGTAAGGGCGTGTTTGGATGCTCTGAAATGGCCTTCTGAAGCGGGTTCTCTGAAATGCGTTTTCAGAAGTGTTGCACGGCCTTTCTGAAATTCTGATTTTGGTTCAGAAACATTTTTGGGCCTTGTCTGAAATTCTGATTTTGGTTCAGAAACGTTCTTGGGCCTGAATGTTGGCTCTGAAATTCGAGGATTTGATGAAATTTGATTGGATGCATCTCAAAGAGTGGGGCTAGAATTTCAGAACGGGGATTTTGGAAAGATTTCAGAACCGAAACGTTCAGAGCGCTTCCAAACAACACTCTGAAAGACGATTTCAGAACCGAAACGTTCAGAGCGCTTCCAAACAGCACTGTGAAAAAACAGGATCTGAACATTTCAGAACCGAATTTCAGAGCATCCAAACACGCCCTAAAAGGCCCTGATCGGCTGGCTACACTCGGGGCGAGCGCACACGGTTTTGGGTACTTGGGAAGTGTAGAGCTTGGTGTGGGGCGGGGAGAAAGTATCGTCGTGTGCGCTCGACGTTGTGCGCTCGATGTTGTGCGCTTTCTTACGAACGTAGTCTGGAGCCTCTTGTTCGAACGACCAAAAAAGAGCCAAAAAGCGATCGAGCGTATACGGAATTCTGATTTCTATTAGTACTTGGCTTTGAGGTGGAGACGGTGGATCAATCGGTACATTGGCTCTTGGCGAACGCGAGTGTAGAGACGAAAAAAAGGCACGGGCGTCGACGAAAGAGGGAAGGCGACTTTAATAAAAGAAGAGGTTATCCATTTGTATTGTAACCAAACGTTTAAAAGTTCCCCAAAACCCTCTGCGCTCGAGGGAAGCGCATCCAGCCGATCAGGGCCTAAGCGACCACACGTTTTGAGAACGCGTTACGGCAAAGAACGTTACACCCGAAATGTAAAATGCGTTCTGGCGGCCAGTATGTAAAATACTAAATTACTGTATCGCCGAGCGCCCCTGCTGGACTCAGTGCTGAGGTCACTGGCGGAATGGCGGATGTACCTGACGGGACGGGAGTGCGGCAGCTTTGCTCAGGGACAGGGTTCCTTTTCTGAACTATGCTGGTCCTGGCTGCAGCAGGGGTGCCATTGACCAATGATAATGTTTCAATTGGTCCCCCACTTTCCTAATCCGTCAAGAATCACGGCTTAACATGCAATCGCGCTGAAACCCGCCAAATGTAGCGTTACTTCGTTAGTGGCCTGAATGTCATTGACCGACAGGAGCCAGACAATGTTTCCTTCCAGCTACGAAGGAATGGAAGGTAAAACAGCAGGAGACGGAATGCAGGTGAATAAAAGGAATTGATCAATTCTACCGATACCATTGATATCCTAAGCGCCCTAGGGGCAGAACTGCTAACTGAAATTATTAGACATTATTTCCACCCGCCGAAAGACAAAACCGCAGCCCTCCAAAGAAGTAACAACAAAAACAAAGAGAAGGAGGGAGAGTGAGCAGAGCAGATATACGAACACGTCTCCCAGTCCAATCAACAAACCATACTAGAAACTTAAAAGTCTCGGTACCTGAACTGCAGTGATGCGTACCGCAACACTTGTACTTGGGTCCAGCCTTTCCTTGAACGTAAGGTACCTCCACGGTGGGCGACCCCTTTCACACACTCTCTTGGACCTGATCTCTTACACTCCTATCCCTTCCGGCCCTTCTGGCATTTCTCGCATCCGTCGTATTCCCTCCCCATCCCCCTCTTGCCGTTGTCCTCGTGCGCGCCGTATCTCCTCCTGCTGTTCCTCCTCTTGTTTTCCCTGTTGTAACTACCTTCTTCTTATGCTTGCTAGTATCTTCATGACGAGCAAAGTCCCTCCTAACGTCGGTGGAGAAACGGCAAGGGTGACAGGTGTAGCGGTGGGAGGGGTGATGGTCGTAGGAGGTCCTGTAGACCCTTCTTCGGTTCCTCTCTCTGCTTCTGCTTCTTCTTACGGTTGTGTTCATTTCTTGTTCTGGGAGGTCTGGGGCTGGGGTATCGTAACTGGGATCGTAGTCAGGGTCGTAGCCATGGCCGTAGTTGTGATCGTAGTCGGCTACCGTCGTGGGGGTAGCGGTGGCAATGGTGGGCTCCGCGGGTGTTAAAGGAGAGAGAGCTGGACTCAGCAGAGGTATGCTGTTGGGCATCGTGCTCGTCGGTATCGTCAGAGTCGGGTCGAGGTCCAGGCTGAGGCCGAAATTGTGGGATTGCGCATGGATATCGGCATAGTCATGCATCGGGGTCCCTTCGAGGACCATGGAATCCATGCCATGGACGCCAGGAAAGTTCCTGTTGAAGGAGCTTGGTGGCAACACTACGGAGCGGTGGAAATTGTGGTTATTATCATAGTTCATGACATCAAAGCTCCGCTCTGGGTTTGCGCTGTACATCATCCCAGTGTTCTGGGTGCTTTCCACGCCTTCCATGTAGTTGACTCCCGGAAAAGACCTTGTAGGGAACCACCCATAATCGGATCCTCCCGGTATAGATTGTTCTGGGGTTGGAAAGATATACGGGTATACCCCCGTGGGGGGCATGTCGAGTGGTGGACCGGCGTACTGGTGATATTATGATGTTAGCCGTAGTGAATGCGAAGCCTTCCCGGACTAGAGTGGACAGGAACCGAAGGGGCCGGGCGAAGTCAACAGTTGGTGCTTGTGGGACGTACATGATTGGTAGAATACAGCGTTTGGCCGGTGTGTCCAGAGTCTGGTTGCGTGTACGGGACTAGTTCCAGGTCCATCCCGCTGCCATCGTAATCAACAGTTTCTTGAACACCGGAGATGTCCGGATGAGTGTTGGACATGGACCCGGAGATGTCACCGTCGTTGATGGGAGAATAGTGCGTCGATGACCAGTTGGCCTCCATTGGCATGGTGTCCTAGATGGTTGCTTGTCGTTAGACTTGAGTGCCGCGATTTCTGGAGACAGATGCTTCTAGTACTTCTCGAGCGAAGCGTCCTCGACTGTCGACTGAACGTAGGTATGGTATCGAGAGTCTAGGACAGCACCTGGTGTTGAGATTCGGGAAGTGGTAGAAGATCCGGACTCGTGGGTGTCTTATGGAGTTGAATCGAAGTCATGGCCCAGACCTTCTGGTGAAAAAGCCGCACATAACTCACAAGGCTTCATCTTGGGTATCGATAGAGTTGGTCGTCTATGTCGAAGCTCGAAAGCCTCGGGCCACGAATCGCAACTGGCATCAGATACCACAGACATGGAGCAGACGTGGAAACAGTGATGTGATTTGCTGGCGACAGGGCTAACTCCGGCAACATCGTCTGGAGCCTTTCTTCATTGCGCGCTGCCTTTGAGGTAGACAGGTTGTTGAAGCGCTATTGCCGACATTGAACCGGAGTATGGAAAAGTCGGGGTTGTAGAGTCATTGCAATGATCTGAATGCAAGGCTGGAAGACGATAGAAAGGCGTAAAGAGATGATTTGGCAGATGGTTGTGAGGAAGAGAATGGAAATGCGAGGCGCAATTGCTCGCGCATCCCGGTTGTGTTTGTGTTGTAGAAGGAAAGTTGCCCAGAGTTCGAGGTCAACCCTGCAAATAAACAAGAAGCGAGTGTAAATGCCTGTTAGCAGGTACCTTCTGAAAGCCCTGGTTGAACGGGAGAAAACAAGTTGCGGGCTAACAGACATGAGGAGGTTTAGCGGCTCTCGGCAGTCGCGGGGTAGACTGACTGCATGAACCAAGTCGAAGCTTCCACTTGTTTATTGTTTTTCTGTGGACCCTTGACTTTACACGTGTGCTTCATTTGATGCCTGTGAGCGCCGTGCCGAACAGACCAGTGGACGGCATCGCATCGTGAATAATACCGGAGGCCGTCCGACTGCGGCATCGATGTTGTCGAAGAAGCGAACGGTGGAGAATGCAAAACTTACAGGTCATTCAGCCTCATCTAAGGCGATCTCAGCCGCTAGACCGTTTGGATTTTGTCGATGGGGTTCGGAATGCCAAAGACGATGTGTGTCTGCATGCTCCGTCCTATGATCTGTCGAAAAGAGCCGCCAAACCGATTCCACCACGTCTTTAGTCTGAATGGCGCAGTGTTTCACATTTTCAGATGACGCCATACGTGAGATCGGATGAAGAAAACCTATCACATCGCATGGAGCTCGGTCCATGGTCGGACGAACGACGGCCATTCAACGTCCAAGTGTCTCGCTTGCTTTGGGTCGGCATGTCTTGGCGATCTGTGCATTCAAACGTAAAGCTGTTGATGATGACTTCATAAACCGCAGTACAAAGGGTTCCGAGCATTGAATTACTTGCATGTAGATGAACAGAATCGACAATTGTTGGAGTTGCAAGTTGAACGTACAGCTTGACGGTACGTTGGGTAGCTACGTGAGGGTTGATCCTCAGTACAAGGATGCCCAACCAGTCAACCCCAGTGCTGACACTATCACTGTGGTACGTCAATACCTGTGTATAAGCACTCGCAAAACCCACAGAGTAGGCACCACATTTGATGCCGAGATCTAGACCGCCCACAAGGCCCTTGACAATAGTAGGCCGACATATGTTGAAGGTAGTTTCTAGTCGAGGATTGGCGATGTGATTTGCCGGGGAAGAGATGTGCCTGGTCTGCCGGTACTGTGTACTGTGCATACGGTACGTACCGGTCTGAAAACTACCGCAACCCACATATGACCAGGGTAAGATTCAGCCCGGCTGAGGCTGAGCCATGGTATAAAACACACCGTCCGTCACACCAAGTCCCGAGTACCGAATGCGCCTCTTCCCCTAAACACGTCAAGAGTGCAAAAGATCCTCGCTGGATTTTTTGTTATAACCACTGGCATTTTCCAATTCTTTTTGGTTAGCGCACCTATCGGCCAGTGCGGGCGGCTACGGAGTGCCTCAGGCTCTACCTATAGCGGCCTCCACATTCAACGACGAACGTTGACGTCTTGACGATACCTTACCGGCCAGCACAAGGATCGACTTATTCAACACCGACACATAGACAAGTAGAATAATCGAGGCAGTTCTCGCTACCCAGGCACGTCGGCAAGTCCGTTTAGGCTACGCGAGTGATTTCGTCGTAAGTACACCATTGAAGTTCACTACAGACCACAAGCTTTCAACAAAGATGCTCTGAGAGCCTCACTGCACCTGCTGAAAGGCTAGCATCTTGCCAACTAATCTTCAGCGCGGTGTCCTGTCCAGCTGAACGTCAACGCAACAATGCCAGCTTACAGCGCTGATTTGTCAATGTCAACGGAAAATGGCTTTTGGCGCCCTGGGTCGTCTTTATTCAGCTTTCTGGAGCCATAACGTGGACTGCCAGATACATGTAGTCAATCCATCCTTTGTTGACTTTCCTCGTTCTCGATTCTGCCCGATTTCCAGGTCCGTCAAGATGGATTGATGGTCCGTTGCCCAGACCTGGAGTTGCAGAGTCGACCAACACGTCGCAAACCGACTCATACAAGAGAATAGCGAGAACAAAGCAAGGCATCTTTCCACTTCATTCCGAAAGAGCGATGATTCAACACCACAAGACTCCAAGGCTCTCCGAAATCTTACGTATCTTCACAACTTCTTTCCCGACCACCATCAATCCCCCTCCGACCCACCCCAGCCTCTCCTGGGCATCTAACTTCTAGCTATCACTTCAAGCACTTTGACACCTGCTAACCTCCCTGACTTGAAAGTCTGACAGTCCGCTTACTGTTCCTCCTCTTTACATACTGGCTGTCATTACCGAAGCTCAAAAAGAGCCTCCTGAACTCGAAGATGAACACAATCCCATGGCCACTGATCGGTAATCGAGCGCAACTACACATGTCAGTTCCAAAACATACTTCCCGATACCATCCATCGTCCATCCCCCCTCGCCCAACAGCCCATCTGCGCGTCACCATACTTGAGCAGCGCAGTCGACCCAGTTCCTCATACAAACAACAGGACTACGCGTACCTTTTGCCCCTGGAAGTTCACCTGGAAGAAACCACGGTGAGCCAACTACGCCGTTCCGCCAACCGACCCGACCTGCCGACCGATCGCACCTAACGTCGGCCGCCATTTATGCAATCCCGACCCAAATATGGAGGCACGGGATTTCACAACTTCCTTAACTGCTGAAACCCCGTTTTCCTGGGAGTTCCGACCACATATTCACGTTTATTTACTTGGCATATTCGGAGATGGCGTTGTTGGGCAAGACTGTACACTACCGCATTTTCTCACTCATAACGGAGATGCTTTGTGGATCATACCTCTACTGGTATTTATGAACCAATCCAGTTGGCAAGATGCTGCATATGTAGCTAAGAGCAAGCTCAAAACACCTTCATAATGTGTGGCCCGAGAAGCAGGTAGCGCTTGTACCGACCCCCAACTGCAGGGCAGAGGTTCGAGGCTCATGCACGCACCCAGGGCACCCCAACCCTGGTCTTCCTTGTTCTCGGTCATTCCAGGGCTCGCTCCAGTCGACCACACTCGACCCCCAACACCCGACGCTAGTGCCCTGTGCTCCCTGCGACTCCACTGTCGAGGTCGCGCCCACGGTGCGCACCCTGTCTTCCAGGTTGGCAGGGGGGGTACCTGAAGGGAGGTACCACTGCAACGTCGAGGTACAGAGGTACGGGGGTACGTACACCTCCTTCCACTTCCTCTGCCCGCACTCCCGTCCTCTTACATCATTATCTGGACGGACACCACGGGGCATAACATCACCCCACCAGACTCAACCGCACTCAACTACCTCAGCGTACATGTTGTTCTATCAAAGTGTCGTATTCATAGATGTCGAGGAGAAATGCATTCGTATTCGATGTTGTTGGTGTTGGTCGAAGAGACGGTGGCTCGGCCAGATGACAAGACTTGACTTGCAAGGGAACAAGGGATGCCGGGTGCCGGACTAAGCGGCGGTGCAACTAGTCTGAAAAACGAGTCGGGAATAATGTGGCGGAAGTGGATTCGAGACGTTGTTGCTTGTTCTGCCCTTCCCCAAAAAAGCATCGTTATGAGCGAGAAAATGCGGTACACTACCAATCCTGCCAAGCTTCGAGACACTCGGACATCCTCTTCTAATTGGTCGAGTCCGGTATGATGGCTCCTTTCTCACCAATGGGAGCTCTCCATTTGCTGGGACGCCAGCCCCACCTGCCCGATTTCCATTCAGCGATCGAAGCCCATCTTGCCAATTCGCTGTAATCCGCACAGCACAGGGCATATTTGATAGTGCGCTATCTGGCCACGTTATTGGGCTCAAGAACATTGGGCTGGTACTTATCAATCCTCAAGCCAGCTCTTTTGCTGGGCGGGGGGTTTTGATGTAACCCGCAAGCCGCCCGGTTATTTTTTTTTCTTTTTTTTTGGTCTTTGTTGAGTGAGCTGGCAGAAGGTGTGTCCGCCGTCGGTAACCGGTAAGGCTTGGGTGTTATCCCGAGACTTTTGCAGATAGGATAGACAAGCACCTTGGACCTCGAAGTGAACTAAGCCAGCGACGCCTGCCGACTGAGTGGGATCCGATAGGCCGTGGGGGGATGGGGGGATGGGGGATTGGGTGTACTGGAGGATTGGGTGTACTGGAGGATTGGCCCTTCCATCTTTCAATCGTTTTGTCCGGGTACATCCAACCCCAGAGACAACAGCCGCTATAGCGCACTTGGCCCCTGTAACTTACAGCGCTCTACCCCAGAGACACTTCGCCGTTGTCAACAAGCAACCAGGGGGTGTACGGGGATCCTTGTACTGATGGATCCTTGCACATCGGGAAAGTGCAAGTCTTGCAACCAAGCCACAGCATAGGCATAACAAGCGAGCGACCCTGGTGCAGCAAGTTGAGGCATAAATGTGAAGTAAACGAAGACGATCCAGATGAGAGATGGGTTTCTCATTAATAGAAATTGGCCCCGAGAAAAAAGGTACCCAGGTACCTGTCGGTTTTGGTGCGCCAAGCGGCAGAACCCCGCTTTCATGACCAACCAGAATCCAGGGAATAGACACCAAGAAGTGCGCTGCTGCAAGGACCAAAACACGGCGCACTCGAACCGAGAGCGTCGATAGGCCGGGCCGGGCATCACCAATCATTGACATCGAAACTTACAAGCCGCATAGGCACCACTGGACCAGAGGCGGAGCATATTCTGGTTGCCAGAGACGACGGCATTGAAGAGTTGCTTGATTCGAGCCGGAGTTACCCGTGGCCAAAAAGCGTCCGGTGGGATGAAGTTGCTGCACTGCAAGTCTGGGGATATAGATCCCCTTTTTCATCTGCTCTTCACGAACAATTCGTAGTTCCTCCACAAGGCCTCAAAACATCTGATGGTTTGGCCTCCTCGAGCCTTGACTATTGCTCAGGTTTTAAAGGGAACTAAAGCCCATCATGGTCCCTCCACTGTTGTTCTCACTCTTCAGCTCAAGCCGCTCTTCATATCCAGACATCCGTTCGCCAGAAAGCAAACACCGACATAATGGACTTCTTTGCAAATCTTCACGGGTTGTGCCCAGTTCATTTCCCTGTCAATGCCAATGCCATGACCTTCCTCGACAATGAGGTTGATCAAGCCCAATGGGGCGGTCTCGACCTGGAACAAGCCCCCGACCAGCTCGTCTGTCTTTGCTCAGAGGTACCTACTTTCTCTTTGCCTATTCATGGACCTTCTCTGTATCTGATTCATGTTACAACCCAGCCCAAGTTGACTTGAAATATACTGGCGACTCATGATGTGGATGCCCATGCTAATCCTCATGCTTGTGTCCCAGTACGCCAGCCATGATGATGTCGACCTCGATAATGCTGGCGAATCGGCCATCGCTGAGCCGACGGCTCAACAATCGCTCCCCCAATCTACGCCAACTCATGGGGTCACTTTCAACAGCCTCAACTCTCAAGAGAGTAACGAGGCCTCGGGTTCAGCCTCCGCCGATCCGGCCTCATCTTCCATTCCCAGCCCCAGGCTCTTCACCTGCGACCACTGTGGTTCCATCTCCGCAAAGACGCAGCGAGACTTCAACCGCCACTTGGCTACCGCAAGGCATCGCAAGAACGCCAGCAGAAACGGTCGAGAAGAGATTCAGTTAAACTCGTCACCGAACCGTGGCACAGGATTTCGCTGCCCAGTTGCATCCTGCGACAATACATTCCCGCGCAAGGATAACCTGTGGAGGCACATTGACAAAATGCATGGGATCTCAGAGCGAGGAGAATGAGGAGACATTGTAAGGGGTCAAGGAGGTTGAAGTTAGTAGACTGTGTTTTTTTGTTTGCTGTTAGCGATCTACTTCTAAGGTGGTATAGGGATTTCAGCGGTAACTATGAGGTAGAGAATAAAGATGGGCAATTTTACAAAAACAAAGGAGCAACTCGATGGAACTGCTTTACCTGACAGAGGCGTTCTTCTACGGATCATGCTGGTTGACTGTTGAGCTGTATCCTTTCAGCGTATGGGTCTTGTGCTAACAAGCAATCTGGGTGCTTCAATGCCAAGGTGGCATCTCTGTGACCACGCGGAAGAGCCACGGGAGGGACATGGAGAAGTATCGTGCCTTCGTATAAAGCAATAAACACCTTTGGTCGTCCTCGATCTTATACCCGCTTCAACAATCGGAGCTGACTCCAATTGACGAGTGTCCGAGGTGAGTTTTGAGAACAGGGTCTTTGCTCACCTTGACTCGACTGCCAAGCCTTTGTGGAACCTGCTGCACTAACAATTTCACCTGCCAGCGATCGGACTCGAAACACGAAACTGCCCAAGGTCGAGGCAGGGAACTGAGGTTTGTGCCGCGCTTTCGCATGAACCGATCGCGGATACCAATTTGACCTTCTTTTCGCTCGTCTGGCTGGAGATGACAGGAGACCTGGAAGCAGATCGTCATTGAGGCCCAAGCTCACTAAGGTGCCGGGCTGTGCAGAATTGTCGTTAATCTCCGGAGACGCGATCGCTCGGTCAGTTGTCCGGTCCGGACCGCCTCCACTTCTCGATACAGCGCAAAACCGATGGTTGGACGTGCGAATAACCTCAAGACGGTTGTGCCGGCACGGCATTGTGAATTCGTGAGAGGTCGATCAAGGCTCGGCGCGGGAAGTTTGTGACTCTGTGAAAGAAGCTTCGGTCTCCAGTGACGCAGGTACCAACACGTGGGGTACCGGGATGGAATGTCGATGAAAATCAGGGGGCGGGGAAGAAGTCTGGAGGAGGTTTGGTGCTGAGGAGCACAAGGGAAAGGGTCCGTGCTCGCTTGTGTTTGGTGATCGTGATTCCCATGCTCGTCATTGTTTCACCAGGGGCAGTCATTTCCCCATGTCTCGCCAGTAGACGAACGGACTTTTGACAAGCAACGGTCTTGCATGGTTCAATCGCGAAACATTCTGGAAGACAAGAGTTAAATGGGAAAGGAGTTTGAGTCGGCGGGAAATTCCACGGCTTCCGTTGGTGCTCCCTTGTCGACGTGGTTATAATTGCTTGATGGCCATGATCACTCAGTGCCAGTCCAGGTGAGACAAGAGCCGGCGACTCGTATCAACCGGACAACTGAACTGGTTCGAGGCCGCCGCGCACATCCCACTCTGCTGGCACTGTTGATCGTCTACATCATTAGCTCCTCGCTTGTCGCCTTGACTTCTGTACTCGGTTGGGCGTAGCCTCGGGTTTTGGGCGATGCAGAGTTTTTGGCCGATATCCGAGCACGCACACCACATCGGATCATGGCAGCGACAATGACTTTGTATTCATTCATCAGGCTCTCGAGATCGTAGAATTCATGCGGCGATAAGGTGGCCCAGGTCCATCCCAAGAATCGAGCATAAAACCAAACGGCATCTCAAACTCGGGAAATCCACACTGGACCCGTGTTTTGTGTTTTGCAAAAAGATTGGATGGCGCTGTTGTGTCAGCAACTGAGCACAATTGATCCATGCTCCCTTTTGATTAATCGATGGGGCTGGATGTCGTACCCCTGCTTCTTATGCCTGCGCTAGACACCATTGACCAATAACAACTCCAGAGCAGAGCGGAAAAGCGGAGCTGGTTTATCAGTTTCGGCGTCGCGGGCATCCAGAGCTGCAGAGGCTCCATTCCGAAGGGCAGGTGCGAGTGGAGGGCTTCTGCTGTGGGCGTCGCTGTGGGTGAGCTAGTGAATTGTGGGCAAGCCACGGCAGGGTGCAGTGGCACCATGAGGTCCCGGTGCCGTCGTAACGAACCTTTTCTTCTTTCCCTTCTTCAACTCTTCTTCCCCTCTCCCCATCTCCTCTCGAATCCTTCGCTTCCCCCCAACCTCCACCAACCACCGCCCGGCTCTCTTTAATCGACTGCAACGTCAGCCAGGAGGCCCGATAAGTCGACCCTACACTCGTTCTCTACAACTACCAGGGCCATCCCACACACTCTCTTCCATCCAAATCCCCTCACCACCAGTCTGTCATTCAAACAAGCCTGAGCTTCCGGTCATTCCTCGCCCAGCAACAAACCCACCCTTTCATCTCCGAACTCGAGATCCGACAACGCAGAATCTTCATCCACGACATTACCAATCTTTTACCATCACATCCGACTCCGAAAAAACACTTCACTCTTTTGCACGCGACGACAACGCCGACGCTTCCGCTTGGCGCAATCGGTTGACACTCTCGTCCACGACACGACGACCACCCCTCTCCCACATTACAACACGATCAGAAATCTATCACAATGGGTCTCAGCCTCTTCGACCGCATCCAAGCCAAGATTGAGCTTTTCCGTCTTGAGCAGCGCTACACCCGCCGCCGTCATCGTCGCTCCACCTTTGTCTCCAACGCTACCTACGTCGATGGCGAGTATGTCTACAACACCCCCAACATCACCGGCTCCTCGGTGAACTCGAGCAAGACCAACACCACCCGAGAAATGCCCTTCTCCCCCGACGTCGGCGTCAGCTCTCCTACGGAAGAAACACCCGCCAGGAAGGTCTCCAACAGGTGGTCTACCGTGCCCGGATTCGGCAGCAGCTCGACCCCCTCGAAGCAGCCTAGCATGGAGAGCGTATCGCACCAGCAGCAAAACTTCGAGAGCCGGTACCAGCAGAACTCGTGGGGAAGGAGCTCGAAGCGCGTCAACTTCAACGAGGCCGATCGGTAGAAGCGCTCCGCTCGTTGGGTTGTTGCTGTGTAGGCCGATCACCACTGTTCGTACTTGACAAGGAGCGACATGATCAGGCACGCACGCATGACTTATCTGGGTAGGACATGGCCATTTCGGAAACGGATATGTCGCCTGTCTTCCCATCCACATATTCTTGACGCCCACATGACACTCGATCACGGCACGAACTGTTGGAACCGATCGCGCTTTGGCAATCCATTACATGTTCCACTTGGGCCCTGGATGCGCGACACGCCGATTATCGACTTGATGACGACGAACTATTACCCCGTTTTTTTTTTCTTTTGATTACCGCGCCAGTTCAGTTATGGTTAGAACTGCGCACTCACGACTGATCCACAAGGCATACTATCCATCGATGGCCTTCCACTCCTTGATGGACACGAACCTGCTTTTGTTTTTACTTCTTTTTCTTGGTTCGGCGCAGAGGCATTGTATGCTTTCGGTATCATACATGCCCTGTGTCTTTGACGGAGGAGCAAAGAAGGTCACCCGTAGATGCGCCTGCATCTTCAGCGGCAGTACCTCTGACCTCTAATTACTTTTGGGGTGGGAACTGGGCCCTGCATGCATGCATGTCACCATGCACTGGAGCGTGCTTGAACAGGCCAGTGAGGAAGAGGTGGTAAGGAACAGCCACAAGGTCGGCGTCCACCTCCATGGGGGAAAAGAAGGGGAAGATGAGGAGGCGGAGGAAGGACGGGCCAGACGCCGCTGGATAACGTCGCCCCATGTTACTAACGCCAACTGGAAGAATACGTTAGGCTATGTATTACCTTCTTGTAATTAGATCGGGAAAAGAAGAGGAGGATATGGCAATGACAACATCATATATGCACGAAAGAACAATGCGACACAACGTGCTTGTCGTTTACCTGCGTGTAGACGTAGGCTGCGTGCTTCCGCTACGACATGCTGTTTTTGTGCATAGGATGGGAATTACTTACATCCTGTCTCACTCTTCTGGCAACCCGCTTCGTCTCGTCCACTTCTCAAAACCGGCATCAGGACGAAAAGCAAGGATATACACACATGCCTACAGCGCGCCTTGAACCGCGTACAAACAAAACTGCCTGAGAACGGTGCAGCCGCGCCGTATGTTGGAGATGTCGAGAGCCTCTTTCCCGCCGTGCAACAATGGAAGTCGGAATATTCGGTGTTTGATCCTGTACAACGGTGGGAACCTAACCAACTCAGGCTCAGCCCCGCTCCACCTCACTTCATTGCCCCTGGCACCCTTCTCCAGGTGTCTTGTTGGCGGAAAAGGTGTGTAACGAAGGATAACTCGATAACAGCACCCGGCTGTTTTCGAATGCGGGTGAGACGCCAACCGCCGCAACATTCAGTTTTTGGTTGGTTGGCCTATATCCTGTGCATCACCCTAAATCCCCTATGATAGGCCAACCTAATATTTTGTACATGGAGTCGCGGGGATAACAGTGACCCCGTTTCCCAAAGCGATCACTCAACCACAGACCAGGATCACAAACAACTTGCATATTTCTTCCCTCGAATGTTATCATACAAAGCCACCGACTATGCGCCAAAACAAAGTTTCCCCTGGGAGAAGATGGCCTCTCCTCTTTTTCCATCTTCAAGGGCAGAGGAACTCTCTGACTCAAAAGGGCGAGCTTTCCCACTGCAAAGTCAATTACTCAATCCCAATGTTGTCACTCAAAGGAGCAAGAAGCTGGCCAGAAATTCAAAACCGCCCCTGCATAGCACACGCTAGTGTACGCTCAACATAGAGACGGGCCCTCAACTCCATTCTTTATTCCAACATCTCTTAAGCTCCAATGGACAATGAATCGACACCGAATGCTTACTTGGCTGTTAACCACGATGGCACCTCCGAGTTAACGTTTACGTACCAGAGTGCCTGCGAGCTTTTCACGGACATCACTCGATATAGCAGCCATATGAGATCGGCTTCAGACTTGGATGGAGAATATACACCAGATTATGCTGCTCAGGTACTTGTTCTTACTCGCTTTACATCACCCTTCCCAAACCTTTTTTTTTTGACTCAACCATGTTGATGGCCCGCTAACGCTGTACTCATCTTCCTCCAGTACCTGAACGCTGACTTTGAGCCTTATTCCTCGTCCCCGAGTCTTCCTCAGTCCACAATTGACTCCACTTCCAACGACGCATGGTCTCAACGTCTTGCTCCCGTTGTCTACCATACCCAGAACTGCGGAGATTATGGAAACATATCCTGCGTTAACCCGATGGATGTTACCGGCACCTCTGCCTGGAACGCAGTTGACAATGACCAGCCCCAGTCATCACTGACAACCTCTTTCCACCCTGTCAACTATCCAGAAACTCAAGCTGCCCCTGTTCAATGCTCAGAGCCGATATGCAATGGCACATCTGTACCCTCGTCAACCCAAACGACATCCTACCCATGCTATAGCCCGGCCCCCGAGACCGCAGGACAGGCCCCCAACAGTGCCAGCACCACAAGTGTCGACGGTAACCGCTACACCTGCAACGACTGCCGCGTTTCTCCCAAAACCAAGCGCGATTATGAGCGCCACCTGAAGACAAACAAGCACAAGATGAAAGGCAACCTGAGCAATGGTAGCAACGGCAGTGGCATACCTGGCGCGGCAGTGGCATCCACAGGGTTCCATTGCTCAGTCGAGGGCTGCAAATACCATTCTTCGACTGGCCGGGCGATTACTCGTGAAGATAACCTGCGGAGACATGTCAAGATTGTGCACGGGATGGACTTGGGTCGGAAGAGTGAGGAGTAAATGGGAAGTTTGCGCATAATGCTGTTCTTGGAGTTTCGGCAAGGGTTTTAGTTTCTGGAGGTGTAATTGGGGTGTTGTACTATTGAATAATATAGAGGTTAGCGCACTAACCCAACTCTTGTTCATTTGTATTGTCTTGCGATAGCTACCGATCTAAGATGTCCGTGCAGAATACCTAAATCCACTCGCAGGGATTCGTCCATTGTATCTGCAGGCGTTCGGGACGTGCTCCTGTGCTTCCTCTAGCCTTCTTCCCGCATCCCGTCTCGCTCGGTACCGGTACGTACCAGACAGAGACCGTACGAAAACCACAGGTAAGGAAATATCGTCCGGGCACCGTTCCAAGAAAAAGTGATAGTTGCCACTGGACGCCGTCGGTATTGAAAAGAACAGGCGACGCTGAGTGAGTGTGTAAAAGGGTAGGGAGGTGATAATGAGGGAGGAAAGCCAGTTACAAATCCACGTCCAAGCAAAATCAAGGCAAGAGTTGCACCAAAGCCACCCGCTGTCAAAAGATACCTTCTCCGGGTACCGAACCCGATATCAAAGATCTTCGGACATAGGAAAAGCTCCCGATGGAGGTGATGAAAGAAAGAGTTCAAAGGGCATAGCAGATGTGATAATTTCACAACCCATGCAGGAAACCCTGTGGAGCCTTCAGTTTTCCAGCTTCTTCCATGATTCGCACAGAGAAAGATAAAGAGGAGCAAAAGGAGGTGCGGGACATGATATTGATGGTCTATCGAAGCCATCAATCCTACCACGACCGGAGGAATCCCACCGCAACAGATTGGGTTGAAAGTTCAGATTGGCTGAGATATTCTTGTTATCGTTTCATTGCCAATAAGAGAACGCATAACAAGACATTATTGCCAGAATGACTGCCCACCAACACACAGCGCTTACTGTGTGCGGTGAGAGAAGGGTCACGGTAGACTAAGCTGGTTCCGCCGCATCGCCGGCATGGCACGGGAGAGAAAAAGCAATGAAATTCAGGTTAAAGCGAGAGGGGGGGAGACGATGGACTGGCTGTTGACCATTTATGGGACATCCTTCATGACATATGAATATTCTGAGCAGTGAAAATGGCCATCAAAAGGTCCAGGCATGCCGTCAACCTGGAGAGAAAACTGTTAGCGAAATGGCCTCCATTTCCGTGCTGACCACATGAGAATCCGAGGTTAAGACAGGGTTGAAGACCCTACTTGTGTTACACACACCCCTGGCAGACCCAGGCATTCAAACATCCTTGCCGTCATGCCGATTCAAAACGGTTGCACCAGATTAGTGACAGGCTCGCAGGGCTCACTATCAGCTGCTTATCATTCAAGCAATAGGAAGGAAAGCCATGGTCCATCCACGGACCATTGATGCATACCTTGAAAGCCGGGCCCAATGGACGTCGCAAAGCTGTTGCCATGACGAAGCCTCTTGCTCGTCAATTGGCCCTTGGTCCGACTCTTTCGAATCTACTGCGAAGAAAGAGAGTAGGTAAGCTATGTCTAAGCCCGACCCTGGCTTTCTAGGTCTCACCAGGAGAAGACGTGGCCGTAACTGAGCGTGGCCGAAACGGTACCGTAAGTGGGATTGACCATGCAAATGTATATCCATCGATTAGTAAGAGGCGGGAATAAGGACCCTTCGCCAAAGAACAGCAGACAGGGAAGTAACAGTCAGCATTCAATCACCAACTCACACTGCTTCTTTGGTGGAAAGGAGGCATTCGCCAGCCACCATGTTTTGGAAATCAACAGGATAAAGAGTGGCTCAGAGGGGTGTCATCATTTGGACCCCTTTTGGCGTATTCGGAAACCTGGATGATGGTGGTCTCAATGCAAAAAGATCCAAAAGAGGCATGGCCAAATGTGCCGATGGGTGGTTTTGTTGATGGTTGTGGAAGTTCCCGTGTGACCCAATTCGACTTCCTGTCTGACGGCTGAAGCCCTCCTGTAAGTCGCGGTATATGAGCAATGCCGCAACGTAACGAAGCCTACGGGGTCCAATAATGTGATCTGGAGGAGGTCGGGATGATGGCTTGAAAGTAGGGGAAGTCGAGCTTTCATAAAACATGCCTACCTGGAGCAGAATGAAGTTCAATGTCGATCCGTACCGGATTTGGATAAGAGCTTGACATGCCCAATGAAGAGAAGACATCAGAACGCCTCTGTCTTCGAGAGAATATTTGAAGCACTTGGTTTTGAGAGGGTCCTGTGTGATTGTGACGGTGATGAAGCAGAGGCAACCACAAAAGTGTCCGCCGAAAGAGAAAGAGGTTGCCGTGTGGTGGGAGGTTGAACTCTTGCGAGTGTTCACCAACGGTCTGGACGTCTTGCGTATAACTGCACCTGCGATCCATCCGAGACGTCAGGGCGTCAGACTGTTCCGGAATGCGAAGCCTCGCAGCAGACTATTAGTTCTGATCCGTCCCGGTGGGACGAGTAGTCGTCTCATTGGCCACTAGCCTACCACTGGCAGTGCGAGACAGGGGAAGACAGTCATTCCGAGGGGATGGTTGTCACTTTCAGAGACCTCCTTCTGTTCCGCCAGCTCCACGCTCGTTCACCGTGCAGGATCTCGATTCAGTGACATGACAGCCAGGCCATGGAGACTTGGCAGAGTCACACAGGGGACCTGTCCGATGTCTCCCGCCCCGCATGCCGGTGACGGTTACACAGGTTGTTCTAGACAACAAGTGACACACCCCAGCACTAAGGGCATCCAACAAAAAGTGAAAAGTGACACACCCGAGGGCATCCGGAAAAAAAGTGATAAGTGACAGAATTCAATGAGGCTCACTATTTCAGCTTGTCGCAACAAGCTCAGGAACACGGCATCCGGTAACACTCAACAACACCATACATTCCAACCTTACCTAATTGCGTCTTGCACAATTGCTGGCTCTTAGTGACGACCGCTAACGCAAGTTCATACACTTATGAATCTTGAGAAATCTGGCTGGGATTCGGGTTCATTCAGGGTCGCATGGACATGGCCTCTTTCCTTGGTTTTTACAAAAAGGATGGACGAGAAACCGAGTCAAAGGAAGAGACAGTCAGCCGCCCCATGATATCTTCACTGCATGTCACATAGACAACTTTCTCCTGGCTCCATCTGCACGGTCAACGGGCTAAACACAAAGACAAGGCGAACCAACCAAAGTGTGGGTAATTGATTGATTGGAAGGTTGAAGAGGGAAGAGAGGGAATTCCCCGCTGGATTGGAGTAAATACATGAACGGGATTCTGGTAGAGGTTGGGTGACGTCTGCCATACGGGCCAAGGCGCACACGGCTGCGGTAATGTCACCTCGTTGCACTTGCCAACCTCGTTGGCTTCTGATCTCAAACCTGAAATCTTCAACGATACCTCTAGGTATTTGTCCTACCTCACCTTTTTTGCTTCAGGTGCCCTAGGCCATGTATAACCCTAATGTTTCGCCATTCCAAGTGTAATGTTCCGTTTTAACAGTTACACGTCTCGTCTCAAACGGCCCAGGACCGAGCCACGTGAGCCTCATTGAATTCTGTCACTTATCACTTTGCTGGCTGGTTTCTGTCACGCTGGTTTCTGTAGGTTATTCATCACTTTTTTCCGGACCGCGCCGTGTCTGACCAATAGCAAACCTTGCCCCGACACTCAATCGACCGTCAATTGGAGCCAGCCCAATCTATCTAGGCTTGTCATACTTGGACCCGGCAACCCAAACAGTCTCCTTCCATGCCCGGGGGCGGCAAGAGACATCCAAATCCATTTCCCCAACACCCACGCCAGCATGTTGCCCACGATGTGTTCAAACTCTATCAACCAGGCATGGCCTCTTTTTCTTCCCCATCAGATCGTGAGGCTCGCGGATTGAAAAAGGAGGGCTTGTCCGCTCCAATACCGAACAAATGTCGTTAAAAGCATCAACCAACAAGCCCACGACAAGGCTACTTGAGCACGATGGAGTTCAACCCGGTGTCGGCCCTCTGCTCTCCTATTAACAACGGTAGCCTCTTCGAGACCGTCTTTACCGCTCAACCCAACATTCAGGTTCCGTTTACGGACATCGCCTACGACAGCGACCACCTAAATGCATCTTCCCACCTCTTGGAGCAGACACAAGATTCTATCGATCCAGCACTTATGATGGTAAACCATGTACGTTCATTCCGAAGGGAATTCAAGAAGAGACGCATGGTGACAGTGACTAACGGCCTGACCCGATCATCTCAGTACTCGATCGACGTCGAACCTCTTTCCCTGTTTGCAGGCCTCCCTCCCTCAGTACACGAAGGTCTACCCGACGAATGGCCCAAGCCCGCCTCTTCCGACGCCGCTCATGCCGCGAGTGGCAAAGAGGACGAAAACCTGCCGTCCGATTCCCCGGCCTTTGGTCCAGAACCTCAGGCTACCTCTACCCAGTTCCTTGAGCCGCCATCAACGAACGTTTCGGCCGGGACTCCGGCTACCGCACCCCCTACTCCCTCGTCTCCAGCGAGAGATAAAGCACCACGCACTCGCAGTCTCAGCCCTCGTAATTCTCGCTACGCCTGCGAAGATTGCGGTATCTTCTCGAAGACGAAACGCGACCACAAGCGTCACCTAAACACGAACAAACACAAGACCAATGTCCAAATTGCTGGTAGTAACATGTCCAGTCCTCCGGTCACGGCTACCGGGGTTCACTGCCCAGTCACGGGCTGCAAGTACCACCGCTCGACCTCCGGAGGAAGGAAGCTCTCGCGCGAGGATAACCTGTGGAGACATATTAGGAAGGCGCATGGCATGGAGATTTGCGGCTAGCCGTGAGCCTTGAAGGATGGGATATTGCACAGATGCCGATGGACCTGTAGAGAGATAGAAGCCGGGATGTTAATAGGGCGTGATTTTTTTCTTGCTTCGAGACCCAAGTTGGAAAACGCAGCTGTTTAATACCTGTACCATCCACATTTCCGCTGCTCTATCTCGCTATTGTCTTTGAAATTTTGAAGCAAGTGTAGAGGTAGGGGATCGAGTCGGGCCATGAAAGACCTGTCAAAGTGATTGGGATGGGAAAGATGCTGCACGCAGGGTCCTGATTGTACAATGTGCCAGTCCGACAGCCCCTGGTATCTGCAGGATGCTGTAGGTGATTGGATCCGGCATCTTGATGTATGACTTTCCTTTTCTAAGGCAGAGCGGCTAAAAGTTCCTAGGCGACTCTAGGCGCACTGTGGCCCGCTCCATCAGTTTGTTCGTTACGCTTGGCGAACCATTTTCGGTATGTAATGAAACCGTAACGGGCACACGTGGATCAGGGCGGATCTGGGCGGATGGCGCCGTCGAAGATCGCCCTTGGCGGCCCGGGATCTCCACAGCACACAACGCTCGGACGACATTTTGATTTCTCGTCTCTGTCAGCTCGGTACCGTACCCGCTCTTCCTGCCGGACAAGAGGAGAGACGGCGTAACGGACGGACAGAACTTAGCAAGAAAGCCGCAGTGGGAGTGTCCCACAACGGAGGACGGATTAAGGCATCCTGAACAGTTGGAGCGGCTTTCCAGAACGGATCACATGAAGAGCCAACGAGCCAACGCAAGGCGGCCACAACGCACAACTAAAGTGTGCGTCAATCACCCTTCATCGACTTGAAAGTATCCGGTACCTGGGCTCTTTGCCCAGACCAGCAAAGGCGAACGCGAATAAGCTTTGCGACTCAGTACACTGTACACGCGCACACGGGCGGCTGGGTTCGCCAAGTAACTCGCGGGGTTTTGGTTGCCTAGGTCGGCGACCTGGCCCGCGGGTTTCACTTATTCGTGTCACCATATAAGCTTCCATACAAGATGTAGGACTCTCAAAGTCCGTGCCATCTTTCCGAATCCTGAAAGCGGAAAACACAATGCCGTGCACTGACGATGGACAATGTAACAATTACATGACGGAGATTGCATTGCAGCTGTAAGCAGCGGCTACCGCGCCTGAACCAACGACGCTAACAACAATGATGCGATGTGATGCTGGACTGGGTTGGGACATAGTGAAGGGAGCCAATCAAATCGGGCCCAACAGCTCCTTCGTGTTGAGGTAAAGGCCCGCTCTCGAGATGGAAGTAAAATTGCCCAAGGCTGAGCAGAAACTTCAAAATTGACGATGAGCTCATGTGCTATGGTGATTTCATTAAGGATGGAAGGGAAAACTGACCTCCAGAGACCGGGATTGAGAGAATACCAAGGACAGGGTAGAACTGATTTTGAGTCCTCGCAGGATAAGAGGTCGGCGGCGCAGGACCCTGACACCGTTGGTGAGTTGTGAGGCAGCCAACCCAGTGGTTCTGCCCCTTGTGGGCGGACGATCCGCAACGCCCTCTTGTCCGACGCTCTCAAGACGGGAGGCGTGGGGAGGTAGGATCGTTACCGATCTTACTGTGTAGACCTTCACACACGCTCTAGGCAGAAACGTGCAATTTGTATCCCGATTATCCTTGCACTCTCACGCGCAACTCCCAGATCTACCAATGCCAAGAGTGGCAGTGTTGGTGGGATACCTTATCCAGTACTAGCATAAGCCTATCGGCAAGACGGAAGCCAGATTTGTTCGCAGAAATGCCAGGTGAAGAATGTCGCACAACATATACAATGCTCACCTATGGCCAGATCCTAGTCAGAGGTCATTGAGGGTAAACAGCCGTTGTCATCCAGCTGCCGAACCCGCTGATGTGGTGTGGTGTCGGAAGTAAATATCAGAATGTGTAACAGGGAGGAAAGATGCAAGATCTTCCAATCATCGGGGCCAGAACAAGACCGTAGGTCGTCAAAATCGCCGGCAAACCTCCAGACATTACGTACCTCCTATACGCTCAAACACGTGGCACCGAGGCCACATGTCAGGGAAAGAAACAAGAAACTCCCACGACGGTCTGACGAGGCGTACACGAATGTTTGTTCGTCGGACCAAACCCATCCTCTGAAATCTCCTCGGCATCATCGAAAGAGCGGGATTTTGCGGCCAATGTTCGTGTGTTGCCGTACTGCAGTGCGGACCGTGCACTTACCTACCTTGTTCTCCATGTAGTATCCTTCGTTGAAGAGTTGCGTGCCTTTTCGCTTCGAACGCCCGTCGAGCTCCAGAACTGCCAACTCACTCGTTCTAGTAAAAGTACCTAGGTATCGGCTACTTTGACTTGGGCGACGGAGAGAGGTAATTGCGCGGACGGCGAGGGCCTCGCTCATCGATTTCCTGCTAGTTATAAATCGCGGCTTGTCGTCTTCTTCCTGGCGAACTTTCGGTCGTCCTCCGTCACGAGCTCGCGGGCTCCCGGCCCACGTGTTCCCAAACCGCCTCTTCCGTTCAAACTTTGGTCGATTTCCCGTCGGTTCCAGTCTTGCTCAACCTTGTCGTGAACCTCTTTTTGAACAACTGCAGCACCGCGATGGACCCCTTGGACCTCTTACAGCCCAAAACACTGCCTGCGATATCTGTTCCTAATCCATGGGGCGCGAATCGAATGCCACATCGGAGGCCGGTCGTTGCGTTCGGGTCTTGGGAGGGGTATCCGTGTCTGTATTTGGCGCGCAAGTTTCGTCGGGATACCTGGGTCATAGGCATTGGGGCCTTTTCAAGACGGGCATGATGTCGAGATAGCAGCGGTGCGCTATGACGTCCGGCGCGTAGTATCCCGTTGTTCCCCCCATGTCCTGTTTACCAAACTCATTTCGCGCTTCCACCTAAGCTTTAGAATAGTTCCAGCTCTTTTCTCATTGTTCGTCTGTCATCCTAGTTGCGATCGCATGGGTGTGCGGACTGCGGACTGCGGACTGGCGAGGAGCCCCGGTTGTCGAGAAATCTTATGGTGTCATGATTGCCGTCCGTGAACTTTTCGCGTCGAGGTTCGGTCGATACAGTATGGAGAAATCGCAACCGGAAGAAGGAAGAACGAGTTAATGCTGACGATTAAGGGAGAATCAAAGGCAGTCAATCAATGAAGGTTGAAAGATGGTCGTTTGCCGCCATTCTTTTGCGAGGGAAGTGGGCAAGAAATAAGGAACGGTGCGCGGATTCCAGGTGCGGGTTTCAGGCCACACAACGGCCTTATGTAACGTGTGATCCGGGCGGTTGCGTGGGCTTACATAAAGTGATACAGGTAAGATAGTGTGATAGCTGAAATCATAACAAGATCTAGCAGAAAGCCGAGAAATCTGGGCGGCTTGAAGATAAGAAGAAATAGGCACAGATCCGCAGGCTACCACTGGTGTAACTGCTGTGAAACGTGTGGGCTTTGGCCTCTTTTCCCCCTCAGCTGCTTGCCCGAACTATTGACAGCACAACCCGTTGGCATATCCCTCACCATCATCGTCTAGGTCATCACCCGGATCGTCTTTAACCATTGCCCAAATACCTTCATGGCGCTAGGAATTGTCGTTACGACTGAGCTTGTTGCCTTCGGATCGAGTCCGGTCGCTGCCAGACAGTTCACAGCGGTAATTGTTAGTGCAATGGCCCTGTGGGGAAGCTTGACCAAATCCCATCACGAGGTGAACAATCCGGGCAAGTCACCTCGGACACTCGAATATTTGGATCCCTTCTAACAATCTGCTTATATATATCTGGTGCCAGGCTCATTGGAGATCGCCAGAAGAAAATCCTACAACAACAGTAACACTTTTGTCCCAATACTTTTCGCCATTTTGGGACTGGAACTCCAGCAGCTCCCAAGTTTCGGCAATCGTCAAGCCTCCCTTATTCCTGCTTGATATTGTGTACATTCTTGTTGTGTCTCTTCAAATTGTCTTTTCGAGTGAAGCTCTTCTCTTTTGCATATTTGCAAGTGTCGTCCATTGGCTCAACTAGGATTGGAGAAGAACAGGCTCATTGCAAGGGGGCTGTGCAAAGAAAATCTCAGGAACTAAAAGGCTTGTTGAGCGTGTTCGGGTCAAGGGTGAGCGGTCTTTGGGATTTGATACACCACACAGGTTCCGAACTACCTCCTCATATGGCCGTTTTCTCTCAGGTACGCTTGTTCCTTTCTTCCCCTTTGACTGTCGAGCGCTTTCTTCCCAGAAACCAGTGGGAGACAACCTTTCAGGGCAGCTGCCAATCACACTTTGCTCTCTCCGGGCCCTTGGGAATGAAAGAGGGTGTAGCACATAAGCACCCAGGCAAGCCACAATTCTCGGACTGATGCCTGAAAAGCAGCCAATGCTGAGGCGCTCTTGTTCACAAGGCTCCTCCTCACCAATGGCTTTTTCCAATTCTCATGATTTTTGGACCTATCATGATGGGACACCTCACCCCGCGACCCTTCCAAATACTTGGAAGCAGCCACCAATGGCATTTTCGAGATGTTCCCGATTTTTGGACCATTCAGGTTGTAACAACTCATCCCCATCCCACACGAACACCCAGAGAGCCTCATGCACAAGGAACAAAAGAAATCTGGCAAATGTCTCGTCACAATCGAGGTATTACGCACTGCCTCAGCCAAATCGGAGAATTAAGCCCCCGCGTTGATTGGTCATTAGGACCTTTATGTTCTTTCCTTTCCTTCTCGCCCCCCTTTCCCCTGGTACCTGAAATCCTGAAGGGCCGAAGTCGACATATAATTTTCCCAGTGAGGTCTGGCACAAACGGGCGCTGCGATTGGTATTTCCCAGTTGACACATGTACCTATACGTGTAGGCCATCAACATGCTCATGCATGTCAGATTTTCGCCCTTGTTCATCTCCTGCTCGATAAATCGTCCGGGCACACGCCGCTACACATAGGGGCCGCCAAGCCCAACATGTAGAATGTTGTCCGGTGTGGTGGTTGTGGTGGACGGTGGTGGTTGGCGGGCGGGTGGGAAGACTTCGACTTCGAAGTCCGAATGAGCCGAAGGTATCGCGAAACTTTTCGCGACGGGAAAAAGGCAACTACTAAGGATCGAACTAGCAGTCACAAGAAAGAAAGCAAACACAAGAACCATTGGGCCCATTGGGCCACTGGCCCAATCGAATGAGAGAGACGTCCGCTGTTTCCGTTAATATAGTCAATTCGAAGCCCGGGAAGGAACCGCCGTCCCTCGAATGAACTCCAAGAAGTCGGAAGGAGTTAGGAAGGAAGCACCATTACCCATCTAGGTCTGGCCGACACGCCCAGATTGAGCATCTAGCTCAAACGACGCCATCTAGCCTAGAAGCCCGCCCGGTTTTCCCGTTATGGTAGCTGGCTGGGGCAGGTGAGAACGAAAGACAGGAAGATCTTGCCTGTATGTAAAGATATTTGTATGTAAAAGAAGAAAGCAAAGAAATAAACCATCAAACCAAATGCCACTGTAGTCGCTATCATCCATTGCCCCTGACTCCCTTTTACTCCCACTCTGTTCCGTTGACATTCAGTTCCTCAACTCCGGGTCTTTGTGACCATGCTAAATCCCTTCTCTTTCTAGAGTCTTTCTTCTACTCCTCTACCTTTGCCCGTCAGTGCCTCTTCGTGTTTGTCTTGAATGCTACCATAGACCTGGACGCTCCAAAAGTCTCTTTAGGTTCGACGTTGTTATCAGACGATGCTTTCCCGCGTCAAGATGCCTCTTCAAGCGGTCCTTGCGGCGGAACTTCAATGTGCAGCCGCTGTAGGGGCAAGATATCTGTGGGCTTAAGGTCCACCCTGTACCGATCAAGTCGTTAGGTGTTTCATCATGTCTGTCATCAATGTGTCGCTGCATGTCCCTTTTGGCCGTCGACGTGTGGCCGCAGGTATTGATGGGGCATGGGATGCGATCTGAAGAACTGGGGCTGGGACTTCTATGGCGGAGGTGAGGGATGTCAGTTTGCGGTTCGCATGTTCGAGCGTGGGTTCCGGTGGTAACTGTAAGTGGTTGAGAGGCGCTTACCCGGAGTCGGCATTGTCTTGGGGAGATGGAGCATCGGCTGATGGCCCTGAAGTCTCTGAGGCCGCGGTACCTCTACCGTTGGAAGACTGGCCGATAGAGAAGTCGGCCTCGAGAGAATTGGTCATCTGACTCGGACCGGAGACGTTGGTCGTGGGCATTCCATTCAGTTGGACGTCGACCATATTCATTTGGCTCTCATGGTAGCTGGAGTCTTGTGTAAAGTTGTTCCCAACCGCCAGAAGAGTATCCAATGGCATGAAACTATTGGTGGAATCAGAGAGGGGGTAAGGATTGTTGTATGAAAGATCATTGGAAGCAGAGTGGTTTGCCTGAGGGGGGTTTCCATGTGGAAAAGAAGATGGATTGGCTGCCAAATTGGCGGAGATCTGACGACTCGTGGTTAGGTTATGATTCGTACCTCTAGACGTTGTTGCTCCCCGTTATAGAAACTCACTGGAGCAAAGTTCTCTGCAGAGAATCCCAAGCGATGTGCATCACCATAACCCGTACCAGCTATGGCGGGTGCCCACTGTCCATATGCCGCAGGCGCAGGGGTTGCTGAGAGGGCAGGGAAGTTGTTTGCAATCTGTGATTCGATAACCTTGATATACTCGCCGAGTTGTGAGACCCTTTGAGCATGCCAGGCTCGGAGGGCGCGGGCTTCCTGGAGAGAGTGGTGGCTACCCTTGTCCTCGAACGGGAGGTCAAGCGCCGCGCTTCCACTTGGCAAGAGGGCCGGGTCGATGACCGAAGAGCCGATTGGACAGCTGGAGCCCTACATATATGGTAGCACTCGAGATTAGTGGACGGGAACACCTGGAGCTGGGTCTTTAACTTTTATGCACGGCATCTCACCGAGTCATGTGGGTTCGCGTTTGACTGGCTGCTCTGGCTCTGCGCCGGGTTGCTGCTCGTGAATGGAAAGATCGGATTCCCAGATGAAGACGCCGAGGTCGCAACTGTATGGCTTTGGGCATTCAACGAAGGCACCGATGTTGGAATAGACGCATCGCCGGTGGGGGAAAGATTCATGTAGTCAGAGTCGTGTCCTATCACGTTGTTTTCCGTTTCGCTGGAGGCGAACCCATTCGGGATCATGTACGGGAAATCGACGTGATATGACATTGCCCGAAGTTTCTTGAATTTGGAGCAAGAGGTGACAATTACAAGATGTGGTATATACTACAGACGACATGTTTGGCAGCAATTCAGTGTCTTTTATATATGGATTGAGTTCTGGCTGAGGTGCTCTCTTCACAAGTGTCCAGTGTCCGTCAAACTCTTGGAGCCTTAGATCCTGGAATGTTCAAATGCCCGCGTCAAACTCAACGGTGGAGGGGGACCAAGTGTGGCTCTTATATCATCTAACTCGGGGACTGATCTGATAGACCCTGCCGTCGGTGGTCACGCCCCCGGCTGCAGGCAGTCACAACATGAAGCTGAGGTGTCTTCCCGTCATTGGTTTCAGTTCCGCTCCTCAGAAAGCCCACCTACGCACCTAGAGGTACGGTAGCCAATGGACTTGCTACAGGGCATCCAGGCCTCCAGGGCCTCTCTGACCAGGGGTATTCTCGCACTAACGTCGTCGGGAAACACCATAGGTCCAGCCTCCTCACACTTACAGGCACCGCCATGATACCGAAGCGGGAAACCTTGAGTTGCAACAAGCCTTGTTTGGGAGACAGGGCAATGCGTGGAAAGAAAACAAGAATTGTTTTCCAAACATGGATTGTCTCCCAAGCCCCTGGAAGTCAAAAGTATAGGGTATAACCTTCTATACTTTAGTGGTACCTTAAAGGCCACTAAGTTGAAGGTTTGCATTTGATCCAGCCGTGAAGGTTGTGGCATTGTCGGAATAGCTTCAAAAAGTTGGTCACGAACAGGAATCGAATGGAGCATGTCACGAGTACGAAGAAATGAAGAACTACTTCAAGAACCGCTTGGCCACTGAGCCAATTGGTTGTTTTTGAAGAAAAAGGCTGGTTCTTTCCGTTAATAAAGGGGATATTGGAAGTTGGGGGAAGGTAGGACTTTGAGACTTTGAGAAATTTCAAATTTCGGACCCGACCCAGCTCCACTGTATTACAGCGCTTATCCCCTGAAAGAAACATGGCTTGTCTAGAAAACAAGCCATGTTACAAAACGCATTTTCCCACTACGGTAGCCTCACGCAAGATCCCGTCCGATAAAATGGCATGGACCAGTTCCATTGACCACACGGGGCTAAAATGTCTGCCATGAGGCCCTAGAAGCGAAATTGGAAGCGCATTTGCCGAGTAAAGATCTTTGATCCAGATCACACGCATGTGAGCGTGTCGCGACCCCATTCGAGCGGGCTGGCCCGCCGAACCGTCAAGGTTGTCCCGCCTCAAGCCCCTTTGGCCTCTTGGGCCCCCTTCGGGCCCCTCCAGCCCCTCATGGCCTCAATCGTGAGGACGGGAAGCAAGATCATTGGATGTCATGTTGCCGAGCCAACGCCCAATCGGCTTTCCAATTGGATGAGATGATGATGGTCGACTGGTTGTCAATCAGATGAGGTCGGGTGCTTGGAGTTTGGACGTTTTCCAACCACCGCATCGGATGCAGATCCGGGCAGGTAAATATGTCTCTTGGTGAGAGAAACAGGCGGCTTAGATGGCGCACTAACGTTACAACACTGGTTTGTGTGAGCTGTTTCGCCAGTGCCGGTAGGGAGTTAGCTTTGCACAGGAAGCAGGCTCGATAGACTGGAACCCGACGTCGCAGAGAATCTCCCGCTTCCTTTGGCTCCTTGACGACCTCAATAAGGTAGCCTGCGTCACGCTGTACGAAGGTGGGAAACCCTGCAACATTGGGCGATAAGGGGATCTTTGGAAAACTTGATGCTCAACGAATTGATTTCAACAATGAAAAGCATTGCAGACGATTGATGAAGAAACGAAATGTCGATACTTGGTGGTGCAATTGCCTTGCAGAGTACAGTTGTTGTCGCATTGCAAAGTCCCGAAACGCAACCGTCAAAACCCCTACATACATGCTACAAACCAACAGGTAGTTACAACAAGAAGCGCCAATGGTCTAACGGCTAGGATTCATCCCTTCCAAGGATGAGGTGGGGGTTCGATTCCCTCTTGGCGCAACTTTTTTTTCTTGTTTTTTGGACCTTTTCCCTTTGATATTTTGTCGTCGGCATCGCTCTACATAGTTCATTTCTTTTTTTCTGAAAAGATGTCGAGTTTTGGCGGTTTCGTTGTTTGACAGCGTCGGCAGACGACACCATGCCAAGACATTGGTGATGCTAGCTAATCGGGCCAAAATCCATCGATTTGATATTTTCGGAAACAACACAATTCGAATGAGACGACAGAATTCGTGGTCATATGCAATTCAGGTACGTCTAATGATATTATCCAAGAACTAATAGCATCAAGCAGAACGCGACAAAATAAGTTGGGCCCGAATGAACATCACACAAAGAAGATCGCAGCTAACTCCTCCGCCCGCTGCCTTTCACCCCCTTGACCCCCCAGTCATCGCACATCATTCCTTCGTAGCGAAAACGTCCCAGAAGAACATCAAACAACCGATAACAAGCACAACTCGACGCCTTAGAAGTAGAAGTCCAAATCAACATCGGACAGCCCAGCGGCCACACAAACATGAAAGCACGCGATGTCCCAATACCCACCAACGGCCTTCAAGGCGACACCAATCAGACAGCGAACCGCACAACCCTCCATCCCCTCGGGTACTTATCCCCCTCCCTATCTACATCACCATCCACCGGAGGCAGCCAGTGCGGATTCCGCCCTCGCCAATCTGACGCGTGGCCCGAACCCGAACCCGATCCCGATCCCGGGCTGACATGCGAAGTCTGCGGGGAGTAGCTCACTGAGTGCCGCCGACGGGGGCGAGGGACATCAAATTCTGGTGCATGAGGTGCAAAGGCCCGTCCGGTTCGTGGACGAGGGTCCCAGTGAGCGTTTGGGGAAGGTATATTACAATCAGTCAAGCGGTCGTCAGAAGGGCGCTCGGCCCGGTTATCGTGTTGGTGCCGGCGATGATGGCGGTCGTTGTGATGGTCCCGAGGGTGGTGGTGTCCGTCTTTGTGCCCGTTCCCGTGGCGAATGTCGTCGGGGTGCCAATCACGGTCACGGTGGAAGTGCGTCTCTCTTGAAGAAGACCGTGGCCAGTCGTATGTGTACTCGTACTCGCGGTCGTGGTCGTGATGGCGGTGGTCGCGGTGATGGTCACGGCCGCAGGCCCGGCCCCGTTCTTTCCGGCGGTGGTCGCGGGGACCGTACTCGTACTCATCGTCGGTGTAGTGTCGTGGGGCGGGTATCTCGTGGAGGATTTCTTCGAAGCGGACCCTTGGCTGATGAGCTTGTTCGAGCTCCTTCGGCGGGCGAGCAGGGACTGTGGGCACGGCCTGAGGAGCGGGAGGTGGAATCTCGGTCGGCACCTGTCCATCGTAAGGCGGAGGGGCGCTCCCTGTAGGAGAAGGGGGGTTCGATCCCGATATTCCAGCCAAGGTAGGCCCGGAGAGATCCCGCAAAGTCTCCCACTCTCGCCTGTGCTGTCCTGCCTCTTCTGCCAGCCTCCTCTCCTTCTCCCGGTCCGCTCTTCCAGCTCTTTCCTCCTTCTCCTTCCGTTCTCTCTCCTCTCTATCCCACACGCTCCTCAGCTCAACCTGGTATCCCCTGATAACACCGAACAGCTCCTTCACAAGCTCCTCGTAGTCCTTCCCCTGTCTCTCAAGGCGAGCGATCTCATCGAGCAAAGGTTGGATCTGCTCCTCTTTGAACGTGGCATAGGACGCTAGGATTGCTTGTTGGAGGTAGGGGTCATATGCAGCAGATCGCTCGGTGGTTTCGTGCTGGAGTTGGTCGATGGAGGACCAGAGGAGGGCGAGCTCGGCTGAGATCCATTGTTGGAGGTCCGGGTTGTCGGTTTGGGGCTCGAACTGGGGTGAGGGCTGGGGGGCCGGCTGATACTCGGCTGCTGGTTGATGAGCTTGATAGTCGCTGAGTTGGGTTTGGAGGTCAGGCCATTGGGCCCAGGAAACGTGTTTGAGGTCGTCATTGCTGTGGTGGAAGGATTAGTGAGGGATGATGCGGCAGACCGTGACGTGGAACTTACCCCTCGGTTTCCGAGTCGTCTTGAAAGAGCTCGTAGCGGTACTCGTACTCCTTGCGAACTTTCTTTTCTCTGTCTCCATGTCGTCTGGAGGGCTTTCGGTGGATTTCTACCTCGTGCACATGATGTTCTTTCCTAGGCCTCGACTCCCTCGAAGTTCTCTCAACGGAGCGGGCTCTGGAGCGGCGGCGATGGCTTGGTTGGCGCACCCTATCGTAAAGATCAGTCACTTCGCGTCCAGATGGTGGATAGCACTGGGCACTCACACGTAGTACTCGCTCTGGTAGGAATTCTGGCCCATGACTTCACGGAAAAACTTGGAAATAGTACTAGGTGCCATGATTCGTCAAGCTTCAAATGACAGAGTGTATCGATTGGTGATTGGAACTAAGGAAAGGATGACGAGCAGACTGATCTAGCGCCATCATGAACAGATCATATATAAAAACAAGCTTGAGCAATGAGAGCTCCTAACCAAACTCTTAGCTTTTCCTAGTTCGTTGCTTCAACAAAGGAGCGATAGCACCAACATGAACTTGCATGTTAGCAGACAAAAGCACTTGCCCTTGACTTCCATGATGGAGTGACGGGATGGACGTTGGCTGAACAAAGCGTGGGGTGTACACAACGTTTTTGGACAAAGGAGCTCCGGTAGCTTTAGGGAGGGCTGCGCCGAGCTCCAGACCTTCATGTGCTAGAGCTTGTAAGGTGCAGAATAATGAAATGACGAAAATCGTCTGCTTTTAACGGAGATGTTGGGCTTTGGCAGGCCTTATTGGTTCATGCAGGTCACCGAGGGAGGCTCTTTGATGGATATTTGCATCCATTGTCCCTTGTCTTGTTGGCGGCCATGCTTGCCGGTTCCGCGGTCTTTGGACTGTTCGCACTGGTGAGGTATAAGACTGAGGTGGATGTCTTTAATGGTGAGCATGTGGTTTAGACGCTGAAAGCTACTGATTCTGATCGGTGGATTTGGCAAACGTTATAAAAGGAAGGGGTCTCGAATTTGTCTCGAACTTTGATGTTGTGAGCCATGTTCTTCACCTCGGTGAGTGTCATGCTGGGGCCGGTCACCGTGCGAGTCGTTGGCCCCGCGTGCAGATCTCTGGCGCAGTGCAGTGCTCCGACCACCAACTCAGAAAGTGGCGTGGACTGACGAAAAGAGACCGATCGATGGTCGTCATAGACATAAATCATTTTAAGGGTCGAAGATCTGACTTATGCAGCGGCCTGAGCTGGTGGTGTTGGCAATGTTATTGAGTGTCGATGCCGACGTGAGATGTTGATGAGTTGAAGTTGAGGTTGAAGTCGAAGTGGAAATTCTCCAGCGGCCGACGAGATTCCACTGCAGGTAGCGATCCCGCGGGTAATTTACATTGTGTAACGCCGGTAAACCGCGTCCCTTCTTTTTGGCTGTTGGTCGTTATCGGTCCCCCTTATCAATGGCTGACAGCCAAAACAAAGATCCACTCCGGACCCTCACCAGCTGCTACCGACTGGCCGCTGTAAGACTGAGATGTTGCCAAGCTTTCGATATCCGTGGCTGAAAGTTTCGGCGCTAGAACTGCAATGCACGAGCCACGCCGAGGACATGCCTTCTTCCATCTCACCTCAAAAGGACCCCTGTTCAATTTCTCCGTTTGTCACAAATTCTAGACTCATCAACCTCACTTCTCAGTTCCATCTTCAACAGGGGACCATCAACTTTCCTTGGTCCACCTACTATATACGCATAATCCACCTTGAAGCATTCATACACAGCTTCATCCTTTCACCAACCGCAATTGAAACATCTCAGTCCACCAAAGAAACAGACCACGTCAGCCATCCAGTTCCGACTTCCATTCACCATGTGGCAAGACCCTGCAAATCCTTCAGCCGACACAATGAACCAACCACAGCGGCAACCACAACCACCCTCCTCCTCAACCACAGAACAAACCCAGGAACAAACAGACGACACTCAAATGCAAGACACCTCAGAACAACCAAAGAAACTCACCCTCCTCGACCTCCCTCCCGAAATCCTCCACCAAGTGTGCACCCACCTCCCCCTCAAATCCATCCGCTCCTTCCGGCTCACCAACCGACTCCTCGGCGAAATTGGTGCCTGCCACGCCCTTCCCGAGCTAATCTTCTACCTGCACACGACCGACTTCGCGGCCCTACGCTCCATCGCCTCGCACCCCATCTACCCGCGCTTCGTGCGCTCCTTGATCTACGGGTGCGACATCTTGCCTTCGCCCCGGCTTTCGCTCAAGCAGTACGTCGCGGAATGCCGGCGGACGGAAAAGAGAAGGGCCAAGATGCATGCGAGACATGCGTGCGACGAGGCGAATCGCCCGCCGAAACCGTTGGCGGAGGTCAAGGAGAGTTATAGGGAGTATAAGCGGGTGCATCAGGCGCAGGAGGAGATCATAAGGGAGGAGAGGGATTATGAAATCCTAAAAGAGGTGGTGGGGAAGATGACGAATTTGAAGGAGGTCATGGTTAGCAGTGACTTTGAGTTTCGGTTGGGGAGCTTGGGTTCTTCGAGTTCGTCTTCGTCATATGGTGGGCACGGCGGGAGCGGGACGAAGGATTGCAGGACGCCGTTCGATAAGCTCGATTGTTTGACGCAGCTGGATGGGGAGAAGGGGCAGGAGGGCGTGAGGCATTTGCGGGCGATTATGATGGCTGTGAAGGAGGCGGGGATCGAGCTCAAGAGTCTCTGCGCGGGATTGATTCACTGGAGCTTCTTTAATGAGGCGTTGGGAAATTTTGGGTTTCACAGCATGGGGAATTTGCTGGCCAACTTGACGCGATTCGAGCTCCTCGTGCTGCCTGGGCCGAGCCAGGACCCGGAGGATTTTCAGCACGCGGACGCGATCGAGATGAATAACATGAGCATCGACGTGATGGAAGAGATTTTCCGGTGCCAGGAGCTGATGAGGAAGGGTGTCATCCGGAATCTGGTGAAGGGCATGCCGAATTTGGAGATCCTGTCGATCGGGTTTATGGATCATGCGGAGGATAACGACTTCATCTTTCCCGCGAGGCTGCAGGATGTCATTCCGCTGAACCACACGTTCCCGAACCTGGAGAGCTTGAAGCTCGAAGGGTTGGAGACGGAGAGGCAGGAGCTGACGGACTTTGTGGTAAAGCATAAGGATAGTTTGATGAAGTTGGAGCTCAGAGATATGCGACTCGTCACGACATCGTGGAGGAAGCTGTTGCCGGAGCTGCGGTACGAACTTAAGACGGAGTTGATGGAGGAGGTATCCATCTATGGTATGGCCTTGGGAATGGGCGAGGAGGACGACGATCAGGAGCTGGAGGAGTGGTTTATGGGTGATCCGGAGGATCATGGGGCGACGGAGCTGGCGACCAGAGTCCAGAAGTACTTTATGGATACGAGCATGGGCGACTGCCCGCTGTCGAGGGAGAACATGGAGCCTATGTGAGTACCCACCATTCGATCCGCTGGTTGAGTAAGGGATGAAATACTGACCTCTATCGCGGAACAGACCCGACGATGATTTGATGGACGAAGACATCTTGGACCACCCTTTCGAGGGTTTGGTGCCGGAACACGAGCTGGCTGAGCTGATCCTGGGAGGCATGCAGTTTCCGGGAGGAGGAAATCCGTTTGGGGATCCGTTCGATGATCCGTCTTTCGAGGTTCCTGGAGGGTGGTTGGACTGATGCAGGAGCAGTGGTCACTTATATATAGTAGATGGGATGGGAGGATGCATGGAACAAAAAGTAGACAACATGGCTCAACGGGGTGAAGGACAAACGCAAAGATTACTATAGGCCACTCACAGCGGCAACGGTTATGATGATGTACGATGACTTGTACATTTTTGCAAAAGAAAGCGCACAACGACAGCATCACCAAAAATGAGATACAGGTTAAATGGAAAATGTGTCGCAATCAAGAGTGGCAAGCTGTCGTGATTCGGTACCACGAATGCACGAAATCGTAAGATGAGCCGCACGCTGTAACACGAAACGGGAGTGTATTGCGGTCATAGGCTAAAACTTGGAGAGGACTTGTCAACAACCAATAGGCGCCAGTGGTTTAGTGGTAAAATCCATCGTTGCCATCGATGGGCCCCGCGTTCGATTCGCGGCTGGCGCAATAAGGTTTCTTTTCCTTTTTGCACTTTTCTCGTTTGCATTCACAACTGAAATGCAGGCCACACACGATGAGGGGGCTGTTCGTCACTCTGATCTTTCTCTTTTTGCTTTCGTATGTGCTCTATTAGAGAATTCTGTGTATGTACGAAGTGACTTTTAACAAGGAAAACACAAGTGTGTAAAAAGATATACAATGCAGTAAGTAATTAGTAACAATGTTCTCCCGTTTCCCATGCCCGCCTGCCGTCCGTCACACAAAATCGGCATGGCCCGTGCACGGTAATTCTTGTTTCCAAACATTTCACAAGTGCAAATTTTTGGCTGTGCCCTGGTTGTGGATGAAAAGAAAGAAGCATCTCGCGAGATGCAAAAAAAGGAAAAAAAAATACAAAAAGATATTGAGACTCGGATACCGGGAGTCGAACCCGGGGCTGTTGAGAGAGCAGTCACTCCTTAGAAGTGAGAGTCAACGATGTTACCGCTACACCATACCCGATTCAAGATCCGAGGATCTGAAGGAGATGGTCCCGATTGGATGATGGAAGGAAGGGCTAGGAGATGGGGTTATGAAGGGCGGGTTTGTGTGGTGTGGGTGGAGCGGGAAGGGCGGGTTTGACTTGGGGCTCCCGGGATGAAGGTATGAGAGGGTTGGAGGATTGAGGGTTAAGGCTTTGTAAGGTTGGGCTTGTGGTTGTCTCGCAATATTAAAAATTCATAGGTTTGCTAGGAGTGATGTCTGTGAAAATTGCAGAAAGGATTGCATTTAAATTGGCATCAGTTGGCCTGGTGGTTGGAGGATTTCAGCGTTTGGGGACCCAGGCCGGGAAGTGGATTGAAGTGTTAAGATTTGGGAGTTGGGACCTCGACCTGATGCATGTTTGTCTGTGTTGGCTCAGTGGTGATGAAAATGTGAAAGTGAGTCCGGATATCCACCATGATTGGAATGTTGCATTTTTGATGTCCAAATGATTGCGGGCAATGCCAAACAAGAGAGCTCCGATCTTCCGGAACGAACGCCGGTGTGATCGGGGCCGTGACTTCGAGGTGAGGTCGGGCAGCACGGAGGTGGCCGTGCACTTTGCGGGACAGTGACCGAATGGACGACAGCAAGCTTCCAGCCCTGGGCAACAAGACGAACACAGGATGGCACAGACCATCTCCCTACCCGAAAAGGGACTAGCGTGACCTTGTGCGCTTTGCAAGCCCCCACAGAATTGTTGCTGACTAACCGCACACAAGGTGAATTTTCAATGACAGTCGCGAAACTCAATCCTCCTCTCCGAAGTGTAGCGACAACGGTATTTACGAGGAGCCCATTCGAGATCCGTCAAGGTGCGTTTGCGCAGCAACCAGATATTGCCAATTTGACCATCAATACTAACTGTCGCCGTCAAGATGATTGAACCATCCCTCAAGGCGGTTAGTAGCCCCCGTTGACCCCGAAAACCTGCATCGACGAATTTCCCTCGAAAAAGAAGGCGACGAGAGGCCATCACGACAAAGGCAGCAAGGCAGCCAGCGACGACATCCACCCAAACGAACATGGCGACGACAACGACGACAACGACAACAAGCGCCCGATCAATTCGCCCAACCGATTACAGCTTTGGAGGAATTACGTGTATCTGACCATGGTGTTGCTATTCTAGTTGGCGTCGAAGTTCAACTGCGACAAGATGATTTGGTATGTCCACCTCCAGACGAACCTCTGCCTGGCAGCAGGGACAGCGAACAACCAGCGACAGAAATACTGACTGACTCGAAACAGCCGCAAGTGCTACGCTCGTCTCCCTCCCCGTGCCACCAACTGCCGCAAGCGCAAGTGTGGCCACACCAACCAGCTCCGCCCCAAGAAGAAGTACGTCTACGCTCTCCTCCGATACCGATTCCGATCAACACAACCAGCACCATCAGCACCAGCACCTCAATTACCTCGCACCGCTTCTGTCCCTTCCATCACCGCATTCACCACTATCACCGCTGCCACCACCTTAAACTCCGACCGATCGCACACAAGACATCGTACTAACAATTCCCCCCCTCTAGGCTTAAATAAGCGGATCGCCCCCCACTCGGGCTCAGACTCGGCAGTTCTTTTCTTCGACAACGAGGACGTATTGGTGGACGACTATGGCTTGCTTTGTTGTCGCTGTCGCTATCGCTGCAGCGGCGCCTTGACGGAAGAAGAGGATTGGAAACATTCAGCACTTCTGGCTGCTGCAACACCGCTACAACAACATCATCCGGACTACATCACCACTTTTCGGGCTGGGGCGGATTTGTTAGCAAAGCAAGACTCCTGTAGCACGAATACGAAGACTGCTGCCGTCTGGCCTTGGTTTTAGGTTCATGATGACAGTCTGAAAAATCATACCCTGTTTTGAGGCAAAGCCATTGTGTGACTGGTGCAACAATGGGAGCGACATAAAGGATCAACGACAGGAACAGCAGGACGAATGACGACCGGCGTCGGCGAGTGCCCATGACTGAGGAATGACGGAGGGTGCGCGAGCAGAGGCAACGACACAGGCTCTGGTGTCGCCACGCCCACTGCCTCCCAAACCTGCTCTCATGACAGGTAAGCCCGCGATGTTTCGCCTATCAGAAACCCATCTTCAACACTCTGTCGCAAACCGTCCTCATCTCACAACAAGGAACACGGCCGGCCTCGTCGAGACTTGAAAAGGGGACTGCGAACGGTGGCAAGACGTAGGTGATGGACAGTCTTCTCCCCGGCCACCTCCTCGCTCCGGTGCAAGTGCGCCTGTCTGTTCGTGTCAATCCCTTCTCGTTTCTATCAAAAGGTTTCGTACTAGGGGTTTGAAGCGGTGCAGCGGAGATGAGGATGATCTTTGGAAACCACTATACTTTGAGGAGCTGGTGGTGATGGCGACGATGACCAAGATGATTATGTGAGTAGATATTCTTGGTTATTTACATCGGCGACAAAGATCACGAGATTTACCGAAATGCTTCATTTCCAGGACTTTTCCAAGGATCGGGACATTCGAACAGGATCGGGAAATCCAGGTTTGAACTGGAACCGGGCACCCCATATCTTGGCGGAATTTACCGCTTAAATCCGGTTCAGGAAGGCCAGTGCGGTTCCCCCTGAAAGCTTCCATTTCAAGAGATCCATATTTGATTTGATTAGAGCAGATCACGACATGAAGTTATTTGGAGTCCTAGGCAGCGATAACGATGAGGGCAGCAGCGGCGGTGGAAGCGGCGGCAGAGATGACAATAGCTTCAATTCAAATTGCAATATAGAAAAGGGCTCGCGATGCTGTGCACACCCAGAAAAGTGGGGGGTCTATCTCGCTACGGTTTTGGATCTAGCTGGCTACGGATTCCGGTTGAGGTTGTCGATGCCGTGAGTGGTGATGCTTTGGGGTCCTACGTCATGGTCATATTTTTGGTTCGGAGAGGAGTCTGTCTAGGCGCCTAGGATGTCGTGAGACGGAGGCAAAGGTGTGTTCTTGACGTTACCACTTACCTGCCCAGGACTGGAAGTGGGTAGTTGAGGAGATCATCAACACCTCGATCATTACTGGGAGTATAAAGCCATCCTCCATCTCCTCCGAATCCCAGACTCTCATCTATGTCGCCAGCATCAACATCATCACCAACGCCATCACCAGCTGCCTAGGCTTGCTTCACTTCCACAACAAAACCAAACAAACATCTTTCTCCTCCCAGCAAGCAACAACCCAAACAAACACACAAAATGAAGTTCACCACCATCCTCCTCGCCCTCGGCACCACCGCCCCGGCTGTCCTCGCCGCCGACATGGACCTAGTCGACATGTGGGTCGACACCAATTTCAACGGGCCCAAGTACACCGGCCGGGGGGACGTGGGCCAATGCGTCAACCTCCCGAGCAACTTCAACGACAACCTGAGCAGCGGCAAAGCCCGGCCCGGTTACAAGTGCACAATCTGGCCCGACGCCGACTGCAAAACCAACAGGTTCGACTCTAGCTTTGATGATAAGGGCTCAGGCGCGAGCTTCCCAGATTGGATTAATGATAGGGCGAGCAGCTGGAGGTGTTATAGGGCTTGAGATGGAGGAGGGGTTGATGGGAGGTTACCTACGGGGCGAGGGTTTTGGTCGAGATCATCTTTGATGAGACTGGCGGAAGGAGCAGCTGCTCCGAATAACGCGGCGAGAATGGCGCAGCGAGCCAGCGCAGCGCAACAACTCAGCGCGGAGAAGGGCCTCAGTTCAACGCCAGTTTTGACCTACCTCGCGCTGCCTTAACTTCACACAGCGCACCTGCGCGGCCTCGGAAATTCCCAAGGTAGTATAACCCTGACCCGGGCAATATCTTGTAGGGAGAGTTACCTAAAAAGGGTCCGGATTGATAGTATGGAGATCTCCCTTCTATTGGGCCTCTAGGTATTGCCTAGCCAACTCTATCCGGTAGCGACAACAACGCAGTTCAGCGAAGGTGTGAAGTTGTCAAGCGCGCACGAGGATCCCACGTGCCCTCAGCGCAACCCAGTTCGGAGTCGAAGTTGCGCTGCGCTACGCTATTCGGAGCCCTGGGAAGGAGTGAGGGGAGTTGAGAGAGCAGCTGGCGGTTGAGACACGATGGGAGTGTTGGGGTGAGGAGGGGAAAGGAGATGGTGGACAGAAGTGGAAGTGAAAGTGGTGAAGATTGGAAGCGGAGAAGACACGGACGGAGTCAGAAAGACGCGGACGGCGGACGGCGGACGGTGGAATGGTGGTGGTGAGCATGATGATGAAAAAGAGTGGAGTAAGTAACGAGTGCTGCAATGGGCACACGACGGAGTGAGGAGGGGAAAGAAGACTGTTTCTTTGCCCCGTCCTGTCTTTTTGCTTCTTTTCTTAGATGTTTTGTTTTGCCCCCCAGTGCCCAGTTTGTATCATGCTTGCCCCCTACTACCATTCATTCAATAAAAGTACCTATCCTTTTATGCCCCAAAAATGCTTCCAGCTCTTGACTTTTTCCCCTCTTTCTGGTGAAAGCGAAGCTTAACTCTGTGTGTAGTATTACAGATTTGTCCCAAACACCTCCTCCTATTCCTTTTCTTTAGCCACCTCTGCAATTACGGACACATTCCCATTTCGTCAAATTATCCTTCAACTCTCTATGCATTCTTCACTCCTCCACCCCCGTTCCCTTCTTCACACGGCTTCCAGTCTAGAGGCGGTCGAGATGCCTCTTCAGAACAAGTGCTTCTGGACTCACGTTGCTCCTGTTTACAAGATCATTTTTTTTTTCCCCCACCCTATGTTCACTGTCATCCTCTCTACGTCCATTCACATGCTTGCATCACTTAGGTTGGCATGAAATCTTCAGATCTTGGGGTGTGTAAAAGGCGTTTTATTGAAAAGAATGAAGCATGCTGGGGGGGTTTAATACAAACTGGGGCAAAAACAATCTAAGGAAAGGAAAGAACAGGACAGGACGGGGCAAAAGAAACAGGCTTCTTTTCCCTTCTTCACTTCGACACTCCGACTCGTGTGCTCAGCACCGACTCTCGACTTCCTCCTCCCCTATCCAACTCCCACACTACTACTCCATCCCCTTCTCTCCACTCTCATCCTCCCCTCCCCTCCTCCATCTCCCTTCCCCTCCTCCATCTCCATCGCATGTATGTGATTGCGTAAGGCTGAGCCTATGTCTCAAGCCTTAACACACTTCCAACTACTAGCCTTATCATTGATCCAATCCGGGAAGCTACTCGAGCCAGGGTTCTGGTTGAAAGAAAACCCAGTACCCTTGCAGTCCTTATCGACCCAAATAGTGCAGCGGAATCCCGCCTTGGCTTTACCGGAAGACGAAATGTCGTTGAAATTGGAGGGAAGGTTCTTGCAGTCGCCTGGGTTGGCGGAGCCGGTGAACTTGAGGTCGAGGAAGTCCTTGTTCTTCCAGAGGTCGATGAGGTCTTGGGCGCGGGCTAAGAGGATGGCGGGCTCGGCGATGGCCTCGGCTTCGGGAGCGGGGGCAGGCGCGGCGATGGCCATGGTGGTGAGGAGGGTGGTGAGTTGCATGTTGAAGGTTAAGGAGTTGGTTGGTTGGTTGGTTGGTTGGGAAGGTGGTTTGTTTGTTTGGTTTTGGATTGATGTGGAAGTGGAAGTGGAAGTGCAAGTTGTTGCTGATGAGGAGGAGAGTTGGGTTGATGAGCGGATAGGATGCATTGTTTTATACTTGTTGTTGCAAGCTCTAGATGTTCAAAACGGTCGAGTGTCTCGAGGTGAGTTCTAACTTGTCAAGCTCTTACCCTTTGCCTCCTTCGACTCCCCTCGGAGTTTGGACTCCCCATCACCACCACGAGAACTCCGACATCGAGCACCCACAACACCAACCAGGAATAGCTTCTCACATCATCTTCACCATCACCATCGCCTACATCCAAATTGTTTACCAGAAAACCTCGTCTTGGCTCGCACCACAGCGTGCTAAGAAAGGCAATCCGAGAGATGATGTCTCGGCTTGTTTACTCGAAGAAGCTGAAGCAACCACTCCAGAGTTCAGCCTACGTCAACAAAACCACGCCCCTTATTCCTCAAAACAGTATACTACCAATGAGCATCAAGCAAGCCTCATCTCCGCCGCGCTGCTCAGAGCTGAACACCGAAGCGTAACCCCGAGTCGTACCAGGCTGACGGTCAGAGTGACAAGAAGTGAAGTGAGATAAGCGCAATCTATTTCGCCTAGCACTGCAGCTATTTTTCTCCCCCGCATCAGCTCCTCCGCCTCACACGGCAGACACGGCAGATGGATTCGCCTTGCACGGCAGCTGTCTGCGTACCAGTCCACAGCAGAGGCCCGGAGAATGGGAGAGAGGAAAGCGGTGAAACGACCAACTCCAGTCATCTGTCGACCTGTCGACCTGTGGTCAGCCTACCAATAACGACGTTGTATAAGGGGAGCTTGTTTATTCGTCTGACAGAGTCTCACAGAGTGATGCTCGAATCAGGGGTAGTACACACTATGTAGTACACAACCGGGGACGAGCTAGTTTAATTCGTTTTATTCGTCTGACGGGCTAAGCCCTACGTAAGGGGCACTAACTTTACCGCAAATCAGGGGGTAACACAGCGTTGCCCCGAAGGCAGTGGACAGATACACGACGAAGATGTGACCTGTCAGTTGACCTTTGACTTCCCCTTTCCCACCTGTGGAAGTTGTGGCACCCGTTTCCCCGGATTCTGGGAACCAGTCAACGACGACCACTGTGTACACAACATTGAACCTCTGGCACACAAAGTTTGTGTAGGTAGGTAAGCAGCCACGACAAGGGGTCAAGACTCAAGGGTCTAGAATATGCAGTCATTCGGCAGTCGACCGTCGGACTGTACTACTGTGTTCTAGACTCCCGGAAGAAAAGAACCTGAACATACCTAACATCGGAAATAGCAGATCGCATGTCAGATGCCGTCCATGTCAGATGCTGTTGGATTCCAGCCTGGTAAGGCAGTTAAAGCAGGAAGACAAGGTCAATAAGGCACAAAAGGCTGCTGAAATGGCCAAAGTTGCTCAAGCCCCCTTCATAAAGGAATCTGGAGCGCAGTTCTGTTCATGAGCACATTATCATAACAACATCCTCCCTCCCTCTCTCCTCTCCTCCATTAGTCCGCGGCGTCAGGCGCCATTACCGCTCGGCTAATCTAAGTCGCTTACGGATGCCTCATTTATAGAGCATTGTGCAGCGCCAAGATCCTCATTGTTTCTTGAACCCCTATTTTCGCTTACACCCGTGTTGGGTGGGCTATGTTGATCCGGTTGGTTGGTTGGTTGGCTGAGGACCTGAGGTTGGCAAATGGTCTGTAGAGTACCTACCTGCATGCACTTTCAGGACATCGTACGTATGTTCTGGATTTTCTCGGCCACTTGGCCAACGGTCGATGATGACACTTCTGACTCCCTCTCGGAGCGGCCATCGTTGGTGGACGACGGACGATCGGGTACCTAAGCTCTGAACTGAATCCTTCGGAGGTAAGCCCGACCGCACTCGTTTTGTCAATGACCATAATGTCGGTCATCAGCGGACACTTTTGCGAGCTTGATGAAGTCCCCATGTTGTGCGCGACCGGATTGCCCATGCGCCAACAGAGAAGATAGAAGGCCGAAAGACGGCTTCGGACCAACCCAGTTTTTGTTCCAGCGAGACGACGCCAACTAAATGCCAGAAAAAAAAAAGGAAAACATCGAATGTAGATTTTTGAACTCCTCCAGACCAAAACTATGTATGTCCAAGAGTTCTATGCAAGAAAGTACCCCATCTATATATCTCCCACCCACTCCCACTTCCACTCCCACTCATTACGCCTTCTTCTCAACCACCTCTTTCTCCCCCTTCACCTCCCCCTCCGCAGTCATCAACATCTCCTGCGCCCTCCACAACTGCGCATAAACCCCATTAGTCTCCATCAACTCCCTATGCGTGCCCTGCTCCACCACCCGTCCCTCCTTCAAAACAATGATCAAATCCGCATCATAAATCGTCCTCAACCTGTGCGCCACAAACAAACTCGTCTTCTTCTCTCCTTTTTGGCCAAGTCCCTTGAGAATGGCATTGATATTCTCCATCAACGCCTGCTCGGTATGCGTATCCAGCGCACTCGTAGCCTCGTCAAAGAACAAAAGCGGTGGGTCTTTCAGAATCAAACGCGAGACAGCAAGTCTTTGCTTCTCGCCGCCGGAAATCATCAATCCGCGCTCACCGACTTTGGTATTGTATCCATCTCTCCAGGAAATGATCTTCTCGTGGATGTGCGCGCGCTTAGCGGCTTCGATGACCTGCTCGGGCGAAGCAGACAGGTTGCCGTAGCGGATGTTATGTTCGACCGTGTCGTTGAAGAGGGGGGTATCTTGCGGTACTACGCCGATCGCTTTCCTCAAGGACTCCAAAGTGACGGAGCGGATGTCTTGGTCGTCGATGGAGATGGTGCCCTTTTGTACGTCGTAAAACCTGAACAGGAGACGAAGAAGCGTGGATTTGCCGCAGCCGGAGGGGCCGACGATGGCGACCTTTTTGCCGGCGGGGATGGTAAGACTCAAATCGCGAAGGATGGGTGACTCGGGGTGGTAGCCGAAGGTGACGTTTTGGAAGTTGATCTCGCCGCCGCGGGTGAGAGACAAAGGTTTGGCGTTGGGTTGCTCGGTGATGGTCACGTTGACTTTTTGGAGGTTGAAGAGGGTTTCCATGTCGAGGAGGGCCTGACGCAACTCGCGGTAGACGGAACCCAGGAAGTTCAGGGGGACTGACAGCTGGAAGACGAGCTGGTTGATCAAGACCAGATCGCCGATGGTGAGCTTGCCGGTGGCGATCCCGTGGGCGCCCATCCACATCATCGCCGTCAAGGCGGTGGAGAAGATGATGTTTTGTCCCGAGTTGAGGAACGCCAGAGAGGTGGCGACCTTGATGCTGTTCTTCTCGTATTGGGCGAGGGCTTTGTCGTAGCGGCCGACCTCGTAGGCTTCGTTGTTGAAGTACTTGACAGCTTCGTAGTTAATGAGGGAGTCGACGGCAATGGTAGAGGCCTTGTTATCTGCCGCGTTGGCTTGGCGACGGAACTTTGTGCGCCAGGCTGTTGTGAGAATGGTAAAGGCCGTGTAGCTGACCATGGTCAGGGCAGTAAGAGCGGCATACTCCCAGCCAAAGTTGTAGGTCAAAATACCGCAGACCATGGAGATTTCCAGAGCGGTAGGGACAATGTGAAAGACCATGCTGGTCAAAAGGAAGCTGATGCCCTTGGTACCACGGTCGATAGCCCTGGTCAAACCACCCGTCTGCTTGGACAGATGGAAGCTCAGATCCAGATTCAGCAAATGCATAAAAGTGTTCTTGGCAACCTTGCGAATCGCCTTCTGCGCAACCGACGCGAAGACGGCATTTCTTAGTTCTTGAGAAACCACAGCGCCTATCCTAGCCGCACCATAACCCAGAATCATGCTTCCAGCCACGGCCGTGACGGAACCACCAGTTGTAGAAAAGTCGATGTTGAGCGCGTCGACGATCTCGCGGAAGTAGAAGGGCACCTGGACGTTGAGCACCTTGCCACCAACCAGCAAGCTGATAGCCAGCAGCACTCGGGCCTTGTCGCCCCAGCTGCCCTTGGGCCATAGGTATTTGGACATCTCCTTCATGATGGCCCAATCGGCCTTGCGCTGTTCCTGCGCGGTTTTATCGATGGCGGCGAGGGGATCGACGGGGCCTCGACCGGTGGCCTTGGGTACGGCGGGGACGACGGGTTTCGCTTCATCTTTGACAAGACGAGGGGAGGATGTGGTAAAGGAAGCTCGGAGGTTGGCGATGGTGGGTGTCGCGTGGATCGAGGAGAGTCGGGGAGCCCAGAGACGGGGGCCGCGGAGGAGGGCGGAGGTGCCGTGGGCTCTGTGGAGGCTTGTAGCAGCCATGGTGCTGAGCTTTATAGACGGCGCCATGGTTGTTGTGTGTGCCCCGGGAGCATTGGCTGCTCCTCAAGGGGTTGTGGTGGTGTCCGTATAAGTCGGCCGGACCAAGTCAATGGACGGAGAGAGGAATTCGCGCCAGCTCTTATAGAGAGCCCATGCCGTGGTGGTCGGGGATGGGCAATGGGTGGCGGAGGCGGTGGGAGGTGTCGGTGACAGGTCGGTAAGGGAGATATAAGAGACAAAAGGAATTGTACAAGTATTGAAAGATACAGCCAGACAAACCGCCGAGGCTCTGGAGCTTCACCATGTCGCGATTGTGGGGCACCCAATGATGCAATCAGCGTGAGCAATGGGCATCTCTAGCCTGCCGCGGGTGCCGCCGCAGCGTGCCACAGGGCAGCACAGGGGACCAATTGTGCACAGACCCCTAACATTTTGTGGATATGTGACCAATGACATGAAGCCGGCCGGCATCCATTGAGGTTCCGTCTGGGGTCTTCGGCATCCTTCCGGCCGGCTCGGAGCTCGTGATACGACGCCGTATGTGCGGCCGGCACAAATCGCGCGGCGGAAAACACGCGGAGGAAATCACGCACCGGAATGCTTGGTTGTGATCACCAACCGTATAATACCGAGACCATAAATGTTAGGTAAAATGGTAGACAATAATCACTGCCGTCCTAGCTCTATCAGACTCATCAGCGTAATTATATGTCACTTCTTAGTTCTTGACAGCAACCCTTTCATTGAACTCTTCCCATTCTCTTCCTCCCCATATCTAGGTCTAGAGTAGAGACGTGACATATGTAATCATGCTAAGGCTAAGGAAAAATGAGTGCTAAGAAACACCAACCAAGGGGGCATGAACTCTTCATCGCCCTCCAAAACGGACATGAAAACAAAACAACGCCTCGCAATGCAAAAATGAAACAAAAAATCGGGCGCATAGCTCCCATGCAGACATGCCATGCAAGAATGCAACAAGGACGAAGAACGCGCAGCCAATGCATCGCGCCAATGTGAAATGCTGAATGCCGTGAAGCAAATACAACTCTCTCGAAGCCAAGTGGAAGTTTTCGAACCAACTCGTGCCAACTCTAGGCCAAGCTTCTCATGGCCAACCTCTCTCCATGTCCAAGCCAGACTGACAAGATGCCAAAACCAACCAGCAAAAACAAGACGGGTTGAAAACCGAACCTCTAGAAACGTCTAGGTGGTATCACTGCATCCGCAATGCATGTGTGCTCACACCAATGCCCCTTTTTCTTTTCTCACCCTATTTTTCTTCTCCCTCCGCCGCCCTTTTTCGTCTTCCCCTCCCCTTCCATACCCCCTCGCTCTTATCGTCGTCTCGAGACTCCTCCCCTAAAAAGTCTCAGTCTCATCATAATAAGTCTTCAACGCCAACTTCGAGCTCAACTCCGCCGCAGCCGCCAACCCTTCATACGCTCTCTCCACCGTTCTCACTCCCACGCCCGGTACAGTCGTCAGTTCACCCAGACTCCTAACCTTGCCGCTCGGTCCCTGGGTTTCATCCAGATGATCCACCAAATCCTGGGCGCGCTTCTGCCCGAAGCCGTTAAGGGACTTGATCAGTTCCGTGTCGCGGGAGTTGACGATATCCAGCAGCTGCTTGGTTCGAGGACTCGGTTCTTGGTCGGAGTTGGAGGGGGAGCGATCGTCGTAATCCGAGGCGGAGTGGTCGGTAGTGGTGTTGCTATACAACTGCTGCCTCGACCTGGAAATGCCCACGCCCAAGGTGGCGCTGCGGCCGCGACTCTTCAACAGTCTCCTCCTCCTCGCTTCTGCTTCTTCGGGAGTCTCTTCCACGTCGGCTTCCATGTCGTCGTCATCCTCCTCCGCTTCTGGGTCAGTCGAAGAAATCCCCGTCATGGCCGTTCGTCGTCCGCTGTTGACACTCGCGCTCCTACTCTGTTGCGTTCCAACTCCACTGCCTTGTCGTGACCCCGCCTCCTCCCTAAGTTGCGCACCAACCTCATACTCCTCCCTACTAATCTTCCCCAGCTTCAGTTTCAACTTCTCAATCTTCCCCACCAACTTCCTCTGCCCCGGGAAGAACCCCAGCGCATCCTCATACATCCCCAACGCCTCTTCCAAATTTCCCCCTTCCTTCGCTTTTCTAGCCTCCAGCAATAACTGCAACCCCGCGCTCTTCTCATCTTTTCCGGAATGCCCGCGTCCCCGTCGCGAACTAGATCGCGAAGTAGACATACTCTGCTCTTCAATCCTCCTCTCCAGGGCCTCCAGCCGGCGCTGCACCTCCTCGCTGATTTGCGGCTCCGACTTCTGCTGCTCGCTACCAGGGGGGTGGTGGTTCTCGGATTTGGGCGTAGAAGGGGTTGGTGTTTGCGGGGCGAGGGCAGCGGCGGCTGCTGCGCGGGCAGCTAGAATTTCGGCAACCTTTTTCTCGACCATGGCTTCGATTTGCGCTGCTGAGAGGGTGAGGATGGGGGTGTTGTCTACTGATTTGCTTGTCTGTTGTGGGGGCTGGATGGAGCCGGAGGAGCTACTGTTTTGGCGGGAAACACCAGCCGAGACCGAGCCGGGGAGCGGAAGCCCAGTAGGCCTCGCGAGTTTCGACGGGCCGGTGCCGATAAGGCCAGAGCGGAGAGCGGATGTTTCCGAGGGCGAAGCGGTCGCCGTGTCGGTCATTGAGCGGCGGGAGGTCAAGCCGGAGAGGGAGAGGGGTTGGCGGATCTGCGAGGTGTTGGCTTGTGGAGGGCCGGCGAACCGGGAGCTGCCGCCCATGGAGGCGGTGGCTTTGTGTGCTGAGGCGCGGTCGGTGTACACGTTGAAGAGCTTCGAAGGCTTTTCGGCTTTTTCGATGACTGCTCCGGAGGCGGCGGCGCGGTCGGTACTGGAGCGAGCTAAAGCGGGGGCGCTGCCGGTGTACGAGTTGTGAGTGCCTAAACCGATCGGACGCAATGGCTGTCGAGGGGCCAGAACGCCGTTGGTTAGGCCGCTGAACGAGGTCGAAGAGTGCGAGCGGTGCGGCTGCTTGTAGACGACTTCGTTTTCGATCTCGCGGACTTCGATGCGCTTGGCGCGGGACGAGACGTTCAGACTGCTCAACGTGTCGAGGTGGTAGGAGCGCATCGGGGCCAAGTTGAGGATCATGATGGTTATCCCGTTGTTCTGGCCCAGACTTAAAATGCGCGTCATTTTGGATTCGCGGTAGGGGATGCGTTTGTCGCCGCGGGAGATGGCGTCGATACATTGCGAGAGGACGAACAAGGACTTGTTGATGGCGGCTGACTCGACCAGGCGGTCTCGATTGTTGTCTGTCCGGCGGTTGTCTTCGGAGCCAGCCAAGTCGATGGCCGACGCCGTGCTTTCCAACACCATGTCCCCTGTTGTTTGTGTGACCTTGACGCGAAGGATGGCATGACTGCGAGAGCTGTGGGCGTTGAGCTTGGTGGCGGCCGTGACGCGGTTGTTGTTGGCTTCGACGTATAGCCGCTCAAAGTCCGTGACGTCGTCGCAGGGCCGTTCCGTCAACCCGACTACGAATGTCTTTCCCTCCTTTTCTCGCAAAGGCAACCCCATCGGGGTGCGCATCTCGGGCGGCTCGAGCAGGTCGTATACCTTGTCGTTGTAGATTTCGTAGTACGAGAGGTGGACGTCGACTATCGTCTCGCCGTTGGAGTCCTTTTCGATCTTCTTGCCGCGCCGGAACACGTTGCTCAATAGTCGAGGGATGAGACCGCGGTCGACCATCTTCATTCCACCACGCATCGTGTGCGTCTTGCCCGTGCCGGTAACGCCATAGGCGAATATTGTTACGTCAAGGCCTTGAAAGAGGGCCTTGATGTGAGGGTATACTAGATGTTTGTCAGTGATGGGCAATCCTCCATTGGACCCCAGCCACACAGTCGGTGAAGAGGGCGAAGATGATGCCTACCTTCGGCATTGAAGAGATCCTCCTGGGTACATGATTGATCGTAGACGCTGTTGAAGATGTACGAGAACTCCTCGGTTTCGTTCTTCGGGTTGGGGATCTTGACTATCGTAGAGGGCCTGCCTTCCTCGGTGCTGGCGGCGCGTACAATGACATCCTTGTCCAGCTCTTTTTTAAGCAGCGGACGTATCCTGGCGACGACACGGACGGACATGGTTCGGTTGTCGACCGGTTGGATGGGTCCGTCGGTGTCGCGATAAAAGAAATTTAAAGAGGAGACAAAAGGGGGGGAAGGGGGAGTGGGTTAGGGACGGGGACCACAAAAACAGGACGGCTCCCGAGAAGGATACATCAAACAAAAAAGGGGAGGAAAGGATAGGGATAGTGATGGGGGATATGGGATAGGATATGGGATGGGGACCCCAATGGGTTGTAAAGTGAAGATGGAGGAAAAAGCAAAGAAATGGATGGGGTTGGGCAATGGCCTCTTCTCCTCCTCCGCCTCCAGTCCAGTGGCCTCTCCGCCTTTGCGCCTCAAGTGACCCCGGCAGCAACCAGTAAAGAGTCGACGGGAAGAGTGGAATAAAAGGAGACGGTCAACAAATGGTTGGGACACAACAAGACAGGGTTTATGTTCCAAGTGAGGGGGTGAACAAGTGACTGCAGAATCCCGAATAGCAATTGGCTTCTCGTCTGCACGAATGCACGGATGCCGCAAGCAAAGTCACAGCACGTCGCAGCAAAGGAGCAGCCCTTCCCTTGAAGTGTGTGTTGATGGAGTCGGGATGAGCCAACAGGGGACCAGTTAACCGAGCAACGGGAACAACACAGGAACAACGCACCACAAGCAATGGCTCTCAGTGGCCTCTGTAACAGGTTCTCGACAGGTTGTCCCGCTAGTGAGACACTGGAATAGCTGGGCGCTGCAGTGGTGCTGCACTAACTGTGGGCAGTTGTGGGGGTGCAGCTGATCGCTGTGTGAGCTGTTGAACCTAACTTGTTGCTGCGCTTTACAGTGGTTGCAGCGGGAATGAATGCCGGCGGCAGGCACGGCAGGAACTGTCAAGAGTTGGTCTGTGCACTTCCGTCCTAAGAAGGGCTTATCGATAGCGGCTACCTTCCCCGCGGCCAAGTCCATGGAATTTCTCGGGCAATTCCCGTCGCGACATTGGACGAATCAAGGTGGTCCGTGTCCCCTGGGAAATATTCCAATTGCAGTCCTGGCGTCATTGCATTGTTTCTTGTACGGGACCTGTTTCAATCTTTCGTTTATCCGCGCTCAGGTCAACCTCTCCAACTTCACAGCTCCAAGCTCCAAGCTCCAACCTCCACCACCCGCCCCGACCTCAAACCTCGACCTCGACCGAACCGGGCCCCATCTCCAACTCCGAACACCGAACAACCGGGCCCTATAATCGGAAGGCGACCACAAAATGCGCGGCCAGTCTCCCCTGGTCAGGGCGGCGCGGACTGCGCGACTGACTAGAATCTCGACGACGACACCTCTACTAAACCCCCGAACCAACTTCGTCTGCTGGCAATGTCGCACCATCCAGATAAGCGCCAAGCCCGCCACCGACAACCGTCCCGCGCCCGACGTCTTTGACGCCCTCCCCGGCGGCCCGCGTGACTCGGCCGACGCCCGCTTCGAAGTGATCGGCTCGCCCGCCTCGCTCCTCTCGGTGACCCTCTCCGCCTCTCAACGCCTTTACACCCGTCGGGGCACCCTCGTCTCGGTAGCCGGCAAGGTCGAAAACGCCCAATCGACCCTCTCCATCCTCTCCCCCCTCACACGCGCCTTCCTGGGTGTTCCCTTCCTCTACCAGCGCATCTCCTCGACGACGCCCATCACCGCCCTAATAGGCACCAAGTCACCCAACACTAGCTTCTCGGTCCTCCACCTCGACGGAACAACCGATTACATGATCGCGCAGCGCAACGCTTTGCTCGCCTGGACGGGCCACACGATCCGCGTCTCGCCGCGCATCCAACAGGGTCTTGCCCCCGCCAACTGGGGCGCCACGCACGTTACCGGGCGCGGCCTGGTGGCTTTGGCGTCCCCGGGGCAAATTTACGAGTTGACGCTTGCCGAAGGCGAAGAACTCACACTCCACCCCTCCCACGTCGTCGCTTACTCCATCACCCGCAACCCGCCTTTGCCGTTCCGGTTCAAGAGCACCCGGCTCAACCTACAAGTGCCCTCCGTCCCCGACTACGTCAGCAACGCGGCCGGCAAGCTGGTTCCCGCCAAGGTGTCGGAGTTCTTCGCCAAGGCGAGGGATACCCAGTTCTACACTGCCTTGGCAAGGATACTGTACGGCCTGAAGACAGCGACAAGGAGGACGATCTGGGGCGACAGGCTATTCCTGCAGTTCCGCGGGCCGACGAATATCCTCATGTCCAGCAGGGGCGTCAGGGTGGCGGATGTGTTGAGCAGGGAGGATATCAATGAGATTGCGGATACCGAGGCGGGGGTTGTTGGCAAGGCTCTTGGTTCTTCTAGGATTGAGAAGGCCAAGGCTTTGGAACAAAAGAAGAAGGAGGTGCCGCCTCTGGTGGTGGGTGAGACGGCGGCTGGTGAAAAGGTCGCTCCTGTTGAGGCTCCCTTTGCTTCGGCGAGCAGCACTGACTTTGCTGAGGAGGCCAAGACTCCTGCTGATAAGGTTATTGAGGAGGTTGCGGGTGAGGAAGAGGAGGTGAAGAAGGAGGCTGAGGCTGGTGCTGAGACTAAGCCTGTCAAGATGAGGGTTGCGAGCGTTGGTAAGGATGGGAAGGTCACGTTTGAGGAGTCTAAGGACTTGAACCAGTTCGTGCGGTAAGCGGGTGGTTGTAGGCTGTAGGTTGTAGGTTGTAGGTTGTAGGTTGGATGCGGGGGCTGTAATTTTCTTTTCTTCTTCTTTTTCTTTGTTGTTGTAACGATAGAACAAACGTGCATAGGTATTCATGAAGAAGGCATGGGCATGGGGCAATCCATGGCATGGGATGATGAAAAAAGGTATGATGGCGGATGGGATGGAGGGGGTGGAATGAAAAAAGAATTGTTTGAAGCGTGGTATCAAATATCCTTTATACTCAAAATGCGCCTACAGATGTCGTGCCATGTTATGTTCTCTGCTTGACCATCTCCTAGAACTTATTACCACCATCCTTGAATCTCCCGGATAAGATTGTTTGACATGCCCGCCATATCTACCACCCACCACAATCTCTTCATGATATATCTCAACAGGAAGCACAAGATGTATCAACATAAAATGTCAAAATGTCAAACTGTCAAACGCCAAGGGCACAACACATCAAAGCTCTCCTCCGCCCACGAGCCCCATCTCTCTCGTTGACAATAAACGGGCCTATACACGGCCCAACTTCCAAAGCCCTAACCTTCAAAACGAGACCTACACGATACCCGATGCCCTCCGAATCTTGGGAACAAAGAGTAGCGATTAGGTGAACTCACCAATAGCGAGCTACACCTCGGAGCCGACAGTACCGGTATCGGATATGCTCCTCCGATAAATGCGCAGAGCCGCGGCCTCGACTGTGCTACCACCGGGAATGATATTGCCGGGTTATAGGGGCTGCCTGATACATCATATGTAGCGAACGGACTATTATGAACCAAGAGCGGTCCATCTCATCGAGGGTAGGTACAGTCACCGGGTCCACGGCCCACGGAGAAATGATTGAAGCTGAATAATAAACCGTGTTGAAAAGGGTCACGGCATCGCCCTCCCACCACCTATCACTTGGACTGCTTTTGTGCTTTAGGCTTGGTGTACGGATATTGAGCGCAGTAAGTAGTAATAAACTCTTTGGCTGTTGGGTCAAGAAGATTGCTTGGTTTGGGCTTGTTGAGGTTGGGGTCGTCGACGTGGGCTTTTAGGCAGCTGTTTTGTTCGTAGAAGGTGACGGAGATGGTGTTCTCGTCCCTGTTCATCTGAGTGTTGCGAGTGGTCTGGACGTTCTTGGTGGTGGTTTGGATGTTCTGGATGTTCCGGGTGTGCTGGATGTTCTCCTCGGTGCTGGGCAGCGGCGTCATGGGCAGGGTGCAGAGGTACTGGACGTCTGGGTCTGCTTCGTCTTGGGTTTCCACCTTTATCCTATTTGCGGGAGCATCCGAGGGACGATGTGGAGGATGAGAAGGAGGAGGAGGAGGAAGAAAAGGAAGTGGTGGTGGAGAAGGACACAAAGTACATGCCGCATCCTCTATGTCCACCAGTTGCCGCTTGTGCAGCTCTTCCACTTTTCCATTCAACGTTTGTCTGCCCTTCTCTTTATCGCTCTGCTTATGTCCTAGCACCAACCCTTGCTCCCTTGCAATTTCTAGCCCTTCCGCATACGCTCTACAAGTGCCTTGGATGGGACACAACTCGCAAGTAGAATTTTCTGGTGCCGGTAGACAAATCGTTGCTCCGAGCTCTGCTAACGCTTGGCCCCAACGCCCGGGGCGGTCGCTAAGCGGGGGCGGCCCTCGGTTTCTTTTGCCTATATCCGCCACCTTTTCGCCCTCGTTCAAAACCTTCCACTTCACCTCCTTGTTCCCTAGCCGCTTCGCCCTTGCCTCCTTCTCGGTTTCAACACCGTCCCATGCCACTTGCTCGACCAATCTGACATCGCTGTGAGCGTGAGGGGAGTTGGAGGAGAAGATTTGGCTGAAGCGGAGGTGCTTGGTCGAAGATATTGTGGTGGTTTTGGGCTCCAACTCGGTTGGAAGTTTGGTGAATGCGTCATGCATTTTGGCGAGAATCGCGTCTCGGTAAAATTTGTGCACATCCAACCCTAACCCCATTTCGTTCTTTGGGAAGGAACGCAGGATGAAGGAAGGTGCACGCGTAGGGTGTTCAAACATTTCTGTCCGGGGTCGATGGACTTGTGGCTATCCTGAACCCCCGGCCAAGTCTCTACTCCCCTTCACCAATTCCCAACACTTCTTCATCCCCGTCCCCATGTTTTCACCCTCGATCTCCTCTACCGTGGCCCACCGCTTCATCTTCGCATCACCCCCCCCTCTCTCACCCCCGACATCGCCCCCCTCCACCAAGTCAACGGCCCAAACATGCATCATCAACTTGAAATGCGAAAACGTCCACGGCACCGTCCCCAATTCTTCGTCTTCCTTTTCCCAGTACCTCACCCTCCACTGTCTCACTCCCATCTCCTTCAACACCTCCTTCAAAACCATCCGCACCTTATTCATTTTCTTCGTACTAGGCTCATCGTTCCATGTCGAATCAGCAGGCAAGGTATGGCTGGGAAGTTCCCACATGCCAGCCAGAAGACCCTTAGCCGGCCGCTTGTGAATCAGGTAGCACCCGTCGGACTGGCGGCGGATTGATACCACAAGACACTCTTCCTCGCGCAGCTTCTTCGTCTTCGGCTTTGTGTATGGATATTTGGAGCAGTGAGAGGTGATGACTTCCATGGCGGCCAAGGATGGCCCCGTTGAGTCGGAGTCATCTTCCACCTCTTTCTTGCGGTGAGTGCCAGGGCCTTTGAACTTGTCAAAGAACGCGGACACACCGCCTTTCTTTTTCCCCTTCTTCTCGTCAGGTTTATCCTCCGCTGCAGACTTTTCAAGATCTTCGGCTTCGGGTGGTGGACAGAGAGTGCATGAATCTTCAATGTCCACCATCTCCCCAGCTCCCATTCCCTTCTTTGTCTCCGTCACTTTCCTCCCCGGAAGCAGTCCCTTCTGGGTAGCAATCTCCACCCCCTCTTGATAAGCCCTGCAAGTCTCCTTGATGGGACACAATCCACACTTGGGCTTCGCCGGCCCTGGAAGACAAACGGTAGCTCCAAGTTCCATCAACCCCTGGCCCCATCTGCCTGGCCTATCGCTAACCTGGGGTTCCTTTCCCTTCCGCTCCTCGTCAGTAGCATCGGTCCCGTCCCAAGCAGCAGCCTCAACGAGGTGCTTAGCAGCCTCCCACACAACCTCCAGTACCTTCTTACTCTTCACATCCCCTCTAATCCCCAACTGCCTCGCCAGCACCCTGATAACGTTCCCATCGACCATCGGCTCCGCCCGGCCGTACACAATGGACGCAACGGCGCCGGCTGTGTACCGCCCCACTCCCGGAAGTTGCATCAGTTTTGCTACCGTGTGCGGGAGCAGCCCGTCGTAACCGCCTTGCGAGCAAGGCGGACAAACCAGCTGAGCGAGCGAATGAAGACGGGTGGCGCGCGAGTAATAGCCGAGGCCCTTCCAGAGGGAGAGGACTTCCTCTGGTTGGGCGGCTGCTAGGGACTGCATGGTCGGCAGGGCGGCTAGCCATTTGTTGTAGTACGGGATGACGGTTGACACTCGAGTCTGCTGTAACATGGTTTCGGAAAGTAACACCTCGTAGGCCCTCTGGGCCACAGCTTCCCTCAGATCTTGGGGACAAGCGGAGGCGGAGGAGAGAAGGGAGGTGGTATCGATCCATGGTTTTCGCCAGGGCATTTGCCGGTCGGAAGAGACGGAGTCGAACCAAGTGAGGAGGGCATCGCGGGTTGTGCGGGCAGTGGAGGAGGAGAAAAGGAGGGGGTTGTGGTAGGTTAATGAGTGAGGATTCGATGGGAGGCATGGGAGTTCGTGCTTTTGGGGGAGCGCGCCGTCGAAGAGCTGAGTGATGAGGGCCTGGATTGAGGCTGCTGTTGATTTGGGTTTGGCTTTTGTTGTTGTTGTGAGAGTGGCAGTGATTGAGGTGGAGGTCCTGGCGGTGGTAGTCGCTGATGCTTTTGTCCTCGTCGTTACCGTCTTTGTCGTCACCGTCTTGACGGTCGTGCTCCTCGTCTTCCTAACCGCTCGCGATGCTTGTCCGCTCGCAGTCTTCCGGCGTTTACTCGGTCTGGCATCAGAGTCAAACTCACTCTCGTCAATGTCCGAAAGGGCGGAGGAGTCTGAGTCTGGGTTTGGGTCCGAGTCGGCATTCGTTGGCGCAGTGTGGTACTCCAGGGGATCAAACTTTGCGTCCGCGATCCGAGCGCTGCGGCGCCTTGTTTCGACCATTTTGGTGCTCAAAACAAAACTTTGACACCATTAGTATCAGATACCGATTCCCTTTTGTGTTTTTACCCAGGAGTTGTTGAATCGTGGGCGAGTGTCCAACGTCGAATATCTCCAAAACGCGTTTGTTGTTTTGGTGAAGAGACCGCGTCTTGGCGATTTTGCCAAGATGCAAAAGCAGCCAGCAGCCGCCGAGATAACCCTAACCCCGCTCTCTTCGGATTTCCCGCTGTTTACACCCCCTTTCCTTGGATGACAGAAGATGTCACCTCCCGGTCGATTTTGACTGGACACCAACCCAAAGCAACCGTGACCCATCATCGATCTGCCGTCTGCCGAAGTATGGAACAGCCAAGGATATGCAAAGTGCACGGCATGAGCCGAGAACCAACCGAGAACATTGGGTGGTTGCATTCGGCGATATCAGCCGGTTGAGACGAAGCCGGAGTTCATATCGATCCTTGACTTTTGGACATTTTCCATATTGACTTTGGAGTTGGAGGGGAATGAAGATCTCAGCACCTTATCTGGCATCCTGCGTTCTGCGGGGTGAGTTCTGGACCGGGATATAACATCATTGCTCCCCCATCGTTCAATTGCCTTCGTCCGACCACCCACAATTCAGTTCTCCAGCCACGCCATCGTTTTCAACACCAGGATACCATGCGGACTTTTACCATCCTCAGCTCTTTGACTGTATTAGCAGGCCTTGTCAAAGCAGCAGACTACGGCCCCTGCCCCTACAAAGAAAACGAGAATTGCTGGGAGATTATGGATAACACCGCTTGTTTTCTTAATCCGACGAGCACGGAGCAGATCTTTACTTGTATCCCTGGGGGGAAGGAGGGTGTACGTCCCACTTGCCTGTCTTTACCTACCTCTACAGTCTCCTTTGCTGCTCATGTCAAGAAGTGCTGATGAACAAAGGTCTGCGCCTGCTACGGCTGTCTCGGATACACGCCCGTTACCGAGTTAATTCGGAAGGAGGCTGCTTGCCAGTGAGTGTACCTACCTTATGTTGGGGCCCTGAGTTTGCATGAGGATGGGGGTTTTGGGAGGAGCGAGAGCTGACAGATGGTTCAGAGGCGTGAACACTGACCCGCCGACGCCGGCGCCGACGGTTTCTGGTGAGAGGGTGAGGAGGATACTTGGAGCGTGAACGTACCTCACTTTGGCGGGGAATGGGAACCTGGAAGTCATGAAGACATTTACCTCATATGGAACAATGGAAGATGGAAGGATGAGGGATAGAAACGCAAAGGGAAAGAAGGGAAAGGAAAGAAAGAGAAGCAGGCGAACGTGCCCGTCCAAACTGACGAAACGCAACATGACATTTTGTTTGTTGACCCCTTGCTGGCTTTCATTCCGTCTTTGGGTCCGTGTTTCGAGCATCACCAACGAAGCAGACTCATGGCCCTAACTTTTCTTTGTGGCAATTCTCACCGATATCTGTTGAGGTCCAGAATGTTGAGCAGTTGAAACTTTGGTGTTGGAGGCCCTTCAATTGACCATTCGGAACTCGAACCGAATTCTGAGATACGAAACGTATCTGTCTCGTGTTCGCCTTCCTTTCTTGACAGCAGATGTGAGGCCAATGGAGGTGACTGGATTAGCCACGACGACTGGGTCCTCATGGAATAAGGCCTCAAAGCGTTTTGGTTGGCTTGATGTTGTGATTGAACGGAAGGAACATCAGGTAACAACCCCGCATTGAGCTGTTTGGGCTGCCTTGGGACGGCAGCGACGCAGGTACGGCACTGGGCGTGCTTACTGTTTTATGATTTGCTGCTTCAAGTTCAAGCCTTGTAATATTTTGTTGAGGCTTGGGCTACGTGTCGTCAATGTGCTGTTTGCCTGTTTCGCATTCAACATCTGGCGAGCTTCCTTCTCCGTGAGGCCATCATCGTGGTTCGCAATTTTGCATGCAGGCGACGAAAAGAGGACTGGACGATGAGGCAGCGATTTATGCTTTAGAAGCTGTGCATTGCAGGACTGCGCCTCTGGAGCTTGCATGCTTGCGGCGCGGCGGCATTCTTGTGTTAAGGCATTGCTGTGAGGCACATTCAGTGGTGAGGCCCTCTAGATGGCTCCGAATGCCCGAGCCGTCCGCGACGATTTGTGGAGGCCCTGCTAACACTTTCCATCTTACAAGCAGTAGATCTTTGGATATATAAAGGGGGAGCATCCGTTCTAGCCTCAATCCGATTTCGACACTGCATGCTACTTTCATGTAAGACTGCTTGGGTGGTCTTATCTATCGGCTTCACACAACTGAAAGTATGAATTCCAAGCCGACGGGAAGTTAACACAAAACCCACATTACTAACCACATCTCAAAGGTATCAAGCTCATTGACATTGGTGCAGACTTGGCCTTGGAGGGTTCCGGTTTTTATAGCCTAGTGTATACTAGCTATTACGTTTACCGTACCAATTTCAAGTGGCATTACTGGACCAGATCCAGAGAGCGTATCTCCCGTGCTGTTTCTTCACATATCACAACCTTGAAGGTAGTGATGTGCAATTGTCGTGGTTCCGATCAATTTCATGATGAGCGGATCAATGCCAGCCATCCCCAGATGGCGCGATTTGGACCCCCCTTCCCCCATATGCCGTCTTTGCCCAACACCATAGGGCATCATCCTGAGATTAACCGCATAGGCCACATGGCCCAAGAAGCCGCCCCGTCTTCGAGGTCCAGATCGGACGCTCAAGTGCTGACATTGACAGGTCTGGCAGCACAACCTCCATCTGGGGATCTAGTCCTCCCGACTACGACCTCCACCAATTATATGCAGCACGGGAGACAGGAATACAGCCATTCAGATGCTACTTCCGGAGCCCTGGTAAGTTTACCTACCTAAGTACCCCAGTCATATGCCTGCATCCATTTAACATTCGAGTAATACTATAGGGCCTTCTTGTCGACCAGTCCGTTATCGACCCTGCGCTCTTGCACAGCGCGGCAGTTGATCTCGACATGAGCTCCAGCTACCCCTACTCTTTAGAGGAAGCCAGAGCTCTCCAGACGAAGCATTTTGAAAGGTATTTCCAAATTAGCGAGTACATCGATCGTGTCAAATTGCAAACTCCAAGCAGCTTTCCACTCTTTTCCACAGACCATGCGTCATGTGGACTGGGGTCCACCATAGCTGCCCCTACAGATCATGGACATGCGCATGACTTCTTCGACATGCATGCCCAGAACTGTGCTTCTGTGAGTGTTACCGTGCTAGAAGATTATGCATAATTGCGTCGATCCCATGTGTTATGGCCACAACCACGCCCGCCCATAAATCTTGGACTGACTTTTGTTCTAGATACCCCAACCTACCACGTCCGAAACTGGCTCAATCTTGCATGTTCACGGGGACGCATCCAATACGACAGAGTTTCCCTTCAACACACCTTACCCTCCATTCGACTCTAGCTCTTTCATACCATGGGACTCTTCTCTCGGGGTTGAGAACACCCTTGAAGATGGACCGATGGGCTGTGTGAGCCAGGTGGAAACAGAATTTCCCTCCAACGTCCAGCCTGAGGATGATTCCTTGGACAGTTCTGCCCTTCGAGTCAGGCGACCTCATTCGTGGAAACGAGCTTCACTGAAAATAGAAGGGCAGCCCAGTCTTCGACCAGTGCTTCAGAGACATTGGAATTGTCAGCCAGTGTCCCATCATCGTTGGAAAAGGAACAGGAACAAGAACAACCCCAGACATCAACTGCCAGCCCAAAGTAAGCGCCTCTCAAAGATACTAACATTACTCGGCTCCCTCTACCTAAAGCACACGATCAAACAACGATCAACAATCAACAAGCTAATAACCTTCGCCCGGTCACAGACGTCTTCGCCGCCGCTCAAACCGCCGGCATCGTTCCGACCCCCAGCCACGCTCATGTCCCATCAAAGGCTGCATGTTCAAAGCATTGACGAAAAGGGATATGCAACGCCACATCGACAGTCTCCAGCACCGCGAGGATCTAGGAGACCTGAATGCCGCTGGGTACACCTTGAGCGAGGAGACCGCCTGCTCCGTCGTTGGCTGCGAAGCAATTTTTTATCGGAAGGACAATCTGAAGAGACACATGGCAAAGATACACGAGCGTGGGCGTGGGTCACTGATCTATGGGGAGGCCTAAACGTTATGGAGATGACAAGCACAAAGGGGCAATCAGGAAGAACCAATCGAATCAAGATATAACGGAGGAGTTTGGGAATCTGGAAGCAACAAGGACGCAGTACGATACACTACAAGGACGACTCGGATCAAGATTGAAAGGGGGAGTTCGATAAGGCCGGGAGTATTGGAAGGCGAGAGCAACAAGGACACAGCAGCACGATACACCACTAATACCGACCATTACTGCCTTGTTTTTTTTTGTTTAGTTTTTTTGGATTTGTGTCTCTTACCTCGACATACAAATATCTTAACATACAGGCAATATCGTTCTGTCTTTGTTTTCACCTGCGAAGCTACCTGGTAGCATTGATCCATCCATGTCCTCCGCCTGCGCTTGCAGCTATCTACGACTCCGGTTCATCATGACTTGAGCTTTCTTCAGGGCAACTACCTTGACGTTGAAGCAGGTAAGTTCCTTCCCTGTGTCTCAAATGCCCCAGCCCGCGGGAAAATGGGAAACACAATAATTCATGGGCGGAGCTCCCCATGTCTCAGGACCATCATCGGCAGCCTCCTTGGCCTTCTCCTCAGCCTCCTTCCGAGCCTTCTCCTCCCTCTCCTCCTTGTCATTCTGCATCAGACCCAAAATGTGGTGGTGGATCAAATCCCTAGCCGCAACAGCGTCCTCAACACTATCATGGCCCTTCTTCCCACCATCTTGGATCACGCGACCCAGCTTCTTCTCAGCCAACGCCTTCAACGACATCCCCTCCCGTGATCTCCTCTCCCTCTTCTTCTTCTCCTCTTCTTCCTTCTTATTGATCTTCTCCTCCTCGTCATCCAGGAACTCCGATTTATTCTTACCATGTTTCGTCGCAGCCATCACCAACATCCTCGAAATCTCCCCATCCATCTTCTCCTCCCACTCTACCTCCTCCCTCCTCTTCACTTCTTTCCTCACCCCCTCCTCCACCAACAAACTATCCACGCACCTCGTATGAATCCACCTCAAACAAACCAAATCATTCCTGACCGAGTGTCCAACCACCACCGTTTCCGGTCCCACAAACTTCCACACCTCCCTTCTAGCCTCCTCCAGTCCGCCCAGGATACAAGTCCCGTTGCGCACCGCATTCTGTATATCTTGCCGCGTGACGCCCGAGTACCGCGTGTTCATGTGTTGCATTGGGACGAGCGGGCGCACGAGCGAGTCGATGAGGATTTGGCCGGAGAAATAATCGATGAGGGATAAACGGATGAGTTCGGATTCGAGGTCTGCGGAGGTGCCCATTTCGCAGTCGATGGCGACGGCGGAGCGGAACTGAGGGGCCTGAGGGTTGGAGGAAGGGTGAGGCGGGGTTGGCACGAAAAGCCAACGGGCTTCGAGGGCGCCGGGAGCGTAGGTGAGGGGGGTGTGAGTGGGGGCGCCGGAGCAGGGGGGTTGAGAAACGTGGAGGGAGCAGCAGGTCCAGGTCTGAAGGGATGGGTTAGTGGATGGTCTTGTTGTGGTGAAAGCTCGGTGAGAGGGGGCTGTGGCGTGGAGAGCTTACCTTGTTCTTAATCCGTCCTGGATGGTACTTGCAGATAATCCTGGGCTGCTCTTGCTTGCTGTTGGTAGAGGTAGCGTCTCCCTGCTTGCCCTTATCATGCGGTTTGCCATGGCTCCTGTGTCTACGCTTGTGGCCTGTGTGGCTTGAGCCAGCGTTGGAAGCAGTAGAGGTAGTTTCGTTCGCGAAGCTGCCATTGCTGGAGCCGTCACCGGCGTGTGAGGGGTCCCTAGGTGGGCGATCGGTTTTGGTGCCTGATGAGAGCACAGTCAGTAATGTGAAGCTGGCAACCTATGTGAGGATGAGACCGCGACTCACATTTCTTGTTGCATTTCTTGCACTTGACCTTCGTCTGAAGCTCCTTCTTTGTGAGCGGGGTCACGACGAATCCAGCCTTGATGAGTTCCGTTGTAGAGGGGATTAGGTTAGTCAGGTACTTCATGTACTCCTCGGAGGCGGCGATGGGCTCGGCGACCTGACGGCCCATCGCCGCTTTGCCCATGGGTTGAGCCATATGGGAGCTCTGTTGTCGGGAAGCCATGATGCGGCTCCTTGCTTCGATGAGGCAGTTGCGCGCGCGTGCGGTGAGAGATATTGCCGAATGGATGGTCAGAGATAGAAGGTGTTGCTATGTCGAAGGAAGGAGTCTTCTTCCTTGGAGGGGAATATGGCAAAGGAAGAGGTGAGCTTGAGTGTGCGGGGCAGGAGATCGCAAGATTAAGGGTAAAGGGCGAAAGGCGAGGGTACCAGCTGCCTCCGCCCGGTTGTCAGGTTGTCGTCCGGACTTTGAAGCCTCTCTTTTGCGGATGGAGTTGGAAGGAGCGGGTGATAATGGTAGAAGTGATGTCCAATCTTCCAGCGTTTGATCTGTTCTCCATGAGTCAGTCCAACAGACAACAGTCTGCGTAAATTGCAAACCCCTTGATGTGTCCAGGAAGCAGACATCCGTTGAGGGACAGTCATACAAAGAATGAAGGACGTTTGCACATCCGGACAAACACGGCGTGGAGATCAAGGGTCTTTGCCAGCTGACGGGAGAATGTTAAAGGGATGACGGCAGAAGGATGCTGATGAAATGGGTTCTTACCTCCAAGCTCACGTTTCCAACTTTTGTTTGAAAGGAAAGGCAAAACATCTGAATTGGAAAATTCGTCCGACACTGAGCCTCATGCTCGCTCATCGTCCTCGCCCTCCTTCTCTCTCTGCGTTCCGTGGGTTTTGTATTTCCTGCACCGCTGGTCATGTTCTTATTTCCTTCCTTGTTTGCTTGTCTGTTTCAAGCTAATTCGATACATGCGTGAGGCCTATGGCCATTCACTTGTAGGCCTCGATGATCGTAAACGACGGTAGCAGCCTATCACCGACCATCAGACGAATGGACGCCGGCCACTCACGGGATATTGGGCAGCAATTGAGACCTAACGACCATGACTGCATAGAGGTAGGCAGCGAGTCGATAAGCACTCCAACGCAATGCTGCTATTCGCTATCCATCTCTGTCCGGACAAGTCTCCTTCCTCCGACCCCTGAGCTGCTCCGTATACCTTAATCATGCATTACCTTCACACTCCTCTCGCGTTAGTCTCTCCCTGTCCTCTACCCATCCGCCATCGACACTCCAGTCTTCAATCTTCTACTTCAAACTCAAGCGTGGCTGTTTCCATCTCTCCAAAGAATGAGCGTCAGCCATAAATTTGCTTCCGTCACTCATACACCATCGATGGAGATTTCCCGGCTTGAGGAAGACTGGATCAAATTCGACCTTGACCTGACTGCCGCCGCCATCGGGCTATCATTCAAGTGTCAAGAAGAGCTGGAGAAGTCAGCTTTAAGTTGACGGCAAGATCACCTAACCAGCTCCTAAATTCGTTTGCTTGGCCAAATCCCCTGGCTCTGATACGGAGAAATGCGTCCGGTTTCTCAGTTCCAGCAAGACAATCGAGACACAAGAGCTCCTGTATTCGAGAGAGAAAGAGAGAGAGAAGCTGAAGCAGTGGAGACTGTTGGCTTCGTCCTCGATCCACAGATGTACCCTGGGGCGGTCATAGATTTATACCAGCGTCTACCTCTCTGTCATCGGCGGCTGGGCCCCTTTCCCTCCGTCCTCGTCGTTTCGAAGATTCTTGTCAGTCACCCGTTCCAAATCACTCGAACACCAGATCACTGTATTGGCAGAACTCCAGCAACCAGAATCACAAACCGGCTAAGCTCAGCTCCCGCACCATCTCATCACAGTAACCGGGCTAACGAGGGTTCCAGACTTGAGCAGGCAACCTCTTCGTGATGGAAGACCATCAGACGCGTGATATGCCACTCCTTCATCTCTCACCAATGACCACTGCATCATACAAGACAGCATATGATCCTGACAAAAAGCTTGGAATTCCCACCGCCATATCATCGGCATTCACCCATGTACCCGGTGGCTACTGCCATATCCAACTTCTCCAAAAGCTTCATCACCCATTTCTCCGGGCGGCCGTTTGGGACCTACCAACCATCGTGTGCACCATTTCCGGCAAAATAGGCCAAAACACTATAACGCTGTCTTATGACTTGACCACTAAGCTCTGAAAGACCGGTCATAGGCATCTCAACGCATCCAAACAATATGGCCGTTATTGCTACTAATAACGCCGAAGTCCAACTCAGCCTAAGATGGGAAGTGATCGGCTACCCTTGGAGGGATCTAACCTTTGAGTATCTGGTGATGGATGATGGGTGATGGGTGAGGTTAGTACCGGAAAAAAAACGAATTCTCATCTCGATGCGAATGACTTCTCTTACCTCTTTTTCCAGTCTGAAAAGTTCTGGTCCCATCACCACGCTTCTTTGTGCCCCCATAAGTTGACTGCTCTCCCTTCCTCACCAACCTTCCTCCTCCTCCTCCTCCTCCTCCTCTCCAAATCGCAACATCCCCTAACCCACCACTCACTCATCACCTACCCGCCAGGCCACCGCAACCATGCTCTGGCACCCCCTCACCCTCGCCGCCGCCGGCATCGCCGCCGCCGCCCCAACCATGCTCCGCTTCGGCTGCTCCCAAATCGTATGTCATCGACCGGATCGACCCCCTCGTCAACCCGGGCCAACTCCCCTCCCCGCACTTACACCAAGTAGTAGGCGGCAACGCCTTCAACGTCTTCATGCCTAGTTCCCAAGACATCTCCCAGCTCGCCTCCTGCACCACCTGCTCCTACGGCGACGACATACTTCTCCAACTACTGGACGGCCAACATGTACTTCCGGGCCAGACGCGCAACGGATCCTAGTATAAACGCGTCCCGCAGATCCCCAATCGCGAGCTCTGTTCCAGGTCTGGTGTATTATGTCAGTCGTGCCGGGAAAGGGACAGGTGACGGCTTTTAGAATAAACCGGGGTTTAGGATGCTAGTGGGGGATGCGAATCAACGCACCAAAAAGGGGAGCAGCGGGATGAAGAGCCAGACTTGCTTTAGGTGCTATTCGGGACCGAATTGGAAGGGGGATGATGCGGCGCCTTGTCAGGATGCTAGGTGAGTTATGTTGCTCTTTTGTCCGTTGCGGTGTGACTGGAAGAGAGGACTGAATGAAGTGAAACTGATGGTATGTGGTGAACAAACAAATAGGCTTGATACGGAAGCTTTCCCTACCGGACCCTCCAGTGGTATCCGGTCTAACATTCCACTTCTTTATCCCACGTAAGCCCTCAATTCCTTCTCCCCTTTCCTCCCCCCATCTCCACCACTAACCCCGGTCCCTCGCGCATCAATCCAGCTGCTGGGACGGCAAAAACCTCGACTCCCCCAACCACAAATCGCACGTAGCCTACCCTTCCTCCGGGCCCGCCTTATTCACCGGCTCCTCCATCGGCTCCGTCGGCTCCGCAGCCTGTCCCTCGACGCACCCGGTCAAGATCCCCCAAAGCATGCTCGGAATCGTATGGGACACGACGCAATTCAACAACAAGGCCGCCGACTGGCCCGCCGCCGACGGCTCGCAGCAGCCGTTTGTCTTGTCCACCGGAGACCCGACCGGGTATGGACAGCATGGCGATTACGTGTTTGGGTGGAAGGGCGATAGTCTGCAGAAGCTGATGGATGATAATAAGAATTGTATTGGGAGTGCGTGTGGCGGGCTGAAGGCGCAGGATGCGGGGAAGGCGAATGCGTGTAGGGTTAGTGGGAAGGTGAGGGAGGAGTGCACTATGGGAGGGGTGGCTGGAGAAGTTGCCGGGGATGGAGATGCCGATGTAGTGGAGTGTGAAATGGGGAAATGGGATAAGAAAGTCAGGAAGAAGAGTGATGGGTAGGTGTTGGCCGGTGTTGAATGAGGTGGATAGAAGTAGATGAGTGTAGATTGTGGGCTGATTGTGAGTCTCGGTAGATGGTCGTTATAGTTGATAGTTGACGTTGAACTCGGACTTGTTTCGATTAGTTGCTTACCAGACGATACTTCCGGCGGTGCCTGCCGCTCCTGCCTGCCGTCCCTTCCCGCTGCCCTGCCGGCCGCCTCGCCGGCCGCTTCCACCTTGCCCCTCCTCATCCCAACTGCCACCGGTCTAGGGTATACAAGTCCACTTTCCTGCACACCTTTCCGTGGTCCGTTGGTGTAACGGTTAACACTACCTATCCTGGCGCATTGTCGTGCTGGACGCGGCATTATGGTAGAGCGGAAGTTACCGGTTCGAATCCGGTACGGGCCACGCTTTTTGCCCTTTTTGCTTTGCTGCCGTGATGGGAGATATAATATTACCTGCCGAGTACTAACCAATTCCTATTCGATGCTTGCTTTCCTTCTTGCTTGTAACCTAAAGCGTCTTCTCAATCTCCTCAATCTCAGTCAAATACCTCCCCCTCCCCTCCTCCCACTCCTTCTCCTCCATCCTCCCGATAACCGGCACTCTCGCCGCCTCCAAATTTCCAAAGCCTGCAACCCTGTATGTCGCCTCCTTGATGCCCTTCAAGCCGTACTTGACCACAAACTCCTCCGCCCTGCTAACCACGTATTGCAACTTGTTCAGCTCCGCCCTCTCTGACGGTCTAAGATCGTCCTTTTGCGCTAGCTCGAATAGTCTGACAACTGTCTTCGGGTAGTAGGCAGACATGCCATCAATGACACCGGCTGCGCCGAACAAGACAATGGGACCGAGTTGTTGACCAAAGCCGGAAAAGACGCGGAAGCGTTCGTGGTTGATTTCGGGGTCGAGAGAGACTTGAAGATGGTGGGAGATGTTGCCGTGGGACCTATTTGGCACTCTGTCAGCATCTGTCTTTTTACTTCCACTTGACAAGCTTCCAGCACATCTCTCCCTGGCCCGACATGGACTCTGTGGTTGCCATGACCGCATGCTGCCCAAGCTTCTGCTCAACTAAACAACAACAACATCCAGCTGTTCACCAAAGTAAAGACAAGGGGAAGGAAACTCACATCTTACACCCCACCACCCTAGGATTCTTCGCCAACTCCCTATACCCCTCCGGCTCCAACACCACCCCATTACTAACCCCGGGGTAATTATACACCACAATCCCCATCTCCTTCCCCTCCTTCCCTTTTATCCCCTCCAAAACCTCACCAAACCACCTTACCACCCCCTCCTGATCCGTCCCACCAGCCCCAAAATACCCCGGCACCAGCACCAACCCATACTCCGCCCCGGCCTCGCTTAAATCATCCAACCACTGCACCGTCTCCTCCACCCCTCCATTCGTTAGCACACCCGCCATTATGGGGAACTGCTTAAAGCCGGCCTCGTCGAGCCCTTGGCGAACAGAGCGAATCAGGGAAGACCGTTCAGACCTAGATAGGTGCATTGCTTCGCCTGTGCTGCCCAGGAGGACGACGCCGGTGATGCCGGAGCGCGCGAGGAAGAGGGTGTGGGCTGTTTGGGCGGCGTAGTCGACGGCTGGGATGGTGGCGGAGAAGGGGGAGGGGGAGGAGGTAGTGAAGAAGGTGGGGGAGGGGACCCAGACGCCTTTTGGGGGGACGGGGATGGAGGAGGAGGCGGTCATTGTTGTCGTTGGGTGGGTTGGATTGGTGGTTGTTGTCTGTTCAATGTTCAAATGATGCCAGGCTGGAAGTGGTTGTTGCCGTTGGAAGATGTTCGAACGGTGGAAGTCCGAACGATGGGAGTTGTAAGAGAGAAAGAAGATGTTGTAAGAGGGGGAGATGCAGCAGCCAGCAGGAAGAGGAGAAAGAGGAAGACCCCAAGTTGGAAACCGGTTCCCAATGTCGCACCAAGTTATAAGTGTCACTTGCCTTTGTAAGTGCATCGCGGGGTGCTTGGCTTCGGCTGTCGTATCACCGAGTGATGCTTGTTAGTGCGATGTAACTCGCTGTGAACTTCACCGAGGCGTTGTTGCAACCGGCCGGCATCTGAGCCCCACTTGGCGTAAGGGGTTGGGTTCGATGTCAACAACACAGGATCTTGAAGTGTGAAACAATCCCGACACTGTTGGTTTTGGGGTGTAAAGCGTGATCTCAGTTACTCAACATCGCTCGCTGCTGGTCAGGTCAATAGCGGTGTAATTCGCATTGGAGGGGGTCTCTTTAGTTATGTCCCTGCATGTCCCATTGGAATGGTACAGCATGGTGCCTGCCGCAAGTCCAATCGCTGCGTCTGTAACCCTAACCCGCTGTCAACTAGCTGTGTCGTTTCCTCTCTTCCCCCGAAAAAACTCGCAATTATGACAACCTTCATATCCATTTTGCTCAAAGATTGATGCTTCTATGACTTCTTTGACATCTCTAAACCTTCAATCGCAACTTTTCTTGTAATTATGTGATGGTTCGGTGTCCAAAAATGGGAGTGACGCCGCTCCTCCATCTGACATTCGAAGATGCCGGTGGAGGCTGCCGAAAAGATCCATCGGAGATCCCCGAACATTTGGGGGTCATGAGGCTGGACTCCCTCGAGACGATAAATAAAACCCTCTCATCCATGTCAATACTGTGCAATCAGCAAGATAACCGAGATCCGGAACAGGCATAGTCTGTTCTTGGATTGATAACCATGTCTGTCCGGGGTATGTGATATCCGGATGACCGGACCCCTCTCGGCCTGTTCTCCTCCACGACAACTTCCTCTGGGAGGGAATATCTAGACCAACTCCTCACGGTTCGGAAAGGAAGGTTGCAGATTCACCAACATCCGCTCTTTCCAGTCAAACATCACCAGTCGTATGATCATCACTGAGTGTCGCCTGTCGAAAAAACGTTGAATGTCCGTCACGACCCTGGAGAAACCGGCAACCAGATCACCGTCAGCATCATCGCCAAACTAGAGCGCCACGGTGACTAAACAGACGGCGAATAACGCAAAAATATCCGAGATCACGGACCTGTAGCACAGCTACTTAAGTCCACCGCCCTTCCCTCGAACACTGCTCAACTCACAACCCAAGCAAACACCTACAAGACCATCACGATGTCCACCCCAAACCAGCAGACAACAACCCTCCGCCTAGCCTCAGGCAACGGCCCCATCACCCGCTCCATCCTCCCCCATCCCTCGCGGGACGCACTCCCCTGCGAACTCCCCATCATCTCCCTCGCCCCCCTCTTCTCCTCCTCCCTGGCCGATCGTCTCGAACTTGCGCAGCAGATCCGTCAAGCCGCCACGACCAACGGTTTCTTCTACATCACCTCCCACGGGATCCCTCCCTTTGTGACTCAAGAAGCAGAGGAAGCAGCCTTCAAATTCTTCCGCTCTCCGACAGAAGAGAAGGAAAAGGCCAGTATGCACAAAAGTCTGTACAAATACGGCTGGAAACCTCCTCGCACGCAGCGCTTGAACCCGTTTGAGAGCGTCGATCATCGCGAGTCTTTCTCGTGGAGGTATGATCCCCGCTATGACCCCAGCGTGGATGATGTGACCAAAATTCCGGAGGAGGTGAGGGTGATGATCAAGCATGATCCGGACGACTACCCATGGAGTGCCGTCTCTCCTGACTTCAAGGGCGCAATAATCCGGTATTTCCAGGCTGTCTTGGCGCTAGGTCGGGTTCTGTTGAGAGCCTTTGCGCTGAGTTTGGGGTTGGAAGAAACGGCGTTTGATGAGAAGAGTCGATGGCCTGATTTAGGCATGGCTGTCAACTATTATCCACCGCTATCGATGGAGGAGAAAGAACAGGAGAAGGGAGAGGAGACCAAGGTGTCGATTGGGTCGCATACCGACTTCCAGCTGTTCACAATCCTGGGGCAGGACCAGGTGGGCGGGCTGCAGGTTCTGTCGCGATCAGGGCAGTGGTTGAATGCGAAGCCAATCCCGGGGACGTTTGTGGTCAACTTTGGGGATTACATGCAGCGCATTACAAACGATAAGTACGTGAGTACTGTGCATCGGGTGCAGAACTACTCTGGGAAAGAGAGGTTGAGCATGGCCTTCTTCTTTGGCTTCAACCTGAACGAGACGTGTGAAGTGTTGGACAGCTGTGTCGAGGAGGGCGAGGAGCCAAAATATGAGGCGATTAGCTGTTGGGAGTGGACGCAGAGGAGGGTCAAGATGATGCATGATGTCAAGGGGAATGGGAGTTACTAAAGGCCCAGTTTTTAGAAAAGGGATAGCAACTGAGTTTGGTAGGAAACTGAAGGAATTGTATTCATCCGTATCCAATTGGATCCATTGAGCGAAAGATTCCACTTGGCCCTTGTCAATTGAGTGTAATGAAGTGAATCAAAAGGCAACTGCACTTCCCTTGCACACAGCTGACCCGCTGGCGGGAATGGAAGGAGCGATACTGCGATAGTCCGGATGAAAAAAGTGCCGACCGCCCGTCACTCGGTCACTCGGGCTTCTGAGAGGAATGTTCGCGACCGAACAAACAATGAGGCGGCGCTGATTGCCCCTGGTCGTTGGTCCACTTGAGCCGCCCGACTCCTCGACATCATCAAACATAGGATTGAAGAAACCATTCACCGTGATGCGGCGTCTTCTGGTCCCGAGTACCGTCAGCCGAAAAGGCCGAGCCAATCATGTCCGAACAACATGTGAAGGGCGCGAAGGCATTCACTTGTGTTGGGCGCAACATGAGATGACAATGCGGGTCGAGGGTACAAAAGCATTTTAAATCCAGCAGCCTTGGGGTTTTCCGACTTTCGCACCAACAAGATTTTTCCGAGACTACCATCGATCGCGAAGTAGCCCAACATGGCGACCCCGAAATCCAACGCGTCCATGTCGAACCTTGAGGCCAACAACAAGAACAAGAGTGAGGATATGGAGTCGCAGAGTTCATTCGCGCCGACTCCCGAAGCTGAGAGCGAGAACGAAAGCAGCAGCGACAGCCAGCACAAGAAGGGTATTGATGGCAGCACCAGCAAAGAGAGCGAGCTGAAGGAGATCGAGAAGGCGACCACCTCGACCGGCGCCACAACCCCAAGCGCCCCGGCTTTCGACTTCGTCAAAGCTGCTGAAGATCTCCTTGCCGACGCCAAGAAGCTCAAAGCGACCATCGACAGCAAGCCTACCCCCCCCTCCAGCTCTCCCGAGTCGGCAAAGCCCAACGATGCCAACCAGCATGCGCCTCTCCCGCCGTCCCCTGAGGAGATCGTTCTTCGCCAGCGCATCGCAAAACTAGGCAAGAAGATTGCCTTTGAGACCGCGCCGCCGATGGAAGTGCTCAAGTCGGATTGGGTCACCGTAAGCTCGCCCCGTTCCCCCATTTCAACCCACAACCATTGCAGCCTGACTGACAGACCCGTGTAACAGATCGCAGACGTCTCAGCCTGGAACATCTTCCTCCACTGGCGCGCCTTCGACCACATCCCTCTCACCGGCTCCATCTCCATCGCCGACCTCGCCCGCGCTCTCGATGCCGACGAGTCTCTCGTCTCCCGCATCGCCTGCATGTTAATCTCCACCGGTAAGCTCACCGGCTCCCGTCTCGACGGTAAAGAGCAAGGACCGCCCACCCACATCTCCCACAGCCGCATCTCCCGCCTTCTTCGTACCAACACTTCCCCGGCCACCGCTGCCCTCGCCATCGTTAGTTTCGGCAACGGCATGAAGGGCTTCGCGAAGTGGCCCGAGTACTTTTCGACCTACGACAGACATGAACCCCACCCAACGGGTAGGGAGATCCTGATCCACGACAGTGGCACTGGCATTGTCGTGACGACCAAGAGAAGAGGCGCACAAGACAGTAACAAAATCTTCGTCCCGACGCCCTTCTCTCTCGGCTGGGGCCACCCGGCCCTGGCGCCGTGGGAAGTCAAAGCCCGCTACCCGGAGTACGCGCGCCACTTTGAGATGGCGATGGCGGCCAAGGACAAGGGCGCGCAGGGCGCTTTGGGCGGCGATTTGGGTGTTGGTGGATATCGCGGTGTTAATGTCGAGGATCCTGGCAGGAAGTTCTCGCTCACTTGGCTTGCCGAACTTTCCCAGAAGAAGCAGCAACAGCAGCAGCACATCCTCGGATACACCAACCCCAGTTTGAAGCCCTTGTTAGTCGACGTTGGCGGTGGACTGGGCCACTTCCTAGCCAACCTCCTGGCTAACATCCCGGAGGTTAAGCCGGAGCAGTGCATCCTGCAGGACCGCCCGGAGGTTATCGCCCAAGTCGCAAAGAACATTGAGGGCGGTGATAAGAGGTTGAAGGGTGTCAAGACGATGGCGCATGACTTCTTCCAGGCGCAGCCGGAGGAAGCCAAGGGAGCAGCGGTGTACGTCCTCCGCCGCGTCTTGCTTGATTATTGCGACGAGCAGGCGGTCTGGATTCTGAAGCGCTTGAGGTGTGCGCTCCACGGCAGCGAGGGACGGATCGTCATCATGGAGGGAGTCCTGCTGGACAAACCGACTCCGGAGAATCGGTTGGTGGATATGGTGATGATGAACTTGGGTGGAAAGTTGAGGAATGAGGAGGGATATAGGAAGCTTTGTATGAAGGCTGGCCTGAAGGTTAGGGGATACTGGATGGATGTGGAGGGAGCGAGTTGTGTTGTTGAGTGTGTGGAGGGGGATGGAACTGATGGCTCTGAGGAGTGATCATACTCTGCCTTGACTCCTCCTTGGGATTCATGAGGGGTGTGGATACTCGTCAGGGCTAGAAATGCCCGTTCTGACCCCAGGCTTTGGAGTACCAACCATGGGAGCCGGATCGCGAGTGGTCTTGGTTTGAAAGTGGAAGGGAAGAAAGAAAGAGAGAAAGAGAAGTTGAAACCCTGGCATGAGGGCCAACACCAGGGTTAAACGTGCACATATCTCAGGGTTACATATGTACAATCCCCCAATCAGGAGCCCCACTAGACTAGAGCGGGCAAACTGGTGATGACTTCACGCGACACTTCCATAGAAGTTGTAAATAAACAAACAAACAAAACCAATCCCGATCCTCTCAATCCAATTGACCAATTCAATCGGCCCTTGCCGTCAGTTTCACCTGCCGCATCTCAATAGTCTCACATTCTCCTTTGTGCAAGGTCGCTCCCTTGTCGAGTACCAAAAACAGATCTATTGACTATGACGTCAGTACTACCCCACATCCATCGGCGATGAACGTCCGCCGACCTACCGTCCGGCGTCCGTTCCTGAGCTCTGGAACGTAACAAAAACTGCAACGACCCGTTGATCGGTGACGACAATAATGACTTCTTGACCACGCAAGCAGCATCATTGATTGATTTGACCCGGAGCTTTTGCAACGAGACCAGACGAAGAAGGGACTGGAGGTGAGAGGCATGAGGCGGGAGGCGGGAGATTGACGTGATGAAAGAAGGTGACAGCAGAAGGTGTCAAGGGGAATATAAGGAGGAAGGAAAGGAGCTGCTGTTTGGATCTAGAACGAAATGAAGAGCAATTGGTCGGTTTTGTGATACCTTCCTCGCAACCAGTACCATCTACAAACTGACGTAAACAAACGAAACTTCGCATTCCAACCCGCACCCGCAGCTTGAACTGCAGGTTACCTGTATGCTCCTCAGTCACCCGCGCCTTACGTCCCGCCACCACCACCACCTTCTCCAAAGCTACCCTTCTTCCAACCACCACCTTCTTCCTCACAACCCGCCCCATCTCAACAACCCCCAACAACAACCTCAAAATGTACAAAGACTCCGAAGGCAACAAGCGCTCCGAAGAAGGCAAGAAAGAGCCTCACCAGCACCAATCCAGCAACCGCACCGACCGACCCGAAGACCAATGGAAGTTCCGCGCGCCCTACAAGATCCACGACGACAAGGGCGGCGAGAACTTCGAGGCCAAGTGGAAGGGCAAATGCCATTGCGGCGCGGTGCAGTATGAGTTGTCTAGAGAAAAGCCGTTGGCGAGCAAGTATTGTCACTGTACTACTTGTCAGAGGATGCATGGTGTAAGTTTTTGAGTTTTATTTTTTCCGAGGGCAGCGAGGAGAGAGAAAAAAAAAAAAAAAAAAAAACGAAAGCTGACAAAGAGGTGACAACAGGCCCCCTTCCAATGGGCAGCCATCTTCCACAAAACCGACATCAATTTTGTTCGTGGCCACCACGACCTAGGCTGGTACGACCCAACCGCCAAATCCACCACGCACCACCTCCCCTGCAAGGTGCAATGCGCCTACTGCCGGACGCCCATCATGGACGAAGGGCGCAACATGATTTTACTCTTTCCGACACTGATTGAAGGGATTAATACCCCTGAGGGCAGGAAGGCGTTTGAAGTCCAGTCACATATGTTCTACCAACAGAGAGTGGTGGATGTTAAAGACGGGAAACCAAAGTACAAGGGGTTGGCGGGGGAAAGTAATTTGGTAGATGAGGAGACGGGGGAGGAGATTGAGGGGAGTAATCCGAAGGAGAGGAAGGAGGGGGAGGAGAAGTAGTGAGTGACTTGAGGGTGGAAGGTTGAAGTTGCGATGGGGGATGGTATGGAAGCCTTGAAGAGCATGTGCATGTGTAGGCGTTGGTAGGCAGACGGTGGTAGGGCTGGCGTTTGTGAGAAAGAAATAATAATGAGCAATGAAAGTCTACCGGAGTTTTCTTCTGCTTTTCGGTTGATGCTTGACGATGGTGTTGCAGAAGAGTGGACGGACAGTCAACCCGATAACAGCGACAACGACGACAAAGAAGCCGATAGAGCTAGCTGCGTGCGATATCGGCACAGCAAAAGAGACAAGACAACAGTATACCATCAGCAGGCAGCGTACATTGTGCCCCCTCGTATCTGGGTTATCGTTCTACCGCCGAGGGACCACCGATGATCTCGTTACCTCCAGCAGTCATGAACACGGCGGGTACGGTACGACGGTAAGCAACCCGGATGCTGCTGACGGATCCACGGTTAGGGCTGCCAAACCCGATGGTATTCCGTGATACCGATACTCAAGACTCGACCATGTGGTACTTCGGTCATAAGGTGAGTGACAGAGAATCGTCCAACTTATGATGGATGATCACTAGGTATGCTCGTACGCTGTGTACCGAAGACTCGTATGGGGTGCTCATCGAGACTCGAGCCGGTGCCGGCGTTGTGAGACAGGAACGTGGGGTAAGCATACCTGTATTTGGGGTGGAAGGACCAAGGCACCGGACGCTGTTCCGATTCCCGTCTTTCACCGTGATGTCGGTTTGCGCTGTCAACTGTCGTGCTCGTTTCTCGCAAACACAAACGAGGTGCATGTGCGCAGCTCATCGATTGTAAGGGGCCGTCTCGATGCGCGTTCCAACTACGGCGGATAGATATATTGAGGGGGAAAGGACGACGGAAGTAGACGTCGATCTGATTTCCTACCTACCTGCGAGCCGCGATTCTGTTTGCGCTGTTGGGCAATTCGTTGTGATGATGTGTAAGTGGTGCACAACTCAGCGCTTTCTTGTTTCCGTTTTCGATACGCATATGAAGCTAACACCGCGTGGCATATGGTGATGATGTGGACGACGCCTATCTGCTGGATTGATAGCCGCACAGCAGTGAGGCGACCAAGCGGATGAGGGATGGATGAAAACTACGTACCGACTTTCCATGTGATAACTCAAACATCATGATAGGTTTGCCATTGGCGCGACGGCGGAAATGTGTTGGGATCTGAGATGAGAGCAGGATATGCATTGTCGGCTGCTCTCTGGCTTATGTTGCTGTACTACCGGTATCGCAGTTCGGAGAGAAGATCGGTCAGGAAAGTACTTGAGAGATGTATCGGATGCAACCGCAGTCTTCGTTGGTTTGACTGGGCGCGCGCTTGACTGCATCGCAAAGGATGTGACCGTAGGGGGGATCATGGATGAGAACGGAAAGGTCTCGAGTTTTTTCTCCAGCTCGAGAGGAGGGGGACCTTGATGGCTTGGTGATGTGTCTCTATCGTTTCTGAATGTGCATACTGTATTCTCTCTCACTTGCCCCTGTCAGTACGACCAATGTTTATTGTAAACGGACAACGGCTTCATCGATAAGATAACAACATCAATTGAGGGAGCCGAAGAAGAAGCGAGAACCAACCAAGAATCCATTCAGGGAGAAAATAGCTTATCATTCGCCGCCTTTATTCAATGCTCGCTCGAGTAGCTTGCAATTGATACTTCAGCCTGATATCCATGTTTTTCTCACGCATGTCGGGCCGCTTGGTGTCGCATCGTCAAACGTCGTCTGCGGTTTCCCGTCTGTGTTCTTCGGGCAATTGGAGTCTTGGAGATTGTTGATGACGGATCATGGCGGGGCATTTTCCCCTGTCGCGCCCGGGCCTCCAGGCTGTTAAGCGCGGCAAGTTTGTTGGTAATACAACCCTAACCCGTGATGGTCCGGTCGCGGCCCCGGACGATGGTATTCGCGGGGCGCCGCACGAGATGGACGGAGAAAGGCTGGAGATCTCGGGGCGATTAACCCGGGGTTGCACGTGCGATTTCCATTGGGGCTTTTTAAGTGTGTGTCTGTGTGTCTTCTAGAAAATATCGAAGGACAATCTGGCGGTTGATGGCCGTCGAAGTCGGTGAACAAGAGTTCTGAAACATGACACTCAGACTCGGCGACTTCCGAGCGAAAGACTCGAGGGACTGGGGATAAAAGGTCTGGGCGTTGAGGGCTGTGCTGGGTTCCTCGATGCTCGATTCGCGAGATGGGATCATGGGGGGCACGGGGGGGCACGGGGTATGGTAAGGACAATTGGAGGCTCGTTCTTTCTTTGATGTTTTGATCCTACCTGGGTGGCGGTGAGTGTGTGCACTTTGACATCCTTGAAGCAGAGACATTTGCGATATCTTTACCAACGAACAGTCTGCGTGGAAAAGGGGACATCTCGATTCGTCGGGCCGTCTTCGGTGTCTTTTGTCTCTTTGACACTTGACAGAGGCTTGGAGCACTTCTTCCTGATTCTATTCCCAAATACACTCAATCGAGTCGATCCCCACCAAGTAATTCTCACATACGAACCGGCAATATCCCGTCGGCCCCCCTGACCAGAGTTTCAAACGAGCAAGAAGCTTGGTTGTTGCACTTTTTGAGTTTGTTAGCGCTGAGCTTGGTTCAATCGACCATTACGTCAGGTCACTTGGCCCATGCTCACTGCAAGCACTGGAACCCAGAGGTACATGTGTTAGTGCGTGTACCAGTACCAGTACCTTGCTGCCTGCCTGCCTCGAGACTGTCTGTATCGTCGACTGTTGAGTTCTTCAAAGTTTGGTGTTTGTTTTCATCGGATTCAATTCCTCGGATTGCTCTTCTGGGCACATGATCCGCAAGCAAGCGAGGGCTTTCATTTCCAGTTTGGATCATTTCATGGCGACTGGGAGTCTGGAGTGTACCTACCCCGCCATCCCCTCCACCACATCATTTGCTTCCCCCAGTCTTTCGTCTTCCCCCACCTCCATGGCCGGTCATTCGGCCGTTCGTCCAATGAGCGTTCCTGGACGCGGATCTTCGGGCCCATATGCGGAAGCCGTAACTCGTAAGAACACTTAACCAACGAATATTCTGTCCAGACCTGGGACTTTGCGACAATGACATCTGATGGTGCTAGTCTCCTTTGTTTGTAGGATGCAGTCATCGCACCGAGGGCACCGTGACAGCATGACTACAACCCAAATTCTGGTCCAGGTCGGCGTCTAGCTCAAAGGTCCGACTGAGATATCAGATGGGTAGCATGGGCATGACGGGAAGTGTTGGTTGGGCATCTTTGTTGCTCATGGTGCATATTGCTTCGAGCCTTATCTGCATCATACACCTAACTGTTTGTCTTGACGGAAGTTCTGACAAGAGGAACAAGTGCTGTTATAAGAACTGAAAGTTGGCCGGGACAATTCATATATTGGTGCCCCACCAACAGAAGCTTCGACTCGATCAATTCCCGTCCCTCAGTCTCTGTTGGCAGTTCCCAATTTGACTGCACTTGAAGCATCCCTCCTGCTTTCTGTCTGCTGTCACTCTCTGCCGTCCAGGCTGCACTGCACTGCATCGTCCTTGCCTCGCACTGCATAACCACCGACGGAAAAAGAAGTTGAGAAGGAGAAAGAAAGAAAGCACGGACCACTTGGTTAACTGTAGTGGGCTCTTCCCCTGGCTACCCACTGTTCCTGTCCACTCCATCATCGGTACCAGCTTCCTTGTCGCACCCCTTGCTCACAGCAGACGGGATCCCTGCTGGTCGACGACGGCGTGCATCGACATCGGATCCATTTCCCAGGAGAAGGCCAGGCAGCGAGAAGGGAGGGAAAGCAAGTGTCTGACGCATTGACAGCCGCAGTCACCGCCCACCTTCTCTCCAGACGGGAGTCCATACTACTTGACCCCATCGACTACCCAACTCTTTCACTGAAGAGAACCTCCCTTCTTCCTTCTTCTTCTTCTTCTCTATCAATCGTTTCCCTCATCTTCCCCTCCATTCCTCCTTCCTACCCAAGGAACCAACCAGGTCGCCTCGTCTCCTTCCCTTCTCCCATATAGACTAGACTTGCTTCAGTCTTCATTTCGTCTGCCATCTGTTTATATTTCTAAACTAATACCCACCCTTATCGGACAAGAGAGCGACAGCACATCAGTCAGTCATCACCTACCGCCAAGATGACACAAGGAACACAGCACCGTATTGCGATACCCAGACCCGAAGCCTCGCGCACAGAATCCTCTCTCCCGGGCCACTTGCGCCCCTCCGTCATCAATGTGCCCGTCACCCCGGGAATCAGCCGCGAGGCCTACGAAGAAGAGCTCACCGACATGCCCCCAAGTGGCTACTTTGGCAGGCGAACCGACGAGCACGAGATTGCCCAGTCTCCAGGCACCGTCGGCCTTGACGAGACAGGAAGCGTTGACAAGCAGCTCGCTGTGGGTGCCGATGCCGGCAAGGACTACATGCGCCGTCTGAGCACGGCCGTCACGGGCACTACCTCTAGCCAAGACTCCCTCTACGATATCCGCCACAAGTTCCCCAATCTCTCGCTCAGCGGAAACATCATCTCGGCCACCTTCACAATCCCCCACTTGCTCAAGTATACCAAGGGCGAAAAGGGCACCCCGGGTTCCTGGGTAAGTTCTGATCCAAGCTTTCGAAAACAGTGGGAAAACAGCGGGGAAAACAGTGTGGCTGATGTCATGATGCGCAACTCAACAGGATCTAAAACCCCGCCGGGGACAGTCGGCGCTTTTCGATTCGTTTTCGTACCTCTCCTCCGATGACGCCCCATGGAATCACACGGTTGTCGCCTGGACCGGCGAGATTGAGGAGGTCAAGTCCGCCCAGCAGGCCGGCAATGTTCCTGCTACCACGGTCGGCCAACCCTCTCTCAACCCCCTTTCCCGCCCTGTGCCCATCGATGGCAGCATTACTCCCCCGGCCACCCCCACGGCAGACGGCCTCTGGATCCCCAAGGAAGACATGCACTTGCTAGAGCACGAGCTGTCGCACAACAGGAGGATCAAGACTGTCCCTGTCTGGCTCGCCGACGACATCGAGGGCCACGACGATGGCATCAGGCTGAAGGATCAGGCCCGCTGGAGACGCTACGCCGAGCACTCCCTCTACACCCTTTTCCACTACAAGCAGAACGAGCCCGCCGATGGCCGCGCCGAAAGAATCCAGTGGGCTGACTACTACCGCATGAACCAAAAATTCGCCAACAAGATTCTCGAAAACTACAAGCCTGGCGACATCGTCATTGTGCATGACTACAACCTGATGCTTCTGCCTAGCATGCTGCGTCAGCGGGCTCCCCACATGTACATTGCCTTTTACCTGCACTCGCCCTTCCCCAGTTCCGAGTTCCTGCGCTGCCTTCCCAGGAGAAAGGAAGTCCTGGAGGGCGTCTTGGGCTCCAACATGGTCGGATTCCAGAGCTACAGCTACTCCCGCCATTTCTCTAGCTGCTGTACCCGCATCCTCGGCTTCCCCTCCGATACTACCGGTGTCGAGGCCTACGGCGCGCGTGTTGAGGTCGGCGTCTTCCCCATTGGTATCGATGCTATCAAGGTCGCTGCCGCTGCGTGGAAGCAGTCCGCCACCGCAAAGTACGAGGGGCTGAAGAAGATGTACCCCGGCAAAAAGCTCATCGTCGGCCGTGATAAGTTGGATAGTGTCCGTGGTGTTGCCCAGAAGCTCATGGCTTTTGAGCGCTTCCTCGAGCTCTACCCCGAGTGGAGGGAAAAGGTCGTTCTCATCCAGGTCACCTCGCCCACTAACATTGAGGAGGAAAAGGAGGATTCCGAGAACAAGATTTCCAGTCGTGTCAATGAGCTTGTCATGAAGATCAACGGCATGTACGGCTCGCTTGGCTTCTCCCCCGTCCAACACTACCCCCAGTACATCTCGCAGGATGAGTACTTTGCTCTCCTCCGTGCTGCCGACATTGGCCTTATCACCTCGGTCAGAGACGGCATGAACACTACTTCCATGGAGTACATCATCTGCCAGCGTGAGAATGCTGGTCCTCTCATTCTCTCCGAGTTCAGTGGTACCGCTGGCTCCCTCAAGGACGCCATCCACATCAACCCCTGGGATCTTACCGATGTCGCCAGGCAAATTAACAATGCTCTCACCATGTCGGAAGAGCGCCGCCAGAGTATCCAGAGGAGCTTGCTCGAGCACGTCACCAACAAGAACGTCCAGTTCTGGACTGCCGGTCTCCTACGTCGCCTGATTAGTGTCCTCGCCAGCAGGAAAGACGTCATCGCCACTCCCCTGCTCGATCGCGCCACCATGCTCCGCAAGTACCGGGCGGCCAAGAAGCGTCTGTTCATGTTCGACTACGACGGCACCCTCACACCCATCGTCAGGGAACCTAGCGCCGCCATCCCGTCGGAGCGCGTTATTAACAGCCTCAAGACTCTGGCGGCCGATCCCCGCAACGCCGTCTGGATCATTTCCGGCCGTGACCAGGAGTTCCTTCAGCAGCACCTTGGCCACATTACCGAGTTGGGCTTCAGCGCAGAGCATGGTAGCTTCATGCGGCACCCGGGCTCGACGGAGTGGGAAAACCTTGCGGAGAAGTTTGATATGGGCTGGCAGGCCGAGGTTCTGGAGGTCTTCCAGAAGTACACCGACAAGACTCCAGGTTAGTTTCATTGATTCTTTACTTACTAAAACATCAGCTAACATGGCGACAAACAGGTTCCTTCATCGAACGCAAGCGTTGCGCCCTCACCTGGCATTACCGCCTCGCCGATCCCGAGCAGGGTCTCCACATGTCTCGCGACTGCCAAAAGGAGCTCGAGACCACGGTCGGTCGCAAGTGGGACGTCGAGGTTATGGCGGGCAAGGCCAACCTTGAGGTGCGTCCCACGTTCATCAATAAGGGCGAGATCGCGAAGCGCCTCGTCACGGAGTACAACGCCGAGCTTGCTCCCGAGAAGCTCGAGTTTGTGCTCTGCATGGGTGATGATTTCACCGACGAGGACATGTTCCGCAGCCTGAACGTGCTGTCCGGTCCTAGCGAAGATGCCGAGGTCAAGGCCGAGAACTGCTTCACTGTCACGGTGGGCGCCAGCACCAAGGTTACGCTGGCTAGGTGGCACTTGCTGGAGCCCGAGGATGTGATTGAATGCGTGGCTCTCCTCGCTGGCGTTGGTAGTGCCGGCGCTGGTGCGAGTGGCGGCGTACTGTCCATGGGAGAGGTCAACCTTGCGGCGTTGAGCGCGGTTGAGGATCATATCCCTGATGGTCAGGCGCAGTAAGGAGTGTGTGAAAAGCAAACAAAAGGGACAAGAAAATCAAGAGTAAGGTAGGGAAAAGTAGTGTTTGGGATGGGATAGGGAGGCGATGTTAGATTCACTAGTGGCTGGCTGGGCTGGGCTGGGACTGTTTTCTTTATGTTCGTTGTGTTGATAATTTTCCATCGCTAGGCCTGATGCAGGTCGGTAATATCTGTATCTGGTTCCGCGTTGCATTCTTTATGTTGAGCGATGATGTTGCAAGAGCATAGATAAAGATGATGTGTTATAGGTAGACGGGGATTGTGTCATGAGTTAATTCAGAGTAGGAGGGGCATCAGTTTTTATGTTTATGGTAACCTCTCAGTATATGTGTTCGGATAGGAGGTGATTTTAGTAAGAACATTGCCTTAAGTGTGCACTCCCAAGCACATTGCCTTACAGAACTTCTCAACTGATTGTAGTGACATGATCTTTGTATGCTCAACTGTGCACTCCCAAGTGGGATCACTGTCCGAAATGAACAAATACCCGCTTTCGAGTTAGTGTGGATCTCGACTCTGAAGCTATTCACATGTCTTGGCATTTGCTTGGCATTCAAATCACATGGCTTTCTCCTTTCCCCCCACCCAGCACTTCCATCAGCACATGCCGCTACCAAAGCTACCACTCTTATCCCTTATCCACCCCCCTCCACCTCTTCTTCACCTCCCTCCTCACTTTCCTCTTCACATCCCTCATAAACTCCTTCTTCCACTCCTTCCCCATCCCAACCGTCCTAATCTTAAAGATACACCCCCTCACAACCCTTTCCACCTCTTCCAGTTCCCAGTCATTTCCCATCCTTAACACCTTTTTGACCCTCTCCTTCGAGTCCTTCCCAGCAACAAGAGGATACACCTCCCTCGCCACACCCCCCAAAAACCTCTTTCGCAACTTATCCCCCTTTCCCAGTCCATAAACAACCTCCACCATATCCTCAAACACCCCCTCTTCCTGTTTATGCATTACAACAAGCGGAGCCAACCGCTCATAATGGCTCACCACCTCCTCCCTCAACCTGGCAATATCGTACTTATCAGCCACCCCATAAACCCTCATGAAATGCCCCAACAACCCCGCCACCTGCCTTTCCTCCTCGCTCGTAAACCTCATAGTAATGAGATCCTTATAAGCTAACTGCGTCTCCATTTCCTCGTCGCTTTCGATCTGATACAGTGAGTGTCCGTAACACCAGCGTATTGCAGACACCAAAGCGTCGGGGTCGTCGTCGTGGAGGGTGATTAAAGGGTCTGGGTCGGATGACTCGCGGAAGGGGAGGGAGAAGGCTGCGGCGAAGAAGGGAGACTGTAGGGAGAGAATGAGGCGGTGGACGGGGATATGACACTTGTCGCCTGTGTGGTGGTTGTAGTAGGCAATGGTGGCGTCGGAGAAGAGGGGGGAGTTGAAGTAGGTTGTGAAGTCGAGATTGGTGGACATTGTGATCATGATCGTGGTGCAATGGTGTTTGTTGGTGGTTAGGTAGGGGCGGGATCAACCTTGTCATCCTCCATCGAGGTCCACAAGGGCTATCGGGTGCTTTTACATCGGGCATGGATTGACTGTCTTCCTCTCTTGGGACTTTTCAGACAATGCTCGACGTCGAGCAACGGTCTTTGTGTCAATACACAATGGTCATTGAAGACCGGGGCATCTCCCCTTTGTTCTGACCCAGAACAAAATACTGGACGAAGAACTTGAGGAAAATGACCACCATGACAAAGACCTTTGCGTTGATATTAACGTATCATGAACTTGGGTATCCAACTTTCCCACACCAATCCACAATCATCCATCACTCGTTCCTTCCCCTTCCCCTGAAACCCTCACCTTCCAAGCCCTACTAGAGTGGAAGTTAAGGGGTGTAACCCGTAGTAAGCACGGCGGAGGGAGGTGGTCATGGACTCATGATGAGGAGAGACACACAAGATGCCTGCAGCTTTTGTTGACTGATACGCTCAAGTCCATATCACAGAACAATATTCCAAAGGACTACTTCGATCTTGGTCAATGATTACATGTAGATACGTTGTCGATGATTAGAGATGAGGTTGCAAGTCATTCATGTGAGTGTCTCGAACACCAACCCTGAATAATACGTATTGTTTTGTAAGATACACCACATGTGAATGAACAGCCCCACCTTTGTTACGGTATCTTATCGCGTCCGCGGGCGCCTTCACTCTCACATTTGGTGATCTCACTCCTCTTTCCTTCAACAACCCTTCATCGTCACTCGATCCTTTCTCACCACAACATCGCTGAGTCGTCGACGGCTTGTTCCCACTCGATTCCTCAGACTTTCCTCTACCCCACAACAAGCAGGCGCAATCGTACACCATGGACAAGCGGTTTTTGTCCTCCGACGAAAAGTAAGTACATCCTTGATCGCGTCTGTCGCCCTCACCTTGCGGGTCCCATCAAGATGTCGCCATCAATGACATGGCGCGCCGCACTATTTTGCACTTCCCATCAAGTTCACAGACTAATACATCTGCACAGACTCCTCGAGAGCGGCCTGTTCTCAGATGTCACCGTTAGGTGCGGCGACAGAACATGGAACCTGCACAAAAACATCCTCTGCTCGCGCAGCATCTGGTTCGAAAAGGCCCTCACCGGCAACTTTGAAGAGGCCAAATCCGGCATCGTCAACATCGAGAACTTTGAGCCCGAAGCCATCGACATTCTCATCCGGTACATCTACACCGGCATCTGCGACATCTCCGCCCTGTCCCCCACAACCAAGACCAACTTCGTTTCCTGCTTCGAAGTCTACACAGTGGGCGACTACTTCGCCCTCTCCTCCCTCACCAAAATCGCCCTGGACACCCTAACCACCGAATTTGACTCCAAAGTTGCTCCCCTCCAACTAAACTACGACTCCGGCTCGCCTACTTCAGACGGCAACGGCGTCTCCCCCGACTGGCTCCCCGAACTCTTCGAAGCCATCCGGCTCGTCTACAACGAGGTCCCCCTCTCCGACACCGCGCACACAACGCCCCGCATCCGCGCCGCGTTCTTATCCTTCGTCCATGCCGCCCGCTTCTACTTCCTGCAAAACGAGCACTTCAACGCATTCCTCGACCAAGTCCCCGCGCTTGCGCTAGACGTCTTTCGCGCCATGCGTAACACGGGCGACTTTATCGCCAACCTACCCGATGCTCATTGTTCGTTCTGCAAGAGCAAGCCGACTCGGGCCGAGAAGGGGTATTATACCCATTTGGCGACGGAGAAGTTGAAGCTAACGGCGAGCTGCTCGACGTGCGCGGGTAAGAGGGATTTTAGCGCTGGATGGACGGATTGGAGCGGGAAGGTCAGGGCCGGGAAGGAGAAGACGGAGAGGGAGAAAGCGGCGACGACGGCGACGGGAACGGGATCGGCGTTGGGTTAGGTGCTTGCGCCGGCGTTTGGGGATGAGTCATCGGAGCTTGAAAGTGACAGCGAGAGCGACAGCGAGAGCGAGAGTGGAAGTGACAGCGACATTGAGGGTCAAGATGCAATGACGGTTTCCGACAACGAGGAGTCCGACGGCGCAGTCGTGCTTGGCCCGCCTGTAGACCCGCTCCGCGATGCCGAGGATCAGCTGTGGATTGACCGTTTCTGCGCACGCCTTTTGTCGTTGCACCACCTGCCGCCTCCCGGCGTACCCAGAGACAGTGGTCTCTGGGATTGGGTTTACTTTGAGATTGACGACATCTATCTCGCATCCCATTGGTTCAACCCGAGCGAGCACCCGAGGATGCAGCTGTCTGGGCACGACGATGAAGGCATGTATTTTGCGAGCGAAGTGGTTCAGGGTGAGGTGCCTGTCAACGTTTTCTCTAGCTTGGCGCCGTAGGCCCACGACCAGGATGCAGAAGCATAAGAAGCTCGCGATGACAGCGTCTCGCAATAGAAGACCGAGAATGGTGGCTACGAGCATCGATGAGTGGATTGATTGGTTGTTTGAGTACCTATCTTGGAGGTTGAAACTCGCAGCGATTGGACGAGCTTGAACTACTGATGTTGGAGTAGATAAAGAGAACAGTGGGCTCAGATATGGAGCATCTACAGGAAGGGAATGAAGGACCACGTGGACGAAAGAAGAGATGATGGATGGGGAAGCTTGAAAGGGCATGTAACCAGATCATTCTCCAGTTAGAGCTACACATGTAGGCAACTGCAATCAGTTAGATGTAGGATAATGTAATAAAAACAGTACCTCCAGTCCTCTAGTACCTCTAGAGCGATCATCCTCACCAGCGGCATCTACCACCCGCCTGCCTCAAGTTCCCAAGTTCTCAACCCCCAACCCTCACCTCCCCCCTCCTACCACCTGCCTTCCCCTCCCTCTCACCCCCCTCTCCCTCTCGTCTCCCTCCTCCCCTCCAACACCCTCCCAGCCGGCCTCCCCATCGCCAACCCTCTCCTCGGTAACCCCGTCCCCCTTACATCCCTCTTCTTCTTCTTCCCCGCCACCGCCCCCGTCGCGCTCCCTCCAAGCTTACTCCTACAAGTAACCGTTGTAACCTGTTTAATCTTCACACTGGAGAACGTCCACGTCCCGGGGTTTGTCGTGGAAGCAGTCATCACCAGTCCTATCTGCACCGGCGTGTCGAGGAGCATCCCGACGAGGGTGTTATTGGTGTTACTGCTTGTGCAAGTGACGGTTAGGGTACCGGACCCGGAACTGATCCAAGTGGCGGAGACGACTTTCACCGTGTCCTTGGTGGGCGTAGGGGTGGGCGTGGAGGTAGTTGTTGTAGGAGGGGGAGGCACAACGGTGGTAGGTTCCGGTTGCGGATTCGTTGGGTCATCAGCCGGCGGAGTAACCGGCGTCGTGGGACTTGGTTCAGCCGGCGGCGGCGGGCATTCGTTAACCACCGGCTGCCCCACCGTAACCCCCGACTGCGGAAACGGATCCAACGGTCCCCAAACATGTCCCCCCTCGTCCTTTCCCAGTCCCTTAACCAGATGTTCCATCGCTGAGAAATCATTCGGTATCGGCGGCAATCCCGGGGTAGTCAGCTCCGGCTGTATCCACTCCGTCACCGGCTGGACATACTGACCAGCCAGTATCCCGTTCCTTGTCCTCACCGGATTCGCCGTGCTCATAACCACGTACTCACGCGCGTACACATCGCCCGCCACCGAAGTGATTCCCGTGCGGAATTTATTCCTCACCTGACCGGCTATCAGTGACCCACCGCTTACAGGGCGCGTGGTGATATTCCCCGTGCACACATCGAACCCTGTAACGGCGTGGATGGTTAGAGTGGACGTGCCCGAGGCAGCGGAGGTGTACCCTATGAATCGCGTCTGCGCTACTTCGGCGTTGGGGTCCGCAGAAAAGACGCCGATGAGGACGTCTTCCATGCGGATGAAGGGGGGGAAGGTGGCCGGGGTTAGGATCTGTGTGTTGGTGGTTACTAGTTCGTAGACGAGCATTTCCCCTCCCACCCATACCCCCGCATACTCGACGAAATCTCCCGGGACTAGCGGAGCCATTACCATGGGGTCGGGGGCAGTAAAAGTTCCCTGTTTGCTACCAGCCACTAGTGTCGGCCGGTTTGACATCGGGCAGAGGGGGTCCGAAGAGTTGCGGGGGACGCACATGGGGAACCCACTAAACGAAGAGACAGAGGGGTTTTCGTCGTCGGCGGTCCAGAAGGGGTGGGAGGTGTAGCCGGTTGAGTAAACTCCGTTGGGGTCGTTGATGCGCAGGCGGGGACCGCCGGTGGCGAGGGTGATGGTGCCGTCGTAGGAGATGGAGGAGATCAAGCCCCGGCCTAGGGAGGTGGAGAATTGGGAGATGAAGATTTGGCCTGCTGTTGGGCCGTGTACAGGAATCGAATTGCCGACCACCTAGGTAAGGTAGGGTGTGTTAGTGGCGCATTTGGATCAGATCAGAGAGGCGACAGTGTGGCATGGCTCACAGTAACTTCAAACCCCTTCATAAACGCCAAATCACCGCAAAACTCACGCCAGGGGACCCAAGCAGCTGGGAACCCGACTTGGGTGTTTTTGGGGACTTTGATGGTCCATCCTGCGACGGAGATGGTGCCGCCGGAGTTGTAGGTTGTGTCTGTTATGGTGCATCTGTGGCAGTGAGACAAAGGGACGGCGGTTAGTAGGTGCTGTGTGTCTCGGCACTCGGGGAGAACCTCAGACAGGTCTCAGTTCTGTGGCATGGAACAAAGGAATTGTTGAGGAAGTCGGGTATTGGGGAAGGTTTGGGGAAAGTTCCGCTGGGAATGTTCAGCGGGAATGTTCGACTCACCCTTCCAGACCACCATCCACATCAAACGGAACATCTTGAGACAAGCAGAAGGATGACAACAGAAGAAGGCCGGGGAGAAGGCCGAATAAGAACCGGAAGGGTAGATGCATTATTGCGGTCTTGAAGGCTTCGAGATTGAGTTCGAAAGCCCCGAGGGAAACAGGCTTCGGCTTAGGTGTCTAAGTCAAGGGTCTCAGACACTGGAAGGGGTTGGAACAGAAGGCCGTGATGATTGTGTCTTATATGGCAGTATGGCAACTGCCTTCATCAACCGCGAGACCCTGGCACTGAGAACAAGACGGTTGTTCCTTGCATCTTGCATCTCGTTACGTACAAACTCGAAGGTTATTCGGGTTTGTTCAACTTGAAAATCACCTCCGATATGCTGCATTTACGAGATGGAGGCGAAGAAGCGGAACTGAGGTTTGGATGGTCATGATGAATGTTCAAAATGACTGCTCAGCCAGCGCACATAGCAACAGACGATGCATCCACTGGAGATTCTAGACGTCCAAATCCAAAGGCTCGGGTATCACGAAGCTTGGGCTGGGCAACGCCATTCCCACACTCAAGCGCCTTGACAGTTGCCAAGACTTCCCGAGAATTGAGCTGACCACAACTTTTTGACAAACGGACCATCGAAACGAAAGACGAAAATCAAGAAACTCAATTATATCATCAGAAAGAGTCCTATCTTGATAGTTTCAAGCACGCTGTTGTTGAATCTACAATCGGTTTTTTTTCCATCTCTTCATTTGGTGGAGATATGGGCAAATGAAGTCTTGTTCTTTTCGTTTCAAAGGTCCGTTTGCCAAAAAGTTGTGGTTAGCTCAATTCTCGGGAAGTCTTGGCAACTGTCAAGGCGCTTGAGTGTGGGAACATACCAAGTCTTTGGGCTCTGGCAACTCCGAACGCCAGGGTCATCATGTGACCGTGGAAGAACAAGTCTTTTTGAGTTGGCACCTTCCACCTCCCACAATCGTGACGTGGACATATTCAGCCTAACTCAATAAAACACCACTACGGTCTCACAGAGCCTCATGCTACTGGAGCATTCGCTTAGGGGTAGCAACTCGCTTAGCTGGTGCTGCCGTGGTGGTACTATCATGCGTTTCAAGCATCGTTAGTTTGCTTTCCTGGTACTATGACCAGAAGTTTGTGAGATGGTGGGTGAAGTTCAGACGGATGGGTGGCCTCAGGGACCCAGTGTTACACACAGGCCAAGTCGAACTCGAGTCAAATCAAACTGGGCATTTGACAGTCAAATCGAGTCGGCGTATTTCTGATTCAAACCAAATCGAGCCCAGAAGCCGACTCGACTCGGTTGACTCGGTTATTTCGTCAGAATACAGATTTTTTTCAGAAACATGCGATCCCGGTACTTTTTGGTGCAGATTGTTGCAGAATGCTCGGGTGCAAATGTAGGTGTAAATTTCGTATGGTCCCCAGACCTCGTGTGTGTCGAAAATGACCACAATTTTGGAACAAAAAATCGGTGTAATTTTGTCTAAAGAATCGGTTGACAGGCAACCAGGGTATAGTATTAAGGTTTCTTAGGGTAGTCCGGTTATGCGAGCTCAATGAGCCCGGTCAAGTTCGCCTTCTGAACAAGCAAGTCAACCCCCCGAATTGATTTGACTTGGCCTGTGTGTAACACTGCAGGGACCTATCAATCTGTCATCGCCCGGATTTTCGTCTAGGAAGTCGGGTGTGGTGTGTACACTTGACCATCAAAAGACCGGGAAGATGGTTTTGATGTGAAGTCATGGACGAAAATGGAGAACTGAGAAAAGAGGAAGACGAAAAAGGGAACCGGACCGACCAAACTCGTGTTTCCATCGGCAGGCGCAGCTGAAGTGCATATGCGGTTTGGCTGAAGCTGGCTCTTTGTTCCGCCATCTCACTTTCCCTTTCTCATCCTTTCACCAACGCTTTACCGACCACGGGCAAAACAAGCGAACCAACCACACGACAAAACGCAAGAAATTGAAGTCGAAGTAAGCTTAATACGATCTGCAAAAGCAATTCATCGGTCGGCACTTCATACAGGTACTGCAACCCTGACCCCAGGCTGTCTCGGTGACCGTAGCAGTGCAGTCGCGATGGTCACACAAAGACGATATCAGTTCCGAATGTATGCATCACCACCACAAGCCACACGACACCTCATTGGGTATTCCGTAACAAAGGGTCTACGATTCTACGAAGGCCTAGCCCAGGGACCGAGTCGCCAACTTAATTGTATCAGATTCAAGGGTGGGGATTCTGGCTAACTCGTTGAGGGTTAGACTCCCAACCACCTGATTAAGCCTGATTTCTGGGCATATCTGGGTTACCCCAGCACCCCCCATACCTTCTGGAGCGCTAGCTCGAGTCAACTAAACACACTCTTCAATCAATCAATCCTGCACCGTCTAATCTGACAGATTGTATGACTACAGATCTGCAAGGATTCACTAGTTCGTTCAGACCTAAGGCTTCTGACTGGCTGCCGCTCTACCGGTGACGGCCTCCTCTCCAACCAGTCAACGACGTCCATCATACTACCAGTCATCAAGAACTCCAACCTCACTCGTCGAGTACGATGCACTCCGGAACCGTGCAGTTCAGCCTACAGTTCAGCTGCGCCTACGTCACACCTATCCTTTACCGTAGGTGGGCCTTTTCTCTGTTAGTTTTCTTTTGTCTTCATCGTGACTTTGCAAGTGCTTACGAGACGATAGACTGCACAATGCGTCCAAAGCCCCAACCTTTCAGGCCGGCCAAAGCCAGACTGACAACGCACAGCCAAGTCATCCCAACGCCTCTTCAGCCTGCCCATTTTTCTGGAGCATCCGCCCAGTGCGCCCTGTCTTCCACCTGAAGGCTTCGCCCAGCGGTGTACAACCCGATATTTCTCAATAGTCCCATGCTCGGCGGCAGCCAACCTCAGTGGCACCCTTTGGCCCGTCGACAGACCACCTATCCAGGAGCCCCAGCGCCCGATTACAGCCTCCGATCGAATGGAAGCGAAGCCTGCGAAGCACGGGATCGGCTTAACCCGATACACCATGGATTACTTACCCAAATTGGGATATTCCTGAGTGGTCTCAAATGTTATTCTCGGGTGGCTTGCACATCATGGCCCATTGTGTTGTCGTCCCGAGGCCTGAGCATCGCTCTATCTGGTCTAGAATCGATGACAAGGCGATACGATTACGAGCTATGAACGCCGTTTGCGTACAGCTTCTGTCCGCAGCTTGATATTGGATCGACTGGAAGTGAAGAAGGAAAGACGAGAGGCCCGAAGGGGAAGATGAGGGTCCAGTCCCGAAAGGCGAACTCAAAAGATATAAAGAGATCGACAATCTGTGCCCTCCTTCAACATTCCACTGCAGAACCAAGACCTTGGCGAGAATCACTCTGACCATCACTGTTCCCCGTTCCCTGGGGGTCAGTCACACAAAATGACGTCTTTCAGCCTCAGTCAGACTCTTCTTCTTGTTCTTTCGGCCGTTGGCAGTGTCTCTGCTGGTGTCGACAACTGGCTTAGTCCGCAGTACAAGTGGACATATCAGTTCCCTTTGCCTATTCCTCCTGTCAAGGCTCCATCAAAGTATGTCTTTCCCTCCTTAGAGGGGTTAAACATCAACTAACACTGACTCAGGACTATCGTGAATCCGGTAACGGGAAAGAACATTCTCTACTACCAAGTTGAGATCAAGGAGTTCAAGTCCCAGGTTTATCCCGACCGTGGACAAGCTACGCTTTGGGGCTATGATGGCATCTCACCAGGTCCGACTTTCATGGTGGAAAAGGGAACTGAGACTGTAGTGAGGTTTGTCAACAATGCGAGGTTGGCGAACTCGGTGCATCTTCATGGGTCTTTCTCGGTAGGTCTTCCCATCTTACCTATGAGACGAAAGACTCGTACCGACGTAAATAAAACAGCGAGCTCCCTTTGACGGGTGGGCAGAAGACATCACTCCTCCAGGCTGGTACAAGGACTATTACTACCCCAACAGCCAAGCCGCACGAACACTCTGGTATCACGACCATGCCATTGACCATGTAAGCTCCAGTCCCGACCCTTTTGGCTTGAGGGATTCATTCCATCCTTGACGAGAGGCACATCACTGACCAAATACCGCTACAGACCGCAGAAAACGCCTACTACGGCCAAGCAGGCGCCTACATACTGCACGACCCCGCCGAAGACAGCCTCAACCTCCCCTCCGGCTACGGCGTCTACGACATCCCGCTCATCCTCTCCGCCAAGCAATACAACGCCGACGGCACCCTCTTCTCCCCCGCCAGCGAAACCACCTCTCTCTACGGCGACGTGATCCACGTCAACGGCCAGCCCTGGCCCTACCTGAAGGTCGAACCGCGCAAATACCGCTTCCGCTTTCTGGATGCATCCATCTCCCGCTCCTTCTTGCTCTACCTCGAGCGCGACACGAAGCAAGGGACTAAACTCCCCTTCGACGTCATCGCCTCCGACGCCGGTCTGCTTACGGGTCCGCAACGCGTTTCGGAGCTGTACATCTCCATGGCGGAGCGGTACGAGATCGTCGTCGACTTTGCGCAATACAAAGGCGAAAATGTCACGCTGCGCAACTCGAGAGATGTGGGCGCGGATAATGATTACCCTGATACCGATAAGGTGATGAAATTCATTGTTTCTGGCACCTCCGTTAACGACCCGTCGAGCTTGCCGAGTAGTCTGAGGAGTGTTCCCTTCCCACCTACTAAAAGCCAGGTAGATCAGCACTTCAAGTTCGAGCGGACCAACGGCGAGTGGAAGATCAACGGCGTGTCGTTCGCTGATGTCACGAACCGTGTGCTTGCCCGCCCAAAGCGCGGGAAAGTGGAGGTCTGGGAACTGGAGAATAGTAGTGGGGGGTGGACGCATCCTATTCACATCCACCTGGTCGATTTCAGAGTCAAAAAGCGGGTGAACGGGAAGCGCTCTGTTCTGCCTTATGAAGCGCAGGGGTTGAAAGATGTCGTTTGGCTGGGGCCGGGAGAGACGGTTACGGTGGAAGCGTACTACGCCCCGTGGGACGGGGTGTACATGTTCCATTGCCACAATCTGATTCATGAGGATCACGAGATGATGGCGGCTTTTAATGTGTCTGTCCTCGAAGACTTGGGGTATGATGAGACGCATTATATCGATCCGATGGAGGAGCGGTGGCGGGCAAAGCAGCAGAGTGTGGAGGCATTTGATGATGGGAAGATTGAGGAGAGGGTGAAGGAGATGGCGGGGTATAGGCCGTATGATAAGGTGGACGAGGTGGAGAGTGTGTTGGGGGAGTATTGGGAGACGAAGACGAAGTCGGTGACGACGTCGACGACGGCGGCGCAGGTGGTGGTGCCGACGGTGACGACTATTCCGACGACGTCCGCTACTGTGGCTCCTACTAGTGCTGGGGGCGTCACTACGTCGGTGGTGAAGGTTAGTACCACGACTTTTAAGACGTCAACGACTAGCAGCTCCTCCACCAAGACCTCATCGACGAGTACAAAGAAAAAGGATTAAAATTTAGTACGGTAGACAACCTGTGGGAAAGGGGTTTGATGAGAAATTCTGACGAGAAAACGGTTGACGGAGTTTGGGAGTTAATGGCGAGGACAACTGGACAAGAAAAGGGCAAAAACTGATGGCATGTATGTACTTACAGGGACTAATCGGATAATGACTCTTCTCAAACATCAAATTGAATAAAAATCAGAACAAAGCTTGAGATCAACTAAACGAGTGTCACCCCGGTGCTTACTGCCGCCAATATGCGTACAACTATGATTTGCATAGGGTCAAGGGACTGAACCTTGCGATGATCATAGCAGTAATGCAGGCTCCCCAGCCGCATGCCAAAGACTAAAATGACCTCAAGGTATTCTCGACGGCCTGGATGGTTTCGAAGGTCTTGGTGAAGAGGACATGGGAGACTGGGAGGAGAAACAGAGATGATGGAGGTAACGGAAGATTGCGGACCGAATGAGAACCATTTGTCAACCTCCATGGGACGAACATAAAGGGGATGATGTTCTGAGATTGTCGGACTGGGGTGATATAAGATACAGGTAGGTATTGACAAGGACAGAGGAGGATGACAAAGAAGAGGATGAGAACAAGGGAGTTGTTTCTTGTGTCATCTCAGTGAGGTCACCTCAAGGTTGGATGTCTCATCCTGGATGTATAGATCATGGCCTTCCGTCTTCCACAATAGCTCGCTAGAAAGGACACATGACGAAACTTTCAATTTGCCGCCACGTCTTCCTGCTCCAGCCTCAACTGAAGTGACGCCCTGGCGTGTTGACCGCATGATGAACAACGGTTATTATTGAACGTGCCTTTGTCCTCGTTATTGTATCGAAGTTGTCGACATTGTGTTCAATGGTTGTCCTGGTTCGAGGTAGGTCAGCGTTGTTCACGGGGAAAGGAGCTCTTCGTCTGCGAGACAGACATGTTGTTGACATTGACGCAAGCTACCTGTACCTAGAGGTACCCACTCTACGGGATGGGATACCGAAGTGTTGCACTAACAGCATGAGCTTCTATCTTGATACTGATTGAGGTAGTTGGTGTTAGTGCAACTGCACGGTGAGCTGAGCAAGCGTCTCTAACAAGACTCTTGCCTATCCCCATACAAATTGGGGAGCGTACTGTTAGTGTCACCATCCGTGTACTAACAACCCCCCTCGAGCTTTTTTTGAGCGGCTGTCACCACCATCCCAGCCGTCCCCGCACCATCCCGACCCAAACATCGGCTCCGTCTCGGCAGTCGACACAAATCCCCAGTTAACATTCGCGTAACAGAATCCGCCCGATCGGCATAAAGTGGAATTGCGACATGGGTTACACGGAGCTCGACGGAGCAACTGAGGCGTCTTACGGTTCCACTCTCGCCGGCGTCAGCGTTGTGGATTTCCGGGCTTCTCCGGTAACTATCGGCCGGCCTGGTAGCGCATGGACCACCCGCGCCCTTCCGTTCACAACTTCATGGGTGTGGAAACAAGACTTGTCCGAATCCGGATCTCTTTTCCTGCTTCTTTGGCACACACACACACTGACAGTCTGACACACCACGGCCGGGAATAACGACACGGGAAGACTTCCTTGTTTTGGCTTTCATGCTCTCACGCTTCTTTCAGGAGAAATGGAAGACTGGAAAGGGAAGAAGGGCGCATGGCAAACATCTGCTGTACCCCGCGCGCCCTTCCGTCTTCCGGCCGTGCGTGGCCGAGCTTCACGACCTGGATTTCAGATATTGATGATATCATACTACGGCTCACGACATACCGTTCTAATGGCGTTGATATTCAGTTTATCTGGTCGATTGATGCCATTGTCAGCAAACCACTCAAAAAAACCATCATGGGACATCTGAAAATTGAAATTGACAACCGACTTCGGCCCCCGCTCGGCAAGCAACCCTTCCTCACCCAACCACACCTTAAACCACAACACAAACAAGGAATAGCTTCCTTTCCATTAAGTAATTCCCCTCTCTAATTGGCCTATCATCTTTCATGCTTTTCGAAGCTAGCAACCTTCACGGCTAGACCCAGACGCCTTTCCCTTCTGGAATGACGCATCGAATGCCGAAATTTCTGGGGGTGGGCACCGGCCCGTTGGTCTGGTGGGAGTGTGTGAAGAAGATGCGGTTTGGTCTGGAGACTGGAGAGGAAGGTTTTTCCTCTTCGAATCTTCCCTCTGTTCTGCTTTGGTTGTTTGCTTTGATATTCGGGTTCTGATTTTCATGCTTCGTTGCTTCCTTTTGTGTTCATGATACCCAACCTCGCCAAACAAGCAAATGGGTTTGAAGGTCCTTTTCTATCTTGACCATCGTCAGTTCATGTAAAAGCTGAAAACTCCGTCGGTCCGGGCTATCACCACCCGAACCCGAACCGAAAGAACGCGGGTCTCGCTCACCGCACCGCTATCTCGACGACTCATCAGAGACTCGGGGAGTCAATCATCGAGTGACTCACTACGATAGTACCAGTCATTGTTTTTCTTGCTTCTTTCTATACTTGATCAACAAAGGGCCATCGGTATTTGGCTTCTTCGACAGATTTGCCCAGCGAAAGCAAGTCTCTGTTCACGACAACAGTCGCGAGAGACGACTTACCTTCCACAATCCAGACAGAAAGAAGCATCAAGTTACAAGCCATTAGCTTCACTCGTCACATCAATCCCAACCCAACACACACCATCAAAATGCCACCACCCCCAGACTTCAAAGGCGAATCCGATAAGGAAATGGGAGGCCTAAGTAGCGGCAGCACAACAGACATCGAAGCCATCCGAGTACCAGGCCACGGGCAAGGAGGACGATCAGAGAGTGAAGACAGCGATATCGATGGAATCGATCAACACCATGACGAAGATGAGAAGCACGCAGCCAACCCGAACAGCAACAATACCGGCGGAGGTCTTTCCCTGGTTAAAACGATCTCGAGAGTACTGTCAAGGCCAGAATCGAACTTTGATCCGGGGCCGCCGCCGGATGGAGGGGCGAGGGCTTGGTGTACGGGTATGTTTTTTTTTGTTCTTGCCTTACCCATGAACGACATCTTTACAATCCCGTACTCGTACCTGTCTCAATCCCATTCGTCCCCCATCCCATCCACTCATCATCACCCTTTCCCCTTACCCATGTCAGACCCATCACAATGACCCCGTCCACTTCCCCGTTGCTCCTCAATCTTCACGAACAACCCTTACCCACGACCCCATCCTCATCCACATCCACCTCGTACCTTACCTTAGTCCCCTGCCTACCAGCCCTCATCCTCCCTCCCTCCTGCCACCTGCCTTGCAGTATACCGTAGTACCGTACTAACACCCGCAACAGTCGCAGCCGCCCACCTAGTAATAATGACAACCTGGGGCTTCATCAACTCCTTCGGCGTTTTCCAGACTTACTACACCTCCACGCTCGGCCCCTCCGTCGCCCCCTCCACCATCTCCTGGATCGGCTCCCTGCAAGTCTTTCTGCTTTTCTTCATCGGCACGTTTACGGGCAGGCTGACAGACGGCGGATATTTTCGGCACACCTTCTTGCTAGGCACAGCGTTCCTTGCGCTGGGAATTTTTAGTACTGCCAACGCCATGGACGGGGTTGGTGTTGGTGCTGCCGATGGGGAAGGAGGGGATGACGGAGCGGGAGGGGTCGTGTGGAAGTTATTTCTCGCCCAGGGCATAGCGATGGGGCTGGGGAATGGATGCCTGTTTTGTCCGTGCATGGCTACGCTGTCTACCTACTTCTCCAAGAAGCGGAGTCTAGCAATAGGCATGGCCGCTTGCGGTACCGCGACAGGTGGCCTGGTGTTCCCCAGCATGATGCGCAGCTTGCTTCCGCGGGTCGGGTTCGCGTGGACGGTTAGGGCGATGGGGTTTATTTGCGTGGGATGTCTGTTGGGTGCCTTTTGGGTGATCAAACCGCGGACAAAGCCACGCGGGATGAAAGGCGCGTTGGTGGAGTGGTCTGCTTTCAAGGAGGGGGAGTATTCCTTCTTTGTCGGAGGCAGTTTCCTCTGTTTTCTGGGACTGTACTTTGCGTTTTATTACCTGGCCAGCTTCTCGCGGGATATCGTCGGGTTGGAGTACGTGGATAGTCTGAACATCCTGCTGGTGTTGAACGGGGTGGGCGTGTTTGGGCGGTTGATTCCCAACTATATCGCTGACAGGGCAGGGCCGATCAACGTGTTCATCCCCTTTGCTGGGGCGGGGGGGATTTGTATGTTGTGCTGGATGGCGGTCGAGTCGCAGGCGGGACTGTACGTGTGGGCCGTGTTCTACGGTGCGGCGGCTGGTGGCATTCAGAGTCTGTTTCCGGCGGGATTGACGAGTTTGACGACGGATTTGAGGAAGGCGGGCGTGAGGATGGGCATGGTGTTTACGTGTAATAGCTTTGCGACGCTGGCGGGACCGCCGATCGCAGGCGCGATTATTACGAGCATGGATGGGAAGTACTATGGCGCGCAGGCGTTTGCGGGGTCGACGTTGTTGTGCGGCATGGGATTGCTGGTGGCGGCGAGGATGGTGAAGGCGAGGAAGGAGAGGGTTTGAGCGGGGTTGGGAGGAGTGATGGGATGGTGCAAAGCGGCTGGAAAAAGTTGAATGGATATCCGAGTGTAGGTCACGTTAATGACAATACAGTGCTTCTGTTACAGGCCGAGGTATCCTTTTCATTGAGGCAGAGGCCGGTACAGACTTCACCACTTACCCAGCTCTAGCACTCTGTCGTCGAAGCGCAAAAAGGACATCAACAATCGCACTCACAACCTCACTCACATCACAAACCACCCCTCGAACCACAACTTTTCTACACCACTTCCATATATTTCCGACCTCAAGGCCGCTTCTACCCAAACTACTACTAATACTACGGTAATGACAGACAATCTTTCTTCTCATACAACTGTAACGACATACATTCTCTCTCTCTCTCTTCCTCCTCATTCTCAACACCCCAACGAGGACCCCAACCCCAACACCATCAACACCGGAACCAGAACCAAAAGATCCCTCTACTTGACCAACATCTCCTGCGCAACCAAAGCAGCAGTCTGCCTGGAACCGTAGCGGGTTCTGCTTTTGTCGCGCAGAAGAAGAAGAGGGATAAGAGATACGAATCGAAAAGGGAAGGCTTTTTTCACCAACCTTTGTTGTTGTGGTAGACATGAACGCCGCCAACTCCAGCCCAGTCTGGCCACTGCCACTGCCACTGCCACTGCCACTCCCGCATGAGCGACTCATGTGCACCTCCTCATACCCATCTCCACTTTCTCGACGACGACGACGACGACGACTGCAGCCTCGACAACCACCGGCGTCATGAACAGGTTCATGAGCGTGATCACGAGTAATCCTAATCATGACCTTGACCACGTCGTCAACCACCTCCTCCTTCTCAGCAACCTCCTCAACAACGACTTCCGCCCGGGGGGGCTTCCCGCCCCTTCTTAGTCAATCCCGTCCGTGCTCCCCCCGGCGCTGGCCCGTGGCTCCCTCTCCCTCTCCCTCTCCCTCTCCCCGAGACTCAACCGAAACCTCACTCTCACTCCCACTCGAGCCAGTAAAATACTCCCCAAAAATCTTTTCCTCAACATCCATATCCTTCCACAGTTTCCCTCCCCCTGCTCCCCCCCTTTTAGCAGCCCCCCTCGCCCCCCTCCTCGCCCTGCGTCTCAAAAACACTCTCTTGCCCCACTTCCACCCCTCCACGCCCCCAAAGAACAATCCCGCTGCGATGAACACAATGCCCCACTCCCAGCTGATACCAGTATGTTTGAACACGGCGGTGTTAATAACCGGAATATAAAGGGTAGGAAAAAGCGTAACGAATCCGCCGACGATAGCCCAAAACAGGAATTTATTCCGCCAAACATCGACCATCCACTGCGTGAAGTATTTTTTGCTGCCGGGTTGCATGCGGAAAAACGAGCGGCGCATATCGACTAATTCCCAAGCCAGAAACAAAGCAAACCAGGTTAAGCAGGCGAACGTCGTCGCGCGCGCGCGGAAGACCGTTTCGCACGAGGGGGAGTAATGCTCGTTGCAGTTTTTGCCTAAGTCGCCGTCGCCCCAGGCGTAGACTCTCAACACGAAAGAAGCGAGGCAGAGGGCGGTGATCCATAGCCCGTAAAAAACCATATCTATCAGGAACTCCAGCGTAAAAATTCCCGTGCGCAAAGATTGCGGCGGGCGGGCCATGATATCCGGCACTGCGCGCTCGAAACCGAGTCCCATGTCGGGCAAACCGGAGGTGATCATGATGATCCAGACTATTTCCACTGGAGCTAAAGGAAACACGGACAGGCCCGAGGCGTCTTTGAACGCTAACCCGATTAACAAGGTGCCGGCCTGAGCGATGTTCTCGGCCAAAACGTGCAATACAAACTTCTGGATGTTGTCAAATATTCGACGACCTTCTTCGATGGCAGCCACGATGCTGGCGAAGTTATCATCTGTTAAGACGATATCGCTCGCGTCCTTGGCTACGTCGCTACCGGACAAGCCCATGGCTATTCCAACGTCTGCGCGCCGGAGCGAAGGGGAGTCGTTGACGCCGTCGCCTGTCATGGCGCAGAACCGACCGCGGCGATGGAGGGCTTCGATCATGCGGACTTTGGTAGAGGGTGCGCAGCGTGCGATGACGAGTGGTAAGACAGGTAAAGCGTCGACTTCGGAATTGGAAAGGGCGTCGAACTGGGAGGCGGTCATGACCATTGCCTGCGCGACAGCGGCGGAGACGCGGGACATGGAGGCCAGGGGGGGTAAGATGCCGACTTCGATGGCGATTGCTTTGGCGGTCTCGGGGTGGTCGCCGGTTAGCATGTGAACGGAGATGCCGGCTAAGTGGCATTGGTGGACTGCTGAAGCGGAGGAGGGGCGAGGGGGGTCGTAGAGGCCTATGAGGCCGCGGAAGGTGAGATGTGATTCGATTAGGGGGCGGGGGGTTTCTTCGTTCCAGGTGGTGCCGTCGGAGGGGGGGAGGCGGCGGGAGGCGAGGGCCAGGACGCGTAAACCCAAAGAAGCGAAAGTTTCCATGTTGCGCAGGATTTCAGAGCGGAACTCGTCGGTTACCGGCTTAGGTTTGGCGGAAGGGGAGTCGGAATCGAAATAATCGACGCAAGCACCAATAACCCTTTCCACAGCGCCCTTGGTGAACGCCCAGTGCTCTTGCGTCTGCGTATTCTTCATGATAACCGACATGCGCTTGACGTCCGAATCAAACGGGAATTCAGCGACTTCTTGCCATTTGGCATCGCCATTGGGAGAGGAGCCGGAAGAGACGAGACGGAGACGGTTAAAGCCGAACCGGGAAGCAAACACCTGAATGGCAATTTCCGTCGGGTCGCCGCGCGCGTGCCATTGTTCTGTGCCGGGAGTGTCTTCGGATTCTTTGGAGAAGACGGTGGCGAGGTTGGCGAGGGAGCAGACTGAGAGGAAGTCTTGGAGACGAGTGGTGCTGGATGACAAGAGATCGGTCGGGGCCGTGATTTCGCCTGTTGCGGAGTTGGAATCGGTCGTGGACTTGAAATCAATCTCCGACGGCATCTGCTTCGCAAAGCGGATATTGCCCTTGGTAGGATTCACCGGTTCGCCAGACAACTCAACGGTGTAAGTCCCCATCCCCGGGATCCAAGCACCTCTCGCAACCATCTTGCCCTGCGTCAACGTCCCCGTCTTATCAGAGCAAATATCCGTCACCGCGCCCAGGGCTTCAAGAGACTTGAGGTTGCGCACGATAACGTTCCTCTCCACCATGCGTTTGGTGCCAGCCGCCATGGTGATCGTCAACACCACCACCAGACTCGCTGGAATCATGCTCAGTCCCGTGGCCACGGCGTAAATGATGACTTCCTGACGGGTATTGAACTTGTTCGCTCCCAAAACGATAATAGCACAAATAACGGCGATGCCGAAAAGCAACATAGCCAGCTTCGACAGCTTTCGCTGCAACGGGGTACCGACGTTGACACCCAGAAACCGACCGATGGCGTCTCCGAGAGTTAAAGTGTACGCTTCCAGATAACGATGCGGACCAGCGTGACCATTGGGCTTGCGCTTGACGGGACGGACTTTGGAGTCCTTTTTGTTGAGAGCAGAGGCGATGGCGCCGATTTCGGTGAAAGTGCCTGTAGCAAAAACGATGCCCTTTGCTCTTCCCTTGGCGACGGTGGAAGAGGAGTAGGCGACGTTTAAGCGGTCGCCGGGGCCGGTGGTGTCGTCGAAGGTGGACTCAACCGTTTTACGAACGGGGAGGGATTCGCCTGTCAAAAGAGCTTCGTCGGTTTCAAAGTTTTTGGCTTCGATCAACCTGCACTCGAAACAAAAATGATCAGTCATTGCCAAGGCTGGGTGAAACCAAAAAAAATTGGTCAACAGGTTACCTAATATCTGCCGGCAGGGTATCGCCCATTTTGACTTCTACCAAATCGCCGGGGACGATCTCGCCCGAGGGAACGACCATGGCCTCGCCGCCGCGGACGAGGGTGGCGGTCGGAGAGGAAAGAGAGCGGAGACTGTCCATGGTCTTTTCGGCCGAGTACTCTTGGAAGAAACCGACGATGACGTTGAGAGCGATGACGAAGGCGACGACGCCGCCTTCGATCCAGGATTTGATGCCGAAGGAGACGGCCATTGCTAGGATGAGGACCTGTGTTGTCACTTAGTAAGACGCTATTAGTATTGAGAAGGGGAAGGGAAACGTACCAAGGTCATGGCATTAGCAATCTGGGCGATAATGATCTTGATGGGCTGAACACCTTCAGCCTCGCCCAGTTCGTTTTTTCCATATTCCTCCAGACGGCGTTTGGCCTCGTCGGGGGTGAGACCAGAGAGGGGGTCGGCTCCGATTTCCTGGGCGAGCTGTTGATGGGTTAAGGCGTGGGCAGGTCGGGAGAGAGGTTTGTTGCTTTGGCCGGAGATATGGTCGGGACCATTGTCTCCTTTGGCGGTAGCCTTGTCCGGCTCTCGGTTGGTCATGTTTGCTGTGGGAGTCAATCACACAACAGGTCAATAAGGGGAAAGTGACTTTGTCTTGTTCTATGTGTTTGTCTGCTAGTATATGAAAACACCAACAGCCAACATCAACAATATGTCCAGCTGTAGATATCAGCAGTGAGAGGTTAAAGGGGTACAGCTAGTAGATATACCTAGACGAGTAGACGGTAACTTTTTCGTATACATACGCATATCGGGCGTCTGGTCCCGTCGTGGCCTCTTGTCTAAACACATGTTCCCATCGACTCGTCCGCATTGATTCCTTCTTTTCTGGAGTACCTACCAAGCCTGCGCCAAGGGCAAGGCTACTGGTTTATCACTCGGTTTATCCACGAACAAGACCTGCTCGACCTGCTCGACCTGCCGCGGCGGGACAAAGGAAGGTCTTGGAGAAGTCTTGGACGGTTCTTGGCCCAGCCTTGGTATCTCTTGGCGCCATTCCCATCGTCACGACAGAAGCAGCAGGCGAAGTCTTGTGTGTGTCGGTGTCGGTGTCGGTGTCGGACATGCTCGAACAAATGTCTTCAAAAACCCAAACCCTAAGGCACAATTGCCCTTTGTTGGAGCCGATACATTCTGCCGCAGACTGCTGGATCCCGAAAGTGAAGGCCCCGAGTTTACCTATACGATAGGAGCTATCATGATTGTCGTTGTGCGTCTTCCCCCTTCATTGTTGATGATTTCTTGTTTCGAATTCTTCTTGTTGTTGACATGCCGTCAAGTCACGCAAAAGGCAAATAAAGAAGGTGTGTAACGAGCATGTTGACTTTGAAGAAGTCCGGAAAAAAAAAAAGAAAGGGAAAAGATTGTACAAATCTCCAACCACTCATCGTCAAGACACCAGAAAGTCGCAGTGTCGTCATGGTTCGCCGAGAAAAACAAAATGACAAACCGAAATCGAAGCCAAAATCCAAAAGAGGCTCGGAGGCTCGTGCACTGACACGGCATCCAGCGGAAACAGTGGAGTGCTACAGGGTCCATGGCGGGGTGATGGCGCAGCGGGGTGGGAAGAAGAAGAGGCACATCTGTCGTTAAACGCTTATGCCAGAGGTTGGAGTGTGTTCAAGCTTGCCCGAGGTTGAGATGCAATACCTAGCACACTTGAAGAAATCACTCTTTGCCCACTGATTCTTTGAACATGGGCGCTCCTATACCTTAGTATCGACTTTCTTGGTCTCTGGTTGAGAAACACACGCACATTGAAGAATCCAGATACCGCAGACATGACCCCTTCTAGCATAAGCATTTAACAACACCAAGCATTGACACGGTTGACAGCTTCCAACCAATCACGGCAGCTCATCGCAACACATGGTGGAGCCACTTTTGTCCTGCACTAACAATTTCCGTCGTCATCGTCGCATCTTTTTTCCTCGGCAAACTCCATGTCAACATCACCACCTTCGTTGGCGTCACCCACGTGTGCGCTCTCGACAACGAGGTTGGTGAACATGAAAGCTTGTCTTATGTCTTATAACTCTTGGCCCTTTTTTTAACGTCGCTTTTCTCCTGAATATTCCTGCATTCGAGACCTTCTTGTCGCCTGGGCGCCTGGGCATCATGGCGCGAACTGAACAGTCAGCATGCTGGGGATTCCATCACGAACTTGGCGCGACAGAGGATCATATCGACTTGTCCAGAATGACGATCCAACACCCGACGCCAACCGATTGCGGCAGGAACGATGGGCTGAACGCTGTGGTTCGTTAACTGCCGCCGCTTGCCAGAGTGGTCGCATGCTCAGTTTCCTTTTTCTGTTCTTCTTCTCCGTCACCAAGGTCCCTTCCCAATCCAGGTCCTTCATTTTATTTCTTCTTGGGAGATTGCAAGCTGCAGTTCTGCTCGAGTGTGCCTTCCTTGGGTTGGTGCCTGTAGTATAGTTACGTATGGAAGGTGCATCCCACTTTGAATCTCCATTTGCAAAGTATTTTCTGAGCTGGGCCTGGCACGCCTTTTCCTCTTCAACCAAACAAGTCACCAATCAAGCATTTCTGGAATCACTCACTTTGTCTCATTCTTTCCCCTTGTATTCAAGTTGATGGCCGGTCGGTTGATAAGGCGCCTTAGCGATAAGGGTCTTATCAGCCCAGTTCGGACATCCCTCACATTCACGTCTCGCTCGAACCGTCACCATCAGCCAGCAAGACTCGCTCCTTGGGCCGATCATAGCTATGAGCTACCGAGGTAATGGACAACAGCGCCTGATGCTCATGCTTCAGCTTTTTTTCATTGTTCTTCTCGCTTTCTTTTCTGCTGTTCTTCATCCCCTTTGCAGAAGCTGCAGCTCTGCCGGGATGTTGTCGTTTTCTTTGTTCTACTGTGTATGCTCATCTCCCCTTGGACACTCAGCGCCCGAGTCCTCAGCTCATGACAGGAGAGGTCACGAATGCTTCTGAGAGAAAAAGGAAAAAGTGTACCATAACCCACGGTCTATTTCACTTTGACAATACAATGCGCGTCATCATGTTTTCCAATCGTCACGAGGCGAGATGCTTCCTCCCCTCAACACTGTACATCTCTGTCACTGAAAGACTCACTCTCCCCGATCGTTGAAAGAAAGCCCAGCTCATTGTCCCTCGACTCGAGCTTTCAAGCTACATAATTGCTATTGACGTTTGCGGCACTTGCAAACCCCCTACTCCCACCACCCCCTTTGTCCCCTTTGTTGACTTTGTATCCGACTTACCACTAAGCTGCCACAATCCCAATGTCTCGAAATGCCCATGACCTCCATCTGTCTACTCCACATGTCTTGTCCATCATGCTTCCTCGACAACATCTGACATGGACAACCACAACAACACCAACAAACACGACAACACCGCTGTCAACATCATGGGTCGCGCACCATACGGTGCCATTGGCGATATCGGGCCGGATACCGACGAGTCTCTCCCAGACTATCCACACTCTTTGGAGCTTCAGCGTTATGGCGGTTGGATGAACCCTTACTTCACAAACTTCGGTCTCTCTGGTTTCGAGACCCAATATCCCATCTTGCCCAGTTTGGGCATGGACGTGAGCAATGAAGACGCCGCACGAGCAAGTCCCCTGCCCGTCCCGTCGCCGGCCCAGTTTGATAGGACTTTTGTTGCCGAGCGCTACCAGCAAGAGATGAACGATGGCTTCAAGGCCTGGCAAATCCCCTCTCTTCACCATGGCCTTAGCTCCGTCGACGAGGCCGACATGATCTCCATCAGGGTCAATCCCCAGATGTGGCACCCACTCTTCCAAAAGTCCCGCTGGTTTGACCTCAAGTCCCCCGTCGACATTACCAAAAAGTCGCTTACCGCTCCCCATTGGTCCATCGACAATCCCGACGTCTTTGCCGAGTTGGGCATCTGCGTCGAGATGGCAAACAAAATATTCGCCGAGGCTCAGTGTACAAAATGGCTACACGCCCTCTTGTTCAGCGACTGGAAGGAAATCGCGGGAACCGAGTACGAGAGGGGCGGGAAACTAACCGGCGTCGATGCCCATAGATTTACATCTCAAGGTCACCCAAATGCTCCCTTGACCCAGGCCGAGCGGATACAGGTTTACAACGAGACCGTTAACCTCGCCGACCACATCATTTGGTCCTTCTTTGACGGCGACGACCCTCATGCATTTGGCTTCGCGAATTCGATGGATGAAAAGTTCACGTCGGCCTATACAAGCTGTGTTGAGGACAAGACGACAGGAGAACAGTTTGTTGCCATTCGCATGAATGCCCGGATATTGAGGACTTTGTTGCAAGACATCGATGGTACTAGCAACCCGTCGGAATCTCTTAGGGATGCCGAAAAACACATTGCTCGTCTGCAGTTTGCCGTTACGGTATGTATCATCTGACGCTACCGACCTCTTGGAATAGTGTGCTAACTCTTGACCAGATGGTACACGAGTTGGCGGTATGTCGGTCCTTTACCTCCCACAGAGCCTGTCTCTTACTAACCACATGCTATGAGATATAGCATGCGCTCAACTTTGCATGCTTGATAAAAGATGGCGACTCCACTGCCGCGTACGAACCAGTAAGTGATGCCGCCTCTCCTTCCCGCTACATTACTGACAATTGTGCGTCGCCCTAGGTCTACAACAATGAGTGGGTGGCTGAGCTGGGCTATTCGATCGAAAACAATCTCTTTGGTGGCACATTCCGCTACACCCCCGAAGGCGTAGAAAGAGAACTAATCCCGTCTACACTGCCCGGTTTGCGGCAGTACGGCATGGCCCTATACACATTCGAGGACAGCACTTGGATATGGAACTCAAGCAACTGTACCGTCGACAATGATATCCACTGGCCCCCAGACCAGCCCTTATCCTACGACAGGTATCCCATTCCCACCTTCTACGCAGCCTCCCTCCAAAACCAAGATTTTTGGGACGCGTTCGTAGCAACCAAAGGCCGAGGCGCCCTACGGCCACCTCTCCCCTTCAGAGCCCCCGTACTTGACTTGAATGAGATCACCCGCGTCTTCTCCGTGGTCCCCAACCCTAACAACCCCCAAAACCTCGCCGCATATCCTGAACTAGCCGCCAAATACCAAGATATCGTCGACCACCTCCAACTCCGCAAGAAAGCCTGGAAACGCTGGCGCGGGATCTCAGGACAAAATGACCATCTCGCCCAAGCCTACGCCTACTGGCAACGCACCCCTTACTCTCTCGTGGCATGCCGCAACTGCGTCGAAGTCTTCAGCGATGCCGCCGCCAAGCACGACGAGAAGACTTGCACGGCCATGATCAACACAATTCAGCTGAAGATCGACGAATGGGAGGAACACGCCGGCCCGGCCAAATCCCTGGGCTTCGTCTACAGCATACTGCTCTTACTCATGAGAGCGGCCATTCCCTGGCGAAGAAAAGTGACCAGGTTCACCACCAAATTTCCTTCCCAGGCTTGTGACGTGCCCAACCTCTGGCAGCCGAGCATGAGCGCACTGGTCAAGGGAACAAAGTGGAGGTTTCCCGACCTCCACGAATACGGCGACAACAAGGGCAAGGCGTGGAAAACGTTGGATCTGTACGGCCAAAAATACAAGTTTCTCACTCCCTACGACGCCCGCGCCGATCTCATCTCCGTAGCCCTACGCGACGGGCGCAGGTGCTGGACCATCAGCCCGACTCCCATAGGGTTGCTGGATGCCATCAGGCAGTTGGCGCATGATATGATGAATGCACTTGACCACGAGGCGGATCTGGCGGGCCCTAATACCGATGGCTGGCTGCCCTTCAACTTTACCTTTCCGGACTGGGTCATGGGCTTCGAGAAGGGAGGCACCGATCAGGTTGGGGACGTGGTGGACGTGTCGGAAGCTGAGGAGGAGTTGAAGAATAGGGATGCACATCGTGCGTTTCTTGGGAGCGCGCCGCCGTCGCCTGTCAGTTCGTGGGCTGATGCGAGTGATGATGATGATGATGATATGAGTGATAGTGATGATGATAGTGATGGTGATGGTGATAGTGACATCGAGATGGGCGATCCGGGACAAAGCCAGAGCCAGGATGTTGCCAGTCGTCTGAAGATGGTTCTGGATATTGGGAAACTGAGCGGTGTCTCCAAAGCCATGAAGAGCCGGGGTCCTCCTACCCGCGGTATATCCAAACCTCGTGGCCGTGGTTTCCGTGGTAGACGAGGCGGTGGTGGACGAGGAGGCGGCAACTCCGGTGCCGGTGCCATCCGCCGTCGTGGTCCCTTCGGAAAAGCCTGGCGATCCGTTACCCACGGTATCGATGACGACGACGAGGAAGAAGATGATGACGACCCCGATGTCATGGACATAGAATACGCAAGCATCTCCCCCCTCTCCTCCCAGCGAGGTTCACCCAACCAATCCAACCAAGGATCCCTCCCCGTCGACCTCTCCAACCTCCAAATCAACCGCCGCCACCGCTCCGTCCTCAACGACTTTTATGCATCCGGTCTCATCACCGACAAAGAAACGGAGGACCTTAGTCGGGGCCACAGAAAATTCCACGACTCTGACCTAACCTGGGAGGAACTGGGATCGCCGTACGTGCCACTTGAGGAACTCAACAACGAGTGGGAATATGATGGTGACGAGGCATTGGCAGGCGTGGAAGAGGAGTGGAGGAAAAGGAAACACTGGAGTAGGGGGGAGGTTGCTGATCATTGGCCACCTCTAGAAGAGACTAGAGGTACGCCGAGGTGGGTGTTGGTGAAGTGGGGCAGGGAGGAACATATTTATGATCTCAGTTATGATCTCGTTTGGAGTCTTGATGGTCGTGAGTCTTTTCGGTTTTTTTTCTTTTGTTTGTTTCTTTTTGAATCTTTGCTTTGTGTTGCTTCGTGCTTATGTTGCTTATGGGAGTGACACACTGCAAGTGGAAGTGAGAAGTCACAACAGACATGGGTGATGTGAGAGAGAGACCCAGTGGTGCTAACGAAAACCCATGTAGTTGAACACTGGGAATTAACCGATCACGGCCTCTTCTACCACGACCCCCACCGCAAAGGCAAACTCAAGACACATGTCGCCCGACGGACTCCCAACGGCTGGGTGGTCTGCAATGACAGTATCAAGGGCCACCTCCAATTAAATGCCAATACGCTGTTCCGTGGTAAGGTCCTGCAGAAGAGAACGCTGGACGAGGTAAGAGAGTTTGATGGGCGGGATGGAAGGCCAATGTGGGCGTATGTTGGGAGGGATGTTTTTGATTTTAGTAGTAAGTTTATCGTTCACTGCCTTGGTTACTTCACCAGTCACTTCATCACTTCACCTACCTCTTGACTCAAGGTTGTCTTCAGGCCCAAGCCAGGTTCAAGCCTATGACCTTGATCCACGACCTTAGAAGTCCACTCCCCATTCCAGAAACCTTCCATTTTTCTCCCATCTACCCCCTCCAGCAGAATTACTAACCTCCACTACCTTCTCTCCCCCAAACCAGGTGTCGAAAACGAACTCGATGGCCGCTTAAAGACCCTCGTCCGCGATAACATTGCAGCCTATCAAGACTTGACCCAGCTCTGCCATGATCACAACAAGGACCCCGTTGATCTCAGGAACCTGCTGTGGCCGTGGCGGTGCGCAGTCCTCAAGGACTACATCATGAACCCCCCGCGGGGACGGACACTGGATGTCTTTACGAAGAGGGAGCTTGGACGGCAGATTTATCGGGAGGTGGGGATGTATATCTGTATTAAGAATGATGTTTATGATGTTTCTGGTAAGTATTGCCCTTTTGCTTTACTGATTGTCTACTTGCCGGAAAGAAGGGAACTAACAAAGCCACAGATTACGTCGAAGACCACCCCGGCGGCTCCCGCTCACTAGCCCTCAGCGCCGGTTCCAGGGTAACCGACATCTTTACTGAGAAGCACGTCCTGGACCTGAGAACCTACTCTCGCATCGTTCCCTCTTCTGAAGACGCCGAAGAAGAAACGATCGAAAACAGATTGTCCAAAGTCCTCGAAAAATTCGACCACCTAAAAATCGGCTATGTAATCCCCGAAGTCAAATCCAACCACCGCATCGGCCCTAACAGCATAATCCTGAACAACTACATCTACGATATCACCTATATCGAAGAGCGTAACGGCCGCTTCGACACATGGCTTACCATCTCGGACCTCAATAGGCTCCGCCGATTGTACGGCCAAGATATAACGGACCTGTACAACAGCGAGACCAAGCGAGGCCAACGGCTGCGTGAGATCTTCCGCGACATCTCCAAGCTCAAATCTTTTCTGATAACAGGGAAGATCTACCGCCGTCCCACTCGGCAGATCACCGTCCGCGAGCTGAAACAACACGGCATCAAAACCCTAGCCACAAAGGCCCAGCGCAAGCGCAAAGCCGCTCAATGGCGGAAGTTGTCCTTCGCCGGCGGCCGCACGATAGCAGCATGGGCACGCAACAGCATCGATGGCGAACCATTATGGGTCAACGTCGGCGGCATAGGCGGAATCGTGTACGATATCAGCGAGATGTCACTGTATGACATCCCCAGTCATTCGCGCAATATGAGGTACCTCTCGGGCACGATGCTCCCTGTGTTTGCCAACGAGGAAGAAGAAAGAGAAATACCAAACGAAAATGACGAGGACGCGTATATGGAGTATGGCGCGAAGGTGAGAGCCGTGCAACTGACGGAGCTGTTTGCCGCAAGGGCGGTGGGTGTTTTGGTGGAAGATCCCCCTGGTATGAGTATGGAGGAGCAAGAAGGTGTGGAGAGCGCCGAGGAGAATGAGGAGGATTTGTTTGATGATGAGAGCGAATCTGAAGAAGAAGATGCCGCTGGTGAAGAAGGGGACGAAGAAGGGGACGGAGAAGGGGACGGAGAAGGGGATGAAGAAGGCTCTATTGACTCAGACCTTCTTTCCAACCGGGATCGTGCCAAACTAGCCCGGCGAAAGAAGGTCACGCCTAGTACGACTAGTCCGCCTCGCCCTCAATCAACCCCAGGTTCCCGGCCGTCTGCCCGTGTTCCCAGCCCGGGATTAGTAGTCCCTACCGCAGACAGCGGCGCCGCCCTCTTCCGACCCCACCAGAACAACAAGCTCCAAAGCCGTCTCTTCGAAGCGGCACCAGCCCCGAGACCGACTAATACCCCTCAATTACCTCGCAAGAGGCCGAGGGATGAGATATCTGAAATCATTGATGGCATGGAAATCAGTTTTAACTTCCAGAGCAAGTCCACGGATACTAGCACCTCCTCCAATGACTCCGCACCCTCCCCCTCTGCTGGAAGAGCCAGACCAAGAAGAAAACCAACGGGGCCAGATAAATCGCCGCAGGCTAAACGGCCCCGACTAGCGGGACAAGATTTCGCAGCGAGGAAGGATCAAGTGAGAAACCTAGCCACTGGACCCAATCGGTTGGCGAATCTGAGAGCGGAGAGGAGGGAGGAGATGGCTAGAGCGGCGAGGGAGAGGAGGCACAAGACGAAGGCTGCTGCGGCGGCGGCGGCTGCGAAAGCACAGGCGGATGCGCGAGAGAGGAAGGCGAGGAGGGGGCCGGTTGGTAGAAGGACGTCAGCGCCGGCGCCGGTGCCGCCGCCGAGGGTTACTACGTCTGTTCGTACGGGTGCTGAGCCTGGCACGCCTCGAGCTACAGGACTGTCGGTGCCTCCTCAGTCGGGACCATCATCTAGAACGGGCAATGTGGCACATGGAAGAACAGGGGGGAGAAGGCTTCTGGCTCCAGTCCCTGAAGATGATGAAGATGATGACGGAGAGCCGAGAGGCCAGAAGCGAGACAGGAGTGACTCACCTGAGAATTCGCAGGAGTGGTTAGCGGAGAAGAGGAACCAAGGCAGACGTGCCCGGCAATTATCCCCTGACGAGCCGGAGCAAGAACAACGGGACGAAGATGAGGATGCTGAAATGGAAGATGCTGGCGACGGACAGAGAGATCGTCAACGCCCAGCAACTCACAGGTTTCAAGACCGACGCGAGGCAGGAAGAGGAGGTCAACCCCAGCATCAACCGGCATCGGGACGAGCACAAGCTGCAGCACCTGGAGGTGGTCCTCCAAGCGAACCCTCCTCTGAGGGCTCAGAGAGCAGAAGGAGGCCAGGTCGACGCGTGGGAAGCAGCCACAATCGACCCATTTCCATCTCCAGTCGCGAGTCGACTTCCAGTGATGAAGAAGACGATGATGGCGACAACGGCGACGACGGGAGGAGTCCTCCCCGTCAACCCATCGGCCGCAGCCCACGACGTCCTTCTGCCCCTGTACCTCAACCACGTTCAGGCACAGACATAGTCAGGAGCCCAGGCCGATCAATTGGTCGTCGATTACCAACTCAACCTGCCGCCGACGAAAATGAGGACGAGGATCTAGACGAGGATGTCGTCGAACAAGACGATCTTTTTGCCCATGAAGACGGAGACATGGACATGGACATGGACTTCGATGCCCAACTCCAAGAACTCGAAGCCGCCGCCCAGCCCGCCGATCCCGAACCGGAACAACCCGAACAAGAACCAAGACCAAGAATCAAACATGTCAACCGCCCCCCTCTAGACCATCCGGTTTATAACCGGCCCATGACAGGGGGGAAATTCGTTCCTGGCCAGGGCCCTGGTCCGGGTCCGATTAGGAGGTATGAACCGGGTTCGGACGATAGGGATAGGTTTGGTGATTATAGGGAGAGGGATGGGGAGAGGTCTAGTGCTGAGGGGACGGATGAAGATGACAATGAGGATCATAATGAGGAGGAGGAGGATGAGGATTATGAGGATGGTGCTGGACGTGGACATTCTGGTGGTTCTCGTCGTTCTCGGGGGTCTAGGGGGTCTAGGGGTTCTCGTGGCTCTCGTGGATCCGGTGTCAACAGATGGTCAGAATACTCAGGCGACAGTATCTTCCCTACCCCTGGTCGATCCAGAGGTAGGGCTGCTGGAAGGAATGCCGATGCCGCTCGGGATGCCGCCCCTGAACAAGAAAACGAAGACGTCGCCATGGGCGGCGTCGACGACCAACAACTTCCCGACCAAGACCTTCCCGACCAAGAACAGCCCCAAACTCCACCCCCGGCGGACGACCGCGACCCCCGCCACCCCGACTACGTCACCCCCCACCTCCGCCCCGAGTACACCCCCCGCCAGCGCGCCCACCTGCTCGAACTCCATAACATCCGCAATGAGTTCTCTCCCACCACCGCGCGACAATTTATAGAGCGAGCCAATTACGAGTACAATCTCAATCGACCAGCGCCCACACCCCCCAACAGGCGTCCCCGCGCCCCCTTCAAGACACCCGCCAGATTTGTGGTTAAAGGGTTACCCCCTCACATCCCCAACGACGAACAGCTAGAAGACCAAGTGCGCGAAGAAGTCGATCGCGCCGTCAACCTCTTCCGAGAAAGAATGGAGAGGGAAATAGCACGGTTAGAGGGCCGGGAACCCGTTTATGACCGTCCCCCGCCAGACCATACAGGGGGGAAATTCGTCCCTGGTCATGGTTATTATGGTCAGGCACCTCGTCCAAGACCGAGGCCGGAAGATGACCTTCCCGACGTCGACGCCGAGATGGTTGAAGGAGAAGACCTGGAAGAGGATCCGGAGTCGTTTGCTGAGGGAGAGGCGAGGGTTAGAAGGGAGGCGGTGGAGAGGTTTGTTAGTAACTGGAGGGAGAGGTTTAGGGATACTTTGGACAGGAGGGATGTGGAGAGGAGGGTCATGATGATTAGGGCGTGGGGAGAGGGGAGGGAGTATGTTAGTGAGGAGGAGGAGCCGGAGTTGCCTGGGGATAAGAGGAGGAAGAAGGGGAGGAAGGGGGCTGCTAGAGGAGGGAGGGGCGGAAGAGGTGGTAGGGGAGGTGGTAGAGATGGTAGAGGTGGTGCTGGTTCTAGTGTCGCCCCCGCCCCTGCCCCTGTTCCTGATGATCCCTTCGCTCCAGCTCCTGCTCCTGCCCCATCCCGTACTACCCGGGCCCGGGCCTCTGCTGCGCCGGCTCCTGCTGCGCCCATTACAAGAAGCACTCGCAACAGGCCCGCTGCGCATGACTCGGATGAAGGAGCTCGACTAGTGGCTCAACTGCGAGAGGAAGAAGACCGCCGAGAGGCCGAAAGGCTGCAAGCTGCTGAGCAAGCCGCGGCGCGTAGGGCGACGAGAGCGGCAGGCAGAAGGGGTGCTGCACCCGAGCCTCAACCAGCACCGGCACCGGTACCGGCACCACAACCCCGAGCTCCCGCTAAACAAGCGGCTCCGGCCACACAAGCAACTCCGCCACCTACACGTCCAAGCACGGAGCACGCACCTTCCTACAAAAGGGCCACCTTCTTGCAACGAAATCTCAATCTTGCAACTCGCCCATCCGCACCCGCTAAACAAGCAGCTCGCCCAGCAGGAAGCCAACCCCGTCCACCTCCTCCCCCTCCCGCCCCCCTTCCCCGCCAACGTCGCCGCGGCGACCCCGACCCCGATGTCTACGAACCCCTCCCCATCCCACCCAATGAGACATCCGAACAACGCGCCGCTCGTGAAAAGAAGGACAAAGAACTGAGAAAGAATCACCGCGATAGGAAGTATCAGGCGGAGAGGAGAGCGAGGGCGCGGGAGGCTGCGGCGGCGGCGGCGGAGGCCGAGGAGGATGCCGCGGAGGGCGAAGCGGAGCCAAAGAAGAAAAAGGCAGACAAGAACAAAAAGGGAAAGAAGAAGGACGAGGAGGAGGATGAAGAGGATGAAGATGAGGAAGATGAGGAAGAAAGAAGGTTGAAGGCGAGGAGACTGAAAGATAAGCTTTATAGACGCGAGAAGAGGGCGCGGGAACGGGAGGAGGCGAGGAAGGCTGAAGAAGAGGGTGACAGCGGTGACGACGATGGCGAGAAGAAGAAGAAGGGGAAGGCTGTTGACAAGGGCAAGGGCAAGGCCACGAAGAAAGGCAAGAAGAAGGATGATTCGTCCGAAGACGAGGATGACGACTCAGACAAAAGCAACGAAAGCTACGGCGACGAAGACTTCAATAACCACCGCGGTCGTGCAGGGGAGAGTAGCGCGGTGGGAGGTCGGCGGGAAGCCAGGGCGACGAGGGGGGTGAGTAGAGTGGCGCAGATAGATGAAGAGGAGGAGGAGGAGGAGGAGGAGGAGGATAGTGAGTTAAGCGATTGGCATTCTGAGGAGAAGGATCGGTCGAGTGATGTTGAGTGGACTGGTTGAGTAGGGTGTTGAGTAGAATGTTGGATGGATGTTGGATGGATGTATCACGGATATGATGTTGTATCGAGTTCTCTTTTGTTTGGGGTTAATTGGTTCCTGTTTGTTTGGAGTTGGGTGTATCGTATTGGCGGTTAAAGGCGTTGGGGTTGCTTATTTTGTCGCTTATTTCCTTTTACTGTCGTCTCTACTGGTGTGATGGATATATCGTGTTCTCTGTGTCTGGATGTCTGGATAGTTTGTGAACTTGATCTTGGATTCTTGCTGCCTACACTACTTCTACTTGCCTTGATGATGTTCCATGGTAAGAATGATCACATGTCCTACTGTGTACCTTGGAAGGTGGTTCCCTCGTCGTTTCTACTTGCGGTTTCGGCTTTGAAGGTGGCAGGAACGGTTCGTGACATCGAGGCAGGAGCGGAAAGGGACAGACAATCAGCTGTGAGTCACGATCAATGACAATCTTGAGGACAGAAGTCATGACCTTCCTTCCATTCCTCGGTTGCCCCACAAGATGTCCCGGTTGTACCGACGAACGCACGAACTCCCATTCTTGGGTCACGGTTGACAGAGACTCACACGGTCGCTTGAAGTAGGACGACGGGTAAACATGGAGACGAAGTTTCGCTATCAAGATTTGTTCTTTTCCCTACCTAGCTAGGTAAGGTACCTATGAGGCAATCTGTACCTCTAGGGATACTCTCGTCCCTAGAGGTACCTATCGACAACGAGCTTCACGAAACCAATCTTGAAATGATTTGAAACAGACATGGACAGACCGACGACAAAAGAAACAACTCCCCCCCCCCCCCCCCCTTTTTCCTCCTTCCCTCCTTCCCTTCCTTCTTTCCCATCACTACCTCCTCACTGCCCGATCAAAAGTTGAGAGGGAGGGTGGATTCGGTGTTGTTCTGCGGCAGGGGCTCGGGTTGGTCAGTTGCCGTGGGGAGGGTGCCATTGGGGACTGGGAGGGTGATGTTGTTGATGGGGGGAGGCGGTGGGGATTGAACTTGAGGACGGTCCGGGTGGTGTGGTTGGTATAGTTGGTGAGGGTGATGTTGGAGGGTAGAAAGGGCGAGTTGATGGGGGAAAGGCGGATAGGCTTGTATTTGAAGCTGGTCAGGGTAGTGTGGTTGGTATGGCTGGGTGAGGGTGGTGTTGGAGGTGAGGAAGGGCGAGGTGTTGGTTATGTTCAACTCGGGCCACTCAGGGGGGACGAGTTGGCGGGTGCCCCTAGGGAGGGTGATGTTGTTGACGGGGCAGAGGCGGATGGGCTTGAAGCCGGTCCGGGTGGTGTGGGTGGCACCGTTGGTGTGGTTGGTGAGGGTGATGTTGAACAAATCAGGGGGGACGAGTTGGTGGGTGACGACGGAGGTAGCATCACCATCCTGTCCATCGACAGTGACATCGACGGTAGCGTTGGCATCAGACTCGCCCTCGACATCACCATCCACCGAAGGAATCAACTTCCCCCCCACCGGAACCTTGCCATCTTCCTCCAAAGAGTCCAAGCTTCTTCTCTTCACACGACGACTATTGTTGGGCAACGTCTCAGGCGGCACCTCACCATTGTCATCAAAAATGTCCTGGCACACAAGGCAACCCTCCTTCGCCTCATCCAGCGTCGACTCCGTCACGATGACCGCGGGAGCCGTCACGGTGACCGTAGGGGTGAAAGTATAGGTTCTCGTGATACTCGTAGTGATAGTCGTGGTGCTATCACTGCTAGGGGTGACATGGAAAGTTATGGTACTCGTGATACTCGTAGTGCTACTGATCGTACTGAGAGGGGATAAAGTAGAGGTAGAGGCATCGGTGGGCGCGGGAGCCGTCGGGTGGCTGACCATGGGAGCTGTCACGATCTTGGGGTTGGTAGGGGTGAAAGCGGCCGGAGCGACACCGGTTACATGTAAAGTAGAGGTAATAGTCGTAGTGGTCGTACTGAGAGGGGATAAAGTAGAGGTAGAGGCATCGGTAGCGCTTGTCGTCGACGTGTCTGCTGTGGGCGCTGTGAACGCTGTGGTGACTTCTGTGGTCATTTCTGTGGTGACTTCTGTAGTAACTTCTGTGGTCATATCCCTTTGGGCCAAAGAGACCAGGCGACCGGTATCAGTCGAGACGGGAGCGACAGCGGTTAAAGTAGAGGTAGAGGCATCGGTAGCGGTGGAGGAGGAAACACTGGAGACCGCTACATTCCTCTTACCTCTCCTCGACGTGACGAACGCCGTGTGCAAGGTATCGTCGAACGGCACAATGACAAGGAGGGTACTATCAATAGCGTTGGCGGTAGAAAGGGAAGTATTGCGGTCCGCTACGCTGGGTGTGGCTGTAACCGTGCTGGTGATCGTGGTCCTACGGGTAGAGGTAGAGATAGAGGTAGAAGAGACCTCGGGGAAGACGGTAAGTGTGTCTACTTCGATGGAGGTGGAAACCCCATCGGTATGGGAAGAAACAACACCGCTAGACGAGGAAAAGACACCGCTAGAAGCAGAAACGGCGTCGGTGGAAGAGGAAACCACGCCAGTAGGGGTGGAAACGACCTCAGGGGTGACGATAACGACGTCGGTAACGACGGCAGTAGAGGTAAAAGCCACATCGGTGGAGGAGGATACCACGTCAGTAGGGGTGGAAACGACCGCAGGAGTGAAGGTAACGACGTCGGTAACGACGGCAGTAGAGGTAAAAGCCAAATCGGTGGAGGCAGAAACATTATTGTCCTCCACGCTATTCGTCGCCGACGTAGCTGCCGACGTGACCGTCTCGACTACCGTCCTGGTGGAGGTGCTGTAGCGGGTCAAGGTAAGGCGGATGCTGGGAGCGGTATTCGTAGTGCTGGCGTCCGCTACGAGGCTCGCCGTCGACGTGACTGCTGTGGACGCTGTGATGATTTCTGTGGTGACTTCTGTGGTGACGTCCCTTTGGGCCAAAGAGTACGAGTGGAGAGAATTGTGGGGGATGTATACTGCGTGGGTTGAGGCAACAAGGGCCACCAGACTGAGTGATCTGGTGAGCCCTGTCAATCCGAAGGGCAAACGCATCTTGGGTTGACGATAATGGTCTGTGAGAAGGTTGGGTTAGTGGTCTACCACGAAAGAATGACCGAGATGAAAAGCGAAAGGGTAGGAAGCGATGAATGATGGTAGTGACATACAATCAATGATTCTGACGATGCTAACAAGTGACGAAACTTGGCGGAAGCTTTTTGGTTGGGTGCAAGTTTGGTGGGTAGAAAAAAAGGTTGGAATGAAGTCGAGGTTTCAATGGATGGGCTAGAGTTGATATGAGAAGAGGAAATGGTCGGAATGAGGTCGAGGTTTTGAGGGTTGGATGCAGTATGATGGAAGAAAGAAAGAATCAAGGAGCAGGTTGGCAAAAGAACGGAGAGTTTAAAAGGGTCTACAGGAAATTCATTCTCGCTGGTCATTACCTTGGTCAGGATATGCGTGTGCTGGCAACAAAACAAGTTGCTTGTCTACCGGACGTCCATCACCGACATAGATGCAGCTCGCCACTGGTGTTGAGATGCAGTTTTTGGGATACAAAGAATTGTAGCCTGCAGCATTCGAGGCATCGCCCTGATACAGCGACGTGGATGAAATCCTGCCTTTCAATCGAGACATCAATAAGATATTGCAAAAACAACTTCCTGCCTCTAAACACATAGCAGAAAATGTTGTTGGGACTACCATCGGCGAGTGTCTTCATCCCACTACAAAATATCATCACGCAACCCCCCCTTTTCCGGACACGTTGACTTACATGTTCGCAACCACATATAGCATGCACGGGATAGGGTTACCAGTACAAGCTACGGACCTTTTCCACCACCACATGCATCACCACCATGGAACATGCACGGCATCGGTCTCTCGGGGCTACCGGAGCTACCGGCGAATTCTGCCTTGCAGGACCGGGCCCGGATTTTGGGGTTTTTTTCTTGTGTGCAATTATGCAACTTGGTGGGAGCTGCAAAAAAAGTCACCGTCCACCGAACCAGAACAGCTCCGGCTTCCGACCCGAGTTTCGTATCAGCATTACCACAAGCAATAATCGTTCTTCTCTGCGGACATGCAAGTCAACCATCGGGGCTCGAAACCCTACCTAATCTTATGTAATCCTTACCGTCTGGTAAACGCCCGATGAATCGACAAGCCACACAGCAGTTGGTGAACAGAAGCGAGGATCCGGGCCTTTTGTCGGTCGGTGGACTTTGTTGGTTGGTAAGGTACTTACGTCTCAAAATAACAGCGACCTGCCCGAACGAAGTAGGATGCGTAAATAGAAATCGTCGCTGATCGTATTCCCGTCGCTACACTGCTCGTCTAGTTCCTCTGCTTCCTAACTCGCTGCTGTCTAATGCTGATAGTATCCCTCCGTCTTTCTCCCTCCTCATTCCCCAACCACTATCCTCCCACTACTCAGTCCCCCTCCTCGGCTTGGTATCATTCCACTTGTCCCTCTGATACACCCTCCCCAAATCCTCCATCTGCGCACGACTCAAACTCAACCCCCCCACTCCTCTCAACAAATCACCCACATCACCACCCTCACCTCTACCAGCACCAGCACCAGTATCAGGACCAGCGCCAGCACGAGCAGGAGTAGAAACCCTTCCAGCCAAACCCCTCTAGCGCCCAGTCTGAGGAGGTCCAGCCCACTGCACATGCTGACTCCCATTCCCATGCCCAGTCCCATGTCCAGTCCCAGCATCCTAAACCTGGTCCTGCGGAGGCAAAACCAACCCCCCCATCTCCCCCACCCGTCTCCTCCACTCCTCCCTTTTCTCCAACCACTTCCTATAAGGGCCCTTGGGCACCTTCTTCTTCTTTCCTGACTTCTTCCCATCTATACTTTTCCCATCCACCTCCAGCCCCTTCCCAGAGGTAGAGGAGGTATCCTCCTCCTCCCACACCTCAAACCCACACTGCCCCCAAACCTCCAACTGCGCCATGAAATTTTCGCTGGGCTCGACTTCTTTGCGGCGGAGCTGCACGAACCGCAAAGCTTTTTCGGCTGACCAGTTCGGGTGCTGTTTCATCATGTAAGCGACGCAGGCGGCGCCCGAGCGGGAGACGCCTTGGTTGCAGTGGATTAGGACTTTGCCGCCTTCGTTGGTAGGGAGGCTGGATTGGGTTGAGGAGCTTGTTGGTCTGGATGTAGATGTTGAGGGACCGGCTTGAGCGGAGGGGGAGAGGGCGGACAGTTGGCAGGGTGTTGAGTATGGTGAGAGGTGGGATGTTGAGAGTTGGCCTTGGCCGGGGAGTGAAGGGACGGGCGCGGATGGAATGCAGGGGATTGACCCTGATGGGAGGGACGGGATCGGTTTGGGTGATGTCGATGGTCCTCCGGCCGGTTCCACGTCATCGGGGATTAATGACCTCACGCGTTGCCTCTGCGGCGCCGGAGCCGACTCCCTCCTCGACTTCTGCTGCCTTGTCAACTCTGCCATCTCTTCAGCACCCTGCTGCGCGGGTGCCGGCTGCGCGGGTGTCGGCCCCTCAACCCTCCCCTCCTCATCAGGAATCAGACTCCGCACCCTCTGCCTCGGTTTCGGCTCCTGACCAACATTCGTATTAAACCCCTTAGGCACCTCACTCGCAGGTAACACGTTCTCCAACACCTCCTCAACACTTTTTTCCCTCTTACGTCTCTCGACTTGCTCCTCAACAAACTCACAAATCATGCCCAACCTCCCCACCAAATCCTCCTCGGGCGAATCCTCACAGCGCACAAACAACCTGTTGCTCTTGGGGACTAACATGTCCAACGCCGGGCTGTTCCATGCCTCCTCATTCAGTTGCTGTTCCGCCGTCGACAGGAGGGATACCATGGACGTAATACCATAATGCATCAACGTCTGGATCGAAGTAGAACTCGCATTATTCCCGACAAAAACATTGGGCGTAATCTGGCTGATGGAAACTCCAGGAGGGAGAACAAAGGTGCTAGGGCTACTGCTGCCCGGGCGAGGGGAGCCGTCGTCTCGAGAGGCGCTGGATGGGCGGTGATGGCCGGAGTAAGTAGGCGCGGGAACGGAGACGGTGGGGATGGCGGCAGCGAAGTATCCCGAGCTGCGCGTTGAGGAGGAAGATGATTTCCGGCGTTTGGTGGGCTGATACTCTGAGGAGGAACCGTGTCCTATGGGAGCGGGTGGTGGTGACATTGTTGAGGGTAATGTTGCTGTTGAGTTGGTGTTGGTTGTGATAGTGGATGATGTTGATGTGGACGGATCACCAGTATTGATGTTGGTATTGAAAGTGGTTGTTGTGGAAGACATTGGAATGGGTTGGGGCAGCTAGAGTTGGCTTGGGTTTTGTTTGGATGGTGATGTTGTTTGTCTCGGGAAGTTACGTCCGATGCAGCTTGTTTTCGGAAGGCAGTAGGAAACAAATTGGATGGTAACGCAAGAGTGAGCGATGAAGTCGCACATTGACTCAGGAACAGACAGTGGCCGATCATATAAAAAGGAAGTCGTCGATGACCCCGGGGAAGTGTTTGGGCCCGGTACGTGATGAACATGGATTCCCGGTGGAGCCTACCGAACTCGGTGACGTAGATGTCGATAAGGTCAACGCGTACGCCAAGGTCCCCCTCTGGACTAAAAAGCTTGTCTTGACAGCATCGTGGTGGGGTCGCAGGGACACGAAATGAACCGCTTGGCCGGTAGAGATGGGACGATTCGACGTTCTTGAGACTACCGAAATATCAATGCCCAGGACGGCGGTGTTGAGGCTGACTATTTTCTTGGGCCCTTAGCGGTGATCACTGATCCGCACATGGTTCGGCAGTGAGCATCGAGGATCTCACTGATCATTTCCTTCCTCGATGTCATCCAACCCAATTCGTCACGGCCATCTTTTTGCTGGAATCGTATTGTTCGCTGTTTTCTTTTTGCTCATATCGAAGGTCGACACCCCAATCGCTGTTGAACACCAAAAATGGGAGCCGCGGTCACGGCCATAGGCACAAGCCCGCAACTGCATTTTTGCCCCATGTTTCCAAGTCAGTCGCACATGCACGAACGCCTTGTCCTCGAACCACCCTTTTTGCTTGGAGTCCTTTTGCACTTTCTTCGCTTGTTTCGACCTTCACTCAACTTGATACTCAGCACCAGCCAAAGAGGGTGCGGACCTCAATTCTCCCGCCATCTCCCATCTCCCATCCTGCCTCCCCTCCATATCCTCTTCCACCTCCTCTTTCCCACCTAATCCCCCCAAACACCCCCTAATACCCACTCTCCCGATCCATCAAATTCACCAACCTCTCCCCTTTCCTCATTCTCTCCAAATTCTGCTCCAATATAGCCTTAACCCGCTCAAAATAAAACGGCGTCTGCCAACTAACATGCGGCGTAACAAAGCACTTGCCCGGCATTTTTAGGAGTTCATGTCCCTCGGGCAACGGCTCCGGGTCCGTAACATCCAGCGCCGCGCCCCTGATCTTGCCCTCCTTCAGCGCTTCCACCAAGGCGTCCGTGTCGACGTGCTGGCCCCTAGCAATGTTGGAAAGAAAAGTCTTTTTCTTGCTGAGAATGTCGAACTGCTTGCGACCGATTATTTGTTTGGTAGACTCGGTAAGCGGCAGCGAAACGACCAGTACGTCCAAGTCCTGCGCAAGGAAGTGATCGATGTCCTCCCGCGAAGAACCAGAGAACCACTTGGTAGGGATCACGCCGTCCGGATCGCCGGTGCCGGGAACGTGGTAAGAGTCGTCCTTGCGGGACTCGGGAGTCGGTTTGGGCCGGCGCGTGTAAGCGTAGATTTCCATGCCCATAGCCTGCGCGACGCGAGCGACCTGCCGGCCGATGGCGCCGTAACCGAGGATGCCCATGCGCATGCCGGGCGAGTCGACGGTGGTTAGGTGCCGCAGGACTTGGGATTGCCCGTGCTGGACGGCGGCGTCGTGGTAGGAGAGGAAGTGGTGCGAGAGCATTAGGTAGGTGCCGATTACCCATTCGGCTATTTGGGGGCTGTTGTTCACTTGTTAACCATCTTTACTTCTTGTGATGGAAAGGGAGGGGAACTCACGGATGACACCCATTAGCAGTACAAAACACCACCTCCTTGTTCAAATACAACGGATGCTGCAACCACGGATCCGCCCCCGCGCTCGTAAGCTGCACCCATTTCAACTTGGGTAACAGCTCGGCCTTGTGAGGGTAGAACGAGCACAACATGGTGACGCCCTCATACTCCTCGGCGGCAGTGGTCTCGTCATCCCGCCCGTAGTCTTGCCATGAGCGATGTACCCACCGGACTTTGAAGCCGGGGTATTTGTTTTCTAGTTTGTCGATCCAGGCTTGGTCCGGGGGAAGGGGCACGTGAAGCATGAGGATGTCGTTCTTGAAGACGTCAAAGTTGCCCTCCTCCCCGGTAAGCCCGGTGGAAGGGGAGGTGGTGTCTGTGGAACCCATTTTTGGCGTATAAGTGCTGCCGGCGCCGCTAATTTGGTAAAAAGGGACGAGGGATGAGACTTGTACTGCGTGGTGATGATAAATATTTGCGCCGGTTACGGATGGGAGATAAGGTGAACAGGTGGAGAAACATCGGTTTGGGGACCCCAAGTTTATGACACATGCAAATGGCGCAGTAATTCCGCGGTTCCAATTACTAAGTATCGGAGCTAACTGAAGAGGGGTGCATGGACCGCGTCTCTTGTGATATTAATGGTAATAATCAATATGGGGTTCAACGTGGCTTGATTGTGTATATGTATAAGACTGGCTCTACAGACTCGAAGTTCTGGTATTTGGATAAATCCCTTATATCCTAGCCTAATTAGGTGCGTATACGCCTAGTAGATCCCTTAGCCTCTAATATACCTCCTTAAATCTAATGCACAAACTACGCCAGATTTACTTAGATATATTTTGAAATATCCTAAAATCCTCCTAAAACTGGCTAGAAATAATACTATTCCTAAATTACTTCCTCATCACAGTAGTTTTTAAACTTTTATTCGTAAGAGTTTTGCCTTATTATATTTACCATTATATTTACCAATTCGTTATCCGAATCCTCCTTTATAAAATCCCCTATACCCTTTAAGCAGTTTATAGCGATATTTCCGTTACTAAACTCTCGTAATTCAATCTACAGCCGCTATAATTCTACCAATCCTAATTATTCTATAAATTTTAAATATACTACAAGAAGGAGGCTCTTTATAAGGCTATCCGCAATTTATTCCTTAATAAGTACGTAGATTACATTTATTAACTTCCTTTTTTACGTTTACTTTAATTAGTATTTATATATATCCATATATTTAAATTTAATTACGAGCCGAATTGCCTCTTTTATAACAGATTATATTATTTATTTATTATTATAACCTATAAGCGTAGCCTCTTAATTTTCGAATCCTAAGGTAAATTCATTAAAGAAACGGCGGGCATAAATTGCCTCCTTAATTCCTTAATTAATGGATAGTAGCTTAACTGTTATAAATAAAGTTATAATTATATTTTACTTATTAGTACGCTAATCGATAGTAGCGTTTAGTAGTTTAAGTACGAATACTTGTAAATTCTTTCGATTAAGAGAGTTATTTATAAATAAAGAATTAATTATAATATAGAAATCCTAACAGTCTTTACTATTTAATTAAAGGGTATAATTTCAAATTATTAAAAGATAGAAGAGTACTTTATTTATAACCGTATAATACGTTGGATTCGGGTTTAAATTGAATCGAACGAATTTAGAGACTGGGAAGGCTACGTTTAATTATAACGTAATAATAATATAAAGAATCGAATTAATTTTAATTTAATACGCGTAAATCTTATATAAGGCTATATTATTTTAGTAAAATAGGAATTCTTCCCTAATTATAGGCCTAGAATATAGCTTCTTTATATATTTAACCTTCTCCATGATTTTTTAAATATAATCGCGCTATAATAATTAAATTAATTTCTTTTTTCGGTTTCGAATAATTTCGATACTTAGAAATTACTTTAGTAGCTTTTTATCCGTTAATTAATATTTCTTCTCTATAGCAGTTACCACCACTTTAATTATAGCGATTTTTTTATCCCTATATTTATAAACGATAATAATATTATTAACGTAGAAGAAGAAGAATACGTTATTTTTAATTAGGATATTAAGTTCTATAGGGAGAGTGTTTATATTTATAATTATAAGGGTTTTAATAAATTCTTGCGATTAAAGGAGGGGAGATTTCCGTAAATTATATAGCGCGCGTAGTAATTAAAATATTTAACCTTTCTTAATATATTTAGGGTGAGTTTTTGTAAATATTACCTTATTAAGTATAGTATTAATAAAAGCTTTCTTTATATTGTACTAAGTTAAATCGAAATTAAAGTAAACAGCTATAGCTATTAGGATACAGAACGACTTAATTATTAGAATCGTTATATATATTTTACGTACGCTATCTTTAAATTACTGATCTCTACGTATAATTAGACGCGCTTTATATTTAAAGAATTGGCCGTTTTAGTCGAATTTATAGGTATATATTTATATTAAACCGAGTATTTCGTTATTTCCCATTTTTTCAATATTAACTTACTTCTAAGACTTTTTATTCTTATAATTATTTAGGTATTCTTTTTTTATAGTTTTAAAGTATTTCCTAAAGGAGTAAGAATTGAAATTATTATAGTACTTTAAAAGAGGTGGAAAGTTAGTTCGATATGGGGTCTTTAATATACCTTTTACTCTATAACAGTTAATAATATCTTTTATCATTTTTAATTTAGGATTGTAATTAGGATTAATATTAATATTCTTTTTTTTATATTTATTTTAAGAAGGCTTAGTTTATAATTTGATTATCTTAAAAGCCTATAGGTCGATTGCCTTTTAGAAATAAGAACAACGCGGCCTAATACAGGTATTAATTTATAGTCAGTTATAATTTTTTATTAGAGCGAGAAAAGTCAGTTATTAGAAACGTAGTTGGATTATTAGGAGGCGTAGGGAGATAGCCATCTTTTTTATTTTTCGAATTTAAAATTGTACTTTAGAAATCCGACGGCGATTGTACGGGCGGTAATAGTAAGGGTTTTAAAGACCCTTGCAGTATTTTTAAACTTAATAGTATCCTTAGTGTTTATAAGACCTCTAAAAATCTAAATTATATTTATATTTTTTAGAAACCCTAATTCCCACTCTTCCTTTCATATATTCTCAGTCGCAGTATAAAAATCTTAAATAATAGGGCTAAGGACTCTATTATTTATAGTAGGTATAGCTTCGATTTATAGGACGTTTATTTAGGCAATATTTATTTAATAAAAGTCTTTTAATTATATAATTAATTCTTTAAGGGAGATATTAAAGGCATTACAGATTTCTTTAACGTTATTATTAGAGAAGACCTTATCTTTATTAAATACGACGTTTTATATAATGATAATAGAATTGGTATAAGGATTCTAGATTTTATAAATATTTATTAATTAATATTTAATTAAACAGCCGACCTAGGTATAGTCCTTAAATTTTATTAATTTGTTTTATTCTTTTATAGTTTTTATTATAAGAATAAAGGCCTTATAATTATATACTTTAAGGTGTAAAATAATAGGGGAGGGGTTTGATAGAAGGATAATACTATTTTTGAATTAGTAGTACGTTTCGAATCGGTTTTAGGGAGATTTTTAGTAATATTCCGCTTTAGGGGTTAAGTTGTATAAATATATAATTACTCTAGTGATTTCTATTTATAGTTTGTAAGGAAAATTTATATTTAATTATATTATTATACCTTTAATCTTGATTATATACTTTAAACGCTTTATATTACCGTTTTAAATTTACGTATAAAGCGTTAAAAGTTCGATATTAGTTCCCTTTGCAGTAAATTAGGTAGTAATCTTCTTACTATTATTTATTTTATTCGAAATATAATTTAGTCTTGAATTTGTAGCTTTATATAGAAGGATTTCAAATACGCAATAATAAATTCGGCGTCTTTATTACTTAAATAATATATTTAGACGAATTTAAATTACCAGTTTATAATTACTATTAAATTTAAATATTTCTAGCTCCCTACTTTTATTTCTTTATAAAAGAAGAAGTCGACGGCTAATTATAACTTAGGGCCTTTTAGGTGGTTATGAGCTTTTTTATATATTTTACGCTTTAATTTAGCTTTAGTATATAATTCGTAGTATATTATATCTAGTCCTTTAAATCGTACGCTATATTTTTATTTTATTAATTTAATTAAAATTTCGGGCCCCGAGTAGCCAAATTAAAAATACTAACGAAAGAGCTTACCCTTTTAAGGCTTCCGCTTAATATAATTTATATACTATCTAGTAAAAGAGGATTTATTAATATTATTTTATAGAGGGATATATTCTAAAATAAATTATTTATATTTAGAGAAGATATAATAAATAAGGGAGTTCATAAGGCAGGAGCGTAAGTAATTATTTATATAGTCCTGGTAGATTTGTTTATCTTCGAATTATTTTAAGGAAATAAGGTTATAAGTTATACCCAGTATTAGAACAATATTAGGGAGCTAGAACTCTCTATTTCTATTATTATCCTAGACCGTAATTATAATAATACTATACCCCTCTATAGGAATCTGTTTATTTTCCGCCTATATATAATTATTAGTATTTAAAAGGGTAAAGTTTTTAAAACGATTAATTTTATTAACAATATATATTATTATACTTAAATTAAGGATTACAGAGTCTCTTAGTAAGTATATAGCACTAAATTTCGTCATAAATATTAAGAAATTACTCTCATTTACCCAGCGACTATAGAATTAATTATTTTAATCCTCGTTATTCTATTACGTTTATAGATAATTAATAGCTTCTTTAAATATTTTATCCTTTTTTAAATTAGCGTACGCGCGCTTTTTAATAGTAGGACTTTCTATCTAGCCTTTATAAACTAATTATAATTTAACATAGTAATATTTGTCTAAATTATAGTCCGGCTATTTATAGAATTTATATAAGGATTAATATAGTTATTTATTCGTTAATAAAAACGAGGAGGAGGTACATTTATTTTTATTAGTATTTTTCCTAAATTTACCGTTTTTATTTATAATTTTTCCCCGTCCCTTTATTTCCGGGCTAAGGTTTTATTTATCGTTAAGAATATCCTTTTTGGCGGACTTACTATTTAATATAATTACGAACGTAATATTTTTAAATAGGGGGGCGCGACCTTTTCTTTAGGTAGTATTCATTATTACTACTTTACGAAAATCCTTAGTTACAGTGCGGAAAGAGATTTTAAAATTAGTGTTTCTCTCAATTTCCTTATTATATTAAAATTGGTAGTTATTTGCCTAGGCGGTATAAGGATTCGAATTTATAATTATATAGAATTTTGGGAATTATAGGTTTAATTTATTTATTTTAATAATTCTTTTAGTAATATAGAGGGCTATAGCTATTTCCTAGTAAAAGATTTAATTATATTAATTATAGTTAGTTTTGCTAAGGGGCTTAAAAATATTAATACATTTAGTTCGGGCGAGCTTTTTTACTTTATAATCGTTAAAAGCAGTAGATTTACTAAAATTATTGTACTATTTGTATAGATTAGTACGTTTAGTAAAGTTAGTTTTCCGGTAATTATTTCTAACGGTTTTAAATATTTAGCGATTTAGTATTATTTTTTTAATATTTAAATTAGAGAAAGTTTTAACCTCTGTACCCTAATCCGATTTTTTAATTATATAATGATAGTAGTCGTACTTATAATAGAAGCTGTAAAGTTTAATAGTAATAAATAAGATAATTTTCTTATCCTTCTTAACTTCTTTAATTTCTTTAACGGGAATTTCCCCTTAATAGTTAGCGATATTAGGGTTTATTGGTTCGGTTAGCTAGGGAATGTAATTATTTAGGTCGATATGCTTCTAGAGACCTAGGTCCTAGGCTATAGAAATAAAAGCATCTTCATAGGCTGGCTAATCCTTAAGGCCGTTGAAAGCAACGCTATTAATTTTAATCATAAATATTATTAGTAATCGTTTAATCAGTTATCGTTGCTAGCGATGGCTTTAATGGTCAAATTAACAACTCTTAATTGTAACATTATTAGTAATAATCGGTATGGGGTTCAACGTGGCTTGATTGTGTGTGTGTGTAAGACTGGCTTTGTAGACTCGAAGTTCTAGCATCTGGATAAATCCTTTATATCCCAGCCCAATTGGGCACGTGCACGCCTAGTGGATCCCCTGGCCTCTGATATCTCTCGGATCTCGGCTCAGGCACAGCGGTGCCGGTGCGGGGCCGGTGTGGGGCCAGTTGTTATCGGGCGGCGCAGGGGCACCCCGGCGCCATGGATATCGGATCGGAATATCGAATCACGGTCGCCGGGCAAGTCGCCGGACTTGCTCCTCCGGCCACTCCACCCACGGCGCCGATTCCAATCCGTCGCCAAAATGCACAACATCCCCATTGCGCATCACACCCGCACTCACTTTTCACCTCAATTCCCCTTCTTCTTCCCGTCCTCCTCATCCCCTCCGACCTCCGTCCTCCCCGTCGCTGCCGGCCGACCCTCCATCGCCCCCGGCTCCCCCTCCCAACCTAAATATGTTTCGCCCCGTTCCAATCCCCTGGGCTTGACCCTTCCAGCACGCCGCCCTTCACACTAATCGTCGTCCTAGGCTCTCCATCCGCCTCAATAATCCGATGCATCACCCTCACCTCGCATTCCTTGCAAAAATAACAATCCATTTTCCTCCCTTTCTTAGTTGGGCGCGTCCAGCATCGCAGTTTCTCGTGGGGCGTGGGCGAGAGGGGGAACACGTCGGAGGCGGGCAAGATGGCGCTGGTGCCGAAGGCGGAGGCGGATTGTTTCCGGCATTGGGTGCAGTGGCAGTGGTAGATGGCTTGAAGGTGGGCGTAGGGGAGGGAGAAGGAGATGGAGGCGCATTGGCAGGTTACTTTCAGCGTCGTGGCGTTTGTGCTCGTTGGTGTCCAAGTTGATGTTGAGAATTGCCTCCTTTGCGATGATGGTGATTTCTGCGGCAGCATGCGATGATAAAGTGGGGTATCAACACCGGGAGTTGAGGTCGGGTATCTGATCGCCATCCCGAGATGTTCAGCTCCAAGTCACCTTCCCGTTAACAGCGTCAGCGAGCGGCCTGCTGTTATGTGTAGAGGTAATTGGCGTGGTGCTGATACCGCTGCTGCTGCTTCACGAACGGGTAGAAAAGATTGGGGCTGAATAAATGCATCAGTGTCGCTCGAACTCTTGGACAATGTTTGAAACTGTCAAGGCCAGCAGAGAGGATGCGCTGGAATAAGCCCGAGTTATGTAAGAGGAGGGCTAAGTGGCTGTCGCTCTTTACCATCTTGGGTTCCGTAAGCGACCGCCCTTCCCCTCACATTCAGTTCCGTCCATGAATAAGCTGGGGATTCACGAGGCATCCAGTGGGGGTAATGAGCCGCTCGACGCTGTTTCGTCGTGCCTGCAATAAGATCACAGACAAATTCTAGACCGAGACATGCAAAGCAAGCGCCCAGAACGAAGCTTTATCGGCAAGCGATGTTGGTATGCCACCAAGTGACTTATTGATAGCCTGGCATCTGAGGGTGGAAGAACGTACTCCAGGGTATTTGGAGCTCGTCGACGTTCGTGTTATGGACCTGATAATCCCAAAGGTGCTGTTGCATCCATATTAGCTTGTCGTTACAACCCGGATCAACGAGTTTCGTTTTGCTTACCCAGTCGGCCGTCAAGCTCGGATCCATGAACTGATCCATCGTGTTATAAGGGGAAAAGTCCACAGGTCCCATCGGAGGGGGGAGGTCTGGCTGCCACGCGGGGGAATACTGCATCTGCTCGGCGATCGGGGTTGTTGTTGTTTGTGGCATGACTATGGGTATGGCAACGGGTACAGCCTGGTTCATGGCTGTGTGAGCCTGAGGCTGCGTGTAGTAATAGGGATTCGCACCGGTCACTCCGGTCGCTTCGGTCGCTACGGTGCCTGACGAGCAGTGTTAGTCTAGGTAGGCCGCACAAATGGGGGCACTAGCCGGGGAAGACGATATGAATGAGTGCTTACCTGGCTCTGCGTTTGGATAAGTAGACGCCTGGAAGGAATCGTATACGCTACCCGACGATTCAGGGCTGCTCTCGAACACGGCTCCTGTTGACAAACAGAGCATTTTCGACAGAATCTTGAACGCCCTGTTCGCTTCGGTCGACTGGTTCCTTGTCGACTGCCAGATTTGCCGCGAGATCTCGAGCATCTGCATCAATTGGTTCTTGGAGATAACATCGTTCTCAACTGTCTCAGACCGCGTGCCCAAGGGAGATGCCTCCCTTTTCTCCCTGGCCTTGATGTAGGAAAGTTCGAGACAGAGGATCATGCCGGCGAGGAGAAAGTCGTGAGTGGTAATACTTTGTCGAAAAAAGTCCCCGTTTTTCTCCGAAGCCAATCGCCCCCGAGGCTGCCGCTCACAGTGAAGATCGTATTGGCCTCGCAACGTCTTGGTGGCCGCGTCCAGACAGACCTGCTGAGAGTGCCTGTAACGTTTATCCGTCCTTCCGATGCCCATGTATCTTCGGTGCAGCACTATCCGTGCCTTTTGATCGTTTAGCTCCATCCAAAACCGCTGCATGACGACGTCGATAGGATCGTCCTTGGACTCGGCAAAGGTGCGAAACTGGAGGAGACGAGGAAGACTGTTGTGGGCGTCCTCGAGCTGCTTGTCGAGACGAATGACTTCGGCGTAGCTGATTGGGTTCCTCGAGCACATGGCCGCTGTGATATCCCCAAAGGCACATATCGTGCGAGATTTTACAATGTTCAGGAGGATGGGTGTCATCTCTGATTCGGGCCTGGAGGGCGGAAGTTCTTTGGTTGTTTCGTCAAAGTCTTCGTCGAGAAGATTGCGAGGAATTTCAGTATCGTAGAAACGGGACTGGATGGTGCTCGGGAGTCCAAACTGGAACGCGACGATCTGATCAACCTCGACGAACTGAAGCCAGAGTCTCCTGCGCATCTCGCCCTCAAAAGGGCTCATGGTAGGGTAGTGCTTCGGGTCACGATGTAGTCCCATGTGCATGGCCAGTCGGACGATGTTGGAAAAGATGATGGACGTGCTGAGCGGTGCGTCAGGCTGGCCGATAAACTCGGCGACGAAATATACATACAGGGCCTCGATCTTGTTTTTCCCTGGCGTGCTGTAGTCAGAGAGCGCAAGGGCGTGAGCGCCCGTGGTTTTGAACATGCTGTATGCCTGCATCGGGCTTCCTAGGTTGCCAGGAACTTCCTCTCCCGTATGACTACAGAAGACGGCAGCGTTTGCGAACAGGAGGAAGAAGAAGGCCAGGTCGGCATACGAAAGCTCGGCTCCCTCTTGCCAAAGCGCCTCGTAGTATTTCCAGAGCGTGGGGAGATGGAAGACTGACCAGGAGGAGTATTTGAGCTGGAAGAATATGGACAGCAGACGGTCGCATACAGGCTTCGGTGGCATGCGTCGGAACAGGTCGAGCGGGGAAACAGGAGCAAAGCCGCCAGAAAAGAGGACCGAGACGGGCTGGCGTTCAGGCACGTTATTGGGAGACCAATTTTCCTCTTCGTCTTCCGAGCTTTCATCCGAGGCTTTAAGATTCTTGGTCAAGGTGGTAAGCTAGACATGGCAGGGTTAGGGTTGAAGGTTTTCATTAAGCATATTCCATGGATGCCTACCTCGTCAAGGACTGCTTCCCAGTGAATGACTTCCACATATCGTGTCTGATCGGCCATGGCGCCTGCTGTCCCCTTGGCAGGTGCGATTGATTCTGCATCATGATCCGGCTGAGTCTCTTGCACATAGGGCGACGGAGGGACAGGGGAGATGGCCCTAGAAGAAGTTGGGACGTCCGCACCACCACTCTCCTCGCGGCGCATTTGCGCTTTCAGGACCTGGACCATATGCTCGAGGTGGCGAAGGCGGGCTGCTGCTGTCATGTCCTGAAGGGGCCCTCTCCTGTTGCGAGAGCCAGCACTTTGTGAACCGGGTGTTGCGCCCGAGGCGGATGGGGGTGGGCGAGGCTCATTCTGGGCATAGGGAATAAAGTTGCATGTTGCGGCAACGTTCCGCTTGATGCACTGGTCACAGGGAGACTGGCGGTTGCACTTGAGTCTTTGCTGTGGTCAGCCAAGGCATGAACAGTGTTGATGAGCGGCCTTACTTTTTCTCTCGACATGTGGTACACGAAAACCGAATGCGATTCCTCTTTCTCTGCTGGTCCGATCTCTCGTCTTCGCTACCCCTGAAGGCCGTGGGGGGTGTCGTGGATGATGGGGATGCATCCATCGTGTCGGGTCTGTTTCTGTAAATGCAGTTGCTGACTGCCTAGACTAGCATCTAGTGTGCCAGAGTGCTGGGAGGGGCGTAAGCATGGGGTCGCAACAGTGGGAATAGGACGGTGGAAGTCGTGAGAAAAGGAAGGACAGGAGGTGATGTGCGCGCGCGCGCTAGAGGAGAGGAGACGGCCAGAGTTTTGTCAGGCAACAAGTGGTCAACAACCATTCACAATCTGGAATCGAGTTCATAACATGGCCGATAGGGCCCAACACTTTCAAAGTAGCCCAAGTAGCGCCATGGCGGGCATGCTGGCTGGCGGTTGGCTGGTAGATGCTTCTGCTTCTGTGACAGTGTCGGGTCCTTCACCACAACGCTGCACCGGAGCTGTATCCGACCCGGCTCTTTTATCTGGATTCGACGCCCCGACCCGCCCAGAGTAGCCTCAGCGTTGTGTTGACTGCTGTCCGCCCTTTGCCCGTCACTGTGTCCTTGTCCACTAACAGCTCCTCTGCCGTGGGAGTCAATCCGATTCGACCTTTGCTGCCGTGTCGCCTGTCGCGGATCGAGCAGAGGCTGTCAGATTCAAGGGTGGTTTTAGCCATACCATATGGAGGTTAGCGCTCCAGCCACCTGATATTGCCTGATTTCTAGGTATATCTGGGTTACCCCAGCACCCCCTATACCTTCTGGGCGAGTTAGTAATATACACTCTTCAATTAATTAATTCTATACTGTTATATCTAATAATTAATATTCTGATTTGCGTATTTATATTTAACGCTACAATTATCGATTATAAGCAAGATCTCTATGAAATTAATACCGTTAGCTATATTCTTATTCAAGGAATCTACTAATAAGGCTATTACGGTTATCCTTAATACTCCTACCGATTATTTTAATTAGTATAAAGTTTTTAAGAGACTCGCTAATAGCAATTAGAACTTTAGTAACTAGTTATTTAAAAGAGAATTTATAATTTAAAGGGTTCTACCCCTAAAGCCGGAAGATTTCTTCTTTACTAAGTAAGTAAAGGACCGCCTTCTAGCGGTAAAGAAGGAGTTTATCAAATTTAATAAAATAATCCGGGTTAAAAAGGCCGTAATTATAATTGTAATAACTATTACTACTACGGCTACTAATACGAATAGTATTATTATTGAGACTACTATTACTACCTAATTTTAGGAAGAAGCCGCCGCCGGCGTTAACGAAGATAATAAAGAAGGAAGTTTAGAAGAAGAAGATGAAAAAGTGGAAGAGGAGGATAATAAATACTATACCGAATAGGATATTAAAGAGGATATAATTATTAACCCCTCTACCGATTTAAAAATTATTGGGAAAGTAGTATACGATTAAATTAATAATATATATAACGTTTGCTATAAGTACTAGAAAAACTTCGACGATGTTAATACCTGAATTCGTAATTAAATAAATATTTATATCGCCGCCTATTATACCGATACCTTATTTGAATAAAATCAATCTACTTGCGATTAACTTAGAAAGATTAAGAGTTAAATTAATTATTGACTTATTAATTAAATCGCTAAAATTCATCGAAATTATTAAGCCTTTATTAAAAAAACTATAAAAAAGTAACCTAAGGACTTCGAAAAGTAGTTATCCGATTAGAAGATCCTTATCGTAAATAGGAAGAGACTTAGAATTAATAAAATAACCTCCCTTACTTTATAATTTACTAGTTTTATCAATATAATCTGTAAATATAAGCTTATCTAAGTTAATAAATCCTAGAAATTCGATAACGAATTCGAAGAAATGTTTTTAAAATATAAAGACGTATCCGTTAATGTTAAAAAGGTTAATATATTAGAATATACTATATTATTAATTAATCCTAAAAAGGTTATAGTTCGTAATATATAAAATATTGGCTACTTTAGTTCGTAAAAGTTCGCATTCAATAAGGAAGATACTCTTAATTTTAATTGTAAAAAGAAACGGAAGGTAAATATAAGGAAGAAATGTAACGCGGATAAAAACGCGAAGGATTCTTTATAGCCGAAAAGAAGAGGAGGCGCTACGCCATTTTACAAGATTTACAAACAAAGCCCTTACTTAATAATTTATTATTAGTATTTAATATTTAAAATTAGGGATAATCCTAAATAGAAACTAAACGGCCCTATTTAAAAGCTTATTAATAAAAATCTTGAGAAATATCCCGAAAATAGTAAAGAGGTTAAAAATGCTAAGAATTAAATACGGGACCGCTTTATTGCTTTTATATAGATTATTACTTCGAAAAATTAAAGGAGACGAGAAATTGGTATTTACGATTTAATATTTTTCGTTAAATAAAGTACTTTTAATATAAATACTAGTAAGGGTAATATTTACTTACTTAAGAATTCTATAAATTTTCGATTCCGGGGCTTCTATTTATATTTTCAACGAAATTAATTGTTTTTTTCGTTTCGAACAACGTCCTTAAAAGACTGTATCTTGGTTAATAAATTTTAAATACCTATTAAAAGTTTTAAAATTATTAATCTAGAAAAATAAGGAGAGAGATGAATTCTAAGGCTATAGTTAAAAGAAGTAGCTTTCTACTTTAATTTTATCATAAACTTTATATTACTATATTTACTTCGAAAGTAAAATCTTCATTAAGACTACAAACTGCCTAGTAATTACCTCCGTTGGCCAAACAGTTTACTCTGTTATTTCTTTCAAAAAATTTATTATTAAATAGTCTTCAAATACCTTCCCCTCTCCTTCAACCGCGTTACTTTCTTTACTCGTCGAAATCGCTTCAATTCCTTTACTGGCCGTCGCGTATATAAAATACTTGCTAAATTTTAATATAAGTAATTTGGTTATTATAATCTTTAAATCTTCGAATACCTTTACAACGTTGAAGGCGTTAAATTTAAAGGGCCCGCTATTTATTAATATGATGTGTATAGTATTTTAAAGATTAAATAATAAATTAAATGAAAATTACGAAATAAGGGATTTAGCCCGGGAAAGCGTTTCGCCGTTGACTTCTTCGAATATAAAGTAGGAAAAAGTAGCCTCAAATATATCATATTTATTACTTATCGATAGACTAAATTCGTTTAGGATATTTATATAATGAACCGAATAATTGAGGCTATTACTAAAAGATTCTTTTCCGTAATTAATACGATTAATTATTAATATAATATTGATTTGGGGAATCTTTTCTGGTTTTTTAGTGTAGACCAAGGGGGTTATCAAAAGCAAAGTGATTCGGATAGGGAGGAGCAGATTTATCGGACCGTCTCTCCCGAACTCCAAAGATAGGCAATTATAATAGAGATCTCTAGGGATAAAAAGGGTAATACTCCTCCTTAAAACGAGAGGAAGGAGGGTAGGCAATTTAAACTAAATATCACTTTAACCAATAGAATATATTTAAGTTTTGCTCCTAAAAAGACTTAACTGTTGAATTTATTCGTAATCCTCTCCTTAAGAAATTAACCTCCAAATCTATTCCTTTTTCTAAAGTAACTAATTTAGGGGTAAAGTTCTACTTCCCCCTCCTTCCTTTAATAATTAATAATTATAATTTAGCGGTTTTATTCTAATATTTTCGCAAAATTATTCCTAACCTTTAAATTAATATTTTACTCTAAGGTTTTGGGTAGGCTATACTTTTTTATAGTAATATATTTTTACTCTATTTTAAATAGTAAGAAGGACGAAATGAATTTAAAACTCCTAATTAAATTAATTAATATAACTTTAAGAAGTTTCCGGCTAGGACGTTTTATAAATATAGAGGTTATCCCTATAGCCTTCGGGATATTAATTTAGATATTGGAAATTAAATAACCAATAATTAATTAAATCCCTTAGTAAAGAAGTCTTTTATTCGATTTAATAGAAATTTTAATTCTAGATATATATAGATTTCCGCTTCCTTAAATAATTTATAATTTATGAATATTAATTAATAAATACCCTAACCCCTTCCCCAATTATAATTAAATTAGTAATAACTTAAACTATAAAATGAAATTAAGATGAAATTAAATTAAAAAGATATTAATAAGAGACCTAAATAATAAATTAATGAAAAAGAAATACGAAAACCAAAACGAAAACGAAAACGAAAAGTAAATCCACTCTTTATTTATTAAAACCCTTTAGTAAATAAATATTTACGTCCTTTATGCCGAATTCTTCCTCCGATTAATCGGACCCCTATTTGGAATAATTATTATAATATTCTAAATTTTACTTTTAATTACTATAACGCTAAGATTACTCCTAACCGAAGCGAATTATATTAATTAAGAAATAATTGTCAGCAAGCTAAATAGGGGACTTCGCTACCCTAGGTAATAATTAATAATAATACCCTAAATGCTATAGAGGAATAAATTTTTAACCGAAAATTATAAAGACCGAATATTAATAGTATAAAAGTATTTATACGAAGAAAATTATTTTAATAAAAGATATTAAATCAAGTCCCCCCTAATTATTTATTGTAATGTTAATATTTACTTTATATCTTTATTATTTATAAGCCTTATTACTATTCCCCCTTCTTATTACTTCCTTACTTCTAATAATACCTTCTTAAAAAATATATTTAATATTACTATTAATACTAAGGATTTATTTACTCCTACTAGTAAAATATTTATTAACGCTATTATAACCCTCTTTACTGATAATATTATTTTCGTTTGTAATACTATCCCGAAGAAAAACTTCGATAATAAGAAAGTTTTTAAATATTTAAAATTCTTCGAAAACAAAGTCGGCTTCTATAATTTTATCGATAAAAAGATTAAAATTAATATTTAGTTTTAATAATATAAGAAAGAGTTTAAAGATATTAGTTAGGGTCTCCTCCGTTATTTTAAAAAGCGGACCTATATTAAAGGAAAAGTACAATATTTCTATTATTATTTTCTAGTTTTTTCTATTTCTACCTCAATCGGCCCAAATTTTTATTTTTCTCTCTACCCCCCCCCCCCCCCCCCCTCCCCAAAAAAAATCACTACCAAAAAGAACCTCAACATACAACCAGCCTCAAATCCTAATCCGAATTAATATTACTAATCGCTTCCCCTATATTATTATCTTCTTAATCTACTCTAGAATTCTTATTCTAATCCAACCCCTCCGTAACCATTTCTAATAACTTTTAAATCTCCTAATTACCCCCAACGTTAATACCCCAACCCTTTAAACC